CTGCATTATGCAGAGTCTTGACTCTCGCTTTATGACTAGCCAATGGCGTCCGCAAAGTATCGATTGTGCCGCCTTCCAAGCATGGCGCACTCCAGGTCCTCGACCAAGAAAGAAACTTGAGATGTGTATGCATTGTCCTTGTAAGTGGGGAGAAGCTTCAGCTTGCTCGTAATAATGGAGACGACATGGTGGGTGGGTGGGTACCAGAGAAAAGGTGGGCACGCAAGATCACAACCCTGCTTTGAGGGAAAGTGGGAGCCCTGAGAATCATGAGTACGTATGGGCAGTGCAGCAGAGGTAAGACTATGGGGACAATTGCAAGGCGTCTGGTTATGGAAGGAAGTGAAACTGCTTTTCAGTGTCGAAATTGACTCCACATGATCCAAAGACCTCGCACTAGCCATTTCAAGGCCGGAGTATTAGTGGGAACCCATATCTATTATCTAATTGGCTGGAGCTAATACTGACTAGGGCGGCGGCAGGCCACTCTCGACGTCGATCTGCATTGCTCTCCGATTCCAACATCTGCATTCTTCCTGTGCAAGGACATGCTGCGCGAGCACACTCCCCCTCCTCCTCAATGAGCACGCCGCCCATCCCGAAACAGACCATCCTCCACGCCTACCGCCACCTCTACCGGACGTCCCTCCGTGCGGTCAAGCACGCACGGCCCGCCCGCTACGAAATCCGCGACATTCTGCGCGCCTCGTTCCGCACCTCGTCGCCCGCCAATTTCAACCTGCGCCGCGTACAGAACACGCTCAAGTTTCTAGAGAATGCGCGAAAGTACAACGGATTCGAACACAGGATCTTGAAGAACCTGCTGCACCTCCAGTTCTGGAAGATCAAGGGTTTGGATAAACAGCTGTATGTATCTCCGAGAAAATATCTATTCGGGGTTGAGGAGATGCTGACGCATTTGGCCTGCAGGATCAAGAATGCGAATACTGCCGAGGCCGTCGAGTCGAGACGTCAGATATGGCATCAGTACCGGGCGACGTTGACGATGTTGAACGAGAGTCTGGACATATGTCTTACGATCTGAGCCGAAGAACCCTTCCGCCTCCTTGGTGCTGTCGAGGCCGGATTGCCGCCTGATGCACATCTATCAGGATAGCACTCTCGCTATCTGATCGGAGACGCCCTGGTCGACCGGACCGATATGGTTTAAACTGCATGGCGAAGAATATCATCAGCGGGCAACGGGCCACGGCGTTTGCAGTACGGTTGAGGCGGAACACCTGCGAGTCCGTTCACCTGGCCGATCGATGACGATCAGCTCCTCTACCGAAAAAAAATCTCGGCTCCACATATCGAGCTTCAGGACTTCGAGAGGAACGCTGACCACATGATGTAAGAACTCGGTGTGATGAGGGCGTACCGAGACTGTGTCAACTATATCGAAGAAATGCCACTAAAGGGTTGCAGAGAGCTACATGTGACAGCGAATGTCATGTTCTTTGAGTGTGAGGTACTGCGTCTACCTCTTGAACATTCTATAGTGGAGTACTGTCCTGTTCTGTCCTTGCTTGTCGTGATCTGACCTGGCCCGAATTGTCAATGCTCTAGCGCCATGTTCACTTTCTCGAGTAAAAGCCATTCTTTGGAAGCATCGATGCATCGCGCAGACAGGCAGGCACTGTCAAGACAAGACCTTGTCTGTGGAATCACAGGTATTACTCACATTACATATGTATATTATGTGTATATTATGTATATAGGCCAAGTTAGGCCAAGTATGCTTCTTGTACACTCTATTATCTAATTCCTTGGTCGTATAGTCGTAGAGCCTCCGTGGCGTCGTGAGCGCTCGCTATGCATGTATATATGCAATGTATGTATGATTAAATGTCGACATCCGAAAGAAACCCCCCCGATCAACTACTCCTCTTGCGCCCCCACAAACTCCGTTGGAGCTAAGTCTCTTGTTGTCATTTGTGTCATTGCCTACCGGCAGAGCGACTCGACTTATTCGTCCGGGTCCGGGTCAGGTCGAGGCCGGTGATGGACGTCGTCGTGTGCACTCTGTCGATGTCGTAGGGGCTGAAGTTGTAGTCGGCCGCCTCGCTGATACTGCCTGTGCGGGACCTGATTCTCGTCATGGACGCCGCGGCACCCGTCTCGGACGCGAACGACCTTCTGGTCCGGATGGGTTCGAATTTTGGTTCCGCGGCGGCACTTTCGGACTCGGTGTCGGTGGCGAACTCGCTGGAGCGGCGGGGCGATTTGTCGCCGGACTCGACTACGGCGTCGTCGTCGGCGCGCGAAGCGGCCTTTGCGCGGAGTTCGGCCATGATGGCCTCGGCCTGCGCGGCGTACACGCAGCGGCTGCGGATCTGGGCGCCGTACTTGCGGAAGATGAATGGGAACGGCACGCACGCCAGGGCGAGGAAGGCCGGGATCGAGCTCGCCCAGTGGATGCCCAGGGTGTCGAACATGTCGGGCGTGAAGAGGGGGAAGGCCGCGCCGAAGAGGGATCGTAAGACAGTATTCGCGGCCAACACGGACGCGGCGAAGATGGTGTACGCGTCGATGAGGTAGTTGGTCACGGCCAGGAAGATCACCGTAAACCCGTAGCCGAAGGGCACTCCGGCCATGACGGGCGAGATCCAGTGGATGGACGCGTAGTTGGTCCAGGCGAACCAGAACAGCCCAATGGGAATGGCCACGGCTCCGTACATGGCGGGTGGCAGTCGAGCTTCGGCCGGGGCGACACCTCCGTGCTTCTCGGCCTCGTCGGTGTACCATTTGTTCGTCCAGCCGGCGAAGACGATGCCCAAGATCATGCCGACGGCGACACCCAGGAACGGGAGCCCGCCAATGCCCTCGGACCACCCGCGATTCTGTTGGAAAACAATCGGGTAGGCACCGAACAGGAGGTACAGAGTTCCTAGGAATTATTGTCAGCGCGGGTTCGACCCACAAAAGCGGATACTCTGTAAAACATACCGTAGATGATTGCAATGTAGAGCGACAGTAACAGCACAATCGGTTCCATAAACAGCAGGATCCACGGTCGAATGAGTGCAGTGGGCAAAAGAGACTTCAGTGACGGCGCTCCTTTCCCTTTGTCCGACTCGAGCATGTATATCTTGCCGGTCATTTTAGACAACTTGGCGACTCTCTTCCGGAGGATGACGGGCGCGTATGTTTCGGGCACGAAGACAGTCCCCAAAATCCACATGACGCCGGCGAAAATGGCCAACATCCCCATCACCCATCGCCATCCTTGGTTCTCGGCCAGAAATCCCGAGCAGAATGGTCCCAGCGTTGGCCCCATCGAGGGTGCCAGCGCAAAGATACCCATGGCCAGCCCTCTCTGCGACGCTGGGAAGACGTCTGCAATGACACCGCCGGCGTTGGTGAATGGCGACGACCCAAAAGCCCCGGCGAAGAATCGCAGCACCAGAAGGGTTGTGATGTCATTGGCGCCGGCACAGCCAGCACAGAAGGCCGTGAAGCCGCCGAAGCTGATGATGTAGATTATCTGCCTCCCATAAAGCTCCGACAGCGGTGCCCATAATAGCGGTCCGACTGCGAAACCGAGAACGAAGAGCGATATACCGGCGGTAATCAGTTCTGTGCTAGCGCCCAGATCGACCATGAGCTCACGTAGAGTTCCTACCGTGGCAATTAGCACGAGGAATTCGACAGCGACGATACAATCCGGATGTTGTGAACGTACCACTAAACGCACTCGACGCAAAAGCCGTCGCTAGCACTTCAGTCGCCACAATCAAACTGACAATCCATCGCCTGCCTTGCGACCAGTTGAACGGGTTACCTGGATCATTGGGTATGTAGCTAACGAGATAGGGATCGTCCGTGGTGCCTGATCCGGGATATGGAAAATGTAGTACTTCGTTGGTGACCCGGGCTTGATCAGCGACGAGGCGGAACAAGGACAGAGTCTGAGGTGTTTGATCCTCGTAGTCGTGTTTCTCAGCCATCATGTGTGTCGTCGAGGAGAATGGCGTCCTTGGAGGAGCAAAACGTGCATGTAGTTCCCATTGAGGGCGACAGGGGCAATTTTGTGTACTTGTATCTGGAAAAGATCGAATCGTCTAGAGACGCCATGAGACACGATTGCATCACGCTCGGGCACTGTCTCAAGGGAGGCCAGATCCGAAGAGGGTCTGAGTGGTGGAATGCAACTTCAAACCTTCAACCCGACCCCACAGTCAAATCTTGGACCAGCAGCGCCGCGACAGTGTTCAACCTGATAAGGCCGTATCGAAAAGAATCTGCGCTGGATAACATCGGCGTTGCCGTTGGTAAATTGGCAAAGATCGGGCATCGGGCCCCAAAACGACATGCCTTTCGGCGCCGTCCTTTCATATCGCGCAACTCGGAAGAATCGTGCCGAAAAGCTTCATCATTTCAAGGGAATACAAAAAGCTAGGCAGCAGGCAAGCCTTTCAAGGGCTGATCTGGTTTCAGCTTGCGCTGTCTGTGATCGGCCAAGTCTCGGTGCCAAGGGGGTTCTGTGGTACCCAAGATGCACATAGCATGACAATGTTAGACGTGGAGAATACGACATACGATAAGAGACACAAAGGCCTTTCTCGAAGCGCCACTGACATCAACCCAATGTGGAAGTGGAAGTGCAAGTGGCGACAGCCTCGTGAGCCTCGGCTTAGAAAAATCTGTACACGGAAAAGAGATGATCCGATGATGTGGGTCACCACCTTGCATAAAAAATCCAATCACAGCCTCGCAGACCACATGTGATCCAGAATTCAACACATGCACACACGCACACATGTTAGTAATCACAGAAATAGCAATTACCTAGGCAATCAATGCGCAATGTTGGGACGCGCTGTCAAAATACTCGGTACAACCCCCAACAACGATCGGAAATGGACCCGGTCAAGGGAAGAAGATAACCGAAACAGGAATCATTCCCTAGACATGTTACGCACTATCTGCAAGGAGTAGAGTAGTAGCCCAAAAAGATATGCTACCGTGCCACGAGTGGCTGCCTCCTCCCCATTCCTTCACAACATGCTCCTCCTTTCCTTCTTGACAGCAGCGGCCTCGTCCAAGATCTTTTCCGGTACATCCACCACCTTGTCCCGAATGTAGTCCGCAAAGCCCTTGCCCAAGGCGTCCAACAAGCGACAGCTACTCACACCTCGGCCCAACGGTCCATAGATGACAAAATGCACGGCCCAGATATGTGGGAACTCCATCCTCTCGATGAAGAAGTCGTCCCTCCAGTCGTCGCCCATGAGCTCTTGCAGTCTAGCCCGCGTCATGAATGTCTGCAGCCAGGGGTAGTGCTCGGGGCGACGGACGAAGATGCCAAAGTTGATGTTCGCTCCCTTATCTCCTGAGCGGGCGAGGGCCACGTCTCCGAGACGAGCTTTGCGCGTGGGTCCAAAGGAAGCGAGGTCGACGGGCTGTGCGGTCTCATAATTTTCACGCGGTGCTAGTTTCTGATACTGTGGAGGGTGTCCAGCGTCTGCAGTTTGCGCATCTGTTCCGTCCGCGGCCAGGATGGCCACGCCCTCTTTCAAATCATTCTGCGGGTACAGAGCCGGGTAGAAAGCGAGGTAAGACTTGGGAAGTGCAGTTCGGAGGTCCAGAGAGAGATGGAAGCCCGAGAAATGCTGCATCCCGATTTCGCTCATCACTTTCAACAGTCCATATATGGCGGCCTCCGTGTCGGCCTGGATGAACAGTCTGCAGTACGTGGTGCTGGAGAACTGCGATCTCGGGTTTGCCTGTGGAGTGCCCAGGATCTGGAAGTCCAGCAGCTGGAACTGATCAATGAGACCCCTCTCTTTGAGTGCATGCCGCATCTGCATCTCGGAAAGTTTCCATTTCTCAGCTGTGGCATACCCGGTGGCGTTGGTGAGTATCTGTGCCTCGTAACCTCCATGGTAAAAGATAGCCAACTTCGTGGTTGGAGGAGGTGGGTATCCTCTAATGTTTGACAGCTTGACTCGGTCCTTGCCGACTTGCTCGATTTTGATGTTTGTCGTGTCGGCAGAGACATCTGAGTTCAGGTATGTGCCTCCCTGAAGCTCGTATAAGAACTGACACTTCATATTGTCTTCATTGACTAGGCCGTTGGTCCCGTCGTGCTTGGTGATGACCGAGGTCCCGTCATCTGCAATCTCTGCGATCCCGAATGATAGATCCACAAAAGTCTCAAGAGGGTACTCATCGAAGCCCGCGAAATTCGACCCTGTCGCATAGGCCGAACATTCGATCAGATGCCCTGCCACTAGTGCTCCGGCCAGTCGGTCGTAATCTGTATCCGACCACTTGTGCCAGTACCAAGCTGCTCCGATGACTGGGGACGCGTCTGCAACTCTTCCGCAAATAATGACATCGGCACCTAGCTCGAGGCCTTTGACAATGGCCCGTGCACCTAGGTATGCATTTGCACTCACGATAGGCTTCCCCTTGGTGTCCAATAAGTCGGTCGCATGTTCTGCCAGCGAGACTTTGTTGTTCTCTCCGTCCAGGTGCTGTGGCAGTTTACCTGTCTTCTCGAGACTGGTTCTGACTTCCTCGACCAAGTCATCACCGTACACATAGGCGATCTTCAGGTCCAGACCTCGGTCACTGGCGAACTTCTGCGCCTTCTTCGCCAAACCCTTTGGATTCAATGCTCCACCGTTAATAATGATCCGGATTCCTCTCTCCTTGATGACATCTAGTGTCTGCTCAAGGCCGTCCCAGGCAGTCGGTTCCCAGCCATCATGCTTACCCGCTGCCATCTTCTCCGCATTTTCAGCCAGATTCATCTCGGCGAGATAGTCGCCAGTGATGAAGTCGACAGGTCCATAAGTGGCCTGGCGCCGCATCTGGTACCCTGGATCGCCACGTGCTCCGGAGCAGTTGGCAATCCGACAGGGTCGAGTCGCGGGTGTCGAGCCTGGTCCTGGGTCGCCCATCTTGGTATGTAGAAGCTGGACACACTACAAACTCCGAATCAAGATAGTCGGCAACTGTTGGATGTGACAAGAAAGACTTCTCCCGAAATCTGAGCCCAAAGTGTAGTTCTCGACTTGGCTTCCTATTGCCAAGTCAACGCTGAGACGGTCTTGACGATAGGCTGTCGTCTAGGATGTCGTTCAGTCGAAAATGGGAGACGTTCTCCTTGTCCACAGAGATGTAAGAAGCGTAGTTGTTGTCTTCACAACGACGACACAATCCTTCCTCATCGTATAGGTGTGATGCCGCTATTCCGAGAGCGTCTGAATCTGCCTCTTGAGGTATTCCGAGGCACCAACTGAAGGGATCGGCGGTTCTGGTGGTTCTACTCCTCGGCTTCCTGAGCGCTGACTCGTAGAATACCAATCATCTTCTCGCCCTCCCCCGAATCCCTCTTTCTACCCCTCTCCACTTGGTGATGGTGGGGACGGGGGGACGGGGGTTATTCCATGAATTCGAGTCAGATACAAGGCGCCCTGCGAACCGCCTCACAGAGGTACTTTTGGCATCGTCGCTGATCCGAGGCTCCCTTTGCCTGTGGTCGTCGAAGAGAGATCGTTCCGAGAAAGAAATCCCACTGCATCAGTGAGAGTGATAGATACGTCCGTGACAGAGCTTGTATAGTCTCTTCCACCTCTACCACTCATCTTTTTAAAAGCCTTTTCTGTCTTTGGGAATTGGGTTTCGACCACGGACCGGACACGGTTAACAAACGGCCACCATGGGTAGCGTCGATGCCGCGCCATCGGATGTCATATCGTCCTATTCCGTCCCTGCTGAGTCCAGGAAGCTGTTGATCAGCGCGTTGCTGGAGAATCCAAAGATCGCAAAGGACATTCCCCAGGAAGCTCGTGAATTCGCCTCGCGCATCACCTTCACGGGCACCGACCTCCCCTCGATTCCCATCAATTGGCGTTTCGCCGAGTCCGCGGCGAGTCTGAAGGCCTTTGAAGCATGCATCGTCTACGCGCTGGTGAAGCGCAAATACAATGTGGAACTCACAGGGGCCGAGATCAATACGGACCATGCCCAGCTGTTCTTCATGTCGACGCTTCTCTGGCAGATTCACCCGGACACAGACCGCACCATCTCCATGTCCAAGAATAGCGACAAGTTGGACGACATAATCCCCAACTACGACTTCCATAAGATGGCATCGAGTCTGTATAGGTCCTGCGTGACCAATATCTACCAGACGAAAGATGGTCGCTATTTTCACCTGCATGGGAGCATGAATCCGAAGCCATCGCTCGATAGCATCGGATTCCCTGAAGATCGACCTGAGCTCAAGACCTGGGAGGAGGCGATACAGCCCTTTATTGAGAAGCTGGCCACCATCGATTCGGCCGAGATGCAGCACCTCGCATCCGACGTCTATAAGCAAGCCGGGGTGATAGCAGAGACTGTGGACTCGTTTCGAGCCACCGAACACGGCAAGGCAAATGCGCACGTCGGGCTCTTCGAGATCCATCCCACCCCAAATCCTGCGCAGAAGCCTTCTTGGTGGCCGTCCACTCCCCAGACTTCGGCAGCCAGACCTCTAGCTGGGCTCAAGGTCATCGATCTGACGCGTGTCATTGCCGCACCAGCTGTGACTAGAGGTCTGGCCGAACTGGGGGCAAGTGTCATGCGCGTCACATCCCCGAATCTTGTAGATTTCAGTGGGCTACACGTTGACCTCTCCTGGGGCAAATGGCAATGCAGTCTCGACCTGAAAACCGAAGAAGGGAAAGAGAAGCTCCGAGATCTAATCAAAGAAGCAGATGTCGTAGTTCAAGGCTACCGACCGGATGTGCTCGATAAGTATGGCTTCGGCCAACAGGGGATCATCGACTTGGTCAAAGATCGGGAACGTGGCATCATCTCGGTTCGGGAGAACTGTTACGGCTGGAACGGTCCTTGGTCATACCGCTCGGGATGGCAGCAGATCAGCGATGCATGCGTGGGGATTTCTGCTGGCTTTGGCAAAGCTATGGGTTTGAAGAACAACGAGGCCGTTACTCCTGTCTTCCCCAATAGTGACTATATGACAGGCATTGCCGGAGTGACGGGGATCTTGAGCGCTTTGATGAGGCGTGCAGAGGAAGGTGGTAGTTTCAAGGTGGATGTCGCACTCAACTATTACAACCAATGGCTGGCAGATTCCGTGGGAGAGTACCCCGAGCCCATTTGGCAGGACGTCTGGAAGAGGAACGGAAACCAAGTCTTCCGGTGAGTTTTCTTGACGCGATCCCTTGCACTCCCAATAGGAAATAGGCACTAACCTTACGGGGTCATCAGGTGTTACCACAACATGAACTACCTCATCCCTCGGTATATGGGGATGCTCATGAAGAACAGCCAAATCCTCCATCCGTCTTTCTTTGAAGATAGGCCGAGCAAAGCCATCGATGCCGTCGTGCGTACAATCAAACCTATCATCAAATTTGACAACGACCAGGTCCGCCTGGGTTATAATGTAGGCACCAGAGGCAACGGCAAAGACGCCCCACGGTGGCCGGAGGACCTTATGACGGAGGTCGTGCAGTAACAAGACGGCTGTACGAATCCGCATGGGTTATGTTCCGGACTCGCGAGCAAGAAGGACTTTGGGCAATTGGTTGAAGGCGCCGTGCATGGCTGTAAGGAGCTTCTGGGTACAGTCTAGCCTCACAAGAGCCACGAAATAGGTAGAAGCCGCGTCAAGATGAAGCCAACAGGGGCATAGACCGTTGGCAAAACCTTTCTGGGACATCATAAAGCCATGTCTGTGCAAGATAAGACCACCTTCGTTTCCGAAACGTTGTCAAGGCCGTACCGAGCGACGAGCAGGAGATGTCGTCGTAATCGCGCATTGTGGCGCACATCGATCAAGTTACGGGTCGGAGAATTAGGCCGGTGGCGCTGCCGCTGCAAAGATATAAGTTCTTGCGTTAGCACTCTGTGAGATTTCCAGACTCATCTCACCTTGCTCAACGACATGTATCCAAGTAACGGGGGATATTCCTCAACATCCACACTCCTTCGCTAGATTGTGCAACATGGATATCTGCCACTTACCATGACCTGCTTCAAAGGAAGCAACACGAGTTGAGCATGGGGTGACGAGTGAATCTTACCACATGCGAGCAGGATATGTGTTTTTCGAAGTGAGGTGATGTTGTTCAATTTCCCTTTGGTGGTTGTGCAGAATGTCATGAGATGTCGAATTGCCCCTGTCATTCTGTCATTTGAAATTGCTGACATAATAAGTGTCTCGGCAAACCTTCCACTGAATGTAGGTACAAGTATCGAGCGTCATCCCTTCCGTCCTCTTTGCTTCTCACTTCCATTCATGTTGATTCTCATCGTCTTCTGTGTTATTCGGATCTGCTGGTCCACCTGACGATCCATCTTTTCATTTGGCTCTACGTTTGACCACTATTGCGCACCAGCAGTCTCATGATTGGTGAGTTACGGAATGAAATTCCCTCTTTTGCGCGATTTCGGGCATAGCCGCCGAGTGCTCGGCGTATCCGTGGTGTGATGTCGCTACAATGCCCGGTAACGTGATGCATTTTTTCAATGCCGGTATGTAGACCTGTACGTGATGGAGATCATGGTTTCATTTAGCCGAATCCGTCAATTGTCCAGACCGCGTGATATACCCAATCCTACCGCGAGTTATTGCGTCTTTACATTGATAGAGTTTTCCATATAAAAGGACTTGGCTCTCACCATTTTTCAAGCCTTGTTATCGTTCGCTATCTATCAAGCACAGAACCAAAACACATCTACTACTGCAATCGAATTGATAACCGCCAAATCAACTATTGGCAACCAGAAACCCCACGACACAATGACTAAAATGACCTGGAACCCAATTGGCCACCACCACTCAGACACCCCGGCCGGCACCGAGAACCCGGTCGCTGAAGAGACACATCACAGGCGTGACTCAAAGCTGGGTCACATCATGGACTCTATCCGGCACTCGCTTGCCCATGAACATGAGAAGCTCCCTAGCGAGAGCCAAGCTAAAGACCAAAACCCCGTCTCCGCAAATGGGGAATCGGGCAACAACGGCTCGCTCAGTCCTTCTTTGCAGGCCGTGGCCTCGTCTAAACTCAATGAGAATAATATGGGTGAACATTCCCACGAGGCCGAAGATACCTGGGGTTGGCCAGGTCTTGGTACTTACTCAAGCGCATCTGAAGCACCCAGAAGGGAAAGTCTCCGCACAGGATCCACCGACTCAGGTGCTCCGTCGACATCCAGACAAGACTCAGTGCCAAAGGCAAAGGAGTCTGAGCCGCCAAGGAGACCATCAACCATATCCCAGGCCAGCAAGAAGAGCAACGACACTCAAAGTGGTTGGCCAGGTCTAGGATCCTTCCCAGAGGACACCGAGAACTAACGGATCCGGGGCGGAAGACATCCACGAATCGAAGCGAGTACTGCAACTACTTGTTCCTTGTATTTCCCGGAGCACATTTCCAGACTTTTATGTGGTGCGTTGAGCGAAAATGTTTGAAGCTATGCCGATTACGCCGGTGGGACGGTGCACGAGAACCCTGATGGTGGGTTTGGAATTTCTACAAGTCCGACATCAAGTCAAGTCGGATAAAAATCCATCCTGGCGAGGCTGTTTGTGATAGCGCTCAGTTACTAGTACTAGTATTAATTACAATGAATTCTATTGAAATGAATTCTATCGAAAAGAGTCTTTTACTCGCAGCATTCTCAGCTACAAGTAGGCAGTACAGTATCATATGCACGAATACCTCTTTAGGTAGGGATGTAGATCAACCTGGTTACCTGGTATCGAATACAATTTGTCTCCTGATAGAATCTTTCAATTGACTCAAACCCCCTTGTCCTCAACCCTCGCTGATGTACTTGTACTCGGTACTACCAAGTACATACGAGGACCAGTACGTTTACCTCATTCTGTTACTGTCCAAGGCCCTGTGCCGTGGTGACCCATCTTCTTCCTACAAGTAGCATGATCTGTCCCGTCCTTGACTCGTCATCGACCGTTGTCGAAGCAAATGACAAGCAGCCACTCGAAAATTCTACAAGTCCATCCGTAGAGTACCGGGTTCACCACGAGCTCTGTCACAGCGACTGCCTGTTCTGCCCCTGACGCCTTGTCTGGCGGAGTACTTCTTGGCTTTGCTGGCGGCTGAAGCTTTGTCCTTTTGGCGGTGGAGTCGGCCTCCATCTCTTCCGTGAGGTCAATAACAGACACTCAAGACTGGGCATTCAATCTCCCTCCCTTGTCTCGCCATTTGTCGTAGTCGATACTGCTCCATGCGTTCCATGCTGCGCCAGACACGTCGCCACTACCCTATCCGGCTCACCGCCCAGCAACCCCACGGTACAGAAGCCATCACCTCATTTCATGAACATTTGCCACGACTGGGGACGGCAGACCCATACAAGTACAGGTAGTGTGACGGCAGCTTCCATTTGATCCTCATCATAACTCTTGTTCTGAAGAAACTACAGTTCCCGACACGGCTAGAATATGGAAGAAAAAGAAGAAAAGTGGACAACGGTAGCCCAGTAAAAGGAAACGAGGCATAGCACTAGAGGAAGGAGGAGTGACACGACGACAGACAGACGGAAGCTAGGAGGATGGCGTGCTTTAGGGTACCCCAGGTATGACGATTCGTGGGCAAATGTAGACGTCTGGTCTTGTTTCTGTCCTGTGCTTGGCCGTCAGAAGGAGGCAACACAGTGCCCTATGTAGGTAGCGAGACTGGGGAGGTGGCATGTAGGTTCAGGTAGAGGACAGACTTCGACTGTTAGCACAGTGGGCCATTGTTCGTAGTTTGACAGCGGGAAACCCTGGGGAGAGTTGTACCAGTCGAGGAGTGGCTAAGGCCGGTAAGGGCGGCGAAGGCTGTCGACTACCAGATTGGCTCGAAGGTGAAGAGAACAGGGATGTGAGCCAACAACAGTAGAAATGAATTGTAATAGATTCGACATTGTTTCTGTCCACTTCCGCTGAATTCCTGTTTGTTTGATGTTGGATGGGCGCAGGCTGAAGGTCGTCTTGATGCAGACGGTATTCTCGATGATTCTTTCTTGTAATGACCGGAAGGGTGTCCCACATGGTTGTCCTTTCGTGGCGTCCTGCAAGCCAGTGCCGTTGATACCCTGCCCAATAGGTGGTTGATGCCCGTGAGTGTGCCTGGAAGCTGTTGTGCGGGGAAGCTGCCCGCCCAGCCACCGCCTAGAACTTACTGTGGCACTCGAGTGCCGCTGCCCGAAATTTCCAGACACATCTATGGGTCAATACTTGTAATGACGCGGCATTTGCGTTGATTCTCCTTTCACATGATGGGTTTCTATCACTTTGCCCAACCATGATCGTCAGGTCACCACCCATCATTGCGGGGCCTTGTCGCCTCAGTGTAGGCAGCACCATTCTACAAGTGGAAGTGACAAAAGTTCGAGAATCCAAAAGCGGAATCGACTGAACTCTCTAGAAATCTCACGCCATTTCTGCATATTTCGACATCCTGGGGTGTTGTCAAGGTGAGTTCCACCCTCTATGGTACAACCCTAGGGACCTCAGGTCTATAAATCACACCTCATCTCTCCCTCATCAGACAGTCTTTCAGCAGACCAGATCAGAACATCAAAACACTTCATGTCTAGTACCCTTCGAAGACTTCCACACCGAGTCACTCCAACAATCTCGCACGTCACCAAGCCAAAGCGAACCCAAACAAGAAACATGGCTCTCTTCCCGCGCATCCCATCCTCATTCGGTCCCTACCGCTCCGAGCTGGGACCGTTCTTCAACCTCTTCAACGACACCTTCTCCGAGCTCCAGAAGTTGTCTGACAACGCATCCCGGACCTTTGCGCCCAAGTTCGACGTCAAGGAAGCCAAGGACAGCTACATCCTCGAGGGCGAGCTGCCCGGCATCGACCAAAAGGATGTCATCATCGAGTTTGCCGACGAACAGACCCTCACCGTGAAGGGCCGGACCGAGAGCTTTAGAGAAGAAGGCAGCAAACCCAGCGCTACCGCCGGCGGCGAGGGCAAGAAAGAAGAAGCCGCCGCATCCGGCAGCAAAGAAGTGGCCACCACGGGCTCCAAGGAGGTCGCAAAGTCGGAGCCCCAGCACACTTACTGGGTGTCGGAGCGCAGCGTGGGTGAATTCGCACGTTCCTTCTCCTTCCCCAACCCAGTCGACCACGAGAGAGTCAAGGCCAGCATGAAGAACGGCATTCTCAGCATCGTGGTCCCCAAGCTGCAAAAGGCCAAGTCGGCCAAGAGGATCGAAATCAGCCAGGAGTAAAGGGATGACCTAAATACGGGAGCAGGATTTCCACGGAGCTCTAGCAACCAAGAACACAAACCTCAAAAAGTCCCACAGATCCGCTCTTCCTCGACAAAATACGACAACCTCACTCCCTCTAGCACTGTCCTCCATCCAACACATTGACATCCACATTGACAGTGCCACTCCTGCGACCTTGGCTACTTCACCCACACTCCTTTTAACCTCGAAACAAAACCTCAAGCGTGACGACTTCGAAATGACATTCCTTCTCATGAGCTGCATGAATGGTGTTTGGGCGTGCAGTTTCTAGCTTCTAGTTCTGGGATCTCAAAAAAACCGACAAAGGGTGTAACAAAGTGACAACATAAGCATCAAATCGGCAAACGGATTTCTAGTCTCTCGAGTTCTTCAGCAGATAGTTCTCCGTGGTTAGTCCTGTAATAAGAAAACATCCATTTTCAAAAAAACAAAACAAACAGAAAATCCCCAACTTGTTTGAATTGGCCTTTTGAGTATTTATTCCGAGTTCTTGGTTGACGGAGCATACGAGGTACAGTAATAAGTACCAAGTACATTTATCAAGTAGAACCACTGGCAATGCAAGTAACTACTTCCCGTACAAAACAAAACGAGTCTTCGGACTCTAATTTGGACACTTACTCGTAGTTCCTCGAGTGAGACTAACTGTAATAGGCAGTGTGGGTTGGCATCTAGAGTAGTTTCCTCCAATCAACGAGTTTATCCTGGTGGTGATAAATCGACCGTGATCGAAAAGGGATATATGCCTCACAAGAGAGGATCCATTTCACCACCCACCATACTTGTCATTGTGATTGTACTTATTGCACAGAGCATACAAGTATGTGCAAGTCATGTCTGTGAACATAATGCACAAGCACAAATCTGGATAGCTATACTACAGGTGCAAAATCATCAAGCTTGATCCTGGAGCATGACATGCTCAATACTGCTCGTTGGTGCCGAGTCCCGATGCCCCAAGACGCGCATCCGTACTTGTTCAAGAACTCAAGTAGAAGTTTTGTTGGCACAAAAGGTGGCCGATGAGCGAGGAATGCTCCTGCAGTGACAGACGTTGTTGTGGAGTGTGCATAATCAAACAATCCGGAGCACTACCACGCCATATGCACCAGGATATCATTCCATATCTCGGCTTCACCTTTCTTAATGCTCACCGTCGAGAACCCTCGACAAACGGTTGCGTTATTTCCTCGACCCACGTGGATGAACAGGAAATATTATCCGTCAAAAGGAAAGGAATGACAAAGCAAAAATGGTGGGCCGGCGAAGCTCGGGCTCGGGTTGAGGCCAGAGAAGCTGAATGAATCACCTGTTATGGCTGCACACTGCAAGATCGAACATCTCATCCTTCTTGTCCCTCCCTGCTCGGTCTCATCAACCACCGAAAGAGTCTCTCAGGAAAGAAACACCTGTCGATTGAGAATACAATGAGCGGCCGACATAGCGCCATGCCGTCAGAGGCGTTTCGAACAGACGTCCTGGAAGTAAATCGGCTGGAAATCCTCTAGGTATTGACAAAACAGTGGAGTGTCAAGCACCGGCGTCTTCCAAGCATGTGTTGCACTATCACAGCCAGAACTGGTAACGATGAAAGGAGGATCTGAGATCATCAGCTCGTAAACTTGTCTGAGAGATCAGGAGATGGCGTCGGGTTTCGCTCCAAGGAGGTGAAAACTTACGAATCCCCCCATCCCCCTTAGGCGCGGGATGCACCTACCGCGTGCAACGGTGCGCCGCTGATCCCGGCATTCTGGGACGAGAACAAAACCGCTATCCATGAGTTGTTGTGTGGGTTTGCGGGGGTATGTCCAGGCTACCACGCAACAAGCATTGCCGACGTCTGCGAGGTTCCTCCTTGACCTTTTTCTAGGTCATTGAGCAGACCACGGACGGTCTCAAGGTGATTGCATCCAGAGCTTTCTGACACAGATGGAGGAGGAAAGGACGCAAGCTTGCTCCTCCTGCGTCACTTGTATTCTGTTTGATACCCTTGCCGTCGTTGTTCAACACTAGATCCAAGATGTCTCGGAAAGGACATTGTAAGCCAGTAGCAGTGTCACGCGTGATATCCAGCAGCATTCCGCACAATCTCAACCGACACTCGCTTGGAAATATTGTCCTTTTACCAGCAGGAACTCGTATCGTGCTGACAATGTAGACCAAAACTTAGCAGTCGTCGTCCATCTGCTGAGATGATTTCACGTCGTACCGACGTTGTTGTCCTGTTCTGTCGAATATGGTCATTGAGATCTCGAATACCAGGCTATTACAACAACGCTTACCAAGAGTTTGATCCTGCGTATCTGTCAACAAAAGATCTGACGCAGTGCATGACCACCCAAGAGCCATTTGCAGTGCACAAAGTCAAATGTGGCGTGACGGCGAAACAGGAAACAAGAAACAAGTGGATCGGTGTTTTGGGCTGAAGTCGTGCCGAGGGGTACCTAAGCAGCCACCGAAGCCTCTAGAGGTCTCGACCACGGCGGCTTCCGGGGCACACAGGGAGGCTTTTAGGGGCTTCTAGGAGACTTTAGGGTCCACTAGAGCTTCCTCCTCAATGGCCACGCCTAGAATCCCCCATCGATTTAGGGGTCCCTGCGTCTCATAGGGACTCCCGCCCCGACGCCCAGGGAATTTTTGGTGGGTTGATCGATCAGGTGCCCACCACCATTACCCAATCCTTCTCAAACTGTCCCGGCCGTCACCAGATACACTGCATATCGAAGGATCCTCCCGACCACTCAGCTGTCTGGACCGGGAAACGAGCCTGATCAGCGGAGCGGAACCCTTTTGCTTTGCCCATACCGTGGATTATCGAGTCCATAAAATGCGATGAGAAACCAGGTCTTCAAGTCCCTTTTCTTTCACCACTCTACCAATCCAAACAAACAGCCAGAACATTATCACAAGTCCTCAATCACATCACTTCAAGGTCAACCCACTACTACACCTTGTTGAACAATTGTCCAAAAATGGTCCAATACGATCAATTCAATGGGATGTTTTCATCCACATCCCTCCCCTCTCGCCCAAGGGCGGACGGTTCCGAGAGGTCGCACTCACCGAGTATGTTCACACCCATGCTGGGACGTTTTGTTACAGACACTAACAATAGCAGGCCAGCCACTTCATCCGCTTCTAAGAAGACTGTCTTCGGCTAGCGGAGCAGGGCCACATCTGTGCACCCGATGCCACCTTCGACGTCCGTCGCAAGAAATCCGCTTTCCACTCGACCACGAATGCTCCTCGAGCGAGGAGGAATGGGATGGATTCTGCCCCGACATCCACATGCCCAAAGACCTCACTCCTCCACCATCACCCCACCACAAACGACGACATTCGTGTCTCTGCCCCGTCGGCGTCGTCGCCCAAGAACACCACAAAAGTGGAACCGTGTCGCCGGTGCAGATGACGGTCAAGGAGGCGGCCCAGAGCCATCATTACGGCCACCACCACAACAAATGCAACTGCCAGACTGTCCTTCCAGAAGAGAACTTGGAAGAGAGATACGGTCTCGTTGGAGAGCCCGCCCCGACACGGCGGAAGTTGAGCCTCGAACAGGGCGCCGCGAACCAACTGGCCAGCATCATGCATGCCGAACTCATCTCAGACATGAAGGCACGGAATAACCATCTTTGAAGAAAGCGATGAAAGGGAGTGTGTGACCAACAGTTACGACATGACTCCACGATGATTTTTGGGAATGAGGATCTTATTTGGTGCAAAAAGCCCGTGTATAGTAATTTCAGGCAGCACAAGGCGTTTGGTTGGGAAACGATGGACACCAGGGACATAAGGGACACCATTGGGCACCAGGGGAAAAAAGCCCACTACGGCTCTACGAAAGGCTGGGAGCAAGTACGAGTAATGACGGTTGGAGGGAAAGGGGCGGGCCTTTCTACTTCCCCGGAAAACCGAATTCTCATTCAGACAACTGTTTTTAGATGAAATATCAAAGGTTGAGAACTATGACTAACAAAGACTTGTAAAAGTACTCTTACCTCCATGTGATAGTATCTCTTATATACAAGTATACGTACAAGTACAAGTCCGAGTATGTAGACTATCTGGTCCAATGCCAAGTGTTGGACGTATGCGACAATCTATTATCGACACTTCTTCGGCATCACCCTGGTATTCTACAAGTACCTATCTAGTAGTATGGGACTTGGTACTTGCGCAGTATATGCCGCAAGGCTGTGCAAGGCTCTGGACCCAAGGGGCGGTTTGAAGGGCTCGGCCTCATTAGCTCCGATGGGCAAACCCACAAAAGCACCGGATCTGCAATAACGATGGGGCCCCCAACGCCAGTAACTAAGCGAACATCCCTTGCCCTCGCTAGGCCCAACAACCCCCCCCCCAAAAAAACATCACACCACCATCTGACATCTGAGTGAGCGACTTTCCCTCTGTCCCACGTGCTTATGATGCTTTGCTGAGAAACTCCATGTCGTGCATATCTCACTAAGGCATTGGCAGCAGTGCTTGTGCTCGTGTTTGCTATGCTCAATTTTTAGAAGCCCATCCAATCATTACGTTGAGTAACAAAGACGCCTTAGCAAGTGCAGACAGCACCTCTCTTCCTTGGGAGTCTCCGAACTGAGCGAAATACGGGACCATCTGCGGCACGGGGTACCGGATTATCTAATTTGGCCGGACGCGACCGACTGAATTCTTATCATCGTAAAGTCAAACCAACGTTCAGGACTCAGCATTGGCCTGGCAGCCTGGCCAGAATCAAACCCTTCCTGCAGCATAGCCCAGTACATGGTAAGGTAGTAGTGGTACTGAGTAAGTAATGCCTCGTACCGCTTTCCTAGTAAAAGAGGCTTTTTCCCCTTTTCCCCGCATCGATCCAATTCCTCATCATGAGATCTTACTGCAAACCTTGTCCCGCCGGGTGCCGCTATAGGCGAGAGCCTTAGTCCCTCAGTGGACCATCGTATGATGGAACAATCGAGCAACATGCAGGGGCGGGGCACAGTTCAGTGGTGCAAAGATGCGTCAACGATCCAGTCATGGCCGTCTAAGCATCGAGCGGAATACCCTTTTTGTGCGCAATCCCATGCCTCCTAAGGAATGGCGGGGGTGGGAAGAGACGCATGCAAGCCCGTCCTCACGTGTGGTTGGGTGGTTTTCTCTCCTCGAAGACATCAGACGGTGCCGGCGTCGATCAACGGGTCACGGTCGCTGGGTTCGGGGTCGACTGGGCCGATGAGGACAAGCTTGCTGGCCACATGTTTGGATGAAAACACAATGATCCAATTGATCCGGGTGTAGGGAAGAGCAAGAGCAGGCACGCAATAACTCTCGTCCCAAGTACAAGAGTGGTAATCCCCCCCGTCTCCGTCCCATTGAAACCTTTGCTGACCTGCTTTGGTAGATCTATAAAACCCAGACGCCTTCGCTCTTTTGACTACGAGTTCTAAAAGTCATCTCGACACCATTGAGATAAAATTCCATTTGGAAAAGGAAAAATACCAAGTTAGAGGTTTTGGAAGAATTCCCTTGATCCGGCTTGTGATCAACTCTTTTGTCTCCACTACTATTCTTTTTGATCCCATTCCTCCGGACAAGAAAACCACTACAAGTACAGGTACAAGTACCGATCGAAAAGTTCGAATCAGACTTCTCCCAGTCCTCGCCGGAAAGAGAAGATACAAGAGTAACAGCAACAAACAACCAAAAGCAATCATGGCCGGCCTTCCGTACTCGGTTCCCTCAAACTACATCATCCGCCTCGTCGAGACGGACCCAGTCTCCGCCGCCCTCGGCCACCCAGAACACCCGGTGCAGCCACACCCGTCGCAGCCGTCGCACTTCCAGTTCCCGCGCACGTCGCTGCACCACGCGACGCTGCAGTCGCACTTCAAGGGACCGCACGCGCCCAGCAGCGTGTCGGCGCCCAAGTCGGGCACCGCCTTCGCCCCGGCCACGGATATCCGCGAGACGGTGCGCGCGTACCACATTGAGATCGAGGTTCCCGGCGTCACCGAGGAGAACAAGAGCGACTTGGTGATTACGTGGATGAGCCCGCACACGCTGCTGGTGCAGGGCGTGGCCAGCCGGCCCAGGAACATCGGGCTGCTGGACCAAGGAGAAGGAAACAAGGTGTGGGAGGGCGAGGGTGATGGATGGGCCACCGAGACAGGCCACGGCAAGGTACGTTTTGTTTTCCCTTTACACAATTCCCCTATCTTCTCTACCTTTTCATAACACATGACCCCATTCCCATCCCCACCCCCACCTCCCTTGTTCTCCATCTTCTTCATTTCTCTATCAAATACCACTACAACACCAAATAACCTAACACCTTCTCTCTCATGTTCAACCCACAGCCTCAGGAGGAGACTGACGGCGGGCCCCTGCAGCGCGAAAAGTCGCACGAGACGCTCGACGAGGAGGCGCTGGCGGACGTGACGCCCACGATCCTGCTGTCGGAGCGGCGCGTGGGCGCGTGGCGCCGCACCTTCACCCTGCCCGAGGACGTCGAGATGAAGGAGCTCAAGGCCCGGCTCGACGGCGGCCTGCTGCGCATCGACCTGCCCAAGCGGAGTTTGGAGGACATGGAGGCCCTGAAAGGCGCGGGCGTGAGGATTGAGATTGAGTAAAGGAAGCTCCAGAAAAGATTATGTTCGTCCACCTGCCCACCTGTCCACCTGCCCACCTGTCCACCTGTCCACCGATCCACCTATCCACCGAAAAAGAAGAAAAAAGAAGGAAGACTTGGGTTGCGGTTATGTACGCAAAAGGGCGGCTGGTCAGTTAACAGGTGCGGTCTCTGACTCTGGTCTGGAGGGGCTAGAAAGAAGCCCCGTCAATTTTCCTTTACCCCCGTCTCATCTTCGGAGGATCAAAATCTTTTTTTGGTTATTGTCTTACTCGGTACATATGTTCCTCATGTACAGACCGAGCATATAGATGATGTGCGTAATACAGTCCAATTTCAGAGCTACCATACTCGGTACATGCTTTGCATAATAATTACCTAGTACCCGGCGAGTTTGTCAGATTCTACGTGGCAGTTGAAACACGTCAAACACGCCGAGCCAGGAATGGAATGGAAGGCGGTAGACCTCGTACTTCACGCACGTGCAAGGCATACTCCCAGGCACAGGTTGTACGTACAAGAACCCCCTCTAATCGCACCAAGTACCTCTCGTACCATGGGCGATTTTCCCGTCTGTCAGCGGTCACTCATATGACTACGGAGTACAAGCATGCACTATTGCACTTTATGACACTTTATGACATAACTCGAACTGCGTACCCGCACCCGTACGATCCTCGTAGGTAATCTCACATTATCGAGGTATCCTGCTCCCTGCGCCCTGCTGCCTGCCTGCTTTGTGATCGTAGTCATGATTGTGGTGGTGATGGCACGTACCGAGTACTTAACTCATTTTCCAAGGCGGAGAACAAGCAGGGGGGCGACGGGGCGCAACACGGGACAAAAGAGGATTCAAGAGAGATATGAGATATTGTACACTGTCCACTGTTCACTGTCCAGTGTACATTTATACGCTCGCCGAATTAGAAGATACCTGCATAGATCTCGACGAGGCAGATAAGAGAGATAATTTACCGAGTACTCGGTAACAAAACACTGCCATGACTGTGTGAGAACCTATTTCTCTGATAAACAGTAAATTAATCAATACATCCAAGTGCACCCGGTACGAGTTATATAGTAGACGAGTCGTGTCAAATCATATCGGTGGACTTGTATAAATGCAATGTACATGTCTTCGGTATTACATGGTATAATTCCTCATAAACTCATCTCCAAGTACTTGGTAACATATATCATGAGTATAGTATGTATGTATATACACTGATCAAACGTAGCTTTCCATCCCGCTTATTCATACGAGTCGGTGGGCAGCAAGGTACTCGTACTTTAGTATTCTCATTCTCAACAGGTCATTTTGGTTTCCCAAGATAAGCGACATCTAACAAGGACAATTGCACAATTGGTCGCGGCCCAACTCATTTCTTTGCAATTGGAAATCATCACCAAAAACTTCATCCAGAAAAAGAACTCATGGCCGCCCTCATGGCTCTCGTGGCTCTTCGGCCTGGCCATCCCACGTCCCAAACGCCGGTACTCCTAACAAAATCCTGGGAATACTTTCACAAATTCCCCCTTGTTTTCTGCAATTTAGACCGCTTGAACCTGAAGATTCACCATCTGCTTCAGCAGACTGCAGTCCTCGCAACGCACCAGCTTCTCCAATACCCGAACTCTTTCAGTCAATCTGTGGATTTCGTTTTCCATGTGTCGCATTTCGACTTCAGTCTGATTGACATAGTTCATGGCCTCGGTCAGCACATCGCTCTTGCGCACCTTCGGTGGAGGGAGACCGCTGGCCGAGTTCGCGGCTTCGATCTCACCATCTTCGCCCACTTTGGGCCCGTAATGAGATGCTTGGAGGGTGTTGTGCAACTGGGAGATTTTGGCATTGAGGTTTTCGCGGTACTTGCGTTCCACGAGTGAGTGAGCTTGTTTGGCTCGTTGTTTGGCATCCGCCTTGGATGGAGCAGTGGACTTCGCAGTCGGCTGTTCTTCGTCCTCGTCATCCGAGGCCAATGACGCAGCTGTGGTCATGGTCGGACTGGTTCGGTTTTGACGGCGAGCGTTGGTAGCCGAAGTTCTTCGAGGAGGTAGAGGGACAGTGTCAGGCAGCTCGGTGGTTGCAGTGGTGGAACTTGATGAGCGTCGGGTGGCTGAAGAACGAGAAGTGCTGGTGTTGGTCCTCGAGCTCAACCTGGGCGGCTGATGTAGCTCGACAGACATGCTGTCGTTGCTGATCATGGTCTCACTGGGCGAGGTCGTCGACCCCGTGATGCAGGGCACGGAGGTGCACTCCTCAATCGGTGGCAGAGTGGTAAAGTTCATGCAAGGGGCGTCAGGGCCGCAGCGTTGTGGCTGGCAGCTGTCTACTTGGCCTGCGATGAGAGGACAGAGCTTTTCGGTTGAATCCGTCTTGGATGCTATCGAAGCAGCGATAGGATCCAGGTTACTCATGGAGCGGGTGGTGTTGACAGAGTCTGAAGGTGATAATGTTGTCGTGAGACTGTTGTCGTTGTTTAGCATAGTTGCATCGTCATCAGCGCGTGAGCTGAGCCTCGACTGATTCATGGGTGGAAGATTTGCCTCCATGTTGAGAAGCTGAGAGTAGGAATATTGGTTGTTAGAGTACATGTCTCCTGAGGATCGTCGTGCCTCGGGAGACTGTTGATGGGAAGAAGAGGTCATCAGGCTACCCGTCGACCCCTGGCGGTGATTGGAAGAGTGAAGATACGCCAACGGATCCTGATCTCTGTCCATGGCGGTTGAGTATTTTTGGTCGAGGGGTTGGTGTGAGTGCAGTGTCCCCCGTGACGAAGTCGTGGTAGTGAGCGGAGCAGTGGTGAAGTCCATCTCATGCCACCCCGTGAAATCAATCGAGTCGGGGACGACCATGGCCAGCTGGGGATGCAGAGTTTGAAATGCAGGTTGTCCGTCAAAGTCAGGAGAGCCGTCCTGCTGGTGGAACAGCTGCCGAAAGGGCATTGTGTCCACCGACATGACTACTTTGCCTTGCTGTCCCGTTGGTTTCCTTTGGTTTCAGAGGCTTTGTTCATACAACAGGACCTTCAAGGTCCGAAAGATTACCGTCTCGCGATGGCCGAATCAACCCACTAAGCGCTGACTCGGAGGTTTGTCTACCAGTCTTTTGTCGGCGCTGTCCTCGCTTCAGCCCGATTGCGACCGTCGTTCAGCACTAAACGGAGTGATTGTGGGCGACCTGGGGCGGGTAGTGTTCGAGGGTAGGAGAGTGTCAGGCCACAATGACGGTGTTAAGAGGGAATTTAGACAGCGGTGGAGATTTTGGTGTTTGTTGTAGAAGAAGTAAGTCGAGTGACGACGTTGGGAACTCGGCACAGCAAATCCGGAGAATTCCAGTCAGGAGTACAGGGAAGGGTGTTCGGGTAGAGTTGGCGTTGCCAGAGGGTGAGTAAGAGCCCCTCGGTCACACCACGCCTCCCAGCAGCTGTATTGCCAAGCTGTTAGCTGTATTATGTGGACCACTAATCGTGTGAGAATTGATGCTGCGCCTCGGTAGCGGTACCTGCAGTACGTGGAAAAATTACCGGACGGGTCTGGACCCACGCGGAGATTGTTCCAGACTCCCGGGCATGAGACAGGTCGAGAGTTTTTGTAATGACGGATATACCACCGCAAAATTGGGTGAAATGCTTTGTTTATGACGAGAATAAATCTTCGTGGCCTGACCACCTGTGGGGCTCGATTCTTCCCTCTACCGTTGGATCAGCCACTCACTTCTCTCTCCCGTCCTATTCCCCTTTCAGCCCCCTTCAGCCTTGGATCCTGCGCATCTTCGCGTCCAGAGTGTGAGAGACCAGTCCCCAGTTGTGGCATGGCCCGGAGGCCGCCGTCGTCGATCACCTTTTGTGCCTGTCACCAGAGAACTCGTCCTCTTTACCTGCGAACTGGTGATGCGATCACACTACATACCTGTGTTCTTTTGAGTTCTGGGTTCCTGAAGATCGATTGCCGTGTGCTGATGGCTGCAGAGTAACCACACTCTATGCTGTCCACCACCAATGGATGAAGTCGGGCAAGTAAATCTGTGCCTGGCCAGAGCAACCAGATCGCAACAGTTAAAACCTCGTCATGAGCCTGCGATGGAATCACGGTAGGTCACACCAACAAACAACTCAACTCAACCTTGCAATTCTTCTGTGAGAGCTCCTCCAAAACAAAAAGCCAGAACCAAGTCTTCCTTCCCCCAAGTTTTACTACTCTATACAACCAACAACATCAAACCGCCAAGATGAACGCCATTCGTCAAATCATTTCACGACGCTCTGTCATGGCCATGGGCCCTCGCCTCACCTCCCCTGCTCGATATGCTTCGACAGCCGTATCACATCAAGCCCACCCCAGCATGTCCCCAAAGGACAGACAATTCATGAGAGGGATCTTCACCGTGGCGACTGTTGGAACTGCAGGTGCTGTGGCTTATGGGGTAAGTCTTACCGAACCTTGAGGGGTTTCTTACCTATGAATGCTTCTTTAAACTTTCTCCCTCCTCCCCAAGCTTGACGCGTAACATACACACTCTGTCTTTCTTCTGCCAAGAGTCAAGGCTAACAAGGGTGTTCCTCTCCAGGCTGCCAGATCAGGTGGACGGATGGCCAATCGCTTCTCCAAGCGGAATTCAACCCTCGACAGCACCAAATGGTTCGCCGAGAGCTCAGAATATAACCGGACGTTGGGCAGCAAGCACTAGAGTCTGGCTCATTCCAGAAGATGATAACAGGACATAACGGTGTAATAAAGAAAGGCGTTTCCAAATGTTTCGATGGAGCGGGTTATCTGGGCACAGCGACCCGTGTGGAGTTATGGCGACAGATGAATCGAAGCAGCTTCCCCGCAGTGGTCAGTTATGTATGATCTTTGGGGCATTTTGAAAAAGAAGAACGACAGAACGAAAGGATTCTCGTAGAGAACAAGACGGCAAGACAAAAATCCCGAAATGCACGACTTGAGAGCGTCGGCAGCGATATTGTGTGTTGTGTGTGTGCGTCGTCGAGCCATTTGACGAGCACCAGACCAGAGAATTCATTTCACCTTGTATATAGTTCCAAGTTACACCTTTTTGGGTATCACAAGGGGCCAAAAACCCCCAAATTCTGAAAAACAAAGAAAAGTTCCATCTGTCCATCCAGTAACATGCGCTTTTGTTTCCCATGCGGCCGCCTGGCTCGAGACAAGCCCAAGCGAGAATCTCCAAACCCCAAAACCATCAAAACTCCGCGCCAAGAACGACAGACACGAGAAGCTGAAAAAAGATACGAGCAGCGAGTACTCGGTAGTACTGGCCAGCATGGGTTTCCCCAAAGAGATCTCAGCCCTACCCAAGCACCTCCCCCGAAGCCGAAGCCGCTGCGGAGCGGGTGCTCACAAGGGGTATCAGAGGACGAATGGCCCATATATCGTCCTCTTGCTCGTCTTGGTCCTGCGTGTCATACTTGGCGTGCACCGAGTCGAAGGTGGGACTGGAGCATTCGGACCGTTGGCCCTCGCTCTCGTAGTCGGTGCAGCTGCTGTCGTCGCTTTCGGCTGAGGTGTCCTCGTTGTCAGACCATTCGCCGTCGCAGCTGTCATAGTCGCTGTCATCTTCTTCCTCACTGCTATACTCCTCAGCATTGCTGTATTGTGCCGCCGCGGCTCTGATCTGTGCAATCGTCGCCAATTGGACTTCGAGCGCGGCCTGGAATTCCTTGAACGAAGGTACTTGGTGTTGGATATATTCCGAGAGCTCGTTTGATTCGGGCCTTGTTGTTTCTGCCGCGGGCGGCTGCTGCTGGGTCTGCTGTGTTTGGTTTGTAAAGGTCCGTGTTCGGTCGTAGACTGATACATGGCCCAAGACCCTCCGTAACCTGGGCTCCTCGCGGGATGACTCTGTGTTCAGCTTCCAGTGTGATTTGAATAGTAGTCTTGCAGCAGATTGAGAGGCCGTCTCTGGTTGGGGTTGAGGTCGGGGTTGAGGTTGAGGCTGAGGCTGAGGTTTAGAGGCAAAGCACCGCGGGTTGTGCGAGGAGAGAGCAGCTAGTTGCTCCATGATGTTTTGTGTATTATTTGTTTGTGAGATCTCTTGGGCTTATGAGAACAGAGACTCCTTCAGAGGTGTTTTGAGCAGCAACTGTCAAGAGCAAGAGAAACAGTCAAAGCCTGATAACGGAGGAGAAGAAGCTTGGGAACAGGTGCCTTCTTGAACTCTTTGCTTTCATTAGGCTGGGCCAAAAGAACACGAGCCTGTGCTTCTAGGCCATGAATCAACATCGGTGTGGACGAGAGGAGGAACCTTGTTAGCCCAACCCATTCTCGGGACTCAATCCTAGTTAGCCACGTTGACGGTGGAATCGGGGTCCACCAAGAAAACCATGCTTGAAAGGGGAAGACGACAAGCAAGGGGGTACGTGAAATCATTCGACGATCCAACCTTCTGGATGCCATGCGGCTGAGAGAGGGAAGATTCTGGGGGTGGGAAATGGTGTTCCTAACAGCGACTAGAAGGTGAAAGGAGAAGCGAGGGTCCCAGCAGTGGAGCAGAGGCATGGCCAGGAATGGCCAGGAATGGCTAGGAATTGCCAGTTCGGGGACCACTCAGCAAGCGACACGAAAAGGCAGACTTTTTAGGCCGTGTTGAGGCTGCAGGGAGCTGTTCGAGCTGTTCGTGAGTGACAAGCCATTTCCCCACCCGGGCAGGAAACTATCGACTTTGTGGAAGCAATTCCAGCCTTGGGATTTGAGAAAAAAGAGTTTAGAGGGGGCCACGGGAAATGAGATGCATGATTGGCGCAGCCAGCCCATGCAAACCCAAAGGCAAAATGAACAAAGACAAAGGAAGGAGAATATGATGATGACGGCAAGCTTCATGAGCGGGGGAGAATAGGCAAACAAAAGACGAACCAAAAAGACTGACGAACAAAACCAGCCTTGATCCAGCCAGGCCCACGGAGAAGCCACACGACGGACAACTGGCGTTGGCGTTTGTCGCTACACCAGTTTGAGCCCAACTCTCGCTTACAAGAGGCTGGATTGGGACTCGTGGGACTCGGCAAGCAGGGGGCGACCAGGGGAGATTTGACACATGATGCTGTCAATTCCATGAGACAAAAAGTCAAGAAGGCGTCGTGCGTGTCGCAGATTACCGAAACCAGCCTTATCCTCATGGTTTGGCTGGCGTGCTGGGCTACGGTGCCAACTCCCGATGTGGACGCGACTTTTGACTCCCAGACTCGCCAGAATCCCAGCCGTGTGCGCCACCGATCTGGTCTATCGAGAGCCTAGGGATTGAAAAGGGGCTGATCCCGTGCGTGTTGTTGACTTGTGTTGTGAGCTTGATCAACCACGCTCTCGTTTCAGCAAAGCTCGCCAGCTTATCATGCAGCGATCAGAGCAGATGAGATTGCATCACAAAGTATGTAAATGCCATGCCATGGCACGTGCATGGCCATCAGTGGCTTATGTAATGAAGGCCAAGCATCGGAATCGGAGAAATATTTGGACGCCCTCAAGGCACCAGCCAATCATCTCCCGATCCAATCCGATCCCCTCTGTGTGGCGAATCTCTTACCCCAACTTCAACATCCAACATCATGACTTGACCTACCACCTACTTACCTAGTTCTCTATTTCTCCCTCTCCATCACTGTCAACAAGTGTCCATCCGCCTGGTGGGTAAACATCATGGCGTCGTCGGGAGGACACCTCTTGGTCTCCAAGGCCATGAGGCTGGTCAAATTCGCTGCCGAGAAGACGGGGAGGTTTATTCGTGACAAGATCCCGCAGGCAACCAAGCCACTCGAGGCCGACGTCCAGCCTGCCTACGCCCGTGTCTCTCAACGTCAACAACCCGTCAACCGCCTCGCACAGATCCGGCAGACCCAGAGCCGCTGGTATAGCACAAAATTGCACGGTTTCAACAACACCAGACACTACTCTTCGCAGTCTGGTCCGAATGCCCGCCCGACTCGTGCATCCCATCCTTCCTCACGCACTGCTGCGGCGGTAGGGCGACTGACTGGCCGTGCCCCTTTCGCATCGACCCTTCGACCAAACCTTACTGGAGGCACTCTATGCCGTCACGCAGGTGGCTATGGACTAGGAGGTGGTCGAGTCGGTGGAGCCAGATACTTCTCTCACTCTCCTGCGGCGCAAGCACAGGTGGTGACCAATGTCTCGCAGGCTGTACGAGCATTCTGGCTCTCAGGACAAAAAGCCCGTTTCGACGGAGCCAATCCCCGCACTGGCGAGAAGCGCTTCCGAGCTGTGTCTAGCCTTCAGGAAGATGCCAGGCATACCATGGGCATGTCATCAAAGACTGCACCCGGGTCTTTTATCGACTTCAAGGTTTCTCCTACTATTACCGCCATTGGGCCCTTGGCCAGTGTCCCTCGCTCGCCTTCTACCACGTCCTGTGACTACGAGGCCCAACAGGACACCTTGAACAACGCCACGCTCATGTCCAACCTCTCGATTGATTTTGCCCGCGCGTTGAAAGACCTTGCAGCCGTCATGAACGATCTCAAGCACTTGGCAACATTGGGCGATCTCCCCATCGTCCTGCATGATAGCACGACCCTCCGCGTCCGCTTCCCTGGCTGCGACGCAGATACTGTGGAGGCTCTGTGTCGGGAACTCAACATCAAGCGCGGCATGGTGGGCCAGGACGAGGACTTTGACGCAAGGAACGGGACGGAAATGGCACTGTTGTTTCCATTTGCACCCAGCAAGACGGCCAGTGAAGCAGGCTTCAAGGACTCCATCTGTGGTTACGGCGATCGGCCGGTCAAACGCATCAAGAAAGACCACGTCGAGTGGCAGGAGATGCTCACCCCACCCCAACGTGTCTCTGAGGGCTTCTCGCACATTTCGGTCACGAGCAAGTCTCCCGACGCGTTTGAAATAATCGACGACGCCTTGGCCGAAAACCCCTGGATGTCCAGCCCCCGGGACTATTCCAGCCTGCACGAGAGCGAACTGCTAGATGACGACGAAGATGTCGCCGCCATGTACTTTTTCCAGCCACGGAACAACATCTCCGCAAGAGAAGGCTATCCCGACCACTCACTCGACAATGGCTACGAGGGTCTGGAAGGCATTTACCGGTTCATCGAGGAGTGCGACCGTGCCCGGTCTTGACCGATTCGCTTGGAGAAAGTGTCGTCCCGGGCTATTGCCTCAGAATGCTCTACCCCCACGCCGATCGGATAGGCCTGGTTTTTTTTTCCCCTGTCGTTTTTCCCTTTTTTTGTCGGATCTTCCCATCTTGGAGGACATGCCCCATTACGGTCATGATCACGGCTGGGTGGACTTTGGTTTCAAATGTCCCCGCCGGGCTCAGCGCTCTTTGACGACAGACAGTTGCAAATGTATCGAAAAACAAGCTACATACACACATACATCTACAGAGCTCCCCAGAATGAAATGAAAAACTTTACTCTTCATTGTATCAATACATGATATCATGTCCTTCTAATTCATTACATGGTTGGTCCTTATACACAAAGCTGTGTTCGTAGAGGTGGACACCAAAACCTGTGGATCGTCGAGCGGACCGTGTATTTCGCCGACAAACTCCTCGCTTGTGCTGCATTAGGGGTATTCTGATGCTTCCCAACGCATCCCTGCCGTATGCGCCTATATGGCGTACACCGTGGGTTCTTCGCCGGAAGAGAGGCATGCTTGCAATCTTCTAGAATGCAGACCTCGGCCATCAAAGTAGAGTTGCCACTCCACAATCAACCGTCACCGACATGTCCATCCCCGTCGGTATTTCTATACCCACTCCTCAGCCTGTGCTTGAGCTGCTCGTTTTCTTTCATGGCGTCGTCCCTCGCCTGCTCCAGCTCGTCAATCTTCTCCTGCAGTCCTGCGATTTCGTCTTCGGCGCCCGAGGAGAACTCCTCAATAATCTTGAACACGCGCCAGAGTCGCAGGACGACGACCAGGGAGCCGGCTTCTTCCAGTGGACCGCGCAGCAGGACGTCGATGATGAAAGCGGCAATGATGACGAGGGCATCGAAGATGTGGAACGAGTTGTTAAAGTACCTGCACCAGAAATATTGAGGTTAATGGGTGACTGTCAAGAGTATATAGAGGGCATTCATTACCTGAACCCAAACGCGAAAACACTGCCCAGCAATTCCGCCATGAACAGACACGAGAAGGTCAGACTCGCATATCCAAGCACGTCGTTTGCCCGCTGCCACGCCCTCAAATTGAACCCTTCCTCCCCGGCATGTTCGCACATGTGCAGACTGATGAGGAAATCGGCAAAGATGCAGCATATATCGGCCGAGACCAGGAGGATCACGAAGTAGTGGCCCCATTTGGACGAGAACCAGTGCTGCAGCGAGTGGCGGAGTTTCCACACGGAGCTGTCTTCGCCGTGGATCTTGACGATGTGGCAAGCGATAAAGTCCTGCGATTGATGGAGAGCAGAGATGAACTGGCGGTCGGACGGGAGGAGAGGCGTGTATTCAGTGGTGTTAGTCGTGGCTTGGACGGGCGATTGCCCGGTTTCGGGATCGGCCATAGTGGTGGTGATTAGGACTCGACTATTTCGTACCCAGTCTATCGGTCTAGTTGTCAGGTGTACTCAGTGCGAGCATCGTGCTGGACGGGCTGATTCAAAGGTCGCGAATCCTTATACTTGCAGAAGGAGGCAGTGAGTGTATACACTGCCCGACAGATGGTTCAGGTGGATTAGCTAGATCTGCGCCGTGATCGTAGGAATGAGAACATAAAACGAACAGCGACCTTTTGAATCTCTCATCAGTGGCTACGACAGAGGGCACAGCTGAGCGCCCTGCGGCTGAGACTTTGTTCAATGATTGCGCAAGGGCCACCAGGGCGAGATGAATTGATGACGTAGGGCTTCTTCTGCCGCGTACCTGCCGTAAGTGGACGGGAACCAGGGAGTCAGGGAGCCAGGGAGTCAACGAGGCCTCCAGAGCAAGCAAAAGCTCGGAAAAATGATCCAGCGAAACCGCAGAGTCCCCCTTTGGAAGCGACATCACATACTCTACCAGTACATCCCTACCTCTAGGAGTTTGCTGCAGCAGAGGGCAGAGGATGCACCCGCCGACCCAGTGAGTGACCACAGGCCCATGATCTCCGACCCACTCCTTCCTCTGGCTTTGCTTAGGAAAGTGACTTGGGAGGGAGAGACCAGGCTGCGCACCCTCTCGGAACAACTCTCCCCGAGGGGAGGCTCGGAGGATGCTTGATCGGAAGCATCATTGAACCAGAATACTGGTCGTTTCAAGCTCGCACTTCTCCACGATACATGCCCATGGAGGAGGCGAGTCTCTCCAACTCCAACCCCTTTTTTTTTCCACCCATTGAGTTTTTTACCCTCGGGGCACGCGGGGAAGGGCCGGCCGCGAAGGAAAAGCCCTCAATGGAGGAGTTACTGATTGATGTGGGAGATGGAGGAGAACATTGTTGATTTATATGCAAGACCATATGGTCTCGGCAGAGTGGGGATTCTTCCTCCCCTCGAGTCAAGTATATCGCCATCGTTCTTGGAATCTGAGCACACCTAGATTGACGGGGCTACAAGGCTGGAGGGTGAGCAAAGCATACTCGAGGAAAAGAAAAAAAAAAACACGAGCAACATAACAGACCATGCCGACAATCTTCCCAAATAATCTATATCGCCTCCGGCAAGTAGGTCATGTGTGCAAGGTATAGTCATCCCCCAATTCCCTGTCTCTCGATCTCGCATTCTCCAGTCCCTCTGAGCACCTCTTCATCTCCTCTTCCTCCCCCATCTTTGCTTTGCCGACCACGTCCAGAACAACATTGTCGAGACCCCCCTTTGAGACGAACAAGTCATCATAACCAGCCAGGTGTATGAGCACAGGCATTCGGGATCAAACTCACGCCGTCGGCGTCGGTCGTGCAGATTGCAGCCTCGGCCGGCTTCGACACACTCTTCATCGACCTCGAGCATTCGACCTTGTCCGTCAGCGATGCCAGCCAGCTTTGCACGACGGGTCTGTTGGCAGGGATAACTCCGTTCGTGAGAGTCCCGTATCAATGCGGTGACGGATTCGTCCAGAAGGTCTTGGACGGAGGAGCCATGGGCGTCATTTTCCCCCATGTGAGCACGAGAGGTACGTGTCAAGGGAATGAGTGGCGGCTATATTTGAACCACCCATGTTTTGCACACGCGCACACAAGTGGCCCCTCATCCACGAATGCCCTGAAGCATGTCTCTTTTTGAGGCTTTGGCGCCTTTCTTTTCTCCTTGCTCCCACCTTTTCATCAAAAAAACTTGGATTCCTTTGTGACCGATCACATAGCTGAGGCCGAATCCGCCGTCTCCATATCGAAATACCCGCCAGTCGGAAAACGTTCGATGACCGGGCAACTCCCCCAGTTCGCATACGCGGCCCAGCCACACTCCGTCGTGATCTCCGAATCCAACGACCTGGGCTCGACCGTCATCGTCATGATCGAAACCCAGGAGGCTCTGGAAAACCTCGACGCCATCGCCTCCGTCCCAGGCGTCGACGTGCTCCTCGTCGGGTCCAATGACTTGTCCATCGAGCTCGGCATTCCCTCGCAGTTTGACAGCCCGGTGTACAAGGCCGCGATGGAGAAAGTGAGTCAGGCGTGCAAGAAGCACGGCAAGATCATGGGACTGGGCGGGGTTTACGACAATCCCACGATCCACGGCTGGGCGGTGCATGACTTGGGCGTGGGTTATATCCTGGGCGGCCAGGATTCGAGTTTCATTGCAAAAGGAGCAAAGGCTTGTGCTGATGCGTTGGTGAAAGTGGAGAAGAAACAATCCTGAGAACTCCCTGGCACAATATACACCGGCAAGCCATTGATGCTTGGTTGCCTTGAGCTAGAAATGCCGATATAAAAGAATACAAGAAAGCTGGAGATAGCAGCGCAGTTGGTCGTAGCGCCACTCCTCGTCAACTCGTTGGCCTAGTTCGTCCTGTATGAGACCGGTACTACACAGGACTGCGTAAGCTCGCGGTTTGCTGGATTGAGAGTGCATAAAAGATGTGCCATTTGCGGCGACTGCTGCCCGGAAATGCTCAAAGGCATTCAAGTGGGAGCACCACAACATCTGGCGTAGACGTTTTGGTCAACGTCACAGTATGACCACTCCTGAACAGGAGATTTTGAGGAAGGCAGTGGTAATCCTCCGAGAGGACTGTCGTGTAGCTAGGCTCATGCTGTGAATTCCTTGCAATCTGCTTCGTACCTCCAGGGAGTCTCAGTGCGAAGCAGCCAGCGGCAATCGCAGAAACTCGAGCAGACATCGTGTTGACCTGGTTGGAACTGTGAGAAGGCATTCAGCAGAACGCTGACTGATACCGTTCAAGAGACCATAATGCTCAAACCGGGTCATGTTCAGCAATCACACATGCACGACGGACAGATTATGTGGGAGAGGGTATTTCGTGAACGTCAACGTGCTCTGGATAGAGTCGCCGTCCCGGGGCGACGTCCGAAATCACACCAAACCTGTGCAATTGCTGCACGACATTGAAGAGCTCCAGATCCGAGCCCGGGGGCCCTACAAGACTGATCGAAACGGGGAGAAATTCAGTCTTGGAGGTAATCTTCGTCACGTACGGGATCTCTGCAACAGGAATCGTGTAGTCTGGACAGCCTACCAGATACCCAAACGAGTAAATGCTGAAATTGTCGTTGAAGAGTCGAGTTCGATCAGGAATGTCGTCGCGGTAGTCTGGCAGACCACAGGACTGCGGAAATACCAGTAAAGTGATGGCGTCCTGGTCGTAGGAACCAAAAAAGGTCGTTTCGACCCAGAGTTTGAACGCTTGCATCGCCTCCAGGGCGCCAGTGATGGTCTCTGCCGACACGTTACGTCCATACTCAACACGACGATTAACCAGATCCGAGACTTTTGGAGAGTGCCCATTGTTGTTGGCTCGGTATTCATCGAAGAATTGATTGATGCCCCCCACAACAGCCGATGCCGTTGTAATCGCTGAATAGATGTGTCCGACGGCTTGATCAAGCGACCTTGGCTGACCGACTGGTGGTGTGGCTCTCCATAATTCGTCGATGTCAAAAGACACCCTCTCGCAATTAAGGCGGAATTCAAGTCTAGTGAGCACTGATTCGATTTGCTTCTCAGCTTGCGACCAGTACTTTGAATCGATCGAAGGATGGGGCATCCACTTGTGCTGGCCGTGGAGACAAGCACCAGCATTGACGAGCTCGGAAGGTCTTGTTGGGCAGAGGAGGTTGTACTTGCGACCATCTGGAAACCTCGACGGGGGCTGGGCCTGGGATATAAGATAAGAGCCGACTCGATTGAAAACATCGACACTTCTAGCAAAAATTCCAACCGTGTTGAACATGTCCGTGGCCCCAAGGACTCCGTCAAGGCTGAGCAGTCCATGTGAAGGCCGTTGCCCAAATACCCCGTTCACTCCAGCCGGGTGTCGAATCGACCCGCCAGTATCCGTCCCAACTGTGAAATCCAACCACTCGTAGGCTGCTGCTGCTACCGCACTTCCAGTACTGGAAGACGAAGGCTTCTGCTGTCCGTCCCCTCTAGGGTTAAAGGGACAAATACCCTCAGTCCATTCGCAAGGGTCAACGCCCTCGGCAAACTCGGTTGTCTTGAGCTTTCCAACCAGGACGGCGCCGGCTTCGAGTAGAACTTCGACAACTGGCGCAGTTGCTTTCTCTGGAGGGTAGGTGTCACGCCAGGCGTTGTTGCCAAAGGCGGTCTTCAGTCCTCTGATGGCGATCGTATCCTTGACGGCAAATCTCAAGCCCGCCAAGGGTCTACCGTCGTGACCCCGAGACAGCTTCGAAGGTAGAGGGACGCAGTACTGCAGCTTGGGAGTGGTCAGTTTGTGTGAGTGCGGACCGAGATAATGAACTGACTGGAAAATTCCGCCATGTCGATGATGAACCTGGTGGTGGCAAGACGCCCGTCACAAACGCATGGTGGGAGTCTGCCGCCAGTTTATAGACACGAAAGACTCTCCCGGACGCCCTTGACACGACATATGGACCATTCTTCAATTCAATCTCCGAGTTCCCAACAGAAAAGATCCGCCGTCTCCTGACACTGCATTTGGTACCGGGCGGTCGCAGGAGGAGAATCACTGAGTGCGCGTGGACATTAGTCGAACAGACGAATGTGAGTCGAATAATTTGCAGCTTGGAGACTCACGGGAGAGGAAATCGCTGCTCCAGACATCATCTGCGGCGCTGAAGCTCGTGGTTACTGAAGCCAAATGAGCTGGTGTGAAGCTCGACTCGTTCCATTCAATGGCAGTGGCGGGAATCAGCTCTTCCTCGCATCGAGCGAGTCTGGTGATGAAGGAGAGAGGTAGATGGCTGGCTTTCGAGTCGAATGCGACATAATATCTGTCCTGACCGATTGTAATAAAGGGAGAGATGACCTCTGCCATAGCAGACAGAGCAACAAGGAGGCGCAAGATCAGAAGAAGCCTGCAGCGATCTGGGATGGAGGTACAGATCACTCACTTGAGATGCGACTGGGCAAGCCTCCCTACAACAGAGACAATACCCCCAAAAGCCTACCTGTTTGATTGAAGCCATTGTAACACACAGTATCCACATACGCAAGGGGTGAGTACCGTGGTGGTGGTGGTCCAGCTAAGAGTTTTCATGGTGTTTCACCACAGATAAGCTCTGCCTCGTCTATCGCCACCGATAAAGAAACCACCACGGCGAGATAAGTGTCCGCAAAGTTTACTACTGGCATATTGTCACAAATGAGACTATTGAAACCCATGCTATGGGTCTTCAGAAGGTTCAATAACGGAGTGATTTATAGTATAGTACCTCAATAAATCTCGGGAGATATCGCCGTGGTAGAAAGGCAACAACAATGTCACTCATCGTCCTCTCGCTGCGACGCCCCATTGCGTCCCATGCGCTCTCCTAAGGTCATATTCCCGGCCTTTTTGTGGTAGCTGTTGACAAAGTCTGCTCGTCCACCGTGCTTTGCTGTCCGAGCTCGAGCCGCATCGTCTCGGTCTCTCTCGGCCCTTTCCCTTGCCGCAAGTTCGGCCAGTCTTTGTTCACGCTGCTGATCGAGGGCAGTTGCATCGTTTTGCATCGCAGCTAGTCTTGCAGCTCTATCTTGTTCGCGGCTATCTGCTCGTTTCTCTTCCCGGCGTGGGCTTCGGTGCCTTGCTGGCTCAGGCCTTGAAGAGTGCCAACTTTGCATTTTCCGAACTCCGTTGCTGTGCCCATTTCTCCGAGGTGGTGAAGTTGATCGGGAGCGTGATCGTGGTCGTCTTCGTTCTTCGGGGGAATATGAGCGTCTTCTGCGATATGGGGAGCGAGACCGCGACCTCGCAGGCTTCCGTGGAGGAGATCTGGAGCGAGACCGAGACTCGGAAGGGGTGTATGATCTGCGGTGCCGGTGTCTACTTCTTCCATGCCTGTCCTCATCGTTGTCTCGGTGTGAACGGGACTTTTCATGTCCTTCAGACCCATCACGGCGACTGTGGTGACGATGATGATGATGGTGATGTTTCCTCCTTTTGCGATCACGTTCCCGATCATCATCTTCCCTGCCCGCCGCCTTTAGCAAAAGCCTCCGCTTGACCGGGTCATTCATCATGGCCTCATATGCAGCCTGTTCCTGCTTCTTGATCGCTAGCATAGGGTCTTCTCTGATCTTTGCCGCCGTATCTCTGGCAGTGTTGGCGCTCTGCACCGCCATGAACGAATCCTCCTTTGCGGACTTTTCCAATTTTCGGTTGTCTGTGCCCTTTAGCAAGCCGTCTATCCGCCTCTTTCCCAATAAGTAGCCCTCCATTTCCTCGGTGGTGCCTGCCTGGCCGCTCGAGGGTCCATTGTACATCCAATCAACACGAGATTGTCTCTTCTTCCCACCAGCGGCCTCTTGCAGGTCTTCCAATTCTTGGATCGCTCTCTCTTCGGCGCGCTCTTTCATAATCTGGTCGATCTTCTTGCGCTCCTCCAGTGCCTTTTTCTCCTCCTCCCAGACTTTCTTCTGGTTGCTCATGAGCACAGGGTGCCATGATTTTTTGAGATTCAGGTCGCCACCCATTTTGAAGTCGTGCGGCGGCTCCTCGAGAATAGGTTGAGGTGATCGTGGATGATGGGAGGGTATCCACCTCCAGAAAATCTTGTGAAATCGAGGGAAGAGGTTGGGCGGCTTGGTATAGGATATGTGCCCGGAGAAAGCGTTGTTAAGGGCTAGAAACGGAAACTTGTAGTTAAGCCGCAGGTGGCGGCAGGCAGAAAACTCCACAAATAATGCGAATGCGGGACAAGGCTGCGTTGCAGCCTTCACTTCTCCGCAGTTCGTTCACACCTGCTCACTGTTCAATATCTCAATCGCTGCTGGAACCATTCCCATCTCCTGTCGCAACACCAGGAAAGCCCTCTCCTTCCTCGGACCATCTGTCAACTGCCATAACGCCTAGATTTTTACCGGCACAAAAGCTGCGTCGCCCTCGAATCTCTGCAGCGACTCATTACGTATCAATCACTCATTCCCCAATCATCCATACACAACAGGCAACATGTCGGACGACGACGATTTCATGCAAGAATCTGATCCAGAGCAGTATGTTACCAGACTCCTCGTCTTGAAGACTATCATCCCGTCATTACTGACAATAACCTGTTCAGATATGACTTTGAATATGAAGACGACGACGACCTGGGCGGTAACGACGCTTCAGTTGATATCGAAAATAAATATTACAATGCCAAACAACTAAAAGCCGACAACCCGGCCGAAGCAATCGAAGAGTTCCTAGGCGTCGCCACCCTGGAAGAGGACAAAGGAGAATGGGGGTTCAAGGGCCTCAAGCAGGCGATCAAGTTGGAATTCGCCCTGGGCAGATACGATGACGCCGTCCGACATTACAAAGAGTTGTTGACATATGTGAGGTCCGCAGTGACGAGGAACTACTCGGAAAAGTCCATCAACAATATGCTCGATTATATCGAGAAAGTGGCCGGTCAGCCTGGCGCTGGCGCAGGCGCAGGCGCTCGCACGAGCCAGGGCGACACCGAGACAACAGCGTACAAGTCCATGGAGGAGTTCTACCGCCTGACGCTTGACACCTTTCAGAGCACAAACAATGAGAGACTGGCTCTTAAAACGAATCTGAAATTGGCCAAACTGTATCTCGACAAGAAGGACTACAGTCAACTTAGCAACAAGGTCAAGGAGATCCACCAGGCGTGCCAGAAGGAAGACGGAACAGATGACCCCGGCAAGGGGACGTATTCCCTCGAGGCGTACGCACTCGAGATACAGATGTATGCTGAGATGAAGAACAATAAGCGTCTCAAATCTCTGTATCAAAAGGCTCTCACTGTTCGGTCTGCGGTTCCACACCCCAAGGTCCAAGGCATCATCCGAGAATGTGGTGGGAAAATGCACATGAGCGAGGAAAACTGGAAAGAGGCACAAAGCGACTTTTTCGAGTCGTTCAAGAACTATGATGAAGCAGGGTCCATGCAGAGAATCCAGGTCTTGAAATACCTTGTTCTTACAACAATGTTGATGAAATCGACCATCAACCCATTCGACTCTCAGGAAACAAAACCATACAAGAACGACCCGCGCATTTCGGCAATGACAGACCTGGTGGACGCCTATCAGCGCGACGACATTCACCGCTACGAATCCATTCTCAAGGAGAACCAGGATCTGCTTGCCGACCCATTCATTGCCGAAAACATCGACGAAGTCAGCCGGAACATGCGTACAAAGGCTGTACTCAAGCTCATTGCCCCGTACAGCCGCTTCACCCTCAAATTTATCTCAAAGCATATCAAGATCCCCGTCAGCGAGGTCCAGGACATTCTAGCCGTCTTGATTGTAGACAAGAAGCTGCAAGCGAGAATCAATCAGGAAAACGGAACCGTAATAGTGGAAGACAGCCATGCAGGTGACACGCAGCACTTGACCCAACTTCGCGATTGGACCTCGGCCGTTGAAAACTTGTGGTCTGCATTGTTCAACGAGGGAGAGGGGTTCAAGCTTGAAGACGGCCAAGGCGGTGCCTCATTCTCAGGCATGAACTTCCCATTGGGCTTCGAGGCGGGTGGACCTATCCCAAGCAGAGGACCTGGACGTCGGGTCGGTGGTCGCGGTCGGGGAGGCGGGAAGCTAGCTGCTCCAATATGAGAAGCGTATTTGGCATCTTTCCCAGTTACCGGGGAAATGGCGCAGATGCGCAAACCCGCAGCTGAGGCTGCATACGCCTTTGGCTGGACAAACCTAGCCTGTATTGAGGCGCAATTTGACATCTGCATTGTTTTCAAGACAGCCTGTAACACCACTTTGCTGGCTGCGAGGAATGGGATGCGACAACATCTGGTCGAATGTTATCTACATTGCTCCAGGCGAAGGTCCGGAGTGGTCTGACACCATTGGTTCCGCCGGGGAATGGTAGGTCCAGCGCCCACAGCAAGCAGGGAGGTAGGGAGAAAGGATAGGGGTGCTCAAAGGAGAAATCGGGCCTGCGGAAATAAAGCTGGGGCAGCGTCGATATGGAGTGGCGCGTGGGCCAGACCTGTCGAAAATACCGGGAGCCCTCTATTAAGTGCAGCCTTACCACAGGTACAATTTCACCAAGGAAAACAGTGATGTGTGTGGAGGTTGCTCATGACACAGCGTCGACAACGGACATACCCGTTTGATAGACCTTGATGTTGTCACCCTCCGCAAGGATGGGGATGTTGCAAGATACCAACCCGAGTCGATCTTCGGCTGCTTCTTTTCTTTTTCCTCTTTCCCTGACATGCCCTCCTTTTTGGGCCCTTTTTTGACCTCTGGATCGAAAAGGGATGGGCGAAATTGCGCGAGATGCAGCAAGACGGTCTCGCCCCTGGCATGATGTGTGTCAGATAGAAGTTGCTGTTGGTCGTCGGTTCTTGCGAGCTCAATCCACCAGCGCTGGAAATGGAAACGGCAAACGGTTGATTGGTAGAGATCTCGATCTGATATCATTTTTTTGGAAGAATAGCGGGGCCAACGTCGGCTTTCCGCTGCTCTACACCAGTAGCCGGGCGTCTGAGTGCGCCACTAGGAAGTGGTTGCATGTTGGCAGCGGGGACCATTTCCTAAGTGACTCGCTTTTCAGCTTGTCACTGATATGGGGCAGCCGCACAGTCTCCTAGGGTAGCCACGCAGCTCAGGGAATTACTGACCTTGACCTTCTCTTTCAGGTTGCATCCACCAGCAACGGTCAAGAATAGGCTGTCTTGGACGGTTGGGTGGCGGCAACTACTTCCGTTTGGAGCCATGACAAAAGACTGCATCTCATCTTCGGGCCTGACTGATTGGACGGAGGTGACTTCCCAAGTGGCAGAGAAAATGACAATCTCTGCTTTCCAGCAAAGCGAGAGCGACAAGGGGTCATTGCACAGCAAGGAGATCGTCGGGTTCGAATGGCGCCGGCCGACACGAAAGACTCCATGGCTTGCGGTTATCCCAAGGCGTCAATTGGGGCCTCAGGGTGAGTCCAAGAGTCTGAGAATGAAAACTACACGACTTAGGCTAAGCCGAAAACCCGTGGTATCCGAGAACTACTGAAAAGCGGTGGGGATGCAGCGGCCTTACTCGAAGACGCATCCCAAAACTAGGGATGTCGATTTGTGTTGCCCTCTGCGCTGGCCAGGTTGGTTGGAGCCTCGAGGCACCCTTGAAGTACGAGGTACACAGTAGGTATTGAGTGTGAGCCACGATTTCTACTGGGCCTCTTCTCTCCGCTTCCCGGCGGATGCACTCCGTAGTCACTGGCGCAAGTATATTGCCGCACAGGAGGATGGGGCTGGTCTCTGCCAACGAGGGTCGGGTATCTGGGGCTTTACCAATCGGAGGCTCGGGTAGCGAGCGTTGCGTGCCCCGGAGGGGCCATCGAGTCAGAAGGTGCTTCGCAAAGAGAACAGGCTGCGAGAATGATGGGCAGGATCTAGAGGTGCAGTAGCCTGTGGTCTGATGTGCTTTGAGGATGTGGAGGGTCGGCTGTCTTTTGTGCTGGACTTGTCGGTTTTCAGACTGGAACCTTTCACCGGATCGGCTGGGCCACGGTTCTTGCCTGCAACCGAAGGCATAAGTGCTGATTGAGTACCGTGGATCCTTTCCAAGAGGCCAATGATGGTCCGATGATACAGGTTCTCGACTCTCGGACCCCTACTTTGTATGTACGTGTGTCTCTTTGCTCTTTTTTGCAAAGGCCAGTCATTGAGGGCAACGAAGATCGTCTTTTCGGGAGGCAGACTGGGGAGACCATTGGTTCGCTCCTATTACAAGTCAATTAGCCACTGACCGAAAGTGAGCGCTGCCAAAGCGACAGCTTGCTGTCCCATTCAGATTGGAGGAGGGGCCTTGATGGAGTTGAAGCAAGCCGCATCGCTGATTCGCCGGCATAGAGACTTTGAAGCGGTGACTGGGGGTGGCTTGCTTGAGGAGCACACCTTGTCCGACAAGCCATCATGTAAGGTTTTTCTGGCAGGCATCAGAGAACAAGCCAAGTTATTGTACATAAGGTTTTGCATTCCCTGGAAAATGCAACCAGACGAGAAGGTAGTAAAGATGAAAAGATGATGGGTCAAAGCGTTGGGGAATTTGCCGATGGACCCCAAGTACCAGTTGAGTGATGCGCAACTACTCCGCCGTCCGTACGTACATGCCCTATCACGCATACCTTGTTTACCATTACTGCTCCCGCCGCCACCACAACCAGCACCGAAAAGTTACTGTACCTCGTACCTATGTACGTGCCTACCTACCTAACACGCTCTGGGAACCCCACTGTTTGGAGGGGCTTTCTCGGGCATGTCTACCTACAAGTGCTTCGAACCTCCACATGGGCATGCCTGTAGAAGGTGCACGCGTGCACGCATGCCCGCCGATCAAAACGTTCAGCCAGTACTGTACCTCGTAGACTCAGCCAGCAACTCCCCTCCCCCAGAGCCTTAGTTAGACGCATCCACCAACTTGACCCTCACTTCACCTTGACTTGACCTCGTGTTTCACTTCAACCAGGCAATTCCCCCGTCACTGTCAATGATACTTCTTCTTTCTTCCCCTCCTCCTAAACATCCCACGATCTGTCCGCTCTCATTCCTCCAAGTCTCGAATCCTCCATCCTTGCCACCGATTAGAGCCATCACCGGTTGAAATCCCCCTATCCTCGGCTCCTCCTCCGGGTTGGACGGGACCAGCCATTGCACCTCCCACCTGCAGACAGCGACAATCGAGCAAACGGCATTTCTTATCCGGCCTGGTACTCAGCACAGAACTCAGTTGCTAAAGACATCCCCGATTGGCCCCGACCGACCACGGGCGATTGATCAACAAGTTAGCTTTCAAAACACCCACTCCGCCAGCACCAGGGGTCCCTCCGCGGCGCTGGGTTAAAAGAAGGCCTGCATTGGCGCTCCCAGCCTAAGCAAAGAACCAAACCATCGTTTAACATCATCTCCCTCCTCTTTCTCCTGCCTACTACCTCGCTCAAAACATACACGATCTCAAGATTGCCATTGTCTCTGGGTGCCGATTGTGCGAGTTTGAACTTCTCGGTAACCTCACCGCATCGACGTCAGCAGACGCCTTACCAGTGATAGGGCCCAGTCCCCGTCCACTCCTGGCTCAAAGTGGGAGGGAAATCTATTCGGCTTCACGAGCCATCACCTCTTTATTCCAACCATGATTTAAGACATCTGAACATCTACGACCTGTGGTTCACGCACACCACTTGCAGGAATCAAGATATAGCTCACCAGACCAACCTGACTCCAAGGAAGAAGTCTCTCAGCCCAGGTCGGCCCCACCAGGTTGCCACCCGTGTCTACCGCCCTGGCGTTTTGATTGTTCAACAAGAGGAGATGACATTTTGTCCAGAACCACTACCTTTTCACAATTCATTCGGCCCTTTCCCTACTCAGCCAATTCCACATCCGCATTGGCAATTATCGTCCGGAAGTCAACACTCTCCCAGGTCCGAATATTTTCCTGGACCTCCTTGCCACCAACCCTACAGCTATCCCACGTCAACCACGTCGAACCGCGCCACCTCCGCAATGGCGACCCCGGAAATCGATGAAATGGAGCAATTCCAGACACTGTCTGACCAATATCAACCAAATCTTCCTGTACGTAAATGGACTAGAGAAAACGCACATCATACTGAGGCTTTGTTAGGGACCATTGATAGGAAGTAAAAAGCCGCTCTCTCATCTTGTGACCGAATACGCACAAGCCGACCCGACATTTGTGGTCAAGACAAAGGTATGCAAAATCTACTGTTGTCGTTAGCTCCCTGCTTACGATTGCCAGGCACTCGAAGCAACGCATTCCGCATATCGACAAGTCAAAGGTGATGGACAATGCGGCTGGCGTGGTAAGGGCTCGTCTCTCTGCATGACATTGGTAATCTAGCTAATTACAATCTTCTTGGTGCTTGGAGGGGCTGTCTTCGGCTATTTCGAGATCCTGCTCCGATCTGGAGACCCCAGTCTAATCACTCAAGAGTTGGTTCGCCTGCGAAGTTTTGAGCAAACCATGCGCAGCGTTGGCATCGACTATGATATCATCATCGACATGTTTGACTATACCTGGGAGCTCTTTGACGCTCTCAAGTCTGCTGTCGAGCGTAGGGACATCAACGAAGCTGTGTTGCTTAATTCGCTCAACGACGAGAACATTTCCAATTCAATTGTCTATCATTTCAAGGTTCGTTCCACCCGTCCCTGCTGGGGCATGCTTTTTGACGTTGTATCAGATGATGACAAGCTCCTTCATGCAACTTCAACCCGACCGATACGAGGCATTCCTGGAAATGCCAGTTCAACAATATTGTTTGACAAGGATTGATCCTGCAAATCAAGAGATTGATCATGTTGGCCTTCAAGCATTGACGGATGCCGTCATTGCGCCCGCATACATTGCACTTGAAGTGGCATATTTGGACAGAAGCACTGGCGATGAAGTGACTTCATACCATTTCGTCGATAATGCCAAAGGATGGCCGACAATTCGGCTCATATACCGTCCGTGAGTTTCTCCTTGCATCTGGCTTCACGTGAGCCGAACTAATTTGAGCATTAGCGGTCACTACGACATCATTTACAAAGACGATCAAATGCCGGTCCCAGAGCCAGCGCCGTTGCAGGTGTATCTGCAGACGGAAACTCCTCATTTTATCCAGTCTTCGACCCGTGAGAACTTCAAGACTGAAGATCCTCAAAATCTTGACCATTTATCCTTGATGTTCCCGAGAGCTATAGGCTCCCTGACGGATTCCTCCCTGTCGTTTTCAGGCAATCCCGTCTTCACTTCTCCCTTTCAAAATCCGCCGACTATGATGTATGCACAATCGAATTCCGCACAAGCGTCATATTTTCCACATATGCCTCCTACTACTTTTCACGCGGTGCCGCCGCAGCAACAGGCGCCACCTCCAGTCCGCACGCATTCCCTCCCACAGCGGAGCTACTCTTCGTCAATGCTGCAGCTGACGCCGCAGATTTCGCCATCACCACAGTCTCCTCAGCCCCCGTCTCCAGCAACGCCGAATTCTGCCATTACCAGAACGCTCGCCATGAACATCGTCAAAGCGAACGAGCCACAGATCAGATACAACGAGAATTGTTTCAATTACAGCCTTCAAGGCAACAAAAGCCTCCCTCTGGATCCAGCATCTTTTGGCAGGTAAGCATCACTCCTTTGGAGACCGTCGTCGGCGTGTTTCTCCGCAATTTGGCCACAATCACCTTATTGCATATCCTGCTGTATTGGACCCGTTGCTGATACCTTCGATACAGTTCCACATTGAGCCCTGCACACTTTGCCAATTCCGACTTTCAACCTGCGATATGGAATGCGGAAGAAGAATACGGGAAGCGCGATTGACTCCGCCTTTGATTTCCCACCACAGCTAGCCCTCGCCTGAACCTCACCCGGTGCTCTGTACACCTTTCTCGAGCACACACCGAGGTGTGCAAATATTTTCCTATGTATACCGAGGGCAACAATTCGAAGTTCAGTTACCTCTATGAACATCCCAGCATTTCCCCGGCGAACTGGAGCGACCGCTTTTCTGACATGGGCATACCAGATGCATGGCATTGGGGATATTGCGCCGGTCTTTACTGAAGCACAGCAGTCGATCCCATTTCTTTTCTATTCCTGTACGACACAAAAGTCACGACTGTCATTACTGCTGTATAAATAATCACGAATCTCAGTCTTGATAGAGCCGGGGGAAGGGGAGAGGAAGGCTGTCCTTTGGAGCCCGGTGGACTGGTTGCAAGTCTTTACGATGAAGAACAAACAAATGGGGAAAAAAGGAGACAACAGACTCAAGGAAAAGCCCAACGGTGCTGTCGTTGTCAAGCTTCGGCCACGGGCATGGGCTCAAGGTACAGAAAAGGCCAGGCGAGTAGAGACAACGTTTGGGATTTGGTTCGGCGCTCGAAAGGGGCCCTGTGTTTGCGGCAAAGGATTCCTTTAGTCCTCAAGCTTTCTGCTTTGTTTTTGTTCGTCACGAAAGATAACATAATCTTACACTCCATTTACCCAAAAGGTGTGTGTTGCCTCTGTGTATGTAGAGGACGCGGACGGCTCGAAGTGCCAGATTGAAACAGCCTGGCTCGAGAGCTGTAACACTGTAGTGCCCAAGCCGGCACCGTGGTTGCGCCGTCATCATCGTTGGTCGTCCTCGTGTAGTGTCTGACACGTCCATCTTCCTATGCAGGATGCCATCGAAGAAATATCGATGTCTCTAGTCATGACTCGGAGCAATAGTCGTCGTTGTGCCAGGTCTAGCGGCGGCCTCTGGGCGCAAGTCCAACGCACATAGGTGACCATGGTGAAGGAGTCGGACCAGAGAAGAAGAAGGACTGGGGTAGCAGATCAATCCACATTGATTTGCAGCCGTCGTTACACAAAGTCCTGGGTATCGGCACCGGATTAGACACCCTCGTAGAGCTTCCAGAGGTTTTCTGATCAAAGAAAGTCCGACTCTTGAACCCTGTATACGCCATCCACAGTTTCCTTGCCCTCGGTTTTCATGGCGTTCAGTCCGTAGACGATCTCGTGCGCGAACACATCCGCAACGGATTCCATCGAGATCGATTCCACGATGAGCTGCGCTTGATCGTCAGTAGTGAGCGAAACGCCTTTTTCTCCGCGATCCGCTGTAGAAGGGAGAGAAGATGAGTGTTCGTGTGCTGTTTGGTCAGAGTTAGGGATCGCGACCGAGGATGAATTCGGATGTGAGCGCAATATCTCCCTCGTCAGCCAGGTTACGCTCTTCCCTTCCAGCCCACAAGCCACGATGCGGCTGAAACCCCATGACAAATAACCTCGCGTCAATGGGTCGTAAGAAGGTGAGGATATTTGTGCAGGGATGAAGTCATAAAGTCGTCGTCCTGATGAGGACGCGGCAGCCGAGGGAGAAGGCGATGTCAATAAGGGGATGGAGCCTGGTGACGATGAGAGCCCCGTTGAAAATGAGGCAGGCGATGGGGTCGCCGACGGAGGAAGCGGTGCGTCATATACGTTCAATCCTACTCCATGGGAGGTAACACCACGCGAGACTTGGACACCGATCGCGCAGATTTTGCGATCGGTAGCTGCTGTTCCCTTAGGCGGCCTGGAAGCGCTTCGACCGCCCCTCTCCTGATCTGCAGCTGAGCCGGGATCCAGCACCCATACTCCCGGATCGTCCGTCCTCCCAGTCCGGACGCCCCAGCGGCTGCAAGTGCGCATGACGCTCTCCTCCAACAGCTTTACCCAGCATCTCGCGGTGATGCCGAACCTCCGAAGGTCGACGATCACGTAACCTGTCAACTGGCCTGGTGCATGGTACGTGAGGAGGCCACCACGTGGGGAGGCATGAAAGGTGGCCAGACCATTAGCAGAAAGGAAAGTCTGCTGGTGTGCGGAAACGGGATTCGTGAGAAGATGCCGGCGTCCAACCGTGTAAGTGGGAGGGGTGCTGAACGTCAGGAGGACAGGATCCGGGGGCATCTGGATGTGTGATAGTTCATGGGAGCTGGAACTGACGTCGAGGGCTGGCAGAGAGCTTGCATTATGGTGCAAGGCCGTCGTCGTATTCTTTGTAGTGCAGTTTCCCTTTCTGGCGCCAAGCAATGAAGACTCTGGTCGATCGTTCCGCAAAGTGCTGCGTCTCAGCAAGGTGCGTGCCCTTGCTGCGTCATCATTCTCATCAGCAGCAGCAGCATCTGAGGCTTTTGTGTTTATGATACTTTGCCACGACTCCCTTCCACTGCCCTTGCCCTTGTCGTCGGATTCAGTTGGATGCGCATTATTCGTGGCCTTGTTTCGTCTCCCCTCATTCGCTAATGAATCACCTCTTGTGACGGAACGCAGCCAATCCTTGTGTTGGAAATGTCTTTCCAGAATCGCCGTTTGTAGACGTAGTGAGTGGCTGTACGGGATCAAGTCCGGGACGTGCAGGTGAGCTAAGCGCATGACGGTGCATTATTGATGTTCCTGTTTTACCCTTTGCTCTGGAGTTGGATCCCCTGGATGCCCGCCCAAACTCTATCAGGTCATATGGCTCGAGGAGGCTGGAATGGAGCTGGACCGGGTTGAAGAGGATCGCTGATTCAAAGGCGACCCTGGGACCCGCAGGTGATTGCCTCGAAGAATCGAGCCGATTGTTTCAGCAATGACGGGGGACGTGCACAAACCGTCGAGGAGCCAGAGATTGAACCGAGGGTTGCACGTATCTCTAGTTCATGCTTGATGAATTTTTCCCGCGGTGCTGGTTGTTCGTTAAGCTAGGGTCAAAGTCTCCGGCAAAGGCTTGTGCCGCGTCAGAAACGAAAGGCTGGTGGCGTGTCCGGCAAAGGCCAGTTTTCGGTTAATCACAAAGGATGTGCATCTAAACGAAGGCTTAGAAAGGAAAAGACGACTCGAAAACTCAAATTGCAGAGATGAAGCAGGCCGTCCACGGTACCTTGGACGGCACCTATGTACAATGTATGAAGAACTTGATTTAATTGTGCATGCGACAGTTGGACGGTCATCAAGCTTTTCGGATAAGTTACCCAAGCACGCCAGGGCTGCCCCAGGGCATTCCTTTTTGGCCCCTCAACCCCCCAACTGTACCGAGTAGTCATTTACCTGCGAGCAAGTAATCAGACAAGCCCCTCCTAGTGACTCCAGGACTCATTTGTTGCAAGCGAAAATCCTTCTGCGCAAGGCTGAGCTGGACCCGATGGGGGATCCTGTGGGATTCTGCCATGGTGCAGCCAATGTTTCCCAGAGACAACAGCTCCCAGCTCCTTTATCACTGGAATGATCAAGTGGGCCCACGCCACGGGGCATCAGAGATCCGACGACAACACACAAACCTCACATGACAGAAGCATATTTCTACACTCCCTTGTTGTCAATAGAGAAATTTAGCACATGCTATCACTTCCAACGGTGCGACTCACAAAGTGTCCGAGGCTCTTAGGAGGCAAAGCCGAAACGCCCATGTTCCACCCCGCCCCGAGGTTGCCAGGGGGAGGGAGGACCGGTGTGAGCGTAATCATGGCCCGCCTCTTTGGGTATGTATAATGTCGAGAAGTAACGAAGCTACGTTAGGGCTGAAGACGACATTCTGACTGGTTCGATCGGCACACACCCTCCATCCGTCCTTCTATCCATCCAACCAACCCTCTGCCTCTTGACTTTGCAACGAAGGCCATTGGGAAGAAAAGATGGAGAATTGCATAACGTCGTACACTGGTGCTAGGGGCCCACGAATTTCACCGGGTGGAGGTTGACAGAGCAGGACATTGTTACTGGTCAACGGGCTTTCTCACCAGGCCTATTCAGGTATTTGCACGAGACACCTTGCATAGGTACGAGCCAGGGGGGATGATTATATCAACGTACGAGCACAGCGACCTTAACCGACTTGGCTAGAGGTGCCAAACCCTCCCATCCATCACCGTCATTATTGGAGCCCTTCCCTGATCCCTGCCACAAGACAGGAGCATGCAGCCGGAGCCCTGTCTTTCATCGTCATGTCAGGTTATTGATTGATGGATCAATACATGATGACTATCCAATAGGGCCATAAATGCGGATAGTGGAACTGCCTATTCCAGCGTGTCCAAAAAAGGATCACTTCCAACTCTGACGACTTACTCCTACTCAACATGCTCTACCTATCCATTCCATGCCAAAGAATAGACCCCATGGAGCTCGGCATCGCTCCCTCGTTGCCAGTTCCAGGTCAGGTCCAGGTCTAGGTCCAGGCGTCGAACATTTGACGTTGCAACTATTTGGGAGTTTGCACTACTTCAGTTGCCGTCTGGCGTCTGCGCCTGCGTCTGCGTGGGAGGCGACACGCCTGTGTCCGCACCGTGCTTGCAGCGCCCCCCTTCAGGCAGGGAAGATCGAGGATTTTCCAAACAAAAGGCTGAGGATAGGGGCCGAATGTAGTTAGTCGGCCATCGCCCACCCCATTGGGAGGATGGAAAGCATCTTGTTTCGCGGTATATCCCAGGGTTCTTTCACGGTAATATCAAATATCATCCCCCTTCCCTTTTCTCTTCCCCCCTCTTGTGATCGTCCAGGCTCCGCTGCTCTCTCAATATCGATCGAATAAATACCTCATTGCCACCACACCGCCCCCTTCTTTCTCGCACGGCTTGCACCTCTTCCCACACCGACAGCTCTATTTCAATTTCAAAGGCATATTCCCACCTGGAACCTGGTGCACTGCAACCTTCGATCAGGTTAGGTCAGCATTGCTAGGACAACAGACTCCATCCACGCCTGAAGTCAAAAGCCAAAAGCAGTAGGGGCTTTTCCCTCTTCCCATCGTCCCTCTCGGTCCAAAAGTCTCCCTCCCCCGATCAAGGAATAGGTCGTGTGGTGACCCTACCACTCCCTAACTCTGCTTCTCACCTTGCCCTGCCACCTTGTCGCCTTGTCGCCTTGTCGCCTTGTCGCCTGATCACCATGAGCACCTCCGACGGCTCCGCTTCCACCAGCGAGACCCCAGCCAGGCCCAAGAACGTCGAGAACCAGGCTGCACTGAGGAATGGGCCTCAAGCACAAACGGACACTCCGCAAGCGTTGGCCGAGGTGAGTTTCAAGGAGGCAGAGTTCTTTTCTCATGATAACAATCAGAGTTATCATCTCTCTTTGTTTTCTTTGTTCTCTCGCCCCCCTCCCCACTTGCCTCCAGTCTCCGTCTGTCTCTCCCAAGTTAGCAAGCTTGCTAATATGCTTTGTGTGGGGGCGGCCACCAGTACGGCGAATACCTCGGTCGATGTATCGCCATGGCTGATAGCCAGCGCGCCACGTCTCAGACAAGCAAGAAGCGCAAATGGTCTTTTGCTTCCAAGAAGTGACGGGTCTTCCCGCCGCCTCCACCACCATCCCGGGGGGGAGGTATTACGAGAAATGGATCCGATGGAGAGAGAGAGAGAGAGAGAGAGAGAAAAGGGGGTCCCTCCCTTGTTGCACTGGCTGGCTGGCTGGCTGGCCGAGAGCTTCTTCTTTTGGCTAAATGAGGAAGCTTTCTCACCATGCGTGCAGCAAAAAAAGGGCGGAGCTGGGCTTGTTCGCTAGTGTAAGGGTTTCAAGTGGCCAGGACAACTTTATCAAGGGCTATGGGTGGTGGGGATCGATCGACCCGAGTCGCGCGGTTTTTTGCTTGAAAATCTCGCTTCCCGACTATTTTCCTCTTTGGTCGAGGGTTTTTCATATCGTCGCGGAGAGATGCGGCCGTGGAAGCTCCTGTGCGGTTGGTTGGGGCAAGAGAAGGAGGGAGAGATTGGACTTTTTGTCGTTCAGTGAGTAGAAACAGAAAGTTGGTTTTTTTGGCCAAACAGCGTTGAGGTTTTGTATGCGTATCTCTTCTCATCATCATCATCACCATCAGAAGTAATCCGCCGCGTCAATGTCCCGATAACGACTGCGTAAACCCTTGTGCTGCCCTTTATGCACGGCAGTTGTGGCGGTGGTGGCGGTGGTGGTGGTGGTCGTGTTACTATTATCAGTCACCTTACTGCACCCGTCGTACATGCCTTCTGCAAAGACCTTCTCGACCCTCATCAAGCCCTGGAAGACGTCGACGTGCATGGCGCCGTCGGATTCGCTGCTGGCCTGCCAGCCGTACGCGACGTGGGGGTTGCCGAGGACGGAGACGAGCTCGTCGCCGCGGAGCAGACAGCCGCGGTCGCCCAGCTGGGTGAGCAGGGTGTGGTAGACCTTTGCGATGGCGAGGTGGCTGTCGTCCTTGATGATGGCCTTGTTGGCCCACAGGATGACGGCGACCAGCGTGCAAAAGTGGATAAAGGGGATGACGGCCAGGATGGTGCCCGCGTACCGCCACGTCACCTTGAGGACCTGCGCGGCGATGGGCTGCCGCGTGCTCGTCACCGTCTTGCGCCACATGGCCGGCGAGTTGTCCATGAAGGCGATGGCCCCCATGGTGAAGGACGAGATCAGGTCCGCCATCTCCAGCGGGCCGGCCGCCCCCAGAAAGCCCACCTGCGACGAGTTCGTGTACACCGCGTACTCTTCCTGGCCGTCCGCCGTCGGGGGGTTGTCGCTCCACCCGATCGCCCCCGCGAGCATCCTGCTCACGATGGCGTATATTTCATAGTCGATCGTGACTTCGTTGTAGGCGTCCCCGACCTGAGGCTGTGAAGACGTCAGCTCGTACGGAACATGATGGAGTGTAGATGCCACCAGCCGTCAGGTTTTTGGGGGGGGGGGGGGGGGCGCAAAATGAGGAAGACGCAACCCAACACATCCAAAGGGGCTTCCTCAAGACTCACCACTGTATTATTGCAGACGAAATACGTCCCGATTCCGTCATCGTAAATTCCGCCGTCCGGGTACGCAGCAGCTTGAAAAGTGTGGATCTCCACACACCCTGAACCGCAGGTCGAGTTCAACTTTGACATTGTCAGGAGGCCTCCTGGGCCAGGACTCGCGGGTAGGGACTTGTTGACATGTTTGTCGCCGTCGTGATAGACAATGTATGAGAGGTTGCCATACACTCCTTGAGTGACGTCGTAGCTTTGGCAGTAGGCCTGGGACTCGATGTACCGGGTTGACACGATCACCTGGTCCGAGTCGTCCGCGTTCTGGTCCTGGAAGTAGTAGTATGTATACCCATCCGAGGACGAGAAGTAGCTCTGCATAGACTCGACAACGTCGCTGTTATAATCCAGCGCAGTTGCGGTTTCTCCACGAACGCCCCATTCTTGCGCGGCGGCCAGGTCGGCCGGATAGTCGCCGGTTGAAAGCGCGTTCAGGTCGACGATGCTCGTCTCCCCTTTCCGCGTGAGGACGTAGTCGTTCGACGTGTCTAAGTTGTAGTTCAGACCGATGATGCCCACCAGGACGGTGACGGCCAGGTGGACCAGGAGCCACAGCACACAAAGAACCTGAGTCCTCGACGGCAGATATCGGCGTTTCCGATTCGGCGCCTTCCAGAGGAGCTTGATGACGTTCATGAGACTGTCGCAGCCCATGACGAGATCGAAAGTCTCGAGCGGTCGGTAACACGCCGCCAGGATTCGCCAGCGGAGGAGCTTCGCGTAGCTGCGCAACGATGCCGCCAAGTTGACCCCGAGAAGAAGGGAGACGCCTGTGGTGAGGGCGTTGAACTCTCGGCGTTGGGGTACGCTGATGGTCAGCTTCTTGGAATAGGCATAGAGGATGCCAAAGTATACGGCGCAGAGGATCAGGCTGTTGACCCATTCACCAATGGTCAGTCGCAAAAGCCGCTTTCGTTGTTTGTCGTGTCGATACTCTCTCGAAGTATTGTGAAGGGAGTATTTCAGCTCCAGGACTTCGTGAAGTGAGGGCGTGATGGAACTGTAGATGCGTTCCCTCCATCCACTCTGACTCGAATGCCTCCGCTTCTCGGGCGATTGTGCGGCTGGTTGTGTATCGTGCCCTGTTTCTCCGGTTAGAGAGTAGCCATCGCGGCGAAGAATCATGGACCTACGCGGAGGTGTCTGGGGCACAGGGACATGATCGGACTGCTCGGTGTTGAACCTTGTAGGAGGTAAAAAAGGCGACGGAGGTGAAGGAGGTGGAGATATCTCAATGACAGGCACGTCTGTTGATTCCGACTCATGTATCTGGTGACTGGGAGCATCGTGGTGAATGTCGTTGTGTGCAGCCTCTTGGACAAGTCTCTGTTCGTCGCCCGTGCCGTCGTCGTCGTCTCCCACCGGGATCGGACTGTAGCTCGCCGACGCTTCGAGGGCCATGTTCATGATAGTTCTGGCATCAACGGTCCCAAAATCCCTTGAGAACTTGAGTCTGCTGGTGTTCGCATCGCGACGAGGGTGTTAACGAAGCATATGAACCCAGAGAATCTTCAACGCCAGGCCTAGACAGCCCTAGCCCAGAATACCATTTCCAGTTCTGTTTGATATGGCGATCTCTTCCCGCCCATCGCGAACCCGAGACCTTTGCCCAATCATGAGGTGCGGTCTGGAGTCATGACCCATGTTCGATAAGGCAGACCACTCCAGGCTATGTGTCTGAGTTTTGCCCAAGGGGCCGTTTCAGGCCATGTTGCCCGTTTCCAGCGGGTCTGGCTAGCGGAACAATCTGCAGACATCCCTGCAAAAATCTCCCAAGTCAGTCGCGCTAGCCTTGTGATACGACCAGTGCTCCAATGGACCAGGTCAAATGGCAAGTTGGCGTGGGTTTGTGATGGGCCAGGAGACATTCAGTGACACATTTCAAGAGTCTAGAGTAGAACATGGCTGTGAGGACCATCACAACAAGGGGGTCATGCAAGATGGAGATTGCGCATATGAGTACTCGTATTGTCCGTCGGTGTCGGAATGCTATACGTAGGCTGCCGTAAGCCAGAGACAAGACATTGTGTGCTCCACAGGACCAGAGATCGATACGAAGGCATGGAGACCTCGCATAGTATTATTAATCTCGATGATGTGTATTGGAAGAAAGGGGAGAGGTTTCACCAGCTCACGGACCTTTTTCTGCCTCGAGTAAAGACGAGATGCTAGGCTCCGTGCGGAACTGGCCCGTCCCGAACTGCCTGGGCCTTTGCGAGCTTGAATCCACACTATTATAAGGCATCCCATCCCATCCCATTGTTCTCATAGTCGAGCACGAGGTATTTGGTTTGAGGTATGTATTACGGAGTAGTAGTTTCCTCGCCACTGTAAGGGGCCACGGGGCCTTGGTCTCCCTGGAGGCTGTTGTTCGAGCACCATTGTAAAGTCCAGTTCGTACCAATCAAAACCTGTCGGTGGAGTTCCATAGCCGCCTTGTGTGTATATGGCTTCACTTCTCCGACTATCACAGTGTATGAACTTCAGCATGAATCGGTCACAGAGACGGCTCGTCACACTGGAAGCACTGAGACAACCCCTTGGATCTCGCCTTCCACAAGGCCAACACCTTGCCACGTCCGACACACTCTGAATGCCTGATGCGCACCCGAGTTTCCTCCAAAATTGCCGCATCCAAATTTGGATCACCATCAGATCCGAGCTAACATCCGCTGGAATCAAGTAATGTGTTAGGATTGAACCGCGGCAAGCCAGAATAGAAGAGTTGTCCAGTCAAATTTCAAGCAGATGTTGACTGACAACTGGACAGTAACAATCTTCATCTGAATGCTAGCATTACGCAGATTCCATCCTCCAAGTTGCTCCATACAAGGGCTAGACTGATGGGTTCGAACCATCTAGTTCGCTCGGACGAGGACTGGACCTGGAGTTTCATGTATTTCCGGACAAGGTGTCGGGAGTTCGGGACAAGCCTGCTATCCAGCAGCGAGAAAGGCGGTCATGGCTGCAGACCGGTCCACGTGAAATAGCCGGGTACTCGGTGGGCGCAAAGAGTTGAAAGGGGCCACTAGATGTGCAGACGAGGTTCAATCGTACGTCCGTGGTTGGAGGAGAATTCGACCCAACTCGGATGCGATGTTGCTGGACGAATTACAGAATGCGCAGGAACCAGTTTGACATATTTCACGCTCTTCAGCTTTTCTTGCTCTCGCTCCCAGAAGCACCAGGAGTGTCCGGGTTCCCTGCAGCCGTTTTGCCAAATTCCAATCCCAAATTCGTCCACTCATCTTTCGCCATGAGACCCTTTTCCATACGACAACCAAGATATTCCTTTGCCAGTAGCCTGCACTCTTCGTTGTTCCTCCCAGGAGGGTTCTGTTTTCTCAAGCATCGCAGATAGGATGATATTACGTGCTTGCATTCCGCGTCGTGGTCAAGTGGGAAGGAACCGCGTTCCGGAGGGGTGGGTTTGTAGTTGGCCGCGCCACCACCTGGAGCACCGAAACCAGACATTGATGTGTATTTTCCCAACAGGAGGACCAAAAGGAATATTGAGTGTAGCTGGTCGCAGTGAAAAATGGCGCAGATTGAATGGTTGCAAAGAATCGGTTTGGAGAGTTTGGTTTGGGGAAACGGAAATATTATTTATTATCAGGGGATGCTAAGCCCGAGCTCCAAATACTTATCATCACGTGCCTTACTCGAAGTCGAACAATGCTGGGGTGCGCGAGTGAAAATCTCTCCTGACAATGAAATCGCTGTTCAATGTATGATGTTTGCATATATCTATCCGCTACAGAAGCAAATGGTTCAAGAGCTAAATGTATAACAGCCAGCCACAGTTCACAGGCAGATCATTCAGTGTCAACGACTTTAAACTGATCACCTTTCCCTACGGTGTCCTATCGAGGAAACAGAGGAACTAATATGATGTTAGCATGTGTCTGTGAGAATACAGTAGCGCATCAGGTTGAGGGCAGGCCAGCAACATTTCAGTTCTCCAAGGTGATGTATATTCGACACGGGGATTCAGTAAGAACACAGCGAAATACATGAGATCATCAGGATAAACGCATCGACAGGAGGGGATATGCTTACTGCTCGGTCCCATCGAACTCAGACGATGTAAAAAGATTATACCTGTACCAAACAATAGTCGGTCAGCTCGGGCTCGAGATCAGATCTCTTGCGAAAAGGGGCAAATTGAACATCTATGTCAGGCTATTAGCAACTCTGTCAGCAAGAGGCAGCAAACAGCAGATGATCCAAGAAACATACCTCATTAAATCAGAATTTTCAGTGTTAACGTTCATTTCCAAGCGAAGGCTCGGTTCAAACAGTGTGAATATTGTTCATCATAGGATGCAGGTTGAGATGAGAGACAGAAGTTCAGAAAATACCTAAAACCAGGGCTGTTAGCACCGCGTCACACATATGTAATACAATCCAACAACGTTTGGTGCATTCGCATTCGATCAGCTGACGAGTTCTCAACAAGTGTTGCGGCCTCACAACATCCACAAGGATTGTACGTCCTGCTTTTACAGATGTATGGTGCCACACACGCAGTCTGTCCGCCCGTTCGTTCAAGTCTTCGTCACAGGAATAAGGCAAGGGGAAGGGATAAGGGGCGAAGAATGTACCTGTCACAAAATCTCATTAGCCTTCCGTGTCACGACACAGAAAAAACTGGAAGAGTTGAAGATGCGCATGGGTCAGACAAGGCTGAAACTTGTAGTAGACAGATTCCACATGGTGAATTAAGTCTGAGGAATGCCATTCGTGTCAAGGGGTCATCACGAGAGGAACAAGATGAAGTAGATGTAAGGTCGTACCTTTTTCAGAGAAATGCTGTGCGTGGCCGTTTTAGCATACAGAAGTCCTTGAACCATCTGCCATAGCCTTCAATAAGTCAGCGATCATTCTGCGAAGTCAGAATGGGTGCAGCGAAAAGGGTAGCAAGACGGTCAGCGTAATTCTAGAGATGAATTTGCTCCTCATAGAACGTGAGTCCTTGGAGTTGGATTGTATAATGTTCATCATTCAAGCAGGGGACAGAGAACAGAGCATGACTAACCTTGAGAGCAACCGTCTGGAAGCTAGGCGATTGCATGCATGGTCCAGCTCAGGAAACGATGAATTGAAGAAAAGAACTCAAAGTTTTTGGAGAAACTGGAACTGAAACTGCGAACAAAATAATAAACGGCGCCAAGCTGATCGTGCCATCTACGGTTTAGTGCCATCTCCGCACTAGAGCCTCGTCAAAAGTCAGCCTCGTAGACACCGCGAGTCGATCATCCCTTCTTTTTCAGCTTTGGTTTGCAGGCCAGCCACTGTTCGCAACATGTCGTCTCTACTTCCTAAATCCCCTTCATCGGCTTCCAAGATTAATATTACCACAGGCCAGCTTCCCTCATATGTGGACGCCACGCAGGCTCCGACTAAGAAATCTCCATGGCGCACTATCCGGGGGCTCGAATATAATCACTATGCCACGGTCATTCTTCCCGATGAGCTATACAGCCTCCTTTGGAAGAAAGTGGACGCGAGCATGGAGCCAGTAAAATATGCAAAGGTCATCATGAAGCTAGCAGATGTACTCAGTGGGGATTTCTTCACGGAATATGTAAAAAGAGGTGAGACTTACGAATGCTGTGTTCCACTGTCAACCTCAATGCTGCATTCAGACCACGAGCAGCAAGCCTAACTTCTTTGGATGTGTAGGTAACATTCTCATGGTCTCAGAGGGCGAAGCTGGTGTTGATAACATCTTTTCGTTGAAAGAAGGTATGTGCAGGTAGACAGTCAGTCGAAGCCACTATAGCGTCGGAATCGTATTGGCTTGACACCTTGAGCTAACTTGGATTACCAGGAGTCCTGAGACTGGAGCTTTCGAAAGAATCATATGAGCGGGCTGGTCTGCAAGGCAAGCCCATACCTTCTGGTGGCAGCAAGCACGTCAAGTTGAGATATCGTAGGTCATCTCTCTCCGATGGCTTTACTTCGTTCTTCTTCAGCACCGGAACTTCGACTTCGTGCTTGGGTATGGAGCTGAGAATCTTGCAGTCGTAGAGGTTGACCTTCGTCTCCCGTCAATGTTACACGGAAAAAAGGGCTTCGAGCGGCTCGTCTGGGCCGCAAAGCATGCTCTAAACCAAAGCCTCACCTGGCTCTTCATCGACCTCAATACAAAAACTGGAGGTAATTCCTTCTACGCTTTCTCTCAAGCTTCCGTGATGGTACTGATCCTCACTACAGATATCTCGGATCAGAGTACACTGCCTCTGAGCGCACACCATCCTACAATCCACATGATTTCACCAGTGACACAGTCTCTGACAAACGTCTTGACTCCTCGTACATTGACCGCAATATCTGATGAATTATCCCTTCAACCTGCAGAGGCGCACGAGTCTCTGTATGATATGTTGGAATACGTCGATATGCTCTCACTAGCTTCGCCACGCGTACAAGCCACCGACCAGGCTCACTCTTTCCTCAGCCAATATCAGGTGCCTGACCTCTCAGACGATCCAGATTCAGGCAGTTCAGGACAGACAGTCAAAGTTCTCACATGGTCCGGTCTCATACCATCGCGATGGATATTGGAACTATTGTGCGCTGTCGTGTAAGTGCATCTCCTTATATGAGCCCGGGAAAAAAGTTCCTTAGGCGGAACCAAACACTATATCGATCTCATGTGATGCATATTATTGCTCCGTTCATTGCTGAGCGCCGGATCTTGACAGAAAACATTCCCGCACTGAACTCTTCGAAGCACTTCCAAAGCAGCAACAGTGGCTCGCAATCAGTGTCTCTTCCCACAGGATGCAAGCAATCAACCAAGTTGATGGATATACAATATTACTTCAAGCGGCCCGCCCTTCCGAACGATCACAGAACATTCATCTAGACAACTCGGCAGCCGCCATGCCGGTAGACACAAACGAGAATCTGGGTCAGGGGTTGCACCGATCTCCGAACCATGAGCAGGAAAACGACATAGATATGACAGAAGGGTCAACCCAAGCAGATCCCCACCAAAATCAGGAGCCTCCCCCATCAAGAACTGGCTTTCATCGCTATCTCTGCGCGGAATACATTGGCAGTCTGACATAGCCAAGATCCGGGGGCAGCAGTCGAACACTAAATATTAATGGAGGCGTCAAGATGAATATCTATTTAATGGACATCAACATCGTGGATGAACGGCAACAACCCTATCCTTCACCAGGTCTGTCAGGCTGAAACGACTTCTCTGGACCAGTCGTCTACCGCAAGTTGGCCTGCATTCTCAGTACGCAGTGTTGGCTCAATAAGAGAATCTAAAGGCGGGGTGATCGTCACCCAGATTCTTGAGCTCGGACTCTGGCAAGTTATAGCGATGATCCCTCGCGCCCTTGTCTCGGAGCCTGTTCTCTCTCCTGAGGTACCACAAGAGAATGCACGAAGCCACTGCTCCGGCGGAAAGGAGACCCACGCCCGTCCCGAAACCAACATGATAAGTTGGCGCTTGCGACTTGAGATATATGTTGCTGCCGATGATGCCGCCGATATTCCCCAGGGATAATTGCATGGCGATCCCCACGCCGCGCTTGTAGTGGCCGCCGAGGTTGTTGCTCAACCACCCTACAATCCCAGGCTGCGCCACGACTAGGCCGCTCTGGAGGAGGTAAAGCGCGAAATAACGGACGCCGACCGAGACGGAAAAGTATGACAACAAGATGGCATATGCGATGATGGCGACGACACATCCGCCAAAGACGAACGAGGAGCGGTGCTTGAGGTGGTCGGAGATCAAAGCGCAGGTCAAGCACACGACGGTCCCGACCGCGTAGAGGGGTATCGTCATGACCTGGGCTTTGGTCGAGGTCCAGCCCAACTCGAAGAGTATCGTGGGGAGGAAATAAGCGCTCCCATAGCTGGACGTCAGGATGCAGAGGTATGCGAAACCGGCAATCCAGATCTTGACGTCGCCAAAGCACCGCTTCACCGCCTGCTTGTTCAGAATGTTCATCTCAACGTGCGTGGTGTCCGACGCCAGCCTGCGCGCCCAGAACTGTCGTTCGTCTTCGGTGAGGAATTTGGCCGTCTCCAGCCAGTCGGGGAGGATCCAGTACGCCGGGATCGCGACCGCGATGGTGAGCAGCCCTTCTATGATCAGGATCCATCTCCAGCCACTGTACCCCGAAATGCCGTCCATGTGAGCGATCGCGTAAGCCAGAAGGCCACTGAAAGCTCCCGTGACGAGGGAAGAGCCGTAGAAGATGTTCAGTCTCCACTGGAACTCGTGTCTCTTGTAAAACATGGTCATCAGGTAGATCGACCCGGGGTAGACGCCCGCCTCGAGACCCCCGAGGATGGTTCTGCAGACGACGAGGCCGGCATACGACCTCGTCAGTCCCTGACACATGGTCACGACGCCGAAGGAGAAGACAACGACGCTGAGGAAGAGCGACGGTCGAATCCTCCTGATCAGGATGTTCGCAGGGACTTCCAGCAAGATATACAGGATGAAGAAGATGAACAGGACGACATTGAAGTCCTGGCCGTGCATGTGGAGATCCTTCTCCAGCCCTTGGATGCGGGCATTTGCGACATTGACCCTGCACCGTCGTTGTTTTCAGTGTGAGTCCTTTCGAGAAGGAAATGGTGACAACTGACCTGTCGAGAATGGTACACATGAACAGCAGAGACAGCATCGGCAGCAAGTTGAGATCGCACTTTAAGAGGATGCGCCGTTCAGAGAGTCGCGCATCAACATCATCATCGTTGGTCTCATGCGGGATTTCTGTCGAGATTTCCGCAGCCTCTTCTTTCTGCGCTGGCCTGGCCGCCTGGTGGGGTTCGTTGAGCTCCATCTTTTCCATCGAGAAACAGGAGGATATTGCTTGAGAAACAATACGGTCAAACCTTTCGACACCGGGGGAGGGTCAACGACTGCGAACGGTAGATCTCTCGACTCCCAAGACTCCCGTGCGAGGGAGATGGCATGCCATTATTAAGGCATTTCGCTCTTCTGTCTCCTCCTCGACAGTGCCGACCACGGCTTGATCTGTACCGAGTACCACTGCTGCCAAGCAGCCGGACGGTCGAGCCAGCAGCTTTCAAACCTTGACCGTGGAACGGAGTGCAACCGCTGGCTGACATTGACCGTATATTTCCCAAGGCCCGGCATAACAGAACAAGCCCAGGACTGTGATCGCAAGCACTCGGTACATACGAATCGACTCTTGGCAATGGCTTGCATTCGCCAAACGAGCCGGAAGCGAGAAAAGCCACAGACGAGCTGAATAAGAGGATCATGTAAGAAGACGATACGTGCGACTCCCGACCAAGAACGAGGTGAGAAGCATCGCCCAAGACGGCTAGCGTATTGCCTTTGGGGGATGTTGGCACCAATCGGAGGGCGTTTACGTAAGGTGCCTCACCTATTTCTCCTTCGGGGCACAGGACAACACACACGGTAATCCGTCAGAGTGGTACCTGGGAAAAGAAAGGGCGTCCCCTAAAATTCAAGGGACCGCATCACGCTTCCCATGGTCTCAAAGCACCGGGGGGGTTGAATGAGTACGGGAATGATCACGGAACCGCAAAGCGGAAGGTGGTGCTACTACTTTGCACTCGTAATAGTCGAGCATTGGCACTCCAGTCTGGCGCGAGTCAAAAACCCGCTGCGCAATCATCCTTCGGGCGACAATTGCGAGAGTACTTCTTACTTGTACCTCGTATCGAGAAAGCAACTCGCTTGAAAAAAAAAATTAGACCATGATTTTCCAGTACCGAGTACTTGACAATACTATAGATCGCCCAAGGCCACGAGGCTTGAAAAAGGAGGAGAACAAGTTTTGATTACGTGTGTTGAGGGCGAACTACACCCCATCTCCCCAGCTGGCCCTTAGTCAAACATGCGCTCAGCCCGCCTATACTATGCTGGTCACACTCGAACGCAACCCTGCACATCATGACGAAGCAAGAGGCGCCCTTGATCTTTGTCCTGCAATCAACCTCTCCCCAATCACAGAAGGAAAAGGAGCTTCAGGACGCGGAGCGCAAAGCCCACGCTGCCAAAGTCGCACATGCAAGGCGTCGCCACCACGTGCGAGGAGTCGGTCAGGTCAGACACGGGAGGCCAGCTCGGCCTTCAGCAGGTGGTGGTGGTGGTGGTCGTAAGAAAGGTTTGTGGCAGGTCCGAGTAAAAAACTTGAACAATTTCCTCTCGCTGGACGGGACCATATGCTGACTCTTCGGATCAAAATCTGTGACAGGTAATTATTGGATAGACGAGACTGCACAGGAGGAGAATGTCCCAGCCGCTACGCTCCCAATCACGCCTCAACGAAGCCCTATTCCGCTCTCGCCACACGGCTCCTCTGATCCGTTCAACGCTCAGGCCATTCCCGTCACGCCGCGGGTCCATCAAGTCTTGCAGTATGCGAACCAGTCGCTGTTGAGCCTCTTTGCCACGAGCTACATTCGGCGATTGTTCGCGGATCCCTGGAGACGGTACTTCGACCCCAAGAATTACGGAGCCCTTCGGGACATCAAGTCGTTTGCTTGGACCTGGGAGTGGTCTTCGGCCGAGGAGGGCGCACTCTCCTCGTACGTCTCGATGTACGCCATCTCCATAACGCGATTCCTGCCCAAGGACGCACACAAGGAATACTCGGTCATGGCCTTGAGCCTCCGGACACGGAGTCTTGAGGTGCTGCGTAAGAGAATAAGCGATTTGGATGGGACACGTCGACCAGACATGACGCTCATCATGTGTGTGATGCGTCTGTTCCGCATGGACTCGTTCGCTGGGGACGTCAAGGCGGCGCGTCTGCATGCGAACATGATCCGTGGCTTTGCCGACTCGGTCCCAGAGCTGGAACAACGGGGCCACTTCATCCGCATGTTGGTATACAATGACATCGTCTCGGCGACGAACCAGCTTCGGCGGCCTTTGTTGGACTATAAGCATTGGATCCAGGCCTTCTCGAATGAATGCCACGCATTAATCGATCATTGTCTGCCACCCGACCCCTCGGACGCCGAAGACATCCACCATTCGGTCTCGTTGGACCCACTCCGCAAGGCCATGAAGCGTCTTCAATGGTATCTGTCCTTTGGGAAAAGCACGGTCAAGCCTGGTACTTTGCGGGAAGCGGAGATGATCCATCGCTGGGTAATCCTGGATGCCCAAAGGTCCATGGCAACCCTCTTACACCTGTACGCCGACTTGACCGATGATCATGATTCCCACCAGGAACCCCACCTCACAAACATAGCTTTGACATTGACGTTGATCATGTCCCTCCAAAAGAGCCTTTGGGAAGCCAAGCTCAACGGCATTGATATCTGCGACTCGTCCCGTTTCATCTTGCCGCGGCTGGAGCGGGTCATGAGATCAATCATCGAGTCGTCAACCATAGAAGACCTGCATTACTACCGGGAGGCGCACCTTTGGGTCTTTTTTGTCGGGGCCCAGATGGAGCAGCAGAAGCTCAAGGCGAGCCACCCGAGTCCAGCGAGACAAAAACCTCAGGTCGCGCCGCCCTCGCTGTGGTTCAGCAACATGCTCGTCCTACAGGCGCGGTTCCTGAACCTGTGGGAGTGGTCCGACGCGCGGGAATTAATGCTGAGTTTCGTCCTCAACGAGTTCTGGGAGCCGTCGCCTTTAATTTGGTACGAGACCATTGTCCAAAACATAAGCGACCAGATAGATGAGGCAGTGACGGCGTCTAGTAGCGGAATGTCGGTGATGGCGCTGACGGGGCCGTCCGACACTGTTTGCTGGCCCAAGTACAGTGCCTGATTTCTGTAGAGCTTGAGAGCTGTTGCGTTGTGAGATGCAGCCATCTATCTGTACGGGGAAGAATAGTCTGTAACACTATTTCAATAGACGACTCACTCTGGGATTCACATCGTGGTGCCCTAAAATCTGAGGACATAAAGTTACGAAAGAAAAATCAGGTGTGAGTGGAAGGAAGGAAGGAGGGAAGTTGCCCCTTCGAGTTCAGCCTCGTCGAGTATCACAATGCAATGCTTGGCAAATGTCCTCCGCCTCCCACGATCACGAAGTACCACAACCAAGTAGAAAATCATTCCAGTATAGAAAAGGCGCACAGTGTAAAAAAGATCCAAAAAGTCAAAAAAGACGTGATCAGATAATAGCCCTGCCCTGTTGACTCTGTAAACCCACTCAAGCCCTCAGCTACGAGACCCACTGTATATATATATATTGAAGTCCCCAGAACCCGCACAGCCCACAGCCCACAAATCCCACAGAGCCCACAACAAACCCTCTGCTACGAGGCCCGCTCTACAGTAATTCTACAGCTACAGCCCTCGCAGAATCAATCAGTGCGTGGACCAGATTCGTAGATTCCTCTGACACCTCAACAAGAATCTGGTCCGAAGCCCCCACCCGCCACGCCCACAAGGATGCACATTCGGGAGACAGAGGAATCCGTTTCGCGTTGAAGTTGGTCCCAAACCTGCAGAACAGGTTTGGTCCGAATGTAGGAGCAAATTGCGGGATTGATATTAATATGTCTTAATATTTCCAGAATGATGAGTGGAGAAGGTCTGAGCGGGTCTTGTGGTAAGAGGTGCGGCAGAATTATTGGAAATCATCGGTGAATTCTGGAGTTTTCCTCTGAGAGTACCCTTCTTCTGGAACAACCGCATGTTTGGGGCGATGTAGCGTTTCTGAGGAGTGCCACTCTTGGGACCTCGGAGCAAAGAGTATACTTACATTCCGTACGTCGATTAGAAACCAGTTGGGGATCCTTGGTCAGGTAGTCGAGACAATGGAAATCTTTTTCAGCTAAACAGGTGGAAAGCTGTATTTGCGCATGCACACAATTCCACCATTTCCCTGATGGACTCGCTGAATCCAGAACATGGCAGATTGGGTCACGATTTCCACCATCCCCAGAAACGAGATAATTGTTTTGATCGATATGCCTATCAGGACCAGGAGGGTAATCGAACCATCTCGGCCAAAAGACAAATGTTGCCAGACAGCATTTCATCGACGGGTGGTGGATTTTGGGTAGGCCCTGTCACAATCAAAAGTCTTCGGATCCATACTTGAAGGCCTTCAACCTTGCAGCTGCTGTGATATGACGAAAGGTTCCCGTCGCTTGGAGCTTGCCTCTCATGAGATGATCAAGCTGAACAGAGCGTCTTCCTCCTGCGTAGTGTCATGACCTTCAGATGCGGACGGTTCGCGTCATCCAGGTGAAAGCACGTCATGGCCAGTATCAATGGACTTGTGACCGGCTCCAACGCCATGCAGACTGGCTCCAAGACAGGACGTCCTTTAGCACTCGAAAAGCTGACATTGTAGACTAGAAAGTCGTGGGTTGAGTGGGAGGGTTGAGGTGAATGACATCTCCAGGACCGTCCGTGTAAGTGACATATTTGAGAAGGATGGCCTCCACTTCCTCGCTGTAGAAGAGTGATGTGATATGGTTAACCAAGGGGGGGTCGCTGCGTCAAACAAATGGGGGATGAATGTTTGCACAGATTATGTCGACTAATTATTGTGAAAATAACGCCAAGACCTTAAGAGCTGCGTGAAATTACATCTTGATCCACCGCAATATATTTTCGCTCTCTTCCGATTGCTCCACCGTTTCTCCACGTGACCACGCTAGACTTTAAAATGGCGTTTCTTGTCGCTCTCGCGATCCTGGCAAAATGCTGCTTGTTTGCAGCCGCCTTCCTCCTCTCAAACACCATTGCCTACTACATCCTCCAAAAGAACATCGGCATGATGGAAGAGTTTCAGTCCGAGACCGACAGCGACTACACCAGTTACTGGCGTGACTGGGTGAGTTTTCGATCCCCCGTCCCCTTTGTCAAAAGCCTCAGATTCATCTCACACGCAAATTCACTTGGCCCCCTTGAAATGACAACTATGGCTTCTTTACAAATGTAGCTGACATTCACCTCCAGTTCATCTCCTCGCGTGGCAACGAGTACTTTTGTGAAATCGACGAAGAATACATCACCGACCGCTTCAACTTGACTGGCCTTAACACGGAAGTCCACTACTACCAACACGCACTCGACCTTATCACCGATGTATTCGACCTCGACTGTGAAGACGACATGCGCGAGACAATCGAAAAGTCCGCCCGTCACCTGTACGGCCTGGTCCACGCGCGCTACATCGTCACCACCCGCGGCTTGGCCAAGATGGTTGAGAAATTCAAGAAATCTGATTTCGGCCGTTGCCCACGTGTCATGTGCGAGAGCCACCCGCTTCTGCCATTCGGTCCCAGCGACAACCCGGGCCTCAAGACGGTGAAGCTCTACTGCGCCAAGTGCGAGGACATCTACAACCCGAAGTCGTCCCGTCACGCCGCCATCGACGGTGCTTACTTTGGCAGTTCCTTCCACAACATCTTGTTCCAGGTCTACCCCGCTCTCGTGCCCGTCAAGTCCAGGAGACGCTACGAGCCCAAGGTCTTCGGATTCAAAGTTCACCACGCGGCTGTCTTGGCTAGGTGGCAAGACGTCGTGAGGAGACAGCAGCGAAAGCGCTTGGAGGACGCCAACGTGATTGCCGAGGGACAGCAGCTGTTTGTCGAAGACGCCGAAAGCAGCGATGGGGCAGGTGATGACCGCGTCGAAGAACTGGACGACGAAGTCGGCAACAACGGCGATAGGAGAGTGGGCGCTCACGGCGGCGAAACTGAGGGTGTGGCCTTGTACGGAACGACCCCGGGCGGCGGACAAACTGCGCATTGACCTGTGGACACTGGACACATCACGATAATGCATGGATTGAGATGGCGACGAAACGGCGTAATGAGATCATGACAGATGGCTGGGCGGGAACCGGTTGAGGGAAAGTGAAATGGCGTAAAGGCGTGTGTGTCATTGCTTTTACGCAAAGCGTTCTCGAGCATACCGGCATCGGCATCGGCATCGGCGTCGAGGCGTCTGCCGCCCCCTGGGAGAAACTAAATACATTCAGAGGGATTCTGAGGCTGAAGCATGGAAAGAAACAAACACAGACAGACAGACAGACAGACATAAACAGGAGCTTGACGGATCGCCCACAAAAAGGCAAAGAAAGGTGTGACGATGTCCCCACGAAGGGCATCGCAGATCCAGATCCAGATCCAGATCCAGATCCAGCTTCTCCATACCAAGAATATGTACATCCTTGTTCATGAGAGAACTCGTCGATGTCTTTCCGACGCCGAAACACTGCAATGAGCTTGAAACGAAAAAACGAGCGTCTCCAAAAATTCAAAGATATTGATTTCTTTCTTCTCGTTGTGATTTTTAACTGGCTAAATGGCTAACAAGCGAAGACGACTTATCCCCTCGCTGCTGGATATCTGATACGCTGGCACTGCTCGTCCCAAAAATACCGCCGACCTTGCCCAATCTAGGCCGTGTTGAAGTTCCCAGCATGAGCCATGAAGATGTCGTTTGGCCTGAAGGACCAGAAACAAGCTGGGGAGTAGGCGCCACGGGCTGGCTCTGGCTCTGGCTGATATTCCGAGATCTCTAATCTCTTCGTCTCCTCTTGCCCTTGCGTCCCGTGTCCTCCTGGGCCTCGTCCACTTCTTCGTCCTTCCCCTTCTTCAGCTCCTCGGGCTGCAGTCCCCAGGCCTCGGCGTCGATCCAGTCCTCCCCGTCAGAACACTCGCCCACGTGGCCCTCGGTTCTGCACCAGTTCCAGACCTTGTCCCGCATCCTTTTCGCCTTGATCAACTTGCCCAGCACGGCCTCGTAGCCGCGCACGCTCTCCTCTTGCTTTTGGATGTACATCATCAGGAGACGACGGGTTTCGATGAGCTCGTCGACCGGAAGGCCGAGGCGGGCGAGGCTTCGTGGTGGTCGGTGATTTGCTGCTAGGACAGGAGGGAGAAGGAACAGCGGGTCGGGTTGAAGGAGGTATGAGTCGATGGTTGATACCGTCGATTCGGGAGAAAGGGGAGGAGTAGGTGCAGTCGAGCTATTGTGCTCGGCAGCCAGGGCTCGAGTAATTCTTCGTGTGGGTTTCGGTCGATCCTCGTCCTCAGACACCGCTTCACCATCCTGCTCTTGTTCCCGCTCTTGTTCATCTCCTGCCACAACTTTGGACTCTTCTTGGGCTTCTTCTGCGCCTGTCTCTGGCGCCTCCTCTTTCGCAGGTGGTTCTTCTTTATGCACCCCATTCGTTTTTGGATGTTCCATTCCACCACCAGCTACTTCTTTGGAAGGCTGCTCCTCTGTCGTTTCTGGATGTAGTCGGGATTTGTTGGGAATTGTAGCTTGATGCCTATCATTCGCGTTCGGGCTCTTCTCTTGAACACTGGGCGCGGCATTGGACATTGTCTCATCCTTCTCTCCATTCGCGTAGTTGTGCCCGTTGACACCGTTCTGGGTGTTCTCGCTCTCGAATCCGCGCTTCCTCTTCTTTCCCGCTTGCTGTAGGAGCAATTTGGGTTTGGGGTCAAAGAGATCCCAATCGTCCACACCTTCGGTACTCTCAAGAGGCATCCACGGCTCGTCTCCCATGAACTGCCTGTTCAGGTTTTTGGCCCGCCAGAGATTTGTTCGTTCTTGACGCAGTTTCTCCTCGGTAGATCTGATCATATCAGGAAGGGCACGGTCGGTAAAGGGTAAAGATAACGTAGGGTGGCTCGAAAGCTCAGAAGGATGTTTTAGAGGACATAATAGCTCTGGCAGACCATATCAGCGATCGTTTCAACAACACAGGGATGCAGCTGGGGGTCAGTACCTTCAAGCCGGATGCCAGCGTAGGCATTCTCGTCCTCTGCATCGGCATCTGCCTCGGCGTCACTTTCGCTGTCGTCCAGTTCGTCGCCGTATTCATTGTATCTTCTCGGGTTGCGTTGCAGAATGTATCGCGCGTAACCAGCATGTTCTATTTTCTGTGCGCGCGGTGAGCTTCTCGGACCCGGCAAATGTTTGCATGCGACCATACTTGCTTATGGCCTTCTGGGCCCTGCGGATACGGCAGAGAGCCAGCGTGAATATAGTTCGCACCACGTGCTAGCTTATGACCTCTGTTCGTGGCAGCAGAGGTAACCTGGTCGGCCGGACCTGAAATGTGGAGAGAGAGAGGGATTAGCTCAACCGTGCGCAGGGAGCATGTCTCAAGAATCAAGGATGTCATGTACCATCTCTTTCGCGTCGTAGGGTTCGCTTGAGCGCCGCGATTGTCTCTGCAATCTCTACATGTTGAGGAGGCATGTTTGCGGTCCAGAGTGCGAAGGGGGAGTGGCCGCGAGGGACGAGGGTGACAAAAGATCAGCCCAGGAAGTTCGAGGATTAGCGGGGTTGAGAAAGGCTGGAAGCAAAGGACGAAAAGGCAAAGGCACGATCAATTACCACTCCGCATATTGAGTGTTCTAGTATTATAGGCTTGACATGGGAAGAATGAGTCGAACGAAACAACAAGGGAGGGTCGCAGGTCGACTTTCAAACTTCACCATCCCTCACTCCTCATCCGGTTGCTCACAAGAAAGACTGGAGCCAATCACAACATGCGCCCTGGACTGGAGCCGCGGCAAAGTTGCCCGAATAAAAGGGCCTCCCAGGGTTCACAGCGTTTTCCAATTTATGACGCAATGCTTCCAGCAAAGCAACCGCGAACCCTTGTGTCGAAACCCTAGAGTGCTCGATGTGGCCTGAGGCATGAGGGTTTCCCTAGGCCGAGCCATGACCGACCGCAGGAGTTCCCTCTTGATATTTTGTAGCCAGTCAACTGCATCAGGATTAACTATCGTCCTTTCGACCGACCAGCCCTCGCCCGGTCATGCCTTCTTTTTGCCCTGCTGCTTCGTCATGGACCGAGTTACAGGTCGGGCATCCTTTTTCGCGTAGATTTCTGCCGTGAAGGGACTGGGGACTCGTCAGTGATCGCAGCACAACAAAAGCATTCAAGGTCTCTCACTCTTCAAATCGTAGTGCACCGAGATACATCACAAAGACCTCCAACGTCAGCAGCACCCCAGCCACGCGGCCATAATACAGAGCCGTGCCCAAGAATGATAGCGTGCTCCCCCAGTACATTGGTGCGTCGGTGACATTGAACGGAAACCCTTCCACTTTATGATCCATCAAGATGCCAAAGTAGTCGCCCAAGTAGGTCCCAGTGACTCCCAACGCGTACATGCTGGACAAGACGAGGACGTTTCCGCTGAGAAAGAGAACGACCCCGAGTTCTGGCTGATGTAGTAAGGGATAGATCGGCTGCTGCTCAAGCGCGGATTTGTAGAGAGAGTCTCGAATGATGCCAATGCCGAAGATGGTCACAGCCAGGGCGTAGCAGCCATAATAGGGTGAGCCAAAGGCCTTGGTCAAAAAATGAGTCTTGTGCTCTGTTCCTGTCAGTCACGAGTTACCAGTACGGAAAATGTTTCTTGCCTTGTCGAGCGACGATGCTTCTACAGTCAGTCTCTGAACAAACCAACGTCGGGATGCTCGGTACTTACTTCCAAAAGATGGGATTGAACGCGATAGCCACGGCCGCAACTTGAGGATTTTGTTAGCTCCATATCCCATTGCCAACAAGCCCTTGCCCTCGAGCCTTACCATAGAGTGATGGCTGAGATGTGTCGATAAAGCCAATCTTCTCTTTCCCCGTCAATCCAGCAAAGAGGTTCTGAATCTTCTCCATTCTTGAGGTCGATCTAACCGAGCTCTTTCTCAGTCGAATGTACTTTACTGGACAGGCGCAAAAACAAGTGAAAAAGCCACGGGTAAAAAGAAAGAAACGCGCGAACCTGAATTGAGACGAACGATGTTGCTTGGCGCAGACAGATATGACGTGACGTGATTGCATCTACAAATTGGAACCTGTCGCTAAGATTAATATATCGGAGAAGTCCAGAGACTCGCCAAGTTTCCCATCCAGACACTGTTGGAACTGCATGAGACACCTCACTCCTGTTCTTTCGACAATGTTTGCATGTGGCAGCAGTGCTTTCTGGCTACTCCTCTGGTCATCATTCGTTTGCTCGTATCCAGATATCTCGATATCTACACATCCACAAAACCATGTGGATGACGGGAGAACCTTTCTACCTTCGTATTGACTGCCAGATTGATGCACAATGCACTCAGACCTTGACCAGCACGTTGCCCTTCTTGTCCACCTTGACTCCACTACCTCCTGGTAGAACCCTCAACGTCTGTCCGAAATATGCATCAACCACATTCATATGCACTGCGATCCATTCGTTCTTCTTATTCGGCAGTATCCGATATTTCAACGACTGCCTGCTGATAGGAACTAGGCTGATCGCGCACGCTTTCGGCCCGCTGAATGCAAAGTCCTCGCTCGCCTCCATGGAGACGTTGAACGTGAGATAATGCATGCTCGGGTTCTCGATCGTGAAAGACAGCTTGTGCGCTTCCATTTCCGGCGGTCCGACACCAGTCGAGGAAACAGTGAGCATGACTCTTGGCTCGGCCATCGGCGCAACAAGGCGAGGTACTTCTAGAAGCGTTGTGCTGACTTCGTCCGAATCTTGTCGGCGCCAACCAATTTGTAGTGCGAGCTCAGCCGCCACCGTATGCCGATCGCCCAGTATTAGTTTCTGCAGCGAGAGATCAAAATCGAATGTCTCTGTGTGATCTGGCTCTATCACTGTCGAAATGGTTGCATTGGGGTCGTTGGTCGCAACATCTGTGTTTGCAGATTTCCTCACAATGCCAGTGCTTGCTGAACAAACCGCACCCCCTACGACTTTCGTAGCTGTGAGCAATATAGCCTCAATGACCACAGGCTCCGTGGCGAACGAGTAGAGATTCGCTGCAACGGAGTATAGGTGCCTCAGACCCAGAGGTGTCAAAGAATCGGAGTGCTGTGGAGGGGCTTCGAAGAAACTCGGCCAAGGCTCGTGGTCGAGCTGGGGGATGAAATCGTAATTCGCTTCAAAGGGCCGGATGACCCCGACATCGACAGTCAGGACCTTTGTAAGAATTGTTTCGGGTTCGGAACGTAGGCGATATGTCGCAAGAAGTTCCACTTCGTGATCAACCGCGGTGGCTGTATCCATTATGCGGACTGACACGACAGCCTTTCCTGACGATGGAATCGTTCCGAGTTCTCGTTTTTCCAATGTTAGCACTCCCGCTTCCGATGCAGTCGCTGGAGTAGTTTTGGATCCCGTCCCAATCCACATTATCTGCGCCGCACCCTCAACCGGGCTGATCATGCGGGCGTCGAGCGACACAATTACATCTTCTGCTTCTTCGTTCAAGATGTCGAAATCTATTGTCACTGATTCGTTAGTGTAGTATGAGCGTCTCAGTCCTGGAGCCGCAATCTTGAGTTTCGGTGGTTTGGGTTGCACGTTGATCTTATTGAATGCATTTGACTCTTGTCCCAACGATCGAGGCGTGGGTTTGCCGGCTTTCGATTCCCACCACCGACCTATCGAGTGTGAAAAGTCGGTCGAAGTTGCAGCAAATGAGAAAGTCTCATGGTCGATTATCAGGGTAATGGAAGCAACGACGATTTCCCCAGCCTCCCTGGGCACGACGCGTAGCCGGAATATCTTGGTGTGGTTCGAAGGAATTGTGAGATCAGCACTGCTCGTCTGTGACGGAACGGCGCCAGCGGAAGATCTCCTTATAGACGACAAGGACATGGCCAATGATTCGTCCACCTGCACGTCTATGAATTGGACAGTCGAGGTCTCGGTGTTGCCACCCTCTTCTCCCTTTGCAACCAGATGGACGGGTTTCAGACCACCTTCGAAGACAACCTTGATCTCTGATAGGCGGATGGCCGGGAGACCCATCTGTGCTCGAGAAAGGATGCAGAGTTGACACTCCACCGGCTCTCCGACAAATACATCATGTGTTGAGAAAGCAAAGGTGGCAACCAGCGGAGAAAGAGTCTCATCAATGCCCACGGCGACAGACAGCGGCTCTTTGTTGGTGCTAGACGGTGTGACCGCTTGACGGAGATCATAGTTAGTGTTTGGCTTCCGGTCAAATACTTCGTTTGAGAGCTCCCAAATCAGCTGAACGAGTAACTCGCCATCATCGACATGAGCAAGACAATCAAGGAGTGCCCAGGCCAGACCTTGCAGCAACTTCCACCATCCACCCTGTCTCCATTTTTTGCTATGCCACAACTGTCGCAATGTCAGGGTTGCCTCCACCCACGATTCCGTCTCGATTTGTTCAAGAGCTTTCTGGAGCTCGAGAACCTCAATCTTGCGCAGTTGACCTCGCTTTGCGAAATGACGGATGGCCGCATCCAACGTTGAGATGATCTCCCCCGGGTAGTCGTATCCTGGGGTTCCGTCTATGGGAACTTCGCGATAAGGCTCCAGAGCAAGATAGGTATCATAAAGATGAGCCTTACTGGCAACCATAGAAGCTGGTGAACGACCTGGTGACTGCCTATCTTCCTCTGGGATTTGCAAGGCCCTGCTCCGGCGCGCATAAATGCATTTCTTTGCGATATCCAGCCAGTATCCCTCATGATGAAGCAGTTCCCAGGGGACAAATCTCTCACCCGCAGAGAGCGACTTGTCCACATCGACAAAGAGAGGGAGCAAGTCAGGTGCGTTTGGAAGCCTTACATGCAACAGGGGATATTCTGATCGAGATACAAGGTCCGCCATGACTTTTGCCCAGGCAGTCTGCCACGCTGCCCAGCCGTAGTTATCTGTTCCCTTACCTCTTCGGTCGACCAGATCTCTGATTCGGTCTCGATGCGCCACCCATGATCTTACTGCTGTCGTCACTTGATCGGTCCACAAGAGACACCTGATTGTGCGAAAAGCAATAACATCCGCCAGCAGCCTTGCTTCGTTGAAGCGTGGGCTCCAAACGGCGATAGCATCAATGATTTCAGGCGCAAACAGATTATCATAAGCAGTCTCGTAGTTCCGACAAGCCGCATCCATCTCTTGCCGGAACTCGGCGAAGACGCCGAGCTTGAATTCATAACGGACATTCCAACCCTGTGAAGACAGTATGTGCGAGTTCCCCGGCTGTACAGTAGGTTGCGGGGCCGTGCTTCGATTACGTTTGCGTCGTGCATGCTTCGAAAGGTCTCGGTAATATTCTACACAAAGGGGATGCAGAGACGAAAGAACAGACTTGACGAATGCATTGATCTCCGTGGGCGAGGAGTTATGAGCGAGGAAATGGATGCTTTTGCCGTCTAAGCCAGTTGCTCGCCGAATGGTACCGACGCGTTCTTCCAGATCAGCAGGACTAATCATGCCATCTCCTAGCAAAATAACCACCAGTCTGGTCTTGTAATTCGTCGACGTGAGCACGCTCCGCACATTGTTGATCTCGGACTTTAACTTATTATCCTGAAGTGAACTGGTGTTGGGATCGGAGACCAGACTAAAGACCGTCAAGAGGGCGCAAGGCAGGCGTGACTGGTGTTTTGTGATCCACAGAGGAGAAATGATACCATCAGGATACAGCGGAGAGCTGGGAGTCAATGGTGACAGCGGAGAATGTAGCACAAGTGCTGGCGGTGGACTTCCATTTGCACCGACAGCCGACAGACGGGGAGAATGGGGAGGGGGCGGTGCTTTACGAGGAGGAAGAGTGTAAACCTGCACCATGTGTCAGCGTCACAATCGTTGTGGGCAGCCGTATGGTAAGGGGAGCGCTGACCTACCCGTCCGACCTTGACTATCCTGAAAACCCTGCCACTCCTCGATGTGGAATATTGAGAGTGCCACGGAAGATCAGAGGCATCTTGTTCGCAGAAAGACTCGAGTAACTGCTCGGCGAGAGGCCCGCTGACGATGGGCGCATCCACCTTGATTCTAAATCCACCTTCGTGCAAGAAGTCGTGGGTCTTCACCACAGGATCTGGCTCACTGGGGCTTCTAGAGTCCAACCCTGAAAGCAGCAGTAAAGGCAGGTTATGAAGGACGTAGTCTTGTGGGAAACGGTCCATGATTATCGGACATCTTGCGTTCTGACAGGAGTCAGATGGCGATGACAGATGAGCACCTGTGTGTTTGTGGTTTGAATGAGTATACCATTGCAGCAACAAATCAAGAAACAGGGTCGTCAACCTGCGTCAATCCACTCGGAACGGGGTTACAGTGAACAATGTTGGAAGATCGAAGTGAGATAGAACAAGTCGAGAAGTGTGATTGAAACAATGTGAGCTCGCCGCAGTTTCCGAATTGAGCGCAGGTTGCAGCCCATGGGAAATGCATCACCACCACCAGCAAGATCCTTTGGCCATGTGACGGATTCATCATGCAATTCAGACTCCAGATGTTCTATTCTCATATACCTACCTTTACCTTGGATGCTGAGGCTCTGCGCCATTGCTTCGAGTCCTGTCATGTCACTATGCCCGATTGGTGGCCGCTCTCCCCTCCCTTCATTCGTTGTTCCAATCGTATCTCGAAATGTTATGTGCAGAGTACTCCACCTACATCTGTTGTTGAGCCATGCTGCAGGTTCATCTAAGCACTTGGACCATCCGCAAATGCCGTTACGTATAGGTTTGGTCCTCCCGTTGGGTGGATTGAATCCCCATCAATAACCCATGGCCGAGTCTCCATGTGTTTTGTCTTGGTGCGCACGACCTGGAGATGGATCTTGTCACAGGGTATCGCCAGATTGCTGTCAACTACTCGGACTTATGCAGGATTCATGTTGGGGGCGTTTTTCTCTCGCCCAAGGTTTGCCTCCACCTGTGCATGTGGTTTCCTTTTTGTACTGATGATGCGTGTATCCAGCATTCGCATGACTGATATCAGCTCGAGGCGTAAGATGCACTTCAGGCTTCGACGAGTCGAGGCAATTACCACATTGGGTATTTGTCTCTTCTGTCCGGCCCGCAGAGCTCAATCCGCCACAGCTCTACGGATGGGAACTAGTTTCTCCCAATCATGCAGCAAGCTTACTAGACCCACTCGTTTGTCATGATTCCATGCGAAGCACAGATCGCTACCTGACTCTCTACTTTGTACCTCATCTCCTCGTACTCGTTACATTCTGGCATAGCCGCTCTTTGCCCGCTCGAGGCTTACCAAGCCATGCGAGGAATGGCTGGTCCAGCTGGTCAGTCTATTGGCCAACAGATTCTCGAGGTCCAAGTCGCAGAGGCAAACGGGTCAAGAGAGCTGCACAGCAGCACTGTCTGTATCTGGAAGGCGCCCAGAGCGGCAAGACGGCAACGTGTCCATCTCGGCTGGAATAGCATTCTCTGTGTTGCTCCAACGTCAGTTGTCTGCAGCGACCTGCAACCTAATCTGACGAGGGCAAAGCCTCGAATCCCATCAGATGTGGACCCCGAGACCCAAAACACTGGAATACGTCCATCTGTCGACCTTCAAGTCCACTCCTGGAAGTACACCCGGGTCACGGGGCGCTTCTACACGGGGCCGATGGAAGGTATTCGTCCTGAGACTGTCCCATCAAAGCCAGCACCCCGAAACAGGACCCAATGAGTCCCCTTGTCCGGTGGAATTATTCAGCCGGACAATGCAGGGTGCAGTATCACCAGCATTCCTAAAAGAGTAGGTGCTCTAGGGGCCTAAGCCTTGGACGTTGGATTTGATCCCACATCTTACCGACTCGGAGGAGACGCGAAGGACCGGAAGACCAATCGACAAATGTGGTTACCCACTCTCCCGTTTTCCCGGCGGAGAATCAGATCCATGGAGATCCAGAGCCTCGTCAGACTTGCCTTGGATTGACCCACCGTTTCAGCTTATGGTAACCGCATCAGACAAATCGGGAAGTGGTGTGATGTTCGCCAACATCACACGAGCGACCTTGTTTCCAGCCGCCATGGTCGAGGCCCGCCCTTTTTGGCAGCAAGGAATCGTCGTGTACGTAAAGATTTTCAGTGCGAGAAGGCCAACATGTAGGTGCCGACCTGGTGAACGAGCCGTCAGGAGAGCCAAGGAGCGTGCTCCGGTTAGTCACAAATTATTCAGCTGGATGATCCGAGTCCAAACTGCATCTGGGCTATCACCAAAATCTGCCGGCTGATGGACGGCGACAAGCTAGGCTCTTTGCTATCTCGTCGTGGTGAGCTGGAAGTCTCCGCCTGCAGAATGTCTCCGAATTATCTGTTCTGAGTAAGGTTTTCGAGAGAGAAAAGGAGCCTATTCGAGCCTGTTTTGGTATTGACGCTTGAAGCTCCCCCGGGCAAGCGCAGCTATTTCTGACCGAGCTATCCGACTGAACAAAAAGGCCCCTACTCCTCACCGAAGACTCAGGCTCTGTTCCAGACCAGCATCTTCCCCCCCTTTTTTAACCCCAGCCAGATTAGGCTTTACACGAGCTCGAAAAGCTGGGTCGGATGTGTGTGCCTTTTAATTCAGAGGTGTTACCGACAAATGCCTCCCAGGGAGGACGGGGCATCAAAGACCTTTACTTGGATTACTGGCGATCCACGCAGCAAGAAGAACATCACACAGATTCGGCGACATGCGGGGCAGAATTCCGGGGTGAAAGCTGAAAATAGCGCTAGAACTCGCTCGAGTTCTTCGCCTAGGCCAGGACTTCGAGGCTCTACAAAGCCCTTTAGAGCTGTTCATCCTTCTTCCAAGGTTGACGAGACCGCTGGGAAGTTCTTGAATTCACAGGGTGATGCGAACAGTCCCTTCCATGTGAATTACCCTTTCAGCACTGCGGAAAATGGCACCGCTCCCTCAGCTCCCGCTCAGCAAGATCAAGTCAACGCCTACGAGCCAGTCTACCCGCTTCCATCGAGCCTGAGAGAAGCGACTTCTACGAACCAAGAGGCTCCTCCTTCACGAAAGGTCACCATCTGGGATCTGGTCAACCACTCGGCCGAGGAAGAAGAGAGGCACAAGCTGGAACTACTGGGTTCAACTCCAGGGCAAGACACAGACGATGGTCGAGCCGACTATTTTGGCAATCACATCGGCCATACAGAACTCAAGCAAGCATTGAGCGAAGTACGGGCACATTCTCCGCGAAACTCTAGGAAAGCGTCTCCGTTGCCGGCCACTGCAGCCCTGCAAGCCAACATTGCCAAACGCCGCAAACCCACCGCGCAGGCGGGTCACTCGAACGCATCATGGCGCATCGGTATGGCGCCCTCCGCCGTCATGACTCTGTCCAAGGAAGACTCACAAGTAGAACAGATCCTCTTACAAACCAGCACCTTCTACACGAGCAAGTTCGAGTCCTCGTGGTGCGGACAACTCCATGACATCGAGCGCATCAACTCTTTCGAGATGCTAAGCGTCGAAAATTTCAGCGGCTCCATCACAACGGCCGCCGGACTGCTGGCTGTTGGAAGGATTGACTCGGCCTCATCCATACTCAGCCGTGTCCTCCCTACGCTGTCAGACCTCCTGATATTGCAACACCCAAAGCTTTACTACATCCTCGCAGATCTCAGTCTTGACACCTCCAGCACTGAACTCGGACGCCTACGTAGCCAAGTGAAGAGGTTCGCTGCCGCCGCATCTCTCGCGATCCTCGGGCCTTCCCACCCGATCACAGCTCTGCTCCAACTCACCCTCACAAACACCGACCAGCGTCTCCGACTCCGCGAATTGATTCAGCGCAAAATTCACGAGCTGCACGAACACCTTTTCAGTGCCACTTCTCACGAGACAACCGCGCAGTACTACTACCTCGCGCGTGTGCTCGCCCAGCTGGGACACCTGGATGAAGCAGCTCGCATACTCACGCGAATCATTCCTATATGGGAGAACACCCACACCAAAAACAGTCTCCTGCCGGTGACCGGCCTTCTCGAACTCACCAAAGTCCACCTCGCCTTGGGAAACACTAATCAAGATACGGAATCGCTCGTATCCGATGCGCTGCGCCGCACACTGACCATCGAAAAATCTTCGGAGGACCAGTCATCCCCTCTAGCGGAAGTGGTGCACTCAAGGATGGGCTGTTTAAGAACCCTGGGCCGGTTACATGTGATGAGGGGAAATGTGCAGACCGCCATGATGCAGTATACAGCCGCAGTGAGTGTAGGCGTGGGGGAGCTGGGGGCGCGCGTGCCCGCTGTGCAACTCGCCGTGGCAGATCTCGATGCGGTGACTCGCATGACTGAGCATTCGGACGACGACGACGACGATGATAACAACACCCTTCACGATGTAGATCGAGTGGCGCTGCCACCAGTGAAGCTCGGGCCAGACATCTGGGAAGCGGCGAGGCTGAATCTAGACGCCTTCTTGAATACCGAGGGTTCATGACTTGTTTGCAGCAGGCCCGTGGTCTTTATGAGCATTGTCCTTGGGCTGATGTTTGATTGGGGGGTGAAGGGGGGGGGGGGGGGAATCGATAATGGCTATCTAGGGAGGCAGCTAGTGAAGGCGACGGCGAGTTGGAGGGACCATCAACATGTTCTGTTGGGTGGTGGTTTTTCCCAATACATGCACACACCCGCGCCTTTTCGTGACGTAAACCTACAGATGCTCGGTCCGCCTCCGCATCCTAGGAGTTGTCTTATGCGTAGAACATGAGCGATGGTGGTGTTGTAGGCGCTATACAACTTTGGCATAATTTGGAGTACTATATTTTCCTAGTGTCCTGGTCGGTTTTATCCTTTCTTGTCTAATGCCTTTTTAATGGTATATCCTGTCCCATTTCCCACTACGAAGAAGTAACATCATTTTCCCTTGTCGGCCAGTTTCTTCCTTTTCTCTCTCTCCTTCTTCTCTAGATTCTGTATATATGCCTCGGCGGCAATTCCGCCAAAGACCAACCCAATGCCCATCCACTGGCCCTTGGTGAGCGAATGTCCAAACCACATGACGCTCAATAGCATGGTGAACATTTTCCTCGTCACTGTCACCGTAACGAGGAGGAGGGAAGAGAATCTCTCTAGCGTGGCGTAGATGAAGAGTTGGCCGACGGCGCCGCAGAGGCAGAAGAGCAGGACATCCTTGAGCACGGGTGGATGGCGCTGAAAGAAAGAAATGGCTTGAGCCAGCTCGTGAGTGTCGGTCCGCACAAACTCCGGGATGAGCGCTTGAGGGACGTATGGCGTTGCCACGAGGTATGCGCCCATCAAGATTGTGCCGAGCAGGTTGAGGATGACCATCATCTGCGGACCTGAGGTCTTCCCGTAACGGTGCGGGGATTGGAAGATGTGGTCTTGGACCGTGTTTGTCAGGCCGTCAAACAGCAAGTTGATCCCCAAAAGCGTCAATCCATAGATACTCGAGTTCTGTGTCGACCGTGTCTTGCCCGGCTTCGGGGGGTGGTAGAGGGTGAATACTGCGACGCCGCTGGTGACTGCCAGTACTATCATGTATTTTGACAGAGGGTACCGCCTGCGGAACAAGGTAACGTGTAACGCCATGACAGGGAGTAGTTTGCATGATTTTGCCAGGACAAATGTGAGGTAGTCGACGTGGGCGAGGGAAGCGTAGCCGAACGGAGATGCGAGGGTTGTGGTCAGCGTAACCAGCACCAGTGGCAGGAAGGAAGAGGTGGAGGGAAGAATGTTGAATTGTCCGGTCGTATAGGAGAGGTACAGGCTCCCGCTTATGAAGGCGAAGACGGCTTGGATGGTGTTGAGGACGATCGGGAAGCGGAAGTATTCTTGTTGCGCCTGCGCAGCGGAGGGGGATGTGAGCGGGTATGGAGTGGTGGTGATGCGTTCTTGCAGCACGCCCCATGTCAGAAACGAGGCATAGATACCGCCGACGCACACGAGGAGGGTCAGAATGCTTGGGTGGGCCTGCTGTGTCTGTGACCGCTGTTGGGAATGGGAGGTCGACTTCTCAGAAGGAGAGGGGATATGGCCATTGCTGTAGACGGCGCGCTGTTCGGGGACATCTGAAGGGGCCTGCATAACTTCCCCGGAGTTAATGCGCTGCATGGGCGTGACTTGTTTGCGGCGCGCCATGTTGTTAAGGACAGACGGAAGAAAAGGAATGACTGGAGTGAGTGGGCGATCAAAGAAAAATAGGCTGGAGTGCGTATTCAACTGCGGACAAGACGAATTGATGTTGTAACGTGGCGTGTCAGTCTCAACCCGCCGGTCCCTGACATGGTAAGTACGTGCTAATAATAATCTCTTCAGCCTTTGTCAGCCTCGTCAGCTCACTAGCCATAAGGTAAGAAAGTCTACCACCCGTTTTATCCTCTAGAGAAAGCGAAATACTACGCCACGAGATCGAACTTGAGAAAGAGGGCGCTTTGACCGGTCACCAGCTGTTACATCTCCTTAAACTATGTTCTGTAAATACTCAACTTGTTCGCTTTCAGGAAACGGTAAAAGTTGGGTTCATCCAACTTGGCTCTTTCTCGAATCCCGCTCACTTTGTGTCTGCAATGTGCTAGGAATACGCGAATCACTACGAGGTACATGTATGGGCTAGATAGCCGCTGTCGGAGGTACATACCTAGGCGCATGCCATGCCGCAAATATCTACAGTGCCTTGATGGACTGGTAATCTGAGCCAAGACAAAATGGCATTGGTGGATTGTCGCAGCCTCGTGAGCCCCTTGACAAACCCAGCCTTGTCACGAGCCGTCAGTTAATTCGTCCATACACAAATCAAGCTGAAGTATGACTCTCTGGAACTCGTTTCTCACTTCCCACTCCTAATCCTCTTCATCATCACTACCAAAAATGGCTTTGAACACAGCTTGCCCAGGCCGTTGCTGCTCGAGCGCTTCGTTTCTTTCCGGATCGAGCGCAGTATGCCGGCTCTCGACCATTGCTGCAATCGACGGCTCGCTCGTTCGGATATCGACTGGGTTTCTGCCGGCTTCTGGACCGTGGTCATGACGAGATGTCGCAGATCCAAAGGACTTGAATTGCGACGCCGCGAAGCCGGCTTCGCCAGAACTAGACGCAGTTGCACTTCCACCACTACCTTCCCCTGAGTGCGCCGGCATTTGCACATTGAATCTCTTACAGAGAAGCCTGGTAGGGTAGAAATTGATGACAGACCGTGTCATGGGACCAAACATTCCGAGTTTGGCGGCCGATTCTGCAGGATCTTCTGGCCTTGCCTGTGGCTTGCTCAATAACGAATCTGTGGCCGTGTCGGCCGATTTGCCATCCTGACCTTGAGGGGAAGACGATGAAGAGGTGAAACGGGCAGCCATCAAGCCGCTAATGGGCTTAAACACCTCCGCAGCCCGCGCGAACTCTTGCATCTCTAGAATCCATTCCTCCCGCTTCATGTTGTTTGCCTGCGGAGGCACCTCCTCGGCCGGTCTGTGTCCAGCGTGAATCTCGAGAAAAGTTCGATATCTTGATCTTTTGTTTTCATCCTCTGCATATGGCATCCAGCCACCAACTGCGCGATTCAGGGCCTGGAGCGCAACTTCCCGGTCCAGCTGGGGAATCATAAGCTGGGGGTCATTTGTTTGAGATTCAGATGACTTATTAGCATTTGATGGGTGTTCACTCCCAGCCGCGGGAAGGTTTTGGCGACCTGATGCAGCAGCCACGCGATTACGAGCAGCAGGTGTTAAAAAGTCAAATATCGACTTTCCTGGAAGTTGTGACTCGCCTAACAGCGATGCACGGGCTTTGGCCGTAAGATTCGACGACCTCGCTGCCTCTGCTGTCGAGACAGTCGTGCATACAGCGCCTGCTTCCGCGGCCGGCGAAATGGATGATTTCCAGTCTTCAGGGACCTCTGGGGGTTTGTACTTCTCGTCCTGTATGGTCATTGAGCCCAGTGAATCTAGTTCATCTGTCAAGACAAAGCCGTCCAGGGGTAATCGCCCATCGTGGCACTTCCTCATGATTCCCTTCAAGGTTGCCAATTTTTTGGAAATAAATGTGGGTTTGGCCTTTACAAGAGGGTTTGCAGCGCCTCCTGACCTCTTTGTTTTGGACTTTGGCATCTTTTCGCCTGCAATAATCTTGTGGTATGATATCTTGGGGCCCATGGAATACGGATCCTCATCGGAGTCATCATCATTGAGGACTCCAACACCAAGTCCTGTCCTTCTTCTTGCATGTGCTGGTTTCTTCCTGGGAGCGAACAGTGAAGCAGTCCCCTCTTCATCTGAAGCTTCGCCAGCAGACCCAGACCCGGGATTTGTTGTTGAGATGCTTCGACCTGACGACTCCTTTTGGGCCTGCAAGTCTCCAATATATCCCAGGCCTTTATGGTCTGACTTTCGCGTGTATGATACCACCTGCACATCATCTGGAGCAAAAAGATGTGTCTGCGCAGGCTCTTCTTCGTCCTCCGCCTCTTCGTCGCCAACTTTTGCTACTCGTCGAACTCGAGGGCCAATGCCTTGACCTTCCCTCCAGCCCATTCGCTTGAGCAGTTTTGACCCTATAGTTTCGTTCAACGGTCGAAAGATGTCAATGGCGGCGGTCTTTCGCAGAGTATCGTGCTCCGTGCCAAACCCCGCAAATTCTGAGGAGGTGTTCAGTGTGCGTGATTCTTCAGCCTCGCGAAAATCTTCTTCGTCCATGAAATCCTCAGGTCTTTGGGTTTGCCTATTTTGTGCAGCCTTTGCGCGGTTCTGTCTGGACGATACAAAGGAGGAAGGAGTCCATCCTTCTTTGGAGCCTACGGTATTAAAGTATCTGTGTCCACCACTTTAGCCATTGTGCTCTTGAGATCATTGCTCCAAGTGCTCACCCGGCGCTGAAACCTCCTGTGAAGGCACCGTGCAAGCGTTTCCTCCCTCTTTCGTCTGTGACCTCCTGCTTCCACACTGGCACAAAAGACCCATCATCTCGAGTATTCTCATCTAGGGGAGGCAGAGGTGTTCCATACAGAACAAAAGGTGAAGATTGTTTTTGGAGGTCGGCCTCGAAGGCCTGTCGCGATCGTTTGGAGGCCATATTTGAAATAGCGATAGGATCACATTGTTGGGCAGGGATCGGAAGAAGGAATCGACTGGGTGGCCTACAAGGCACAAGTTCATGGAACCAAAGTCTGTCAGTGGCTGGTGAGCTTGTGCAGTTGGTCATTCGTACACCATTTTTCTTACTCGATATCCGATGATGCAGAATGGTTTAGCAATTATCATCGTGTCTGGCTGACGAAAAGACTGCGCTGTACGCCAGCGTTGATGGTCAGACAACATGGATTTCTTGGGGGTGCCACCTTATGCCCTTCAGCTCAATAGCCTGATCAGCCGGCAGGGCCAGTTAGGCTGGTACGGGCACCGATCCCGAACCTTGGGTCAAATACCGCGTCAACTAATCATGTCACTGCGTGAGCTATTAGCATCCAGTCTAAAGGAACCCCAGCCATCGTTGGCCTTGTAGAGTGCTATGGAGAGCCTGGAAGTCTCGCGGAAGCATTAGAAGCCCCCCTCATGCGTGTTTTGTCAGGTTGTGCACCGTGCTTTTGCCTGCGCCCATCAATCAAATGTTCACAATCTGATTCCAACTGCAAACCCAGGATCTTAATAACTTGAAACAGAGCATTGGGACCGCCATTATTTCGCCTCAAGTCATCAATTTCGTTTGATCCACCGCCACGGCTTCCTCTGACTCTCTCCCCGCCCCAATCTGCGTTGGACGTGGCAGAGCTGTAGTCATCTTACTATCTGCTCTGCCCGCCTTCGACCTTACGCGAGAACCCGATGATACGACTAGTCGGCCCATCTCCTTCTTGTTGTGATCTCTCTGAACGTCACCTTGAGAGACTCGCCCTATTCGAGCCATAACCGACGACACAAACCGGATACTGAATCGAGCAATTCCCGAACAAAGCCTTGTGGCTGCAAGGCCCAAGGGCTCAAGGGGTTTGACATTGCTTGTCGTCCGTGCGTTCCATACTGGCGTTGGTCCTTGGATTCGCACAGCAAACGTGACACTCAGTCTGGTCTCTAATTCATCAACCAAAGATTCTGAACGGCAGCTGAATTGTCTGCCTCCGTCAGTAAGATGGCCACAACAGCATCACAACAGTCGCCTTCGCTGGTGCGAAGCCATTCGACCTCCCGTAACCCTCCCTCTTCCTATGCGTCCACCTCACCCTCGCAACCCAGCAGGACGCGTTCCACGAATACCAGACCTTCGAATCACAACCGCTCTACCTCCAGAACCCACGAAACCCCTCCTCAATCTAATCCTACTGCCCTTGCAAATGTCGCCAGGAGAGACTTTGAACAGTCGAATGTCGCTCGCACAACTTCCTCTCGTCGCAGCACCTCTAGAGATGGGAGAGGCGAATATCATACAGAGGCATCCGCTCACGGACGATCTTCATCTCGACCTGGATCCAGACGCAACAGTCAGGATCTAACTGCACCTACGACAGTAAACGCCAATGGAGCAACCCCACAAGTCCCTCCTAGCACCACCTCACGGACCGAAACACACGCCTCGCAAACCTATCCCACGATCGGTCGGAGACGAACATCAATAACATGCCAGACAGGAACTTGGTCACTGGGGAAAACAATTGGTCAGGGTAGCATGGGGAAGGTCAAGCTGGCAAGAAACACGGAGACCGGAGAACAAGCAGCCATCAAGATTGTCCCACGCCAGGCGGCTGACGACCAAGGGAATCCTAAAGATGAGCGTGCTGATCGTTCGAAAGAAATTCGAACAGCGAGGGAGGCAGCCATGGTGTCACTGCTATCTCACCCTTACATTTGCGGAATGATCGATGTCCAGAGGACGAACTACCACTGGTACATGCTTTTTGAGTATGTGAACGGCGGGCAGATGCTGGATTATATTATTGCTCATGGCAGGCTGAAAGAGAAACAAGCACGGAAGTTTGCTCGACAGATTGCAAGTGCGCTGGACTACTGCCACCGAAACAGCATTGTTCACCGGGATCTCAAGATCGAGAATATTCTTATCAGCAAGACCGGGGATATCAAGATCATCGACTTTGGGCTCAGCAACCTCTATTCACCTCGTTCACTTCTGAAGACATTCTGCGGAAGTTTGTATTTTGCAGCACCGGAATTGTTGCAGGCCCGGCAGTATACTGGTCCTGAAGTTGATGTATGGAGTTTCGGAATTGTTCTTTATGTCCTCGTCTGTGGCAAAGTGCCATTTGATGATCAAAGCATGCCTCAGTTGCACGCAAAGATCAAACGAGGTATTGTTGACTATCCACAGTGGCTTACAGCTGGTACGTGTTTGTCCCGACACAAGAGTCCCCATTTGCTAACGGCCTCCAGAATGTAAGAATATCATCTCGCGCATGCTCGTGGTAGATCCTCGAGATCGAGCCAGTCTTCAGGAAATCATGAACCATCCTTGGATGACAAAAGGCTTCAATGGCCCACCGGATAATTATCTCCCACACCGGGAACCACTTCAGCTGCCGCTCGATCCTGAGGTCATTGACAAAATGCAAGGTTTCGATTTTGGGTCTTCGGCATACATCACTGAGCAGTTAACCCGCATTATCGAGTCAGAGGATTACCAGAATGCTGTAAGGAGAAGTGCGAAAGATGATTACAGCCACACCTCGAACAGTGGAGAGAAGAAGCGTGGAGTCTTCGACTTTTATAAACGACGAAATTCAATCAGCCGCGAAGGTCTTTCGGTGCCATCATCTGAAGCCATCAGAGGACATGACCCCATCAATGCCTACAGCCCACTGGTCTCTATATATTACCTTGCACGTGAGAAACGTGACAGAGAGCGACATCAGCCAAATCCTGGCGCGCTGGCCATGCCTATGACGGAAAAGGAGGCGCCTCTCAAACTTCCAGGGCTACCTACACCGGAAGCTGCTCATACAAACACCTTTGCACCAGAAATGCCTGGAGAAAGAGCCACCGGTGGCCGGGCAAGACCGCGGGCTCGAACAAATGGTGAGGATGACATACCGCACGTTGCGAAGTCGTTGGAGGCTGCCGAGAGAAAACCAGCTCCAAATGTGGTTCCATTGCATGCAATTCCTCAACCTGATCAACCTGTGAAGCGCGAGGGGACGGCCTTGGGTCTTCTGCGAAGGTTTAGTACCAGACGGTATCGGGACCGTGACATGGAACGACCCCAACCTCCACCAGCTCTGAATATCCAGCCTCCGGCTGATTCAGTGACTCCTCCACGGAAGTCATTCTCTGTTCGACGTTCACGGAGAAGAGACCCAAGCCCAACCACTCATCATCAGGGGGGTAGCCAACCACAGCATGAGGGTCTATTGAGTGCCAGTGGCGGCTTATCTAGAGCCGGGAAATTTTTGGGTAGATCAACCAGTGTCAACTCCGCCGAATATCGTCCTCGACGTGTTCTACATAGAGGGACGTCGGGCAACGAGTCTCCAATGCTTGTGCCTGAGCCACCACCAACCAGCGGCTCTGATCAGTCGAGTGTGAACGCTGGTCGAGCTAGCAAGGGCGTGGAACTTACCGACAAGCCCGCTCCTAACGCCAGCCCTCTGACGACACCTCGCACCCCAACTACTACGCGTACCAAATCCTTGGGCCACGCACGGCAGGAGAGCATCCAAGCCCGGCGACGCCGCCATGAAGAGCGCCGAGCAGAAGCTAACGTCCCTGAGGAGACTGACGCTGAGATGCGAGATGAGGTCGATGTCCTTGACACACCCGCCATTCCCGATACCCCAGGGACCGAAATCTCAAAGCCAGCCAGCCTCAAGGGGCTATTCTCGACTTCAACTACCAGCAGTAAGCCACCTGAGTTCATCAGGCATGACATTATTCGCGTCTTGAATCAGCTCGGGGTGCAATATACCGTGATTAAGGGTGGCTTTTCTTGCAGACACGCGCCTAGCATCAACCTCGAAGGGGTCAAGGAACCCGTAGCCGGGCTCGACGAAGACAGAAGTGGACGCGTTACGAGTGGACATCAACGCCGGATTTCATTCGGCGGGGCATTCCGGGGCAAAGAGAGAGAAGACATTAGGGACGATCGGCTGACCCGACATCATGCGAGAAGAAGACAACCAGACCAGAGCTTCGTGACCAACTCCGAGGGGTCGGATGAGTACCTGCAACAAAATCGAGGACCCGAGGCTCACGATGGAGGCGCTACAAGAACTCGGGTTCAAGAGGACAGTGGCGAGCGATTGGTGCTCAAATTCGAGATTGCAATTGTCAAGATCCCTCTTCTTTCTCTCCATGGGATCCAGTTCAAGAAGGTGCAAGGGGGAATGAACCAGTACCGGTCAATGACATCAGCCATTCTCAACTCATTGAGATTGTGATGCAACGGGCAGCTGGATGGATTCAACTTGTTATGTTTTAGCGAAACGCAATGAAGCATGCAGGGCGCAATGTTTACGGGCAACGCGACTTGACTGTGGGCTGTACTGTGGAATAATTGTACTGAGTAGCGAGAGGTAGAGACTGCTGAGCAGTGACTCGTCGACTCTGATGAAGGAAATGTCAAACGAACGCAGGTACCACGTAGTAGTCATTGAGGCAGGGAAATGCAGGGCTTTCCCTACGCCTGCTGCAATAATGATGGATCTTGACCATGTTAAAGAGTTGTGATAAAGAGTTGTGATAGCATATCAGTTTAATGGTGTGCAGACGCCTCCTCCTTTTAGACCTTCCACACAGCAAGATTCGACCATCATTCGTTGGCGTGGGCGGGGAAGGGGGAGCGATCGACGGCCGTCGGAAACGAAGGGCTTCGGGAAAGACCCGTGGCACATAACTTTGGCACATGTTCAGCTCCGTACAAAAGGAAATCGACAATACCTAGTGAGATGTAATTTGAGTCAGAGGATTCGGCGGACACAGGAATCACTCATCGGCCTTCCCCATGTTGGGCCCGAGGGAAGAAGAAGATGATGATGGTGAAGGATAAGAATAACAAACTGACTGAAACATCGCTGGACAATTGTACCCTCTGCTGAAGGTGTGAAGGTATACCGAGTACTCCAGAGTGATGTGAGAGTACCGCCTTCGGGAAGACCAAGACCAGGCGTCGACGCCTAGAGGGTCATGGAAAAGGCAGCTCCCGCGCCCGGATGACGATTGACGGGCGCTGAGAGTTCTAGGTGCCCAGCCGGCCACTCATAGTGCGGCTCCCAGGGCTCATGGCCTCCAGAATCCACCCATCGGGGAAACAGACTGTCAAACGCTCGAGTCTGTCTCCAGCTTTCCCAAAGTGAACTCCTCAAACAAGCCCCGACAGAACCACCACAACCGCAACCGCAAAGCACAACCTCACTTCTTTCTTCTCTTTCCAAACCTCTCCATCCCATCTGATCCCATCCCCCTTCGTTGCGGCTTCTGTTACTCAGTTGCTGCGGCATTCTTCATTCTTGAACGCCCTTCTAGGCTAGACTGTGGGCGGGCCGCTTGTCAGTCCATCACCCTCCTTTTTAAAATTATTCTTGTCCTTGGTCTGCGAGGTCCCCCAAGGTCCCTGCGACCCTTTGTCTCGGTCCCGCAATTGTGACTGCGGCCCAGTGCCTGCGCCTTTCCCGCCAGCTGCTCTCCCCATTTCCACCCTTCGACTTTTTCCCTGAGGCTCGTGCCTTCTAACCACCGTCCCTGCCACTGTCAACGGCCATCCCTCCACCGAGACATTCAAAGCCGTTCCGTTGCTGTCTCGCAGTCTAATTTTTTTTTCCCCTGGCCCCGGGATCTTACTGAAACACAAAATCCTCCGCAGTACAATCGCAGTCTGACTGGCCGGTTCCCGTCGATCCAGCTCGTACCCAGAGCACCTCCTGTGCGACGTGGCTACCAACACGGGCAGCTCATGGCCTCTGCAGCCAGCATCCCTTCCCCGAATTTGAATACTGCAGTCAATCCCCCACAAAATAATGGTTTGGCAAGGGGCACAATGAGATCAAGTAGCAACCAGAAGGGTGTGGATGCAGGGCGCAAGCAGAGTCCTGGTGGTCCTGGTGGTGACGGAATTTCAAGGTATGCACACGCAACCCGAGACGTTTATCCCGTCAACTTTGCAGGCTGGACCGTCTTCTTCCTTTGGGCTACATGCTCGTCTCGTCTGGGAGAAGGTGCAATGCAACCATGATTGTCTTATTGCATGTCAAATCTCACAAAGGTCCTTGCTGATCAAACCCAATGCTAGGCGTCCGGCTTCTCAGAAAGTCTGGGGTTCTTCCTCAAACTCGTTCCAGCAACGAGGCTCCATGCCTGTCCACCAGAATGGGAACACTGCCCAACCCAGGAACACAAACATGATGAGGCCCAGTGCGCAGAGGGATGCAGGCATTACAGACAAGCAAGCACACGAGAGATTGGTGTTCCTCTTTGGGGCTGCTATAGTATATGCCAACCATGATCCCCGTCCAATGAGATGGTAACTGACCTTTGGCGGTAGGGGTTGAACATCGTCCTTACGTCCAAATCAGGAGAAAAGTTCGAGGGTCTGTTGTCCGGCTCGTCACTCACACCAACCAGCACGAGGATCACTCTCAAGATGGTTAGAAAAATACAACCTGCCACCTCAGGCCAAGCAAACGGCGTAGCAACTCGGGAAGCGGCCTTAGTTGGTTCGAGTCCAGAGTATGCAATGAACTTTGATCTGAAGGATACTGCCGATATGACCATTGCCGACTTTTCTTTACCTGAGACCTCGAAACTCACCAATGGTATGGTCACTCCATCGGATCCTCTCAAAATGCGCTCTAACATTACCCCCGCAGGCTCTACCTCGACCTTTCAGACTGACACCGATATCTCTGGCAATCAAGCTCGGGGTGAACGGGAATTACAAAGATGGGTGCCGGAAGGACCAGACACCACCGACTATTCATTAGGGTCGGCGAATAACTCTACTTGGGATCAGTTTGCCACCAACTCTCAGTTGTTCGGTGCTAAGAGCACCTACGATGAAAACCTCTATACAACCACCATTGACCGCAACGCGCCGTCCTACAAACGCCGAGAAGCTGAAGCTGAAAGGATCGCGCGGGAGATTGAAGGTTCAACATCGACAAATGCACACATTCGCGAGGAACGTGGTCAGGCTCTCGAGAACGATGGCGAGGACGAGGAAGAGAAATACAGTGGAGTTCGTCGTGACGAGCAGTTATATCCACCACTGTCCGTTGGCGGAGCGAATAAGTATACCCCTCCAGCGAGGCGTGCGCCTACTGCCCAAGCAACAGTTCCAGGAGCGCCTGTAGATCCCGCTATCATATCCGCGCAACTTTCTCGACCAGAACCTGGCGCGGGAAACTCGCAAAAATCGAGGCACGAAAAAGATGGACCCGTTGCTGCTGAGAAGAGTACAACCACTGCGCCAGACAAGCTGGCATCTGAGCCAAATGGTACGACGTCAACACAGAACACTCAATCCGACAAAGTTGTCAAACCTGCTACTCCAGCGACTCCTGGCAAGGTTGAGTCCGCGAATATCGAGCAACTCAGCAACAAAGTTGTCTCTCAGGGCTCCACTGAAAACGTTGAAGTCAAAGTCCTCCACCAATTCCGCCAATTCGCTGACATCGAGAAGCAAAGGGTTATTGAGAGGAGAAAGGCTCAGGCTAACCAAGATCGCGCTGCTAAGTTGAACGAACTTCTACGCTTCTCGAAGACGTTCAAACTCAAGACTCCGATTCCGAATGATCTGATCGGCATCCTCGCCAAAGATCCGGCTAAGCAAGAGGCTATCGTCGAAAAAGCACAAAAGGAGTCTAGCGAATCGACATCCACTGCGAAGCCGAGCCCTTCGCAAGCCCCAGTGGCTAGCAACACCACCCGCAAAGCCGATGTTCCACAACCTCAACCACCTATACCGGAACGACAAGTGTACCATCGTGGTCGTGGAGGATTTCAACCAGCTGGCCGGTCTGACCGGCCCGCCGGCCAGCAACAGCCACCACTTTTCCCCGGTCGAAACAACAGCGCTCCATATCAATCAAGATTTGGTGCACATCAGCAGGACCGCAAAAGCATTCAGCCTCCTCCCATTCCTGCGCCGATTCCCATTATTGAAGGACGTGTACCACCAACTGGACCCATGGCCGAACAAACTGGGATGACCAGCCCACAGAGATCCAACATGCATACTCCCAATTCGGCCATTTCTGGGAAATTCAATCTCAACGTGAAAGCTTCCGAGTTTCGTCCGACTGCGGCATCCTTCAATCCATCGGGTCCCTCGCAAACACCTTCGAGCCCCGGCTCAACACAACGTGCGGGTTCTATCTCCCGAACAGCCTCGCCCTCAGTGTTCTTTGGTAACCGAAAGCCAAAACCGGCTGCTCAGAGGCCGTCTATTGCCAAAGACTTCAACTCAATCGTTCGTATGAAGGCAGAGTATGCTCCGAAGAAATTGTCAGAAGGTGCGAAGACCGAAGAGGTCCAAAAGGACTATAGTAACAACGGAGGTATACCAAACGCTTTCCAAACGGGACCACGATGGACTGTCAAGCCTGAGAACGACCAAAAGACTTACGAGGAAGTATTCGAACAGCCAGCGGCACTTCCTGTGATCTCGCCAGCTCAGAGCCGCTCATCTTCGAGCCATCATATTCCATACCTAGGGCAGGGTATGGCGATACCTAATGGCCCTGGCAACATCCCACATATTTCGACGCCACAGCACGTACCACACAATGGTCCACACCAGTTTCCTCATCAATACGAGGATGCTAGTCATCGAATGCAGTATGGTGCGGCGACGCCAGGCGTGTTCTCGTCGCCAAGCATGGCTTCTCGTCAAGCTTCAGCCTATGCTTCACCCATGGCGCACCCTGCCCAACTCTCTTACCAGTCTCAACCGTACTTTGGAACGCCTACGGGCCAGATGCCCATGCAAATGCGAACCTATCCGGGCACTCCTGGCATGATGCATGCTCAGGTGGGGCAGATGAGTGCGCCAATGATGGTGCAACAGCCATCGAATGGGCCATACATGGCGGTGCCGCCGCATTTCAACCACCAAATGCAGATGTATTCGCCAAACCCAAATCAAGTGTATCCCCAGCAGAATGGGGGTTACTCGAGTCCGGGACGGATGGCGCCGATGATGATGCAGCAAGGATCGCAACAAGGCCATCCACCTGCACCCAGCATGATGTTTAGCGTTTCTAACCAGGGCGCCGCGCCAATGGCCTTCCCGCAACAACAAATGGGGATGCATCGTGGTAGCTACGGAGGACATCAATACGGCTCTACACCTCATCAGGGATATGCTATGCAGCACCGAACCATGAGTAGTGGATATGGCCAGATGGCGCAAAAGATGCATCACCAAATGCAGCCCCATGGACCTGCGATGAACGGGCCCCCTCAAGGACCGGCATATGGTCAAATGGAGGGAGGCCAGGAGGACGGCAAGTGAAACCGTCCGTGATGAGTGCTTGAGCATGATATTCACCGGCTATTTCTAAGTCGTCTCTGTCGGGTCGCCACGAGGGCACTGGCAGACCCATTCACCCTATACCGACCCGGCGTTTGAAGCCCAAAAGTTGGACTTCTCGTTCGGTAAGGTGCGCCATCCTAGAGGTATGTTGTTGGATCTAGGGCCTACCAACATCTGAGCTAACTTGGCCAGCGCCAACGAGAACGAGGATGAGATAGAGGTCCATCATGGGAGGGGGAACAGCTCAGTCCCAAGCATGAGAACGAAAACCACATTCCAATGGGCTTGCAGAGTATTCTATCGTTCTATCACACAAGTCCTGTGGCTCTGGAGGCTGCGAACCACCTCTGTCGTACGATGGGAGAGGGAAGCAGGATCACACACGGAGCCAGTCGCCGTTTTGGAGAAGGGCGTAACGGGGGCAACAGCCACAAGAAATAAGGCATTAATACAGAGAAAGCGGAAGAGGTCAGAATGGCTGGGAGGGACACTGGCTTTGCAGAGGTTGTATCGCTGGAGAGAAGCACATGGCATCGGATACAGTGTGCAGCTGACAGGATGGGGGAGTTGTCGATATGGCTGGAGCAGGGGTCTGGTAGGGATGTAGCTGTCAGGATCATGACAGAAACCTCCAAGCAGAGAGAATGTGGAATACGAGAGGGAGAGAGGGAGGATGGGAAGGGAGAGTATGAGCAGTCAAGAGTAGCAGGAGGGGGAGGGCTCCTTTGTTAAATACAAGTTGCTGCCTCTCTTAGATCCGCTCACTAAATTGTAGACAGGTACAGGTACCTAAGCACCTAAGGTGGTCGGGTTGTCCAGATGGTCTACTGCATCACTAGCACCCTACTGTAAGTGCCTAGGTACCTCTTTACCTACCAGTGCAGGTAGTGGTCCAGGTACAGAGTCTTGAGAGTGCAGTGGCAGTGGAAACAAGAATGATGATCGGACAACGGAGCTGGGCAGTCTGGCAGTCCACACGGTGTCCACACAAGTGTCCACAGGCTTCCTCTGATGCTCCGGCCCACGCCTGGATACTCTTGGTACTCCGTACTGCAGCTGCATGCAGCCCATCATTTTAGCTCGTTAGCTTGTTCGCTTGGTCGCTTCGGCTGCCATGAGCAAAAACTAATTAAACCAAACTCTCTTTTGCTTTTTGGGTTCTGATCTTGTCGCAGAGTGTGCCACGTAGCAAACATCCACCTCCACCGCTGGTTTCCCTCTCATTCCCTTGACCGCTGCTTCAGCCTCGATGCACTTTGTCCTCAAATGAAAAGGAGAAAGACATGGGAATCATGACACTCGCGATATGGTCACAGGAGGGAGAGCACCCACTCCGTATGGCTGCATCTACGACGAGGTACCGAGTACTCGTCATGAGTATCCTGGAATCTCCCATCTTCAAGAATCGCCCTAAAAACTTCTCTGTGAGCAACTTGTCCTCCTCCAGCTAGCCCCCAGTCTTCCTCCTCCACACTTGTCTACAGGGGTCAATCCATGGCTTACACGCTATTGCCAGTCAGGTCAAGGCTAGCGACTCTAGCGACCAGGGCAGCACGCGCTTGATGCGCTGGCACGATGCAGCTTCTCCCCGATCGCCCGTCTCTGAGCCTCTCGTCCACTACACTCGTCTACTGCTGACCTCTCATCTTTCGTGCCATTCAATCACTCTTTCCACTTTGCAAGCTCCCACAAAGCTCGACGGCAACGGCTTCGTTCCTTTCATTTGCTCCTGTTGCTGCCCAGAATATCATCGTCATGGTTTGGTGATCATTGGGGCCCTTCCCCGTCCTACGCTACTGCTCGTCCTGCAGCTGTTCACCGTCACTACGGCCTCCATCTTGTTCTTGACTAACTAGGTTCATATCCGACTCCATACCGGCATCCTGCATCTGCAACTCTCTGCGTCGGTACTGCACGCCTTCCTGCCCCCCCATTGACAACTGTCCAGTCTCGGAATCTGCCCTTGTGTGCGTTTCCCTTGCTCCTAGCCCAGCGAGCTGCGGTCGTGAGCCAACACCAACCTCGCCAATCAGTCGTCCATCCGATTTGTTCTCCAGCTTGAATTGCCCCCAGGGAAGGAGAAGAGAGGCACAAAAAAGACCTTGCTGATTTGAGCCGGATGAAACCTTTGAAGAGATCGCAGCAACACATTCGAGCGGTACTGGCTCACCCCAATTGAACGCCCACTCCCCCGATACAGACCAGAGGCTCTTGTTCTCCCCTGCGTCCCAAACACCATGCGTCAGACCAGAAAAAGCGGTACCCGACAGCCTCATTTCCAGACGAAAGCCCTGCGACCACAATTGCAACCTCCAACACTACCTGTCCCAGATTCATTGGTCCCAATAATAAGGGTGCTGGGCGAATAGGCGGTTTTGCGCCAGTGTGTTGTACGTAGGCGCTCCAATCCCAGGCTGCTGTGGCTCTGTAGCTTCCTCCGGGAACGTTGCATGGACGTCATGGGCGACTTTTCTTCGGTCTCAGCGAGCTGACATCTGGCCTCAGAAACCCAATTTCGGCAGCACCACAGCTGCACAGCCTTTTGCAGAGCTGTCAATCCGCCATTACGAGTCCCTTTCCCTTTTCCACCTGTACATTTTTGTAACAACAGCGCATTTCCCGTCAAGATTTGAACCTAATCACCCTGGCTTTCGCCTCAGAAGTTTTCGCCTCTTTTCTTTCTGATACTTGTACCAACAGTCGATACCCACGGGAAAAGAAGCGCACCTTGATAGACAGAAAGCGACAGTCACTCGTTTGTCCGCACGCTCGCTCGCCTGATCGCGCTTCCATTCCCTCCTAAATAATCCAAGACGAAGTCAAAAGTCACTTTTACCCAAAAAACGGCCGGCAGTCTCAACGTGCTTTTCTCCGACCTGTTGAAGCAAATTCTCCGAAAGGCCCAAACTCCGAAATAGGTGACCCAAGGCTGGGACAGCCTTGTTCAACCTTCCACACGAACCCCCTAATTTGATAAGGCGGGCATTTGTTGTAAGCGCCTTCGCATTCGGGCCGGGCGGCTAGAGGTAAATTGCATGTTTCGCTTGTATCACAAACCCAAGTTCTCTATTGAAGCATTTCTTCGTCCGTCTGTTCTTATATCCAACCAACCAAGAAGCACCTCTCGATTCTTTGCCCTACCAACAAGCCTATACGCTGGGGAGGCGGCCAGGAGTTTCTTCAGCCATTCCCAGTTCTTCCAGGCCCTTACAACCACAAGCCTTCCAAAGTGTCTTTGCTCCAGTCGACGGTTCTTGGCGGATGCTTCAAACATCACTCGCCAGCGACTTCCACGACTTCTGGGTCAAAAACAAAGAATGGACATAGATGGAATTAGGATCGAAGACGTATCGGAGTCGCCAATACCCATTAGAGCGCGCAAACGATGGAAAGAAGGTTACGTGGAACTGACATATCTCTCTCGACAGTGGCAGCCGTCCAGCAGGGGTCAAGTAGACCCTCCCTTGTATTCGATTTGGATGGCCTCCTCAGAGGTGGATCAAAAGTTTCTGGGCTACTTTGCAAAAGTTACTACCACGGAGAACAATTATCTTTCTAGGTAAGGCCCTTGTCCGTGTTCGAGGATGCTGTTGACGCAGACATGATCAATAGTTTCCTGTTCCGCGTCCTCGGCCTTTCGGTAATTCTTGCTGAGAAACTTCTACGCGCACGCCGCGCAAAACGGCTCGACCCAGTTCGAGACCCAAAAGCCCGCCACTTAATTCACCACATATTATGGCTCGCCCGCGAAGGCCTTGTTATGGTGGAGCAATATGTGCTCCCGATGGTTGGCCATTACGTGGAACTCAAGGTGTTGAGTTACAAACTGAAGGCCAGCTTCTACCATATTTTTGTACTGTTTCATAATGAGCCTCCCGTGAACGATCGCATTAATCGGAGAAGGAGCATTGGGAGCGGGGATGCGAGTTATACGTTGTTTCCCGAACCTTTGAGTCCGCGGGAGTCAAGGGAGGATAGAGAAAGGCTCGGCAGACAAGCCACCACAATCAGATCTCCTGCGGGAAACGGACGAAGAAGATCGCCAGCTATCAGTCTTGGGGGTCCAGTGGGTGGTGGGGGGATGACAGCGACCACCCGGACTCCTCCTGGTCTTCCTCTTCCCGCAACATATCCTTACTACGCCAATGGCAACAACGGCGATGGCAATGGCAACGGCAATGGCAACGGCACAGCAACTTTCCTTCTTCTTTTGCAGGATTATACCCCTTACGCAACCCAAGCGTTCCGTGAAGCCGATGAACTCGCCGAGCGCCTTCTTCCAGGATCTCATCCGGTCCGCCTATCTGTCAAAGTCGAGTACGTCGCCTACGTCTACGACTGCCTCCACGAAGCGGAGGCATCGCGAAAGATGGCGAGGATGGCCATCAGGCACGTGTATGAAGCGCAGGAGGGTATGGATGATGATTCGTTTCAGGATGCGGCCGAAATGGTGGGAATATTAGGGCGGATGATGAAGAGAGGACTGGGGGGAGGGGGAAGCAGTGGCAGTCAGATGCAGGGACAAAGTGTCGGCGGAGGAGCAGGCGGAAAGAGAGATGCCCAGCAACCATCGACGTGGGTATAGATGCTGTGGGTGTGTTAGATCAACGTGCTCGTTTACCCCGTGGCTTGTTATGCTTGACATCCAAGGCTGGCTGACCAAATGGACAAATCCAAACGGATATCTTTCACCGCCCGTGGTCATTTGCTAGATTGATATCTTGGCTACTCTTTCTTGTCAATTCGCAAGCTGACCACCAATATTGGGAGAAAGAGATCAAGAAAGAGCTGAGGCGAGGGTGAGACTGACAACTCATAAGGGTTATAGAGGCTGGCCCTGTTTACACTGTATTTTGGAGCCAAACCACCAGTTTCCACATCGAGGATCTGCGTGGGGCTTTAGTCGCAGTGGGTGGCAAACCCTTGATCCAACTTCACCTCAACCTCATGTAGCGACTGCCACGGGATTGGACAGAAAGGCAAGTCGGCAAGGCACCAGAGGGGGAAACAAAGACGCATTTTGCTATCAATTATTATTTATTTGCCATCATCCCTTCTTGCCTTGTGCGCGACTTCTCTACATATTTAACTTCCCGTAACCAAAGTCTCGCTCTTCCTTTTCTTTTGTTCCACTTTCCCTTTACTTCAGAGACCATCACAGCTCCCATCACTCTACACTCGCCCATCACCGAAGACCTCGTTGGAGATCGGCCATCAGGTTTGTTCCAGCACTCCGGCCTCCGCTTCTTGTGAAACGCGACCATCGCTAACTCCGACGCGCGCTTCCTTAGGCACTTGCCACATTCCTTGCTTCTCCATCTTCCCTCAACACCTTCTACACCACCAAAATGTCCGACGCTGGCCAAGGAGGGTCGCCAAACGGTGCGGCTGGTGATGCGCCGCCTGCTGGAGTCACCAGCAACGAGCATCTCAACATCAAGGTCACGGATGGGAACAACGAAGTTTTCTTCAAGATCAAGCGAAGCACAAAGTTGGAGAAGCTGATGCGAGCATTCTGCGAGAGACAAGGCAAAGATCCCAAGGCAGCGCGGTTTCTATTCGACGGTCAAAAGGTGCAAGCTGGTGATACCCCCGAACAAGTGAGTGATCAGACTACCAAGAGGGGAAGACTCAGAGCCCACTGACAAATGTGCGCAGCTTGAAATGCAAGATGGCGATTCGATCGAAGTTCATCAAGAGCAGATTGGCGGTCGAGCATAGCTACCTCTACATGACGAAGGAACGACATTGAGATGGCGGCGGCTACAAACTTTTTTTGCATGGATACTTTTCTGGGCATGGGAGACGAAAGATTGTGCTTTGAACAAGGGCGCGGATGGTAACCTGGCAAACGGGTTGATGGTATGGACAAGTCACGATAGCAAGAGGCCGACAACGGTTCATCTCGCCTTGATCAGTGGAAGATGCCCGGCTACTAGGGCGACATGTACCTCGTAGATGATTCTTTTCCAGCAGCTCGAGAACTGCACCTCATGTCCAGTGCCTGGCAAAACGGCTACGCAGGTGGCAGCCTCAGGACGACATTAGCTGAAGCAAGGTGTGGGATGCTGGGGTTTTAGCTCAAGGTTGACAAGTTCAGAGATTGCTTGCTTGCTCGCTCCAATTCCATGGCTACCGTGATATTAGTTCAAGGCACTACCAGGTCACCAGATGCACAGGTGCGGTCAGATTTGAGCCGTGGCTCAAGGCGCGAGACGACGCTCCGTACGTCTTCGGTTGGATCTGTACAAGTAGTTAGTAGGCCTTGGGTAATGTTCCTCAGCCTTGGATATTCTCACCATCACTATCACCATTACACAATCCTCGCTAGAACACTGCAGGCTGAAGAATGAAGGCTACAGGCTGCTTGCATGAGTGGGATTCTACCCACGCCCATTACCATTATCAGTACCAGTATCAGTACCAGTGCCAGTACTATCAGGCCGAGGCGAACGCTGAGGCTGACACTGAAGTTGAGGTTGAGACTGAGGCTGTGGAAAAAGTACTGCAAGTGGCCCCCACCCATATGTCCTGTCCTGTCCTGTCCTGCGGGGTTCTGCGGGTTTCTGCAAGGTAGACAGACGGATAGATAGATAGAGAGAGAGAGAGGGAGAGGGGGGGGAGAGAAAGAAGTAGGCAGGACTCTTGCCATCACATCACATCATACAACATCACTCACGCCTTACACCTCACGAGGAGGAGCACGAGAACGGGGACCGGGTACCGGGTACCGGGTTTAGCGATATAAATATAGCGATACAGCGATATAGCGATAAAACGAGCGACATAGCCCTCCCTCGTCCTCTGTCCCTCTCTATACATACATGTCTGTATGGGGTTGTGTTGAGTATGTGTATACACCTCCCCCCAAGTGCGGGGCGACAAGGTACCGAGTACAAGAACCAAAAACGACTATAGTCATTCAATCTGCAGAGATGAAAATGTCCAGATACTCGGCGTAAAGAGACATAACACGGGTGTCAACTTCACTTCTACACTTCTACATAAACACGCATGTATCCCATGGCACCATCTTCAGACGTCCAAATGTGCATGGCATGGCTACTTCTAGGAACATGTCAAAAAGTCAACCTCGGATAGAGAATGAAACTGCTTCATTCCAATTCACTACCTTCGCCACGCTTGCTTGCCATGGGATGAAAGGGCTGGTCTCAGCTTAGTCGATGCCTGATATTCTTCACCCTGCCCTGCATCGCATCGCCCTAGAAAATCAACGGGAATTTGGTGCTGATGGGGGATTCCAAAACCAATCAATGGTCCTGTCCTTCTAACTTGTCCACACTACTGCAACCATGCCACCGACATTGTTTGCTGTGTTCAGAAGTACACTGACAAGAGACAGACCCAGCTCGTCGTGTAGGGAAACTCGATCTGGATTTATGCTTCCTCTTCCAAAGGAGCCTCCTCCTCACCGTACTCCTCTTCTCCCTCGGAGATGCTGGCATCTTGGTATTGTTGATACTCCGAGACGAGATCATTCATATTGGACTCAGCCTCGGTGAATTCCATCTCGTCCATTCCCTCGCCAGTGTACCAATGCAAGAAAGCTTTGCGTCGGAACATGGCAGTGAATTGGTCACCAACGCGCTTGAAGAGTTCTTGGATAGAGGTAGAGTTGCCCACGAAAGTAGATGACATCTTCAGGCCACGTGGGGGAATCGAGCAAAGAGCGGTTTGCACGTTGTTAGGGATCCACTCGACGAAATAGCTGCTGTTCTTGTTTTGAACGTTACGCATCTGATCCTCAACCTCCTTCATGCTGACCTTGCCGCGGAAGATAGCAGAGCAAGTCAGATATCGGCCGTTCCGGAAGTCGGAAGCAGCCATCATGTTCTTGGGGTCGAACATTTGCTGTGTAAGCTCGGGAACACTGACGGCACGGAAGGAGTAGGCGTTGCGGCTGGTGAGAGGAGCAAAGCCAACCATGAAGAAGTGAAGTCGAGGGAAGGGGACCATGTTGACGGCCAATTTTCTAAGGTCAGAGTTGAGCTGACCGGGGAAACGCAGGCAAGTGGTGACCCCCGACATGACTGCCGAGACAAGATGGTTCAAGTCGCCATATGAAGGGTTGGACAGCTTGAGTGTGCGCATGCAAATGTCGTAGAGAGCCTATGCAGGTCAGAACAGAGCGAACCATGATCAGATATATGACATACCTCGTTGTCGATGCAGAAGGTCTCATCCGAGTTCTCGACCAATTGGTGAACAGACAGGGTAGCATTGTATGGTTCAACCACAGTATCGGAAACCTTGGGGGACGGGACCACGGAGAAAGTGGCCATCATTCGGTCGGGGAATTCTTCTCGGATCTTGGAGATCAACAATGTACCCATACCAGCACCAGTACCACCACCAAGGGAGTGGGTGATCTGGAACCCTTGAAGGCAATCGCAGCTCTCGGCTTCACGTCGGACGACATCGAGAACTTGGTCTACAAGCTCGGCACCCTCGGTATAGTGGCCTTTGGCCCAGTTGTTTCCTGAAAAGGGGTGTTATTGGTGTGATCATCTTTATGCTATGGAGCTGTTCAATCCTCTTACCAGCACCGCTCTGGCCAAAGACAAAGTTATCAGGACGGAAGAGCTGACCAAAGGGACCAGCTCGAACAGCGTCCATAGTACCAGGTTCGAGATCAACGAGGACGGCACGGGGGACATATTTGTTTCCGGAAGCCTGTATACATGTCAGGGGTGGACGAAGTTGGAGGATCTAGGGATTGACATACCTCGTTGAAGTAGACGTTCATGCGTTCAAGTTGGAGATCCGAGGTGCCATTGTAACTATTTGCATGGTCAATTCCATGGTCAAGGGGATGGACATAGGTAATAACATACACTCCAGAGCCGTCGAGGCCATGCTCTCCTGAGATGATCTGCCTGGAAGCTCGTTAGATATGAAGTTGTCGCGTGTTAGAAGGCGGCATACCAGAACGCAGCACCAATTTGGTTGCCCTACGAATTTTTATCAGTCTTCAAGAAAACGCAGATGATTTGGCTCGACAGCACTCACACATTGGCCGGTTTGCAAGTGAACCTATTCGTGATGGACATGTCAGTCTCTGAGCTTTGAAGGTACATTGAATGGCGGGGTGCGAGGACAGGGGTAAACAGCGTTTGGGACGCGTAGCAAACTCACGATTTCACGCATGGTGTTGGAGTGATGAGGGTGATGGAGGAATTATAGGTAGGTTGCGAGATGATGAAGACGATGGAAGAGCTACTCCAAAGAATGGTCTCTCCAGAATATGGTAAGGTGGTGAGGTGCAGTTGTGGACGACGAGACAGAATTGAAGGCCGCAGGTCAACAAACTCGAAGTTTGGGCAGTGGAGCGCCAAGCATCCACCGCGATAGGCACAAGGTCAGGCGGTGAAGAAGGCGCTAACCAGAGTCAACGCCTTTCCCCATTTGGGCCTTTCGGCAATACAAAGGGGACGCGCAGGGATCAACACCAGCTTCACCGCGATATGATGTGACATGGTCGTGTTCGTACTTGGAAAAAAGGTATATACTTTTGCTGTCGTTGTTAATGCAGGCATGACATACGTGATGCCGGGTATTAAAGATATCCGCTTTGAATCCTGTCTCTGTCTACACTTCATTGGAAGGATATTCCACCTTTGTAGTTGGCAACGTCTCCTCCTTCATCGACCTCATACTGACAAACCGCGACAAGATCGCTGCTGATCCAGCCTTGTCATTTGTCCCCGAAGCGCGTGCACCTCCAAATGGTTGCTGGCCAACGACAGCACCTGTTCTCCAAGTCAGTGAATTGCAGACACCAGCTCATCAGGTCCAACACTTACCTGTACTCTTACAATTGATATAATAGTTGCCCGCCGCATTCCTCAAAGCCTCCTCGGCATACCTTACAGCCGCACGATCTTGAGCGAACACCGCTCCTGTCAGACCATAGTCCGAAGTACTATCTACGAGCTTACAGGCCTTTTCGAATGCATCCGGAGCGGCGTCATCGTAGACATAGACTGTCAGAATCGGTCCAAAGAACTCGGTGCTCAAGTTCTGGTGGCTGGGATCTTTGGCGACGTAGATGGTAGGATGCACATACCACCCTTTTGAGCTGTCGTATTTGCCACCAGTAAGGAGCTCCAGTGAACTATCGTTCTTCGCAGCGTCGATCACACCAGACAGCTTCTTGAAGCTTGCCTCGTGAATGACTGGTCCGATAAAGTTTCCAAAGTCTTCTGGAGGTCCAACTTTGAGCTTCTCGGTTTCCTCAACAAGCTTGGTTTTGAACTCGGGCCATATCGACGACGGCACATAGAGTCTGGAGCAAGCGCTGCATTTTTGACCTTGATACTCGAACGCACCCCTGATTGTTTGCACCACTGCATTGGTGATATCGGCACTGTTGTGGACCAGATGGAAGTTCTTTCCGCCAGTTTCTCCCACTATTCTGGGGTAACCCTTGTACCTCCCTTCGGCAATGCCCTGTCCAATCTGCCCATATAGCTTTCGGAAGACAGCCGTCGATCCCGTGTAGTGCAGAGCTGCGAATTGCTTGTGGTTGAGGACAGCCTTGGTAACTTCCTCGGCGTCACCGGGTACAAACTGGATGACGCCAGCAGGGAGTCCAGCCTCGATGAGGATCTGATGGATCAGATAATTGGACGCAATGGCCGACGGACTGGGCTTCCAGATTACCACATTTCCCATCAAAGCTGGGGCACCAGGCAGATTCCCTCCGATAGCCGTAAAGTTGAATGGAGAGATAGCATAGACAAAGCCTTCCAGTGGCCTGTACTCGACTCTGTTCCAAACCCCTGGAGAGTTGTATGGTGGCTGCTGCGCATATAGTTCCTCCGCATACCGTACATTGAATCGAAGAAAATCAATTAGCTCTGCGGCCGCATCGATCTCCGCCTGCCATGCATTCTTTCCCTGTCCCAGCATTGTTGCAGCCATCAGCTCATATCTGTATGTTGTGCTGATCAAATCAGCGGCCTTGAGAAATATCGCGGCTCGATCGGCGAAGGGCAAAGATTCCCAGGCGGGCTTTGCAGCGAGGGCACCTTCAATGGCCCTGTTGACATCTTCGGTCGAGGCATTGGAGTATTTGGCCACGGCGGTTGCGTGGGAGGAAGGGCTGTTCTGTGTGAGGATGGAGGATGTCTTGACAGCTCTTCCAGAGACAACTAGAGGAACTTCGAGGGGCGCCTTCTCTTGCAGAGCTACCACCGCAGAAGCCAGGGCCTCGCGCGACGGACCTCCCTTCTCATAATGCTTGTTCGGCTCGTTAGTGATGTTTGGTAGGCGGAAAGCTGCGAGGGTCGACATTGTGCTGCGAGGTGAGCATAGACCGTGGAGGGATCGAGTGGTCGGGGCAGTAGCAGAAAGTAGAGAAGGTCGAGAAAATGGGAAGACTGCTCTGATTGAACCAGACATTTCTATGCAAAAGGCCAGTGCCACCTGACGAAACTGAATTTACTCCTCCCCTCGTCGCAAACCACAAACAAGCGCCCCACGTCGAGTTTTTGAGATCAAATGCATCCCCCTCTGGCTATCATCGGTTGGTGGCGGGGGTGGTGGTTGGTTGCTAGGCATGGAGATGCCCGTTCAGGGCCCAATGTGCCACTGATAGGCGCCCCCTGGGCGTCTCTCTATTGGCGGAAGCGGCGTTGATGGACCGAAAATGGGGTAAGAGGCTGAAAACAATGTCTTGCAAAGCCTTGCGCTCGTCGAGAGTCACAGGGCGCAGTGGCACAAAGTCTCCTTCAGGGTTACTTGGCTATCGGACATTGACTTATCTCTCCAGTCTATATCACGTAGGGTAAACTCAAGCTCGACCGACGGCAAACGGACAGCCGCCTGTCCTCTCCTTCTTCAGTCTTTCTCTGGTTATCTCCATTTCTTTGGATCCCTTGCCGGCAAACACAGATGGTCCAGTACTCCTGATCTCGAATCCTTCAGGATATGTACCTGGGTCTCCCGGACGGGGGATTCCAAGCAGGAGGTGAATCATTGCCCCAGGACCCCATCGATTCCACAGAGTTGGCTTGACGTAGACAGGTGCAGTGTCCCACGTAACATAGTATCGTCTGCCGTTCGCATCAGGTTTCTTTGTCATGAGCTGCTTTGCCATGAATGGAGGCCTAGGTAAAGCAAGATATCTAAGCAAGAAACGTCGCAATTCCATGAAGCCGTGGAAGCATGCTCGGTATGACGACGGTGCCTCTTCGAACATGATTGCTTTCCTCAGCCGGTCGTCCAAGGGAGCGCTCACAACCTTGGTAAGAATAGGCTTCATGAAGGGAGGATGAGTGCTCAGTAGCAAGTTTCGAGTCTGCACCGCCGTGTCGTAGTTCTTCTGATGAGGCACCATATATGTCTTCTCATATTGCTTCGACCAGGTATCCAGCTCCCGATAGAAGTGCAGGCCATCTTTCCATCCTGTCGAATATGAAGGGAGCTTCTCGAAAGATATTTCCATCCCGTCGCCCATTGCTTTGTGGAATACGCCCATTGCGCATACTTCCAAGTCGGTAAGTTGTCTCCACTCGTACTTGTTGATCCATTCCACAGGCTGGCTGAGAAACAACGACAATGTATACAGCATATCATCATTACTGATTTTGCCTTGTTTGATGTAATGCCCGTGTAAATAATTCAGTCTGGCGTAAGCCTCGATACATCTGTCGCTGTCCGGCTCGCCACCGTACATATCGCCGAGCAATACGCCAGTGTCAGCGTAGCGCTTGGGCACATTCTTCTCTGCAACGAGTTGCGTTGTCTTTACCAAGAGCTCGCTAATGCTCGGAATTGCGTACGTCCGAAAAAGTGCAAATTGGAGGCCTTTCTCGAATAAGGACGGGAATTCCAGGTCGCTCACAGCTCTAAGAATATCATGGGCTTCTTTGACGGTCATTCCCTCGTACGACGGGTGCTCAGGCGTGCCATACTTGAACTTGGCGCGGAGGGCGTTCAGTCGGCGTAAGCGGAGAGCTGAGCAGAGAAAAGGGTAGGCCACAATCGCAGGGATGAGATAGTAGGACCAAATCCACGAGAATCCTGAGATTCTCGGCGTGGAAATCGATGCCAGTTTCGAGAAGGACTCGTTCGAAAAGGTCGACATGCTGCAAGTTGAAATGACCCTGTCCCTCTTTAGATCGATTGCCGACGCTGACAAACAGTGCGTTGATGACTGGTCCCAGAAGAGGCCGGTGATGCGACACCAGGGTGCTCACACTGAGATATTGATGAGACAGACAGGACAAGAACAAGAGTGAAGAGGCCACTGGCGATAGTTGGACTGAAAGCACCGAATATATAACGAGTACCTTGGTACCCAGAGAAACTGTGGTCAGCAACTTTGAATCATTTCTAAGGGGGGGTCGGGTGTGACTTGGGGTGACATTTCTGGCTAGCACACACCACAATAATATTACTCCAGCCAGCTGCCTGTGGACATGTCGACATGGAGCACCCGTGGTGCTGCCGCTGTGCCTAATCCACACTCGCTACTCGCGCATTACTTCTCTATTTATCGGCTACAAGTCCCACAATCATACTAAAGCACAACCCATCTGACCAGACAGCGTTCTCGCGAGCCCGTATCTGACCGATTGCCTATCTCAGACAACACCAGACAATGTACCTACAGTACCTCGCACCACCCACCGCATCCTACGCGATACAGATCCGCGATGGCCGTCTGCATAAAGAGATACAGGGTTATGTAAATGAACATTAAAAAGAGGCTGTGAGAACCTGGAGATATGTATGTCCTCACCCACTTTAGCCGTACGAGGAGTGGGCTTCTCACATCGAGTCAGCCATATCGACGTCGAGATGAGGGTCTTCCATATCACGGAGGGATCGAAATCGCCGTCCTCACCTATATACTTGTCGCGATTATGAAGGCTCAGGCCCAACTCAACCTAGGCCAAGTCGAACTACGGATTAGGCGGTACTCGTACTTGTAGTGCGATGTCAAGGGACATATCAAAATGACACGACTCTGTCGTTTCGGTGTCTGTACATAACCCACTCTTGTTCAATTAGTTGACCTAGCATGCCTCCCTTTCTAGACCATCCTTCGCTTGCTGTTACCTCTTTTCGAATTCGATATCCCATCTTTAAGGGGCCAACATCCACAATGTTATGCAATTCCCATATTGTCACTCGGAGATCTAACATCCCGCGTCCAGTTCTTTACAGGCGCCGTGCGAAACACGAATCCGAGGTACGTGCATTACCATCATTCAGCCACAGATGTCGTGCATGTGCAGCCGTTCACCCTATTCCATCTTCGCCGTTCCGTTTGCCAGTGCAATTGCGCGGGCAGCTGCTTCTTCAAAAGAATCTGTGATGGCGGTTAATATCGAGGGCTGGATCAACACAAAATATCGTCCACTTACCAAAAGCATCGAGCTTGAGACCACTTTCCCGGATGAGTTTCTGTCCCTCGGCCTCCCTGGTTCCTCGGATACGAACGACCACGGGGACCTGCAGATCCAAGTCCTTGAAGGCCAGCAGGATCCCTCGAGCAATCATGTCGCCCAGGGTCAAGCCACCAAAGATATTCACAAATATACACTTGACTCGAGGGTCCGAAGTCACGATTCTGAAGCCTGCCTTGATGGTATCGGAAGTGGCTTTGCCGCCGGTGTCCATGAAATTTGCCGGGTGTCCACCTCGAGCCACCAATGCATCGACTGTGTTCATGGCCAGCCCTGCGCCATTGACAATAGTTGCCAGCGTGCCCTCTCCTGCTAATTTGACATAGATCATGCCCTCTTTCTCAGCCTCGACTTCTTCACGCACCTCGCTATTGATATCCCGGAGAGCATGGACATCTGCCTGTCGTCCTGAGCTTCTGAAAGCCGCGTCGTCAAACCCAAACTTGGCGCCTTGGACCTGGAGGCCTCCTTCGTTGTCGATCACGATTTTGGTCTGTAACACAAAAGCTTCTTTGGACATGAAGATATCGACCAGCTCCGCAATAAGTCTACCCAGGGAATGCTTGCCCTTTCCGGAAACACCCAAATGTGACGATACCGTCTGAAGCATTGCATCTGAGGTCGCTTCATCTGTCCCGTAAGCGAAGGGAAACTTTTTCGACTTGGCGAATGCCTGTGATGGATCTGTGGTGGGTGAGGCTATGATGCAAGGCTGCCGTGCTTCCCGATCAATAGAGATGGCAACGAACTTCTCCTGTAGTTCTGTGGGGTTGTCAACCGTGGGTATTCCCCTCTGCTTCAACATGTCAAAGGCTTGCGAAGGTTTGATGTACAAGTTACGCCGCTGCTGAGGGGTGAATCGCGTGTCAACCAGTCGAGGGCGCGTCCGCATTGTGTGGTAACCTCTCCGCTGCGATGCGGCTGATGACCCTGTCCTGCCGTTGGAGCCCGATTTGGATCGCTCAGCGAGCAACTTCTTCATGCCCTCACCCAATTTCTCTGGATGGTCAACAACCTTCACTCCGACGTCTTCCAGAATTTTGATCTTTTGTGCCGCAGTGGCTTCTCCGGGAGCAGCCCATGCTCCTGCATGGCCCATAATCCGCCCAGGCGGAGCTTCGACGCCACCAATGACCGACATGAAGGGTTTGGGGTTTGCAGTCCGCCGCTGATAGTCTTTGATCCACTCTGCTGCTCTTAACTCGGCGCTTCCCCCAACTTCCCCAATCATGATGATGCCCTCAGTCTTCTCATCCTCGACCAGGACTTGAAAGGCTTCTGTGAAAGTGGTCCCTGCAAGAACATCACCGCCCATGCTGATTGCATATGTCTGACCCAGTCCCGCTCGTGTCGTGGACGCGACAGCTTCATAGCTCAATGTGCCCGATTTGGCGATAATGCCAACGTTGCCTTCCATAAAGAATGGTAGAGGTTGGAATCCCAGGCGACATCGGCCGTGGACGTTGATGATTCCAGGACAATTTGCGCCCACCAACCTCGTCTTCGACTGTGTTCGTAGCATTTGGTGTATCCTCAGGATGTCGTGTACAGGTATGTGCTCGGCAACCGCCACGATGAGGGGGATTTCGTTCTCAATGGCTTCCTCCATGGCCTTGACGGTGCCATTCCCCGGGACGTAGATGGCGCTGGCATCAGGCTTCAGCTTCTCAACAGCAGCTCTGACACTGGGAAGAACTGGTAAACCCAGATGCTCACCCTCCACTCCGGGTTTGACTCCACCAACAATATTGGTACCGAAGTCGAGAGATTCCTGGGCATTCATCGTGGCTTGTCGTCCGGTAAAGCCCTGATAGAGCACGCGAGTATGCTTCCCGATCTTGAGGTTATTGATTGTGTCGGCATAGCTCCGCCGTCGAGCAGACGTCGAGAACGGGGCGACATTTCCACAGACGCCGTGTTTGTACAGGACCGACCACGAGGCTTTCTGGGATCTGAGTCCCCTCGGCAAAATGATTCTGGTCATCCCACTGGAACCACACGCTGCCAGCTTGCGGGAGGGAGAAAGAAAAATCAGTAACGCTCAATGCAAATACTATATACACAGGCACCACGATCTCGGAGCTCCAAAGCCCGTCGATTGAACAGCCAAGATCGACAATGGGTAGCTCGAACAACTCAAAATGTCCCTGATATTGGATGAGGGGATTATATACAACAAGATTGGTTGGAGAAGGTCGGCACGGTAAATGTCAGATTTCGGGTGCTGGATCAGTGAGGCGGGCAAAGAACTTCCGAGGTCGGAGAGGGCGCCGCTGAGGAGGACAGCCAGGAATCGAGACGCACTTGGTGATGACTGCGGGTGTTTGCGGCCTGGTTTCCGAGACGCTAGCGAGTTTTCGAGAGCCAACGAAAGTTCGATGGGCGGGATTAATGCTGGTTCTCGTGGTCTCTTCCCAGAGGTCCGACGCACCGCCGATCCAGGTACGGGGTTTACTTACGAGGAGTTAAGTACTCCGTAGGTAAGGATAGGGCAGGGGTAGAGGACGAGAATCGCCCACGCTGCCCTGGAACCCACCAGGCTTAGAATTAACAGTTCAAGGGTGGAATACGAGTAATGACCACCGACTCGAGATTACAACCAAGCATGGTTGGCAGGGGCGCCGGGGCGCTGACCATGTGTAACAGAGGCTTGTACGAGCACTTCTGAGAAACCAAGGGTACCTGCTCGCTGCCTGCCTAGGTAGGTACCTAGGCACCTACCGAGTACTCGTACATACAAGTACACACGAGCACCTATGTACAAGTACGAGTCTTCTGGTGCTCCTCGGCCCTAGTTGCCTTCCCTACGTCCCTGGAGACCCTGCACCAGCAGCCCTCAGCACAAATGCGGGGATTGTTCTTAACAGGCAGACAGGGTTACAATCCCCCATGTGAAAATCACCCCCGGCTTGACCACAAACTAGATCATCTAAGAAACCCCAACCGCCAAACTGTCGCTTAACTTTGACCTCCGCTTGCGATTCGTCATTGCACCACCCTTTTGACACGAGATGTCTTGAGGGATGGAGCTCATTTTGCGGAGCACGTTGTTCGTGCAAAGGACATCGAGTATCTTATGACATCGATCAAGGGATGATCCGATCGTCTCGTTCCTGGAACATTGCGCTATATCCTTGCTCCTGAGTATTTGTTCGCCAGGTTGCGCCTCTCCTCTCTCAAAATCATCTCTTGGATAAAAACCATGTCGGGCCAAACATCAATACACCCCAAAGCGCCCGAGTTGCACATTAGACTTCCTAACCCTCGACCTCCACCCTCGATGAAGAAGGCGGAACAAGTGATCGAGTCTTGGGAAGACGATGATCCTTCTTCCCCCGTCGAAGGAGATTCCAATACTCATACACCAGTCGAGGGAAGTGGCCTTTCTCTGAAGCAGTCCGAGTCTGCAGATCCTGCGCTACGCCCACCTCCCCCTACCCCCATTGTTCCAAACAACGGTGGGCAGTACATTGACTGGTCACCCGCCCAGGTCCTTGGAGGTGGCCGTCCAAGTACCAGGCCATTCACGCCTTCCGGGGCTTCCACACCACAGAACGACTCTGATCGAGAACAACGAAGACCAGAGAAGACGACGGCCACCGCTAGTCGAATGATAGCCGCAGGATTGGGGTTGAAAGCTCCCAAGAAGACCGAGGAACAAAGGCAGTATGATCGAGCGGTTAGAGAACAGGAGATGAAACGAAGAAGTAAGGAGAAGGAGGAGAGAGCACGTGAAAGAGAAGCTGATGAAAAGGCCAAAGCTGCGGTTTGGGATGATTGAGGTCGATTGGCTGTCAATGATCCTGGACGAGATCAAGGAGAGTCTAAAGATTTCTTGCTCGCAAGAATGTATATGCTGCGAACTTGTGCTGTGTCGCTATATCGGCCCGTTGGGAAGACATGCCGCCGATGACATGTCCGAGTCAGAAGGACCAGAATTTTGAGGTTATCTATCTGAACGAGGGATCTCATCCGTCCGTGTCAAAAGTAAAGGAATGCCACAAGTTTTAATTTAGGTAGCCAAAAGTCATTGGGAGATCAAGTCTGCTTTTAGGAGACGGTGATTTGTATCAAACTCCCAATCCACACTGTAGTGCAGATATCAAGTATAGGGGGAAGACGAGACAAATGAACTTTCTTCAAGTTGAGTGACATTTGTTTCGCAGACACAGACACAGACACGCAGGATAAGCGCGGCGGCCGAAGAATGAGTGTTTGTTGCCTGTGTTTCTGCCTGTATCTCCACTATGACGCGCATTGGTTGGCAGGAAATGAAATGTCTTGCTCTCCCAAGTCTCCCAGTATCAGTCAGGTACCACATGTGTGGACTCTTCACATACTTTATATCCCTACATAATGCGATTAGTGCGCCGAGTGAGTTTCCCCCGTGTCTAGTCATGCAATGTTTTGCTTTAACTGTTGCATCTCAACTAGATTGCTACCTCCAAATCGGCATCCAACACGATGGTGAGCCAATTTCTAGGGGGGACGATGACTTTTCTCCATTACTGGTTTCACTAACTGTCGACAAGGGCCGCCTTGAAGACGATTTAAAGGCAGATCCTCCCTGCCACCCTAGAGCGGTAAGAATTGGTTTCTGAGCTTCGAGATAAGAGTCCACGCTGATGTTTCTGTAGTGTGCAATCCAAGGTATGTATGACCAGGCTCACGGAAGGCTCGTTAACCGTTGATCATGAAAATGACACCTCGTCCCTACCTAGACTGCCTGCAGAAAAACAACTACAAAGAAGAAAAATGCCAATCAGCAATCGACGCCCTGTACGAATGTTGCAATGCATTCTATAAGAGTAAAGGAGATGATGCCACCACGACCTCGTGTCCGAAACCCAAGCTGCTGAGGTTGAAGATGGAGCAACGAGGACAGAAGTGAAGCTACACAACTAGTACAGCACGAAATCGCCTTTGTCAATGAGCATATACACTGTAAACAGATCCTGAGGATGCCGCATGAGGTGATAGGAAGGTGGATGTAGCAACTCGATTTTTTCTACCTGAACCATCAGTCCCGTTTTGTAAGGTCTGGTCAGCTGAACAGCGAATGCCGAAAGATACTCTGAGGCAGTCGTGAGCACGCAAGAGACCCCGTAGGATCTGAACAAACATTGAACGTCCGTTCCGAGACTCTAATGACTACCTGGTTGACATTGATGGAAAGAAAAGAAGAGAAGAAGGGGAAAAGAATTTTGAATGGCGCATTTGAAGACTTCAGCAATAGCCTAATCGGGTTTAGCTTGTCGAGTAAACTGCCGCGTCGCGTTGTGAAAGGGCAAAGATTCCAAAGAAAGCCAGTGCCCACAGATTCAAAGCTGTGCTTGTAGGCGTTGCAGAGACACTTTTCCATCGTCCTGGGTCAAGATCTCTTTTATTGTATTTGTTGGAAGATCTCTCGAACCGTCTGCAGCCGATGCGCAAAGATGGCGCCCATCACAAGATCCTCCGTCCACGGAAGGCAGTCACAAGTAGGTCAATGAAGCACCTTCCGCAGGTACATTTTACTAAACCCGGATGCGCAGCTGGACACCCACCAGACGTTCGAAGAGTCCCACGTACCTGACGAAGACCAAGAGATGGATGACCAGGACGAAGAAGAGTCGGTTCACGAAGGTGCGACGAACCAAAATCAATTTCATTTCACTTCACACAACATCATGGACTCTACCTCTTCCGAGATGCAGTCAGGAACCCAAACACTGATTGACACTCTAGATGCCCCGTCACCCTTCAGATCTTCTGCACAGGAAATGCTCCGCCCTCTTCAAGATACGGCCGACCGCGTGAGCAGGCAAGTCGAGGAGTTTGCGAAAGCTCTAGATAGGTTTGTGTCCGCTCGAGAGCCCACGGATAACTCCCTGTGGGAAGATGCCTTGGTACTCTTGGAACGTTACAGTAAGATCGCGGACATTCGCAAATCGAAGACGCCTGCGGAGGAGTCGGTCGGACAATTGGAAAAGATACAACTCGAGTCAGACTTGTGGATTTTGGTTAGGAACCTGCTATACTGCAATTCTCCCTCCTCTCTCAATGACGCACAAATTGCCCAAGAATCGAGGTTGGGTGGTCTACATCGCTATTCCAGCAACGTCGAACTCTGGACTGCCTTCCTAGACTCCGATGCCGTGGCACAGGAATACGAAAATATCCTGGCGTGGTTACAAGAAAGGGCTGCTGAGACATCGCCCCCCATTGAAGACTGTACGCGTAGTCTTTCTGAGAAATCGGAACGTGGAGAGGGCATTTGGAGCGCCGGACCTATCTTCACACAAACTGCCATCAAGCAGCAGAAACGAACTCGAGTATGGTCGATACCATTGGAGCCGACAAATCCTGGGTTGAACCGAACTCACGTCCGCAATATCGACCAGAAACCACTCGTGGCCCAGCTGGATCCTGATGCTCCCACCAGGGAGTCGGCTGTGCTCCAAGAACAGGATGAATTCCACGACCAAGCAGCCTGGCAAACTTACTGGGAAATGCTGCGCAGGGGGTACACCAACGACCAAATTCAATCTTGGTTCGCTGAACGAAAAGAAGTCTGGAGATATGTAACTCTTTGCGGATGTGGGCCACGCTCAGAACAAATGCTCAACTCACCCTGGTTGCGTATCCTGAACTTTGCCTCAAATTCCGAATGGCTAGAGCGTTGTGAAGCTCTAGCCCAAAACCCTGTCATCCAAGATCGGTTCCAAAAGGCCACTTATGGTATACTCTGCGGTGATATTGGGGCATCGAGATCTGCAAGCAGGTCGATCGATGACAATCTGTTCTCCATTTTCAATTCCCTCCTGATTCGCAGATATCGGGACTATCTTCAAGCCTACCGAAAGAGACTCGCAGACACGGCTCTCATTGAGTACCGACCTTTACCACCATCGACCACCGAGATCCAGCAGTATGTCGCCCTTGCTCAGTCAAACCCAACGACTAGGGACGAATCTTACCAGCCACACAAGCTGATGGAGCTGACCATTGTGTCCAAGAGCTTCAATGACTTCTTTGTCAATATGGGCAGGGCTGCTGCTGGTGTCGCGCATACCACGAGCCAAGGTGCGCATCTCATGAGCAGAAGCCAGCATGAGGGAACGGAGGCTGCCATGCTGAATGCTCAGGACCAGGACGGTATTCGTATGGTGGCACATCTGCAGCTGTTGTTACGGTCCTTGGGCTTGTTGCAATCTTCATACGCCGAACACGAATACGAACTTGAAAACAACATCGCGGCATATATCGGATTGTTAGAAGTCTGGGGCAAGTGGCTTCTGATTCCTCTTTATGCGTCCAAGCTATCGAAGAAGAGATGCCATCATGTTCTCGGAGCCATCCTGGTCAATGTCACAGATCGCCGGGAAAGAGATCTACAAGTCAAGCTGATGAAGCAATACAACATCAATGTCTCAGAAGTCATCTACGGGTTATTTACTCTTGCCAATTACTCGGATCTCCAGAACCTCCGAAAATACGAACCTGGTCCAATATCCGCCAGAATCACGGTCTTGGGTGGTACAGGCAAATTGGCCCAGCACAAGGTTAGGCCTGGTTTGATGGCAGGCGAGGTCACGGAGAGAGACGAGAAAGCCGTTCGAAGCGCCGAGTGGGTTCGGTACGTCAATGCTGAAAACTGGGCCGCGGCTACCTGGGCTGTCACATCACTTTACAAAATCTTCTTGATTGAAGGAAGATTTGTCGCCCTCCGTCAGCTGCTAGATCGAGTGCGGCTGTCGGATATGTCACTTGCAGCCTTGGGAATGAATCTGTATTTTGGCGACGTGGATCCGCCGATAGGCAATGTTGAAAGCGAGGCGGAGGAAGTGGACGACGAGCGCGTGACTCCCATGAGCAGCCCTACCAGGAAGAGAAAAGCCACTCACTCAGATTACCCTTTGACGACGACTGGGACCGATCGACAGACTCTGGCGTCGAAATCACTGACATGGAAACAGCTGGAACAACTGGCCGCTGCCATTGACGCTTTGGACATTTTCCAGGAACTCGCAGATGTCCTTGAACAGTGAGTAGCCATGTCTCGGAGATTCCCTTGACCAGAACTGACAAGAACGATACAGGCATCGGACAAATCCAACAGCAGCACGAAATTACAAACGTGAACTGAAACGTGCTCTTGAGGAGCTCCGACAGGCCATGCTGCCACTCTTGGACAATGATTTTCTTTGCCAAGCTGAAGATGTCATGGATGCTGTGATTTTGAACGATATCCGCAATCACTACATTCCCGAATGTGTTCTCGCGTACAACAGCGCATTGTGGTTTGCCGGCCACTTCTCTTCCCGTGCATGGCTTGTTGAGTGCATGACGCTAGCCCAAGTGGTTGCAGAGACTCCCATGCTTACCAATGCCTTTGTGACGAGTGGAAGAATGAAAGAACTTGTCCGTGCCTTTGCGGTTGATAGCCAAGCTCTTCTACAAGCAACTGAGCAAGGGGCTGCTGGTGGTGCAGGCGCAAGTGCCAGTCGGACCAAGAAGATCAAGACGGATAAAGGAAATGCGGAGATTTGGAAGGTGTCGTGGAAGGAACAGACTGGGCCCCTGGATTTGGAAGCGGTGGACTGAGCACAATACAATGTGAGTGTCCTGTGTACCATTAGCTGGCGGATGCAGAAAACGATGGCGAAAGAAATCAAGGTGCTTGATTGGATCACCAAGAGCTTGGTTATGAAGCACACCGGGATATCTCCTGTGGAAGCGTCTGTTTGCAAGAAGGTACCTGGAGCCTACGAGCTCACACTTGTTCATTGTCATCTCCATCCTTCTGGTAAGCCAATGTAAAGTATGGGTGGATGAGGCCTTTTCTCCAAGCATTCCACGGTTTCAGTACCAGTGGGATGGGCGTAGCGAGAACCTCGTGTGCTGTCCAACATGCTCGGCATCAATAATACGGAGTAACAATGGCAAAGGCGGCGGGCCAGGGTCGTGGTTTGGGACGAGGCTGAAGCGAGATTATGTAGATATTCCTTTGCCCCTTGTCGAGTCTCCCCCTTGACGCTAATGCTGACGGCGCTCACACGGATCAGCGTACCTACGAACGTCAAGTACCGAGTATCACCTCGCACGAGGAACGCACGACGCCGCGATACTCGTAGAGCGAGGACGAGGACGAGGACCAGGGTGAGCCACCGCGGCTGGGGGATACAAGGAGGGCATGAATAAAACCTGGGTCCCCACTCCAGGAGTAGAATACCAGTAGTAGAATATCAGAATACACAAAGGAGACAATTACCTCGATCTGGGGATTTGGGGATTTATATCGGAAGTGATGAAATTCTCTCGCGTCTGTCCGTCGTCGACGATATCATCATTGCCCTCGTCCTCGTCTGCGAACCCTATCTCTCTTCGCCCTTTTCGTCCTGTTTCCCTGGCCCTCTGTCTGTCTGTCTGCCTGGTCCAGACTCTGGCCCAGCAAAAGCAAAAGCAGCCACACGGCTTGTCTTGGATCAATGGATCAGTATCAACGGCAGGGCGCGAATCCTGGGTGGATGGAACATGGATGTATGGAAAGACCGCGCGAACCCTGTACGTTACGTGCGGTACGTGCGGTACGAGTACATAATGTACATAGGCAGATCGCAGATCGAGCAAGAGCGCGGGAGGATTGAAAGGGGTTCGATTCGAATGGTGCCCGGCAGGCTTGACAGCTAGGTCGATCAATCAGGACAGACATTACGGGGGTTTGTATATCTCTCTCTCGCCAAATGCCCTTTCATCCCCTGAAAGTCTGGAATGCCGACGCTGAAATTGGGAGTTGTCAATGACCCGATCCAGCGAAACCCGATCCCATGTCTGACGACACGCGGAGCCGATTGACCAGAGTGAGTGCTGCGAGTATGAGAGTGTGAGAGTATTGAGTCAAGGACAGGGCGGAGGGCGGATGGTGCGGAGGAAAGAAACGGGCTCGTGTCTCTGGTTAGTAAGATTTCATCACTGCCGTCGTGACTATCCTCTTTGTAGTACGAGTAAAATGATTAGACGAAACATACGAGGTACACCTACACGATCAAATATAAAATCCTCAAGAGGCTGGCCATGCTTGATTCAAACCCCCTTCAGAGGGCAGTGCGACTTTGTTCCTGGGCGTCTTACTTGTACTCCACGCCGTGCAGCCCGTCGATTCTGATATCCACCCCCAATTGAAATATACTGCACAGCCTTGTCATCTGCGCAATCTACCCGATAATCAATCACCACCGACCCGCTTCCTCTCCAGACATCTCGTCGGCACAATGTCAGACAATGTCAAGATCTATGGGCTTACAGCCCTTCCAGCCGATCAATCCCAAGACAGACCCAGAACAACTAGCCCCGAGGCCATGACCATTTCGTCCCTTCAACCTCCAAACTCACTGCTGGCCGCGCGTGTCGACGGCTATGTCAAATCCAAGCTTGATGCTGACACCTACCGCCACAGTTTGCGCGTGTACTGCTACGGCTGCGCCATAGCGAGGCAGTGCTTTCCGGAGTTTGATCTCACGCCAGGCTCCGAACTCGAGGAGACTTGGTTCTTGACCGCCATGCTCCATGATATCGGTACCTGCGACGAGTTCCTGACGAGCACTCGTCTCAGCTATGAGTTCTTTGCCGGTGTCCATGCCTTTGATCTCCTGCAGAATCCAAAGGTATCGGGCGGCGAGGGAGTCGCCCCTCGAGATCAGACCGAAAGTGTCGTCGAGGCCATCATTAGACACCAAGATGTGCAGGACAAAGGAAAGGTGACTCTAGTCACCAGACTGATCCACTGGGGAACGCTGTTGGACAACATTGGCGCCGGAAAAGAGTTGGTCCACCCAGAGACCATCGAGAACGTCGTCCGAGAGCACCCTCGCCCAGGATGGGCTGGTTGCTTTAAAAGGACCGTGGAGAAAGAGAAGAAGTTCAAACCCTATGCTATGGTCAGCCGGATTGAAGGGTTTGAAGAGCTCATTGCTCAAAATGGAGCCCCAGGAGGACTGATGGCCAAGTATGATGCCGCAAATAATCTGTAACTATGACTATGCGAATTAGTCTTGATGAGACCATTTCAGATTGTGGGCGGTTTGAAAACATTCTCCTATTTCATGCTTTTGGCGAAACGTGGAAGCTCATGATGCGCAAACCAGGACAGAATAACGCCTGACCAGCCATCTCACTGGTAGAGCCCATCAATGGCACCGAGCCAATCACTGCACAACGTGTGTGGGAGCCGTAAAGCCAGCGAGATGATCATGATATCCATGACGTCCATTCCAGGTGGTTGCCTCACTTTGAGGAATTTAACCATATGGCTTGAGTTCGTTCGCTTTAGCCTTCAACCTTGTCAATGGGAGAAGAAGATCCAGTCTTGTTGTGTATCTCATGTTGCCATTATTGCCGAGCTGGAAAGCACCTTTGTGGTCGTGGGAGGCCAAGCATAGTAGTTCCGTCAACAACCTTCTTGCCAATACTTTTACAATTTCGGGACAACGAGTGGCTTCATTCATAAAAGCCACGTGTGAGGCTGTGGCAGAAAGAATGGACCGCCGAGTAGAAGAGACGAGGAGAAGGATCTTAACCGGTAGTAGTCGATGGTATTTGACATGCGTGTCAGGTTGATCGTGTTTCAAGAAATATGAGATGGCAGAAACTCGCCACTGCAATCAGCCACTCTCTTGCTACAAGTATGCGTATCCGTCGGTCAAAGCAGCTTGATATGTTTACGTTCTGACCCTATTACAGCCGGACAGGGACTGTATATCGGAGTTGCGTGAGAAGTGGAGTGTCGGAGGCGAACCAATTTGATGGAAGATGATAGGGAGATCAGATAAGGAGCGCTTCCAAGGCAGCCAGGCGTAGCTTGTAGGCTTTCGTTCCACAACAGTAACATGCCGAGCTGTGAGAGACCAGGGGGGCTGCCTGATGGAGAGTCTTAGCAAAGTGGCAGTGCAAAGCCCTGACCACCAAATTCCCAGATGCGATTGGAGAACATCCTTCCTACCTGCAGTAGAGGGCGCGAGACGGAGGCAACGGGGACAGAGGTGAGGGTTTTTTCATTCCAGGTCCGGAGCATGTCAGACGCATTTACCGCCGCCGAGGACAAGACGGGAAACTGTTGTGGCAGTCGAGAAGAAGGATAGCACAATGAAGAGACAGAGCACCAGAGGTAGAAGTCTTCGATATTTGTTTGCGTCCCCATACCTAGTATGTAATCAGGTACCCGAGTGAGCGTGGTCGGCCACTGAATCTCCGACTGAATCTGAGCTGGAGGAAGCTTGGCGCCTGCCCGCGATGCCCAGGGTAGGTACTTGGGGGGCTTGGAGGGAGGGTGCCCGCTGGTGCCCGCATTTTAGAGGCTTAGTTAGTGGTGTTTAGGGACCACTGGGGACCTGGTTTGGGTGGCCAAGCTCCGGTCTGGGGCCTGGACTGTTTTTTAAGATTCCATTAGGTATCGTAGAGCAACTGCGTGCATGCATGATGATCCTGGACCATCCTGACCGTTTTGTCCACAACATCACGTATTTTCCCTTTGCTGTGTCTTGACACCGAGCAAATAGCCTTGCAGTTTGCCTCGTTCTCTACTTTCCTTTGTACATACTCCTCTTCTTAACCCTTGCCCGCCTTCTTCCCTTATTATCATTCCCTTTTCTTCGATGGACTTTCCTGTTTGATCGTGAGGCTGACTCCCGACCAACCGACCCCTTGTTGATCCCCTTCACTGTCACACTGTACATTATCCTGTCGACGATTCAGCCTTTCCATGGTAACCGCTATTCCCCAGCCGGCACGGAAGCAACGAAACGTCTTGCTATAGACAGATTGGATTGGAGTATTGGTGTCGCATTGGGACTGGAGACTCCTGTGGTGTGGGCGTGACTTTTGTTAATTCACTGCGATCTGTATGTGTGTTGTCCTTGCCACTTCACGCTCGACTCTCTCACCACTCACCAGTGAAACTATTCTGACCGCTTGGCTACACCAGTTCATCTTCAAATAATTCAACAGTTCACATAATACCGTCATCTATTTCTTCTGCAGGCCGGACTATTTCGCCAGTACAACTTCGCGCCGTTTCTTGAATGGTCCGCTTGGGAAAGTCGCGCCTCCTGCACAGACACTGAGGAGTTGGGGACATCGCGTGCAACGTCCTCCTCCAAAGTGGCTCTTATACCTCAAACCCGAGCATGTCTTCACCCTCCGATGGGCAAGACCCAGAATCGCCGAAAGGCACACCACAGAGACCGCGGGCTCCTACAATTAGTATAGACGATACCGCTGTCAACTCCCCTCCTTCCCCCGAAGACCCTCCCAGTGCAGTGTCCGACAAGCCTGGGCCTTTACCACGAATACAAACATCTGGGCTGGAATCTGAGCCTACCCTCTCCTCCCCACTTTCAGTGTCGCCAACTGATGTTCGACCGTCCTCGGACACTCGCGAGTCGCGTCCCACCTCTCCTCACAATGTTTCCTCTCCCAGAGCCCAGTTTCTCGATGGAGCTGCCCACAACTTCCTTGCTGTCCCCGGCTCAAGAGCAAGGGCTACATCAATGGAGTCTCAAAACTCGGCTTCCACGTCCGAATTCGGGGGAGAAACACAGATTGCGTCAACTATTTCCGGAACGGATGATGTACGCAAGAATTCGTTAGCCAACAACGACGATATCATGAACGATGCAGAGGCGCTGAGGCCAGATCCTGGAACGGAGGCGGATTTTGAGGTTGAAGACAACAAGTTTGCATTTAGCCCCGGACAGCTGAACAAGATGATCAACCCCAAAAATTTAGCCGCCTTTCATGCTCTCGGTGGCTTACGAGGTCTAGAGAAGGGCCTGCGGACTGACCGTCACAGCGGTCTAAGTGTGGATGAAGTTGGCTTGAGTGGCACCGTCGACTTTCAAGAGGCTGTTCAAGCAGGCGCTGAGGCTGAACAACACTACGGCACTGTAAAGAGGACGGCCACTTCCAACTCGCTAACGGCACCCGCAAAGATTTCCGAAAACTCGTTCGCGGATCGAAAACGCATTTTCAAGGACAATCGCTTGCCGGAAAAGAAAGCCAAAACCTTCTGGCAGCTCGCGTGGATTGCCTACAATGACAAGGTGCTCATTTTGCTGTCTGTTGCCGCCGTTATCTCGCTCGCACTAGGGATCTACCAGACTGTCAGACCTGCGCCCTCAGAAGAGCATGAAGCTCGAGTCGAATGGGTCGAAGGCGTGGCTATCATGGTTGCAATTTTTGTTGTAACTTTCGTGGGCGCGTTGAATGACTATCAGAAGGAGCGTCAATTCATTAAATTGAATCGTAAGAAGGAAGAACGCTTTGTGAAGGTCATTCGGTCTGGAAAGTCCCAGGAAATCTCGGTCTACGATGTCTTGGTCGGGGATGTTATGCACCTGGAGCCGGGTGATCTGATACCCGTGGATGGTGTCTTCATTGAGGGTCATAATGTGCGATGTGACGAATCTTCAGCGACCGGAGAATCCGACATTATCCGCAAAACCCCAGGTGACGAGGTCTTCCACGCCATTGAAACTCATCAGAATTTGAAAAAGATGGACCCGTTCATCCTGTCCGGCGGCAAAGTCTCTGAGGGTGTGGGCACATTTCTTGTGACGGCAACCGGTGTCAATTCGAGCTATGGAAAGACCTTGATGTCGTTGCAAGACGAGACTCAGACCACCCCCCTCCAGGTGAAACTGAATGTTCTCGCCGAGTACATTGCGAAACTCGGATTGGCTGCTGGTCTTTTACTCTTCTTGGTGCTTTTCATCAAATTCCTCGCGGAGCTCAAGAATATCGATGGCGGTGCTCAGGGCAAGGGTCAACGTTTCCTCCAAATCTTCATCGTCGCCGTCACCATCATTGTGGTGGCAGTCCCAGAAGGCTTGCCCTTGGCTGTTACGCTGGCCCTTGCGTTTGCGACGACGAGGATGCTCAAGGACAACAATCTGGTACGACTCCTGCGAGCATGTGAGACTATGGGCAATGCTACCACTGTGTGCTCTGACAAAACGGGAACACTGACGCAAAATAAAATGACGGTTGTCGCGGGTACGTTGTCTACAGCTTCTAGATTCGGCGACAAACAACAACCCATTGAATCTACAGCCACTGGTGATGCGAAGGTTCCAGGTCCTACCGTGGCACCCAATGACGTTTCCTCGGCCGAGTTCTTTGCTACACTTTCTGAAGATACTAAGTCACTCCTCAAGGATTCGGTTATCCTCAACACGACAGCATTTGAGGGTGAAGAAGAAGGAAAGAAGGTGTTTATCGGATCCAAGACTGAAACAGCTCTGATCCAATTCGTCGTTGATCACCTTCCCATTCAGTCCATTGGTGAAGAACGAGCGAATGCAGAAATCGTCCAGATGGTTCCGTTCGATTCTGGTCGCAAATGCATGGCTGTGGTCATCAAACTCTCTAACGGCAAATATCGCATGATGGTGAAGGGAGCATCTGAAATCCTCATTTCTAAGTGTACCAGGATCGTCAGCGATCCCACAAAGGCACTGGTGGATGCACCCATGACTCTAGACCAAATGGAGGCATTGAACGGCATTGTCAGCAACTACGCGTCGCGGTCTCTGCGTACTATTGCTCTGCTCTACCGAGATTTCAATGAATGGCCGCCGCGAGGTGCTGCTTCTGCGGACGACAAGAAACAGGCCGACTTCGATAAAGTCTTCAAAGACATGGTCTTCCTCGGCGTTGTTGGTATCCAAGATCCCCTTCGCCCAGGCGTTGAGAAGGCCGTCCGCGATTGTCAAGTTGCTGGTGTATTTGTGCGCATGGTAACAGGTGACAACATTATGACCGCCAAAGCGATTGCAACTGAATGTGGTATTTTCACACCGGGTGGGATTGCTATGGAAGGGCCAGTGTTCCGGAAACTGAGCTCAAAGCAGCTGACGCAGGTTATTCCACGTTTGCAAGTACTTGCCAGATCAAGCCCCGACGACAAGAAGCTTCTCGTTGGACATCTGAAGAAGCTCGGAGAGACTGTGGCCGTCACTGGTGATGGTACCAATGATGCTCCCGCGCTCAAAGCTGCAGATGTTGGTTTCTCCATGGGCATCGCAGGCACAGAAGTCGCGAAGGAAGCGTCGGCTATCATCCTTATGGACGATAACTTTGCATCGATTGTAAAAGCCATCTCTTGGGGCAGGACCGTCAACGACGCTGTCAAGAAGTTCCTTCAGGTAAATCCCTTCAGTCACGCTGGAAGACTAACGATAGGCTGACAACGACCCAGTTCCAAATCACAGTCAACATCACGGCAGTCTTCTTGACCTTCATTTCAGCCGTTGCCAACGATGACGAAAGCTCTGTGCTGACGGCTGTACAACTTCTGTGGGTCAACCTGATTATGGACACTTTCGCTGCCCTCGCCCTCGCCACGGATCCTCCCTCCCCCTCAGTCCTACAACGACGACCGGAGCCGAAATCAGCACCGTTGATCACAGTCACAATGTGGAAGATGATCATTGGGCAGTCGATCTATCAGTTGGTCGTGACACTGGTCTTGTATTTCGCCGGGGAAAGTATCCTGTCCTATCAAACGCAACATGAAAAGGATCGCCTTCAAAGTACAATCTTCAATACGTTTGTATGGATGCAAATCTTCAATCAATACAAGTGAGTGAACTTCTGGCCATAATTGACGTTAGTCAAACGCTGATGATATCCAGCTCGCGACGCCTGGACAACAACTTCAATATTTTCGAAGGAGTGCTTCGCAACTACTGGTTCATGGGAATCCAGATTATCATTGTCGGAGGCCAGTGCTTGATAATGTTTGTTGGAGGACAAGCCTTTTCGATCAATCGAATCAACGGAGCTCAATGGGGCTACTCGATTGTTCTTGGTGCACTCTCTGTACCCATGGCAGTCATCATACGATTGATCCCCGACGAGTTATTTGCGAGATTCATACCCCATTTGCCACGGAAAAAGAAGCGGGGTCCAGATTTTGTGCTCGAAGACGACGAAAAGGTGCAATGGAACCCTGCGCTGGAAGAGATTCGAGAAGAGTTACAGTTCTTGAAGAGAATCCGTGGCGGTCGCATATCGGAGCTCGCTTACAAGCTGCAACACCCACGAGATACATTTCTACCACGCTCACGCAGTCCGTCACGCTCACGATCCAACAGCGACTTACCGCAGACACCAGATGGGGAAAATGTTGTATCAGAGACACTAACAGGATCCCCAATCACCCCGGAAAGACTAAAACGCCGGGCAAGATCGAGTTCGAACTCGGTATTTGGGCCTGCCACGGCAATGGCTGGAATCATTGCAGGAAGCGTCGCTGGAGGATGGTCACCGATCGAGAGACGACCCGAGGAACAGGAAACAGTGCGTTTCACGAGAGCTCGATCTCATTCCGGTGTGGAAGGGACGAGTGGTATGGAAATCCATCCAGCAACACCGGCAGAGGATCCAGTTTTTGCCAGCTCGGCTCCACGGGTTGGCATCCCTCCCAGCCAAGATCCTGAACTTGCTCCGCATTTCGATCTTGCACCACCGCACAGTCCTACTGGACGACCCAAAGGCTCACATTCACGACAAGGATCTGCTGTGTGAAGCTGAAGCTATGTCTATTGTGGTGATGTGCAGGGATGATTTGCTTCGATGGGAGCTACCACCCGAGGTAGCCATTCCGTTGCAGGCAAGATGGCATCCAACAGCAATCTATCCGCTTTGGGAAGAGCCGTGCTTCGATACTCACAAGATAGACGACAATCCAAGGCCGTGGGTCGCTTGAAATGGATGTTGAATTTGCGTTGCAGCCAACCCGGAGCGTCCGATGGAATCTGCGCGCTAAGGCTGAACGCAAAAAAGGGGCTACACGTTTCTGCGCTCTAGCGCCAGCTGGATCTGCCAAGACGGCCGTAAATATGGGTGTGGAAATGGATAAGGGACTGGATCAGCGGGTCAAGGCCAATACGGGATACGAGAGTGTGGAAGAAACAAAAGGCTGGCTGGGAGCAGGAGCCACAACCTGCGAAGCACAGGAATGTTTGGCTCCTGTACAGCACATAGAACATAGCGCTTCTCACCACATGTTCCCTTATTAATAATAGGATATGATGAGGACGAACAGTGCAACCTGATCATGGAAGACTTGAGCAAAGAGGATATTGACCTGGCACTAACACAGGCGTACCACCAATACTCCCTGTTCTCGTATATTCGAGTGATCGAGTGAGGTAAAGGGGCAGGGCAGATGCGGTGGAATCTTGCCCCCGAGGCTGCCCCGTGAGGCTGTGAACCGAGGCAAAAAACCCCCATCGCATCCCAAGCCGCATGTCTACTCTCGGTTGTTGCCAATGGAGGCCAGGCATTGTCTTTTTTAAACTCCACATGCGCTCCCATATTATCTCATCGCACTGCTACGTCCGCATCTCGCTCTTCGCTTTGTCGTATCCGCCGGTCACGGGCGGCCCGTTTATCGCTTCGTCTTGCTGGATATCTTGTTGTTGGGGAACAATGGCTTCTGGGCGGCCAACGTTAAATAGAATTGGGCTCTGCATCCCTCGCTCAACGTCTCTTTTCAACCAGCCTGCGACCAGGAATTCCCTCTCTATCCGTCTATATTGTACTTCTCCTGCACACACTCTCTACCCTCGGTTCAGCGCTCACAGGCCGAACCACCTTGCCACTGGACAATTTTCAGCACCCACCTCGTCATCCGTTCGATTAAGAGCCTTTCGATACTCAAAACCGATACAGAAGACTACGTGGAGTTCATATTCTACAGGTGGGTGACATTAAAGCCAGTGTCAGTCCTGACGGATTGCTGATACACGAGGCCGCAGTTGTCGTCCACAACAAAGGACAAGCCCGTGTCCGCCGGACAATCAGCTTCATCCTCATCAGCACCACCTTCTTCGCAATCGGTGCCTATTTTGCCATTACCTACGCCCCTCCGATCCCCACGCCCTTCATCATGGGTTCAATGCCCTCGGACGCCGAAACCCTCGAGCTCTACTCCCCGGACAATGACTTTGCACGCGAAGTTGACGAACACATTAAAAATTGTGCCCTGGCACAGTCCCTGAGGGCCAATCCCGATTTTGTCGAGTCAAGACCGCACCTGAAAATCCCCGAAGAGCTGAGATCACACAATCTGACGGCAGGGACATTGGCGGGCCCAGGAATGATCGTGGTGCCCCCGTACTACTTTAATGAAAAAGGCGGAAAATCCATGGTGCAGATATTCTACGTCGGCACGGATGTTTCTGGACACCCGGGGATCGTGCATGGAGGGTTTCTGGCCACCATGCTCGACGAGGGGCTGGCGCGGTGCGCATTCCCTGCCATGCAGAATAAAGTGGGCGTGACTGCCAATCTGAACATCAACTACCTCAAGCCGACGATGGCGGGTCAGTTCCTGGTGCTGCGGGCCAAGACGACGAAAGTCGAAGGCCGCAAAGCGTGGGCTGAAGGGTGGATTGAGAGTCTTGAAGTTGCCGAAGGAGAGGAACCCGTGAAGCTGGTCGAGGCGACCGCCCTGTTCGTTGAGCCAAAACACGCAAAGGTACGTCTGCTGTGACAATATTCATTTGATGCGGGCTGCTGTGACTGACAATCCGCGTCATAGGTATTAAAATCTCTTTACAGGGTCACCACATGACCTCAGCGTAAAGGATACCGTGGTGTTGGAAATTGTCGACTATTCTTTTCCCTCCAAGACCTTATTGTGCTCAAGTCGTTTCAAGAAGAGTATCAAAAGCGATTAGACTATGGAGAGTGGAGTACATACTGGGGACCTTTGCTTTGCTGGGTAGGAGATGGGTTGGGGATATATGCCCATTTGAAGCTTGCGATTTTGAACAGATGGCTAAGATGGCATGGCGGGCATGTTGTCAATGAGGCTGGGAGCGATTTGGCTCATTTAGAGGTGTTTGTGACTTTTTTTGATACGTACTAGAGCCGTGCCTAGATTATGTGTACAAGAACACTGAATATGAAGAGCAAGAATTGAAAATCAAACACATGGCATTGGCTTTTGGCCGCCATCAATTTTTGTCACCAGACGTGTGAGCTGTCGTGATCGCAAGGTGGGATGTCGCAAAGGATTATTATCAACAACCTCGGAGGCAAATGACGAGGCGAGGCGGGCTTGACGAAGAGGAAGATGATGACAGGTCAGATTCTATTCTAGAGTAGCCCGAAACGGCAAAATCGCGGCAGCAAGGCGAAATAACGTAGGTCCCAGCGAGACACTTCCTATCTCGACCCATTATTATTCCTACTCGTCCATGATCCCGGCATATTTGTCCCCGATTTCGAAACGCTTCCAGGAACTCCACCGATGGGCGAGAGGGGGGTGGGGGAGAGCGAGGAAATGTTCTTGGTCGACGGCATATCAGTGGCATGACGATCCCGCATACGTCGTATGATGGATGGAGTCCTGACGAAGAGGACACATCCCAGTAGTTTTTGCATCCAATGCCCTCGATGGGAATATTCCTCGGTGTCCTCGCTCGCTGACTGCTTGCTACCTTGGTATGTTTTGTCAACCACCGCTCCGTGTGACCCATACCTTGCTCTGTTGCCGAAAACAACACATGGAGGAGGAGGGGAAGACGGGCTTCGTCGTGTTCTTGTTCAAATGGCTGGCCTCAGTCTGTCCTGGCACCCTAGATCGCTGATGTAGAAGCGTGTCCCCCCTCCCCTGGCTCTTTGCATTCTCCCCCACCACCCCCTTGCCCCTCCGAGAAGTTCGGTTGCATGTTGTTTGGTTGGGGGACTAGAAGATTCGATCGTCAATGGGGCTTTTTCTGGGGCGGGCTGCCATCTGCGAACAAATGACGTTGCAGGTAATAAAAATCTAGAATCGACAATGCTTGCGTCTTCACTTGTTGTGCCGAGGGTGTCGAGGTTCCCAACCCCTTGTCATGCCCAAAACTCATGTGTCTTTCGCTGGACATTGCCCAAACAGTGCAAATCCGGTCGCTCCAACTAGCCGTTCTAAGAAAAACGCAAGGAAGCTCACAGACCAACCGCAAGAGAGCTAATAAATCCCTGGCTGGCTAGACGCCGATTTCCGGCGGGGGCTTATGCGCTAATCCTACCTTGGCATATGGGTAGCGAGGTAGGAAGGTACCTGGTATTTGATTCACTTGAGGGGTCTCCCTTTCACTTTGCTCTGTATAAAGACGCGGGGTAGTTCTCTCCCTTCCCGACATGTCTCTTGCTCTCCTCTCACCTTCACGTTGTACTTCTCTTCGACTGTCTTTTCCTCTCACTAGACTGACAAGAGCATCTGCAGCCATGGCTTCGTCTAAATGCCCAATGAGAGAGGCCAATGTCGCCGGTGGCGGCACCCGCAACCGCGACTGGTGGCCAAACGACCTCAGACTCAACATCCTCCGCCAGCACACTCCTGTCTCCAACCCCCTCGACAAAGACTTCAGCTACGCACAAGCCTTCAAGAGCTTGGACTATGAAGCTGTGAAGAAAGATCTCCACGCTTTGATGACAGACTCTCAGGACTGGTGGCCCGCGGACTTTGGTCACTATGGTGGTCTCTTCGTTCGAATGGCCTGGCACAGTGCTGGTACCTACCGTGTCACCGACGGTCGTGGTGGCGGTGGTCAAGGTCAACAACGCTTTGCTCCCCTCAACAGCTGGCCCGACAATGTCAGCTTGGACAAGGCACGCCGCTTGCTCTGGCCCATTAAGCAGAAGTACGGCGACAAGATCTCCTGGGCGGATCTCATGCTCCTCACTGGCAACGTCGCCCTCGAATCCATGGGTGTCAAGACCTTTGGCTTTGCTGGAGGTCGCCCAGACACCTGGGAGGCTGATGAGTCTGCCTACTGGGGCGGCGAAACCACCTGGCTAGGCAATGACATTCGTTACTCGGAGGGCCACGCAGGCATCGCGGGTGACGGAGTTGTCGATGGTGATGAACATAAAAAAGATCACAAGGATATCCATACCCGGGACTTGGAGACTCCGCTCGCAGCTGCGCACATGGGCTTGATCTACGTCAACCCAGAAGGCCCTGACGGCATCCCCGACCCTGTTGCTGCCGCTCGAGACATCCGCACTACTTTTGGCCGCATGGCTATGGACGATACAGAAACCGTTGCCCTGATTGCCGGTGGCCACTCCTTCGGTAAGACACACGGCGCCGGTCCTTCGGACAATGTCGGCAAGGAACCACAAGACGCTCCCATCGAGCAACAGGGTCTGGGTTGGGTCAGCAAGTATGGCTCCGGCAAGGGCCCGGACACCATCACCAGCGGTCTCGAAGTCACCTGGACCGGCACTCCCACTAAATGGAGCAACAAGTACCTCGAATATCTCTTCAAGTACGAGTGGGAGCTCACAAAGAGCCCTGCTGGTGCCAACCAGTGGGTTGCAAAGACAGACGACTTGATCATCCCCGATGCCTATGACCCGAACAAAAAGCACAAGCCAACCATGTTGACAACCGACCTTTCCCTCCGTTTCGACCCCGCATACGAAAAGATCTCACGTCGTTTCCTTGAGCACCCAGAGGAACTCCACGACGCTTTCGCTCGTGCCTGGTTCAAGTTGTTGCACCGTGACATGGGTCCACGATCCCGCTGGCTCGGTCCGGAGATCCCGTCCGAGGTCCTGATCTGGGAAGACCCTCTTCCTCCTGCCAACCACCCCATCATTGACGAGAGTGACATTTCCAGCCTCAAGCAAAAGATTCTGGCCACTGGCATCAAGCCTTCCGACCTGGTGACTGTTGCCTGGGCATCGGCTTCAACCTTCCGCGGCAGCGACAAGCGGGGCGGCGCCAACGGTGCTCGCATTCGCCTCGCTCCCCAGAACAAATGGAAAGCGAACAACCCCCAGACGCTGACTCAAGTGCTCAGCGCTTTGGAGAAGGTACAACAGGAATTTAACAGCTCCGCAAGCGGTGGCAAGAAGGTGTCACTGGCGGATCTCATCGTCCTTGCAGGCAGCGCTGCTGTGGAGAAGGCTGCCGGCATCCCTGTTCCTTTTACACCTGGGCGCACTGATGCCACTCAAGAGCAAACCGATGCCCAATCTTTCGAACACCTCGAGCCTTTGGTTGATGGATTCCGCAACTATGGCAAGGGAACAAGACGTGCCCGCACCGAACACTTCCTCATCGATAAGGCACAGCTGCTGAACCTCTCTGCGCCTGAAATGACCGTGTTGGTTGGTGGTCTACGTGTCCTGAACGCCAACTGGGATGGTTCTTCTCATGGTGTCTTTACCAAGCGCCCTGGTCAACTGACCCCCGACTTCTTCACCAATCTCCTCGATATGGGCACCACCTGGAAGGCCGCCAGCGCTGATGAGGAACTCTACGAAGGCATCGACCGCAAGACCGGCCAGAAGAAATGGACTGCCACTCGCAGTGACCTTGTCTTTGGCTCACACGCCGAGCTACGTGCTATTTCCGAGGTATATGCCAGCGCGGGTAACGAGGAGAAGTTTACCAAAGACTTTGTTGCCGCTTGGGCGAAGGTGATGAACTTGGACCGATTCGACGTGGCTTCCGCTCAAGACCCTGCAAGAGCGCGTCTATAGGCGAGATGAAACACGCTTTGAAGAAGGGAGAACTATGATAAGCATCGTCGTGCCGTAAGTCGCTTTATCATGCGGTTTGGAGTCGGGGCAGTGGGCAGTCAATAAGTTCAATCGGTTAGCAGGCTCAATGAACTGCAACCGTACTAAATAGCAATACAAAATGTACCAGCTGAAATATGACTTTGCATTTTCGATCTATTTCAGATGATAAAGCTGAGTTGTAAGAGCACTAATGGGATGCCCAAAGGGTGTAGAACAACGTGGTGTGCATGCCTATGAGATGGAAATGGGCATGACGCACCCCTCCCACTGGGAGCTTCGACACGCCAATCATCATATCGCAGCGGGAGAGCTCCATGTCCGCCAACTGCACCATCTAAATAGTTCACCCGGATCTCTGCGAGCAATCGACCCCAGTGCAGCCTTTCTCTCTCATGCATACTCGTATGGACCTGTGGGACTGAAAGCTCCTCGTATTTTGTATACTCTGTGTCTCTCTTCATCTCGCTCTCCCCCCCGGTCCCGAGCACCCCAAACCTCCCAATCCAGGCCCCAGCCCGCAACCATCCCTCTACCATGTCTGCCAAATATCTCTTCATCTCGGTCCCCTCGAGTATAACCCCTTCGGGCCACAAGGACGACGCGATCGCGTCGGTCCAGAAAGCCGCGAACCCGTCCAACGGCGACGTCCTCCCATTCTCCATCCCGGAGTTCAAGATCGGCACGCTCGATGCCCTCTTACAGCAGTCGGAGGAACTGGCCAAACTCGCGGCGGTTTGTCACGGAGTGGTGGGGAAGGTCGGGGATACGTTGAAGAATATCCTGGACGGGGACGAGGAGAAGATTGCGATGCACAAGAACGTCAATGACAGTACGTTTTCAGAATGCGACTGGAACTTGGCCCGTGTATGGCGGATTTGCGGATTGAGAGGGCTGACTTTTTTGATTGCTGGGCCTATCCAGAGCCACTCGAGCAATACCTCCGGAGTTTCTCGTGGAACAAAGTCAAATACCGTGCCGACAGGCCGCTGTCGGAGCTGATTGATCTTCTACAAAAGGTAATGTTGCTGCTCCGAGAGGTTTGGTGACCGACCATTGCCCTGCTGACTCTGACGGGGGGAACAGGAAGCCAATTCGATAGACAACGACGTTCGGTCCAAGTACAACCAATACAACTCGCTCCGCACGTCTCTTCAATCCCTCGTTCGGAAACAGACGGGAAATCTCTCGACGAAATCTCTCGCCCCTCTCATCACAGACCCCAAACTCCTGGTTCAGAACCAACACTCGGAGCATCTGGAGACACACCTGGTCGCCGTGCCTAACGCCAACGTCAAGGAGTTCTTGAGGACCTACGAAACGCTGGCGCCCATGGTGGTCCCGCGCTCGGCGACCTTTGTCGCCCAGGACCAGGAATACAGTCTGTACGCGGTGACGTTGTTCAGGAAGCATGCGCCAGAGTTCGTGCACAAGGCCCGAGAGCGGAAGTGGGTTCCAAGAGACTACAAGTACAAGGAGGGCGGCAAGGAAGAGGAGGAAAGGGAGGTCAAGAGAGTGGAAGGCGAGGAGAAGAGGGTCTGGGGAGAAACGCTGAGGTTGGGTAGGACGGGCTGGAGCGAGGCGGTCATGTGTCTCGTCCATGTGATTGTGCTGAGGGTCTTTGTCGAAACCGTCCTAAGGTACGGCTTGCCGCTGGATTATGTGGCTCTTTTGATCAAGGTATGTTATGCCGTTGACAATCCCAGCTTCTGGAGCCATCCTACGCTCTTGCTCTCCCAGAAAATGCCAAAGACCAGATGCTGACGAAGGCCCCGAACCCCATTAGACGGACTCCAAACGCGAAAAGAAGGTCCGTCAAGGCCTGGACAGCGAATACTCGTACCTCGCCGGCAACGCCTTCGGCAGAGACAAGAAGGGCAGAGTAGTCAAAGACGAAGGGACAAGTCAGCAGGACATGGTCGCCGGTGGAGACCAAGGAGAGTATTCGGCTTATGTATGTTACGATATCGACGTCGACTGATTTTGCGAGAAGCATGTTTTGTTGAGAGTGGCAAGCGAAGAAGCAGCAAGGAGAGAGAGGTTTTGAATCTCTGGGTTCAACGAGGAAAATCCAGGGAATTGCTCATGTCTTTTACAAGGGACTTTTACAAGCTCTCACCCAAACGGAAGAAAGATATATAGAAAGAAGGAGTTGCATCACTGGGGTCCTGTCCGACCGTGTCGGAACATACGGCAAGATCTTTTTGACAAGCGAGTCTGCGGTCGAGGTGAAGGTACGGGACAGGCAGGAGAAGGTCAATTATGATATTCTCTCTCTCTCTCGCCCGTCTTCCCGGTCTTCTTGCAAGATTGTGATTCGCGAATCGTCCATGGTTCCGCCACCCACGCTTCCTTCCTACCCTTCTCGTCTCTTCCACTCCCTCAGTCGAGGTTGGTGCTGAGCACACAATTGGACTTGGACTCGCTCGGGGCCTTGAAAGTTTCGATGCAGGTGGGAAGGTATTGGAGCGTGTACCTCCAGGCTAGCCGGAAATGCATGTTCCCTTCAACCCTTCAACCATTTTCGCCTTGAATCAGGTTGACAGGAGGTAAGGGGGGAGGGCTCTTAGAAATCAAGGATTGCTCGGTGATAAGATATCGCTTTCTTCTCCTTCTCCTGTCCCTTGACCGGCACGTCTTCGGATCGTGAATTGATTCCTTGATGGTGATGGAAGGCGAGTCACGTTCGGCGTTTGGGGGGGGGGGAGGTAGGTAGGTAGGTGGTTAGCTAGGGTAAATGGACAGATCGGTTCCAATTCTCGAGATGATGGCTTTGGGTAATGTAGTCATGGATGTTGAGAGTGGCCACCAAAGGACTCATAAAATCACGTCTGAGTCTTTGAGAAATACTAGGTCATTGCTGGTCTCCCGTGGCGTCTTTGGCCGGCGGTTGACCTTGAGCCTGAGCATGCTGGGCTTGTCGCTGGCGCTGTCCATCGTAAAGTCCCGAGTAGTATCCCGCCCAGTAATACGCCATCTTGATATTTTCGAGCGTTTGGTCTGGTGAGAGGCTTGTTGCGGGTGCAGCGGGGGTGGCGGTTGGTGGTACTGAAAGGTACTTTAAGTTAGAAGAGACACGACGTCTATTGGACAGTGGTTGGAGGAAGAGGAAATGAAACACAAGGTCAAAGTAGAAGGGAAGGGAAGGGGGAGGGAATAGATGGGAAGAGGCCCGTACCTTGCACGTTCTCGATAGCACTGGTTGGGGGTAAGCTTGGTCCTATAGTTGGAGCTGTTGTCGTCGTTGTCGATGGCTGTTCCAATGTTGACCGAGGTGGATGTTTCTGCTGTCCTTCCGGCTCGTCTAACAAAGATTTGAATTGATCCATAGCAGCTTTACGTCTCTGCTCGAGACCATCCGGGCTGCCTTCGGGGTCATCCTCATCTGCCACTTCGCCACTCTCGGATCTGGTGTCACGAGCACCAGCATCGGCAGTAGTCTCGTTTTCATCGGCGGCCGCTGCTGCAGCCGCAGTTGCGGTGTCAGCCGGTGTCTCTGGATGGACAGGTCGCCACTGTCCGCCCATGTCGACATCAGCGTCGGTATTCTCGTCGTCGAGTTCGCCCATCTCGGCCTTTCGGAGGATCTCTTCCACGTCTTCGCCCCGCGCGTGGATGCTGTGGTAGTACTAGTGTTCCACGTTAGAGGCAGAAAAGAAAAAGAGGCCAAGGATTGAGAGATAGATAGTAGAATGTGATTTGTTTGTCGGGGGACTTCATCTGTGTAGTGCTTATATGGTATAATCCCCATGAAATCATGCAGTATTCTCTGCTGTAGCTTGGCGAGGTGGGAATTTGGTGGACTGTTAAGAAATTTGTTCATACATACCTCGTACTCTGCAACAGCGTCGTTCCACGACCGGATCAGCGCCGAATCGTCCCATATCTCGGCCTGACTGAGCTCTCCCTTTGTCAGGTGGCTGGTCTTTTGCTTTTTCCTTCTTGTCATTGTCACGGCGGGTGCCTAAGAGAAGATGGAGAGAAGTTTATAGTGGTGTATGTGAGGCGCCCATGCAGGATGTGTACGCAGTTACCGTGTTACAGTACATGAAATGGATTCTGCTGGAAGGCGAGGTTGATAGGCGAGACAGACAGACAGCCTTGCGATGCCAATTTTTGAGCTAGAGACGCGATTGGGCAGCCTTGTCTGTCGTCCACCACAAGGCTCTGGGTGCTCACACTGCCACTTGCACACGACCAAGTTGATCACTCTTCATACCACCAAACACATTACACGTCCTGCAATATTTTGGTCTCGTGGCGAAAAAGGTATTTCTGATTATTGCATTCAATACTTTCAGGCTCCACCGGCCCGGGAAACACACGCGCGCGCCTTTTCCACCGACTTGTTTGACAACCTCGCAAGTCATTTATCTGGGTCTTTGCGATAAGAAATATTAAACACCTCCACGATCTACCAACAGAGCATCCGTCATCTTCATTCTGCGAACCTCAAGAGACCGAACGGGCTCTCGGGATAACCAGCGATCCACAGACCTGTACGACTTTTACAATCCTCTGTCCTTGTCATCCACACACGCACGCACGTGTCCACCCTCTACCAGATAATCCTCGAGTCCCTAAATCAAGCACTCCTCCAAAAATGACATCCCACCCAACAACACCTTCTCCCGGCCTCTATCAAAGTCGTGCCTGGACGGTCCTCGACGCACTGTACCTGTGGACCCTCGTGATCTTGCTCGCCCCATTCCTCTTCGTCGACATGCACGTCCCTCGTCGCTTCGCCCCGGCCCAGGGACGGACACCCAACGGGGAGTCTTTGTTGTGACTGAATCCGTATCTGATCAACCTGTCTGTTTGTGGGAGGTCGTAGATCCGCAGATACGATCTGGTTTGGGACTCCAAAGGAAAATCGGCGTCAACCCAGTTCGACTCGTCCCACGTCAAACGCGACAGCTCTAATCATCTGGCACTATAATGCACCCAGAAGGGCAATGCTCCAAGTGGTCGAAGCCACTCATATCCTACAAAGTGCTGGACATTCAATGCGAACATTAAACAGACCCTTGTGATGGACGAACAGGTATGAGAATATTAACTAAATGGGGTATCTATATCCAAAAAAGTGTAAAGAGCAAAGCGCTCAGTCAACAAACCCAAGCTTCCTTAGCTGCAAGTCCAATAAGCCCGATACTCGTACAAATTGGGTTCCACAATATATCATCTTTAGCTCAGCTCAGCTTCGAGAGAAGAAGCGGGAAATGGTGCAAAATCAGTTCAAATCGCTCAGTTCGGAACTGTCGTCCTCGTCGCTCAAAAAATGCAAGCCAAAACACATGAATAGGTGCAAGTCGAGTATACAAGGCAGCAGGATAGGAAGACATGGGTACCGAAGCGAGTGGTGATGCCGAATGCCAAAACAATGTGTCGCTGTATGCTTGCAGGATCGCTTCCTGGCATACAACAAAGTCGGGCGAGGAAGAAAGCGCTGCTTCTGGACGGCATGTGCATGTCCATCCCAGCAGACATCCTCGCCCAAAGGCGTCATGATCTGGGCGCAACATCTGGCGCCACTTTTGTTCCCCCCGATACTTGGGGGGATCGAGTGCACAAGGTGGTCCTCCACCTCAGAAAAGACCTCCGAGGAAGCTCCTCCTCTTGCTGTCATTCTTGCCGCCGAGTGCTGGACGCCCGTCCCAAGTTTTGACGGGCGCCTCCTCATAGCCATAGCCGCGACCATCAGACTGTTCGCGGTCTCTGCGCCGACGTCGTTCTCTTCGATCTCGCTCCTTGTCTCGCTCGTCACTGCCTCCACTGGCGGATTTGCCCTCGGCGCGACGCGAGTTCTTCTTGCGAGCACGGTATTCTTCGATTTCTGCGTCCGTCATCCCTGCATATTTGTCGCGATGGCGACCATTGCGTTTAGCCCCGGGCCCCTCGTCCGCTGCTCGTGGCTTTTCGCCACTCGGATCGAGGATTGTGCCCTCTACAGGTGGGAGGTCGGGTGGCTCGTCAGCTTGAGAGTTGACCCATGAGCTGGTCTTGTTGGCTGGGGGTGCGATTCCTTTACCGCTGCCACTTCGAGATTCGTGATATTCTTCAACCAGGACGCTGGATCTCTTGCGGCTCGACCTCTCTTTGTCTTTGTGTTTCCGATCATCTTTCGGTTCTTTCCGCTTTCGTCTTTCCTCCTCTTCTGCATAATATGATCTGCGACGATCGTCTTTCGAAATATCGCGATTGACTCCTTGCTCAGCCTCGAGCTGCGCACGGAGTCGCCGGCGCTCTTCCCGCCGGCGGTCGGCTTCTGCGTTCGCCTCTGCCTCTTCTTGTGCCGCGCGTGCTTCTCGGGCGGCACGTCTAGCCCGCTTTTCTTCGCGACGCTTCTCTTCCTCCTCTTGTTCTCGTCTTTCACGCTCCCGAGCTTTGCGTTGACGAGCTTCGAGATCCGCCTTTTCACGCTCTCTTCTTTCCTTCCGTTTGAGCTCCCGCTCGACGCGATCGGCTTCTTCTGCCTGGTCACGCGCTTCACGTTTGGCCCTTCTTTCAGCCCGTCGAGCTTCCATGTCGGCATCTGTTTCAGCGGGCGCATCTGTGGTGAATTCGTCCCCGTCCACAACTCGGGAACGCCTCTTTGTTTTATCTTTGGGCCTGATAGGTAGGTCTTCCCCATCTGTCAGAGTGTAGCTCCGATGTCGCTGTCTGTCCCCGTCAAAAGAACGAGAACTGCCAAAGAAGCTGCCAAAAAACCCTGTCGACTTTCTCGGGGCAGTGTTGCTTCTCTTCAATGCAGGCGGATGATCTACAAACGCCATGTCGTCGGGTCCGCTTGTCACCAAGGGGTCTGCATGTGTAGGGCTCTCGACCATGACAACATCATCGTCCTGAGAGATATTTTTGCTGTGTGACTTGATCTGCGTAAAGGAAACCCGTCCGTCAGCATGAAGTTCTTTATCGAAATCCGGCGACCAGGACGGGCGGAACACGTGGCCTAGATTTAACGAGGAGGGTCGTGCACCTACCTCTTTCTTTGATCTGGAGGACCTAGACTTTGGATTTTGTGGGACAGCCACGCTATTCACAACCGGAGGATCGTCGTTGGTATGGATCATGACCATGTCATCATCGTCAATGGGGTATGGGTCTGGAACAGCTAATGACGGCGGATTAGCTATCATCTGGCTGCCCGCGGTCATTATCGTTGACTTACCTGAAGATTTCCTCTTCACCGATGGACGGCGTTCGACCTTGCTAGACTTCATTCCCATGAGCTTGGCGGCTTTGTCGGTGACCTGGGGTTCATCCTCAGGTGGAGGAGACGCGAAACCATCAATGGATTGACGGCGAGACGACGGCCTTGAACTGCCCGCACTGCTTGGTCTTCGACTGGTGGTCTTGGAACGCGGCATAGCCGACGGCGGTGGCCCTCCAAACATGAAGTTCGAAAACGAGGTACCACGCGCGGCCTTTGGTCTCTCGGCCTTCTTGGACTTGGCCTCCTTATCAGATCCAGATGACTTGGAGAGCTTTTCAGCTTCTTTCCTGTCCTCCAGTTCCTTTTCTTTCGGAGTCCGAGTGGACTTGGTCCTGGTCAGGCCGGTTGGTGATTTCTCCTTCTTTGGTGGTGGCGGCGGCATGTCGTCCTCGTCTTTTGATTTGTCTTTGGTAGCTTTCTTCGCCGGAGGTGCTGCACCCCAGAATCCCCAAGAAGTGGTTGCGGATCGTTCAACTCTGGGCCGTTCCTTCTTGGATGATTTCTTGTCTTCGATGGGCGGGGAGGGGGCCTTAGGCGCTGTCTCTCCCTCAAATAGGCCTATGTCGTTTGTCGCTGACTCCTTGGGTGTGGTCGTCTTGGATTTGGCACTCTTTTTCCCAACAGTGGTGGCCTTCGCCTTGGGCTTTTCAGGTGATGTGGGCGATAGGTCGAGGACGTCGTCGAGAAAGTCGTCGTCGTCACCAAACGCGCCAGGGAAGCTGCCAGGGATGGAGTCTTTTGATCTCTTCTCTTCTGTGACCAGCGACGCGTCTTTCTTGGAGGCCTTGGTCGTCTTGCTGGCAGAAGCTGTCTTCGTCTTTGAGGCTGGGGCCTTGTCAATATACGTCCTTTCCTCTTTCGGCGATGGCGCGTCGTCTAGTGGAGGCAATTCCTTAGTCAGCGAAGCTTCGGCCTTGGACTTTTTCTTGCTCTCTTCTTTTTTGCCCTCCAGAGCCTTGATGCGATCGGCGACAGAGGAGCTGGTTTTGGTCTTTGTCGAGGTGAGCATTGCCTTTGCGGCCTTGGAAGTAGAAGAAGGCTTTTCAAAGTCAAATCCCGAGTCCAGATCTCTCGAGAAGTCGGCTAGCGCGTCATCCTGATCGGGCCACCCCTGCTGGGTAATTTCCTTTTGTGAGTCCAAGTCCTTCTTGCCAGCTGTCTTCTTGGATGTTGACGCGCTACCCCAGAAGCCAAAATAGTCGTCCTCTTTCTTGTCTTCAGCCTTTTCCTCTTTGTTGGACGATGTCTTTTTCAGCTTCGACCCCTTCTCGGATTTGGAGGCTTGTGTGGGCTCGCCGAACATGTCAATGAGCTCGTCGGCATCCTTTGCTTTGCTGGCTTTCGCCTCCGTCTTGGACGATTTGGTAGCCTTCTTTTTCGAGTTCTTCGCAGCTTCTTCAGCCTCACGAGCGAGCCTCTCCTCTTCTTCCTTTCTAGCCTGTTCCTCCGCCTCCAGTCTGGCCTTCTCTTCTGCTTCCTTCTTCGCCTTTAGCTCCTCCCTTTTCGTTAATTTGGTGGTTGTAGTCGAAGCACCAAAACCCCACATGCTCTTTGTAGCGCTGACTGGAGTCACGTCTGGCAACGGTTCGTCGGCCGGGGCAAAGTCAAAAGACTCATCTGCCTCCTTGCTTTTCTTCGTCTTGTCCTTTCCTGTTGACAGCTTTGAAGTCGTGCTCTTTTTCGACGATGCCTTGCTTTTCACTTTGGTCAGACCTGCCCATGTGTCTCCGCCCAGGTCATCATCCATCATTTCCACCGGATCAGGCTCCGGAGTCAAACCCTGAGCTGGAGGACTTGGAGCTGGGGGAGGAAGCTCGTCCTTGCCCTTTGATTTCTTACTGCCCTTCTTCTCCTTTGATCCCCAGGAGCCCCAGATATCATCTTCAGCAGGAGGCGCGGGTTTATCAGACTGTTGAGGCACTTCGACCTCGGCGATACCTTTCTTCTTCGAGTCCTTGGCTCCCTTCTTCTTGTCTTTTGCTGACGTGGCCCAGGAACCCCAGGTGTCGTCCATCTTTTCTTCCGCTGGTTCTGGTTCGATAATGAGCTCGGGCTCGGCGGGCGGATTTTCGGTGGCTGCTCCTTTCTTCTTCGCCGCCTTCTTCTTGTCTTTCGATGAGACGGCCCAGGAACCCCAGCCATCGTCGTTCTTTTCCTCTACCGGTTCTGGCTCTACAATAGGCTCGAGCACAGGTTCTGGTTCGGGAAGTTCGCTAGTGATTCCTTTCTTCTTGCCGGCTTTCTTCTTATCCTTTGCCGTCCCCCAAGAGCTCCAGGCACTGTCGGTCTTTTCTTCCACCGGCTCTGGTTCGATGACAGGCTCAGGCTCAGGCTCAGGCTCGGGTTCAGGGATTGCGACTGCGGCTCCCTTCCTTTTTGCTTCTTTCTCTTTTTTCTTCCTTTCTTTAGCCGACAGCCCGAAGAAACTATCTTCTTCTACAACATCTGCAACTGGCGCAGGTTCCGGCTCCGGTGGGGGTGGAGGGGGTTCCTCGTCAATATCCAAGAAGCCTTTTTTCTTGGTGTCTTTGGCCTTTTTCTTTTTATCACTGGAAGAAGTAGTACCCCATGGAGACCAGACATCATTATCCTTGGACTCAGGTTCAACGTGGGGCTCGGGCATGGCTGGCTCATCGAGCACATCGAGAAATCCGCTCTTCTTGGCGTCTTTCTCCTTCTTTTTCTTGTCCTTCGCCGAAGTTGTGAACGCTCCCCAGGTATCATCTTCCTTGTCTTGTATCTCAGGAGCTGGAGGGGGAGGTAGTGGCTCTTCAACCACGTCTAGAAGTCCCTTTTTCTTCCCCTTCTTCTTATCCTTGCTGGAAAAGCTCCAAGCCGATTCCGGCTCCTCCCTCGGAATCGGCTCTGGCTCTGGAGGCGGCGGCGGCGGAGCTTCCTCCTCATAGTCAAAGAAGCCTTTCTTCTTGTTCTTCTTGTCCTTGGTGGATGTGCCCCAACCACCAAAACCCCAAGAGTCATCTCCTTTGGTGGCTTCCATCTCAGGTTCCGGCTCTGGTAATGGGTCCGGAGCCGGCGCTGGAGCTGGAGGCTCGTCGCCAGGAATAAGCAGTCCCTTTCTCCTAGCCTCCTTTTCTTTCTTTTTCCGCTCCTTTGCGGAAAGATTTGCCCACCCAGTAGTGTCAGCATATTCTTCTTTGACCGTCTCCTCCAGTGGTTCAATTTCGACAATAGGATCTGGAATCGAGGGTTCAGGACTGGTTACTTTACCCTTCTTCCCCTTTTTATCCTTTTTGCCGATTGAGGACCAAATGTCGTCTGGTTCGGCTGGTGGCTCGACTGGCGGCGGTGGCGGCTCTTCTTCAATGACGAAGCCTTTCTTGCCCTTCTTATCTTTTTTGCCCTTTCCCGTTATAGGCTCATCAGCTGCCAGAGTATCACTTGTTGTCGTCTTAGCATCAGCGGTGCTCCCGAAGTCGACAGAAGCAGACAAATCTTCGATACCCGCCTTTTTGCCTTTCTTGTCCTTCTTCTTTCCCCAAGCTCCAGACATCCAGTCGTCACCGTCATCGACTGCTTGGATTGGCTCTTGGGCAGGAGCAGGTGTGGCTAGAAGATCATCAGTGTCATTGAAATCGCCGAAAGCACCCTTTTTGGCCTTCTTGTCCTTTTTGCCTGTTCCAAATCCCCATTCGAAGGTATTGTCCATGGCTCCGTTGTCAGCAACAGTTTCCTTTATGTCAGCAGGAGGTTCTTCGATGACGCCCTTTTTCCCTTTCTTCTTGTCTTTCTTCGTCGTGAAACCTGACCATTCGTCCTCCGCAGCCACAGGCTCTGGGTCTGCTGGTGGCGGAGGCGGCGGCGCAGGATCTTCATCGTAAAATCCTTTCTTTTTCTTATCTTTCTTCGAGGTCGTGGTCCCCCAAGCACCCAGAAGGTCGTCCTCTTTTGAGCCTGGGTCCACCACAGTGGTCTCACTGAATCCATTATCTTTCTTCTTCTTGTCCTTCTTGTTGACGGTGGAAAATCCCCAAGCATCATCAGTGGGCTTGCTGTCGGCCATGTCTCCATCAAGAGCGAAACCTTTGTCGCCTGAATCCAGGTCACCAAAATCGAAACCGTACGAGGTAGTCGTCTTCTTTTTCGACTTGTTGCTCAAAGACCAGGGGTTAGTCTCTCCAAGCCCACTCGATTCCTCCTTCTTGTCGTTATCCTTCTTAGAAGCCTTGTCGTCGACTTTTCCCGTTCCAGTATCGAGTGATCCAAAGTCCCATGTTTTACCCCAGGCACCAAAGCTTCCCGCATCCTTCTTGCTGTCAGTACCACCGAAACTAAATTCTAGCTTCGGGGCACTATCATCTAGACTGATGTCTTGGAAAGCCGCGCCTGGAGGATCTGGAGCAGAAGGAAGGGGCTCGTCGATCCCCTAGCGAAGTCAGCATCATTAGGGTTAAAGTCGGTGGATGAAAGTACCTTTTTGTTCTTCTTCTTTTTATCCTTTTTGGTGGTGAAACTTGTAGTCCAGTCATCTTCCACTGCAGCGTTATTCGCCTCGTCAGCCCAGCTTAATGGGTTTGCAGCCTCTTCTTCCTCTTTCTGCTTCTGCTCCTCCTCCTCTTCCTGCCTTCTCTTTTCTTCCTCCTCTTGCTTCTTCTTGTTCTTCTTCTTGTTCTTCTTGCTGCCACCAAAGTCCCACTCTTCCTCGTCACCGCCTCCCCCATTGTTGTTGTCATCGCCGCCGCCATCGCCACCAGCGCTTCCGCCTTGATCACCGCCGCCAGCCCCAGCATCTTCACCATTGCCAGCAGCGTTCCCGTTTCCTTCGTTGTCTGACTCGGGCCATTTTGCCGGAGCAGCTTTCCCGGCTTTCTTCTTCTTGGCTCTAGACTGTACCCCGTACAAGCCACCAAAATCTATGCGAGCATCCATTGGCGCAATACGGGCCGTCGGCTTTTCATCAAGAGACAAGGATCGAGGGTGGTCCGGTGAGGTGAATACTTGTGCGTATGCTGCTGGTGCTTGCCAGTCCTGCAATGGCAGCGAGTGGTCGCTGGACAGTGAGGAGCAGCTTCCATAAGGCTGAGGACGGTCTGCTAATTCCTGCAATAAGGCTGCGACCAGCGCAGCCGCTCTTAGGTAGACATTGTAGTTTGGGGTGGAATACTGTCGTCCGTGTCAGACAAGATCCCAGTGCGAGAGAAGGAGGGGAGGGGAGGAGGCGGGATCGCAAGCTTAGAAAGAAGAAGTAGGGGCTTGCACTTGACAGATGTGCGTTAGAATGGAGTAGTGTTCTGCATACCCGTTGTCCTGGCTTGTAGTTCTCAAGCATGGCGGTGTGCATGCGATGGCGCCAATCGGCAATGCAAGGTGTTGGAGAAATACACCCAACCTCCGCCATGTCGTAAAAGGATAGTGTTGCAGGGTCAGCCTTTGCCATCTTCCACCATCTCGGGGTCCTTTGTTGGGAAAACGCGTTTTCTCTGCCGGCGGGCGACGCGGCGACCAGAGCCGCCATGCTGTAGCTGTTGCTGTAGCTGGGCAAGACGTTTCGACCGATTAAATTGGGAGAGCATTTGATGCGGCAGCGGCGACGCGAAGCAGATGGATAGAAAGCAGACAAAAAGAGAGCGAGGCTACGTCTACACAGCCTCTGGTATCGAGCGATAGAAGAATTGTGAGCAGTGGTTGAGCTGGGAAATGCAGCGTCAGGAGGTCACAAGGTGTTTGACTTGCTCATTGGTGTGCAAAACCAAACCCAGGTGCCAATGGGGCAACAGCGAAGACGAGCGGGCAAATGACAGCGGGTGTGCCACAGCGCCCCCTTGCAGTCACGCTCCTCTGGCTGCGCAGATCCCAGCAACTCAGCGACTCGCCTGGCCAGAAACAGTCAAGGGGGGAAAGCCAATACCACACCCAGGCCTAATATCTGCTAGTTATCACCCTCCCTATCGATACACAAACTGGGGGGAAAGGAAGAAAAGGAGAAATGAGGTCACTCATATACCCTCATCCAGCCGGCCAGAAATCCCACTCCTCGTTGGAAATTTTCATCAATGCCCAAACGACTCCATTCAATGCATCAATTGCATTTTGGAGAATCTGGCGGTGTTGACCTGCAGAGCCAACAACGAATGACGCGCCTGACAAGTCTCGGTGGTTATGCAGGCAAGCAATCGATGTGGCAACGAATCGCTCACCGCTACAATTACACACGAACCACCAGACAAATAGGAGAGGAGTAGATGGCAAGCCAGTTGGTGATGGGTTGGAATGCGCGAGACCAGCAAAATTAGCAGCATTCCAGCAAGACCGGGCTCTGGATGGTGGGTGGATGGGCTGTGGACCAAACGCTGCACACCACCTTAGGAGTTGTCTAGGAGTTGTCTGGCGTGGGAGATTCCCTGACACCCTGATAACTGGGAAGCGTGCTGGACAGTTGCAATTGGCCCCTATTGAGGTGAAAAGGCAATCGACCCACACAAACGTGCCCCCGATGTGATCCGAGCTCCCAACACTCATCAGGGGGTTGACTGAGTTGAGGTCGTGCAGTTATCGTAGGAACAAGGGCAGGGTAGAAGACCCTTTGACATGAATACTCTCTTGGTCTAGGCAATTGTGACTTGTTCGATGCTTGCAGAGCCGCAAACCGGTGTAGCACTCGGGTTTCTGGGTGACGGGCGCAGGTAGAATACGAGGACAACGAGACGCGATGCAGGGCAAAGTGCAGAGCCAACGCAGTTCATCGGCAGGGAGAGGGACGCCCCGTGCTCGCTGCTGCAGCCACTCGGCGATATTTCACAGGTGGAAAGAGAGCTGCCACCATCCCCGTTTTAGGCGGGCGCACCCACTGATGCATTGCCAGTCGCGACAAAACGCGCAGGGAGCTGCAGAATCCAGAGGCCGCCTCGCCGCTCAAGAGGCCAGACAGTTTGCACCATTACTATTGGCAGGAGAGGCCGACCAGCTCCTTCCTTCCTTCTTCAATAGACAAAACAAAGCCAAGATTTTCGGTCAGATTGTCTCTAGATTCGCAGCCGGGCGCATTTGCACGTTGATGGACCATCAACATGATGCCGTCATGCAGGTAGCTGGTCAGACTGGCCATGGTGGCCATGGTGGCCACTTTGCTGGACTTACTCATCTTCATCAGAACTGTAGGCGACCAGACTAAGTCCAACAGCTGGTTGTGGACGCGTAGCCGCCTTAGAAGGCTCAACCTCGTCGTCGATGCCTAGTTTATTGACTGGTGAAGCGCCCTCTGCGGCTGCATCTTGTTGATCTTCATCAGCGGCAGCTGGAGTGGCAGTATCAGCAGTAGTTGACACCTTCCTCAGCTTGGAATCAACCTCAGACTCATTGTCCTTTTCTCGACGTCTTTTCTTCTTTTTGACGGCCCACGATTCTTTGTCTGCAGGGTCTCCAGGTGTCCCGGCTTCGTTTACCCCCATTAGCGCTTGTTCGGCGGCGGCACGTTGTTTGCGAAAGACCTCGAGTTGTTCGGCCGTCTCTTGCTTGACGGCGTTCTCCTTTGCTCGACTTGATTCGAGCACAGAGTCGAGAAACTCCACTTCATCATCATCAAGGGCACGGAACTGATTTTTGAGCCGAATGGACTCCTCAAAAGCCTCCTGTTTAGCAGCTGGGGAGCACCAAAGTCACAACCGTGTCAGCATTGATCGGTTGCTGCTCCAGAAAAACCCAGATTCCTGTTCCTTACCCTTGTTTGACTGCAGTACCTCATAAAGACTCTTGCCCCCTTCTTGCGTTCCCCCGTCGACCTTCTTGAGCCTCCTCGATGACTCGACTTGTTGCTGCGCTTTCACCCAAGCATCGTCAGGTGCGTCGGCATCGGTCCCAGCTGGTACAAATCGGGACATTGTCACGGACATATATCACGAGGCCCGTGGTAAGCTGCCGGTGCTGATCAGGATAAATTCTTCATCGGGGGCTAATTCGTCGAGGCCAAGGGCGCGTGTCTGGCCGTGGGTCAAGGCCGAGTGAGATTTATGCGGGCTTCCTCCGTCATGAATAAGGTCAAAATGGACAATAATAATGGCAAAAGCGTCCGGGTAGCGGTTATTTACTAGACTCACTGGGTTCACTTTGCACGACACGTTAGAGCCCAAGTTTTGTGGAGGAGGAAAGCCACCTGCCACCTGCCACCACCCCACGAGTTTCCTCTGCACACTCGCCTCTCCTTCCCTTCACTCTCCCTCGCCTGGGCATGCGGCCCGGACATGGCCCTCGATCTCAATCTTCACCAAGATCTGGACCCTTTTCTCCTCCTCGTTTACTCTTCAACGCGAGTGCCTGCCATGGCTGCATGGCTACATAATGTCGCTCCAAGGTCATTCCGAGCCTCACCCCTCGTAGTGGGGATCCCTGCTCCGTGCCAGGATGAGATACGAGTATGCTACGAGACTTCCGGGCGCATGTGGACATGAATTATCCTCTTGATATTTATCCCCATCCTTTGACCCAGTCGATCATTTCAGCCTAAATGACGGCAAACAAATTTGATCTAGAAGATTCCCAGTCCTCTGTTTCAACTGTGCACGGTGGTCAGGCTCCATAACCCGCCAATAACGGTTCGGATCAACAGGTGCGACGATTGAGCCGTGCCCCTCGTGGTCCTGATTATTGCGTAGCTGTTGTTGCATCGCAAAGGTCGATTGCCCCACCTCCAAATCTTTCAATGCGAAGATTGCCCACCGGGATATAGCTGCAACTATATATCCATCCCAATGATCCGCAAAGGCAATTTTCGGGTTTCTGCGTCCGGGTCGCATGTCATTGTTTCGCCTCTCTGTTTCTTCCTTTAAAGGGTCGAGGATTCCTCCTTTTGTCGCAAGTGTCCAGTTTGCGTCAAATCACTTCTTAACCCCTACGCTTTTGAATCTTCGATTACTCCGCACGATGACGACTTCACAATCAGGAAAGGGCACAAAGTGAGAAAACTCCCAATCGGCACTTGTCCATCCCGGTCCCAGAGTGGCGGCTGCTAACACCTGCCTGTCAGGACCGTGTTCACGTTGAACACTGGTGCTAAGATGCCCGGCGTTGGACTCGGTACCTGGCAATCCAAACCCAACGAAGTTCGCGAGGCCGTCAAGAACGCTCTGCAAATTGGCTACCGCCACATCGACACGTAAGAAACCTCCTTCTGCCTGACCGTAGGCAGCGTCGTATCCTAACTCGTTTCAGCGCTCTTGCATACGGTAACGAAGCAGAAGTCGGCCAGGGGATCATCGACTCCGGCGTTCCCCGCGAAGAGATCTGGATCACGACCAAACTCGACAATCCCTGGCACAAGCGTGTCAACGAAGGTATCGAGTCCTCTTTGAGAGACCTGAAGACGGACTATGTCGATCTCTACCTCATGCACTGGCCCAGCTCCACTGTGCCGGAGGATTTGAAGAAACACTATGATGACTGGAACTTCATCGACACTTGGTGGGCGATTTTAGAGACTTTGTTTAAACGCAGTCCATGCTAATCTCCGAACAGGCGCGAGATGCAGAAACTTGTTGGCACTGGCAAAGTTCGAAATATCGGAGTGTCCAACTTTGTCATCTCCAACCTCGAGAAGCTTCTGAATGCACCCTCAACGAAGATTGTGCCTGCTGTCAATCAGATTGAACTTCACCCTAACATGCCTTCACCAAAGACTCTGGCGTACTGCAAAGAGAAGGGAATTCACGTCACCGCATACTCGTGCTTGGGCTCGACGGACTCACCTCTAGCCCACGACCAGACTCTTCAAAAAATTGCGGATGCACACGGCAAAACTCCTCAGCAGGTGCTGTTGATGTGGGGGCTTCAGGTGCGTAGAATTTATGAGACACATGTCCTCCATGGTCTCTCACAACAACTCCAAAATATGCTGTTTCAATTTACTGACACTTTTCTTCCAAAACAGAGAGGCACCAGCGTCATCCCGAAATCTGTTACCAAGTCGCGCATTGAGGCAAACTTCCAACTGGACGGATGGGAATTGACACAAGAGGAGATGGACACTTTGAGCAACATCAAGACTCGCTTCAAGGTATGCGGCGATTCGTGGTTGCCCATCAAGGTCTTCTTCAACGAGGAGGGCGATGGCGGCGATGTTCCTTCCCATTAGTTGTGTTATTCCTCGAAACTCTTGGAGAAGCAACGATCCACCGAGCCTGGAAGTCTGCGAAAGAAACCTGCTGCGGTGTTGGGAAAGCAACGCGCGGTGATTCGGGCACGGGGAATCGGGTTGAAAGAGAGAGAAACGTTGCACAATATATCAAGGAGCATTAGATTCAGGTATAGACACGGAGAGACCCTCGTCTTTGCCGTGGTAAGAGAGTCTCTGCGCAACCAAGCTCACATCCCTCTTGAGGGGTGAAATCCTTTTTGGCGTCAAGAGGAGAAAGGTCTACATCCTCGCGGGGCAGTGTTTATAAAAACAATCTCTTTTGACGTAACCGCATTTCCAGAGATCTGATGCCACAGCGTTTCTAGGGCTCGGCTTTATATATTTTGGGCTGCGATTCGTCCGCATTACGGACGTAACTATACGTAGGGTGGTAACACCAGTAGGAGATGAATAACTGAGCGACGCGGGGGAATCCGCAACTAAACCGAATTGACGCTTTTGGGAATGAACCCGAGAATCGTCTTATGTAATCAGCTCACTAAGCTGCAAGGAGTAATCTCACTGCCCGATGACTCCTTGCTTCGACCGTTCGTATTGCTGTCGTATCTCGTTAGACTTCAAGCCGCCCGCTCCCCGGTACGCTTTGCGAAACAGTTCTGCCTGGAGAGTCTGGCTGGTACCAAGCCCTCGACCTTGAGTGAGCGACGACGTCAAATCCCTCTGGCGTTTCGCTTTGCGTGATTGGGATCTTTGAGCTGAACACTACATCGCATGCTGTTTGCAGTCAGACAAACTGGAAATTTCTCTCCCCCCAAACTTGCCACTATCCGCTGGACCTCCCTCACCAGCAGTTTGCTTCTTTCCACCGCTGTTTCCCGCTCCCACTGTCTGAACAACCTGTCCCGAACTCCATCCCGCCGTACCTCTATTTCCTTCCTCCACATCTTCATGAATGTGTTGGCTCTCCCTCGCGGGGTAAATTCCAATTGATCGCCGCCGAAGGAGATTGCGCTGCTCCTTGGATTCAAAGCACAGCTTCTTTGCGAGCTGGGAATGACGTCGGGCAATATTGAAGACCCGGATATGGGTGGAACAAACGGAGAGAGCGAACAATCGACTGGAGCGGCGAATGATGCCATCCCTCGACCAAAGAGGATTGCCTGCATATTGTGCCGCAAAAGGAAACTGAAATGTGACTCAAACAAACCGAGCTGCGGGACATGTTCGCGCTTAAATCATCACTGTGAATACTCCGAAGAACGGAAAAAGAGCGGTCCCAAGAGAGGATATGTCAAACTTCTGGAAGCGCGACTCAAGCAAGTTGAAAACTTGCTGGAAACAAGAGATGCGACGAATGAAGCGACTACCCACACGACCCAGCCCACAACAACAGCGGACTCATTTGCCCCTATGCCTTCTCTAGATATCCGCGATGGTCTCGATACTTCAATGTCTGGAATGATGGCAGACAACAGATTTACTGATCCAACTCTGACCGGGATGCCGGATTTCACCATGAACTCCAACGACGATTTCTCTTGGGAGATGATAGGTCTTGGTCTTGAAGAAGCTTTACCCGCACGAGAGGTGATAGATGAGATGTATGGCTGATCTCGAGTCCAACCTCTAGGCGTTTTTCGGATGCTGACTGCTCTAGGAATGAGATATATTTCGAAAAAATTCATCCGTCCTTGCCCATGATCCACAAAGGCCGTTTTCTGGCTTCAATGGACCTCGCGCCTCATATGCGCCCCGCGGTGTGCCTAAGATATGCTATGTGGACCCATGCTTGTGCCATCACCTCCAAATATTCAGCTTACACCGAACACTTTTACGCCAGGGCTCGGAAGTACGCAGAAATGGACGAGATGAGAGGACACGGTGAGGGAATGATCACAATCGCTCATTCTCAGTGCTGGACGTTGCTTGCCTGCTACGAGTTTCGGGTAATGTACTTCCCGAGGGCGTGGATGAGCATCGGCAGAGCTGCACGACTGGCGCAAATGATGGGTCTACATCGACAAGATCGTGTTGGTCTTGACGTGAAACAAACATTGCCACCTCCTCGAGACTGGACCGATCGCGAAGAACGGCGGCGCACCTTCTGGATGGCGTACTGTCAGGACAGATACGCCAGCATCGGTACTGGCTGGCCAATGGTCATTGACGAGAGAGACGTATGTGTCCCGAACATGTGACCGTCAGGCAGCTAATGGAATTCCCTGCAGATTCTCACAAATCTACCGGCTAGCGAGGAAGCCTTTAATAAATGTCAACCAGAGCCTACACTACAATTATCCGATATCCTGAACGGGGATGGGGCGTCTTCGCTCTCTTCATTTGGCGGTGTCATTCTTTTGTCAACAATATTCGGGAGAAACCTTACCCATCTCCATCGACCGTCGGAACAAGACAATGACCATGATTTGAACGGTGGATTCTGGAAGCGCCACCGGTCTTTGGACAATATTCTTCTCAACACGGCCTTGTCACTCCCTCCACCTCTCCGCCTCCCAGCAGGTCTCAATGATCCGAACACCGTCTTTCTCAACATGAATATCCATACAGCGACTATATGTTTGCACCAAGCAGCCATATTCAAAGCTGATAAAAATCGATTGCCAGCCCAGATCAGTGCCGAATCCAAACGTCGATGTATCGTCGCAGCGGACCAAATCACGAACGTTATGAAAATGATCAGTCACATGGACATGTCGATGGTTCGTTAGAGTGCTCGTCAGCGGTGTCTAAATACTAATGTGGTCCCAGATGAATCCTTTCCTCGCGTTTTGTCTATATGTGGCTGCCCGAGTGTTTGTGCAATATCTCAAATCGAGACGAGAAGATGCTGCAGTCAAATCCTCCCTGCACTTTCTACTCGCCGCGATGCAAGTCCTGAAAACCAAGAATCCGCTCACTGAGTCATTCTTGGTGCAGCTCGATGTTGACCTCGAAGGTAGTGGCTTGGATATCCCGACCAGCTATTCGCGATGGAAATTCGGGCATCGCCCACCAGTCAGTCTGCCCAAAGTTTTCTACAATGCGGCAAAAACGCTGACTCGAATATAGGGTGAAAGTCCTGCTAACACGGATGCTTTGAAATGTTCTCCCCTCTTCGAAATTCGAGAGACTCAAGGACGAGAAACAATTGGAGCAGTCCAAGGGGCCAACACCCAGGGCATACAACCCCCTTGGCCCGGTGATGCCAATGTTACCTCCGCGACCAGCAGCTACCCAAGTTTATATGCGACGGAAGGGTTGGGCACCAATTCACAGATGGGCCAGACAATCCCCCCAGCAGGCGATGGATTGGAGAATAGTTATGGCTTTCCAATCCAGTCGGTGGGAACAGACACTTCGCCAGACACTTCGCACCAGGATGGGAATGGCTCACGACCGCATTCTAATCACCCAACACCTTCAACGTTGTCAAACCCGAACTCATCGCATACATCGTACACTTCGCCGCCGAATTTATCCAGCAGCGGAAACACTACGAGTAGTGGGCAAGGGCAACCTTCCCCAGGCTATGTGTTTCCAGGTGGCGCGCAGTCTTCGTGGACCATGAATATATCAACTCAATCTGGGCAGGATGCATCACCACAGCAAAGCGGTATGAACTTTGGCTCTACCGGGATGACCCCCGGCCCTACAGGACTGACCCCTATGGCCGACTCGCTTTGGGCAACGGAAGGAATGCCAGATGGGAATGAATGGATGTTTGCATGGGCCGGTTCGACGCCGCAGCCACAGTGAGCTTGAATTTATGAGTATTGATGTGCGCCTACAGTGCGCGATGTACGATTCATGGCTGCCAGTTATAAAAATGTGATACCCAGGAGCCATACGCGAAATCCCAACTCTTATCTACCAAGGGACGTGGGGGAGTGAACCAAGATATAGACAGAGCTTGAAGTTTGCAAGGCCGTACAGCTGCCGTTCAGCTATCACTTTTGGCAATGCTACGAACTGACTATGATAATACCCTACGCGCTAGCTTTAGAAGCTGAGGAGGGTTGTAGCAGGTGGTTGAAGACATCAGCGACACCAGCGAGGTCTATCAAAAGCCCTCGTCCATTTTAGGAAAAGGGAAGCGTCTTAATAAAGCGAAACCCCACAAAACTCTCTCGAACTGCGCTGGCGAACAGAGAGACCCGTGGTCGAGCCACGATTTTGTTTACAACCAACACCACCTTTCTCTATTTTTCTTTTCTTTTCTATAGTTCCACTTGTGCGCTTGGGGTGGTATGGCGCCCGTGAGCCAGCGCAAGCACCTGGGACGCGACAAGTTCGGGGCTCAGTTCAGCCTCCTCAAGACGCAGCAGTACACCGACCCGGCCACTCGGACAGCCATACCGACCATGTATGTACCCGTCCTTGTCTGCATGAAGAGAAAACATGCATTCGACACACCCATCATCATCATCCTGTCTCCCACGATGAAAACCCGAGTCCCCTCCTGTTCCTCTCTCTCCCCCTCTCTCTCTGCCCCCCACCCGTGCGCGTGTGTATGTGTCTGTGTGCAACATATCGGCTGATGTTTCAATCGTCAAAGCCACCGCACCATCTCATGGAACGCCTCTGGCGGGCTGATCGCCACCGGGGCCAACGACAAGACGGTGCGGATCTGGAACCCCGAGCGCACCAGTCCGCGCAGCCAGATCGAGCTGCGAGGCCACGGCCACGCCGTCGAAAAGGTCCTGTTCAACCCCGTCCGCGAATTCGAGCTGGCCAGCTGCTCCTCGGACGGCACCGTGCGGTTCTGGGACACCCGGTCCAAAAGCTGCGTCAGTAAACTCGACGTCGGCGGCGAGCCTTTTACGTTGAGCTGGAGCGCTGACGGGAGCGTGCTCCTGGCGGGGACCAAGGTGCGTGGAAACAGAAAAAGAAAAATACCCTCAGAAAAGAAAAAGGAACCCCGAAAAAAAAAAAGGAATTATAGCGAGGAGGAGCTGAAACCTCGTTTCTTTGCCGTTTTCTTTCGGCGACAGGGCGACGTCCTCATTCCCATCTCGACGGCGATCCCGTCCTCGCCACAGATCCTCTCGCGCCTCAAGCAGAACCAACAGACCAACCAGACGACTTTTTCGAATGCATACCCGCCCTCGGACCTGCTGATCACACAGGGCGACGGCTCGGTCAAGATCCTCGACTACCCGTCCTTTGCGGTGCTGCACACCATCTCGGCACACACGTCGTCGTGCACGGCCATCGCCTACTGCCCGACGGGGAAGTACGTCGCGGTCGGGGGCTCGGACGCCATGATCTCGCTGTGGGACACGACCGAGTGGGTGTGCCGACGGACCGTGTCCAACGCCAGCTCGGGCGCCATCAAGGGCCTCAGCTGGTCGTGGGACGGCCGGTACCTGGTCGGCGCGAGCGAGGAGATGGGCTCCGGCGGCGGCGAGGGCCTCAGCTCCGGCTTCGACATCTACCACGCCGAGACCGGCGACGTCGTTCACACCATCGCCACCGGCACCAGCGGCATCCCCGCCGTCGAGTGGCACCCGAACCGCTATTGGTTGGCGTATACCCAGATCGAGGACTCCCGGCAGGGGAAGTCGAGCTTGAAGATTGTCGGAGCCGCTGGAGGTCCGTCGATTTGATATCTCTTCAGCACCTTCGCCGGCGTTGACCGCATCGAGAACCTGGCACATACGGAACCTTCGTTGCGTGTATGCATGTATATGGGATGCGGGGATTCATATCTCGTCTCGTCTAACCTGCTCAGGAAGCTCGCGAAAATATACACCAACCACCCAAGACGGACGGAGAGGACTGCTGCTGTTGTCGTGTCGAATGAATCGCCGCGCAGCCAGTCCTGACCGCGCTACATGAACGGGATCTCTTGTCTCTTGATATCCAGAGATTTCTCCCGTCCGAACTGGCGACTCACAAAGAGAACCAAGGCCCGCACCCCTTCAAAGATCACCTCTGAGGCCAAGGCACACGGGATAGGGCAAAAGTGCATGCATAAGTCTTCTCTCTCTTCGGTGGTAGGTGGGAATACTCCTCGAAGCTGCCACAACTGTCACAATGTTCTTCTGCTGTGTGTGTTGCCCAACAGCGCTGTCTCTCTATCATCATCTCGATTACATTGATTGCCCGAGAGACCTAGTCAAGTTACCATGTCAGGTGTCTGACTAGTTCGAACGAGTCTGTATGTGTGTGTGGGTGTTTGGGTGTGATGTCTTGTCGATTACATTCGATCTCATGCTATATGAATCTAGGGACTTTGTTTACTGTCCCTCAAGATCGGATCGCCTTGGATATGGAGCACCTGAGCTTTCTAGCTCAACATCGGTCTTGTATAGGTTAAACTTGGCACAGGGCCAAGTATCAAGGCCCCAGCAACAGACCATCACGAGCCACAGCCAGCTTCACTGGCCTCTCTCGTGCCCTCACCTACCTAGCAACGAGGCTGCACTGCGAAGAGGGTGCTAGCTGAATACAAAACTGGTTCTCGTCGAATTTCTCTCTCCAACAATCTCCGCCAGAGTTGGACAGTTGGGTAATTCTCTGCACACGAGTTTGCTCCAATTGGTGCTTTCTCAACATGCAGCCTTGTATGATCATCCGTCTCCTTGGGCTCAAGGCTTTTTCGCAAGATCGGAAACGTCGTTTTTGTGCATGTAGCACAAAGGTGTTTATCGCATCCGGTTGCATAGTCCGAATTGTGCTGCGCCTTTGGTATTCCGTCCTTGAATCTTACCCGCTACCCTCAAGTCCACATGGCCATGTTTGCCCCGTAGTAATTGGGAGTCTGTGGCCCTTCGCTTTGAATCAGATACCCCAAGGAACATTTCTCAAATCCCACTTTGGGTTGACCCGCATAGAATGTATCATACTCGGTGTTCAAGGCATCAACCAAGTTATTGACGCTGCCCTCAGGGTGAAGGATCTTCCATGGATGGGTGCATTCGATGCCCTTGCAGGCCTTGAGGACCATGAGGAGGGCATCGAGACGTGGCTGGACCTGGGAAAGGGGTCGATCTAAAGGTCGGTCCAGGAGAGTAGCATTGACGGATTCGTTGGGTCCCAGCAGGTTGTTCATTTGCGAGGGATCACGCTGAATTCTTGTTAGTTGATCCTAAGTCCACACGAACATGAACGGAGAGAATGGTATACCGTCATGTCGTACAACTCGTGTTCGTTCGTGCACCAGACTGTATATTGCAGGTTATACTCATCGGTTATAACGCGCATCGATTTGTAGGTATTATTGGGAAATTGAGCTGAATGCCCATGTTAGCAGTGCTTTCTTCTGGAGATTCTTGTGTCGAAGCACACTGACTGAAGCTTCCGTTGACGCCCTGCAATCCAAAGGCTCCTTCAAACCCACCTGTTCCCCAATACTCGACCATTGTATGATCGAGGGTAGGAACATTGCGGCGAATTTTCTGGGCATCGTCGGTAACCGGCATGGGCAAGCCATCGAAATCGCTTCGTAGTGGAATTCCGGCCAACTGAAACAGTGTGGGAGCAATGTCTGTATGAGTTGTCACAAGATTAACAGTTTTACCTCTGGGTACACTCGGTCCGCGGATACAAAATGGAATGTTGACGTCCTCCTCGTAAGCGCAGTATTTTCCTGGCTGCAAGCGGTGATTGCCCATGTGATAGCCATTGTCAGAGGTATATATAACGTAGGTATTGTCAAGTAGACCGTACTTTGTCAGGCGGTCAATGATGGGCGGAATCATCTCATCGACAGCTTGCAACGCTTGCAGGCGTAAGCGATAAAAGTTATCAAAATAGTCAATTTCAGTGCTGTTGAGTTGGGGTAAGTGCGTGATCCAGCTTGCTCCGCTGGGTATATCGGGATTGAAGTTGGGATCCCGTGGAATTTTGACACCGGGGAATAGATCCTCATGACGAGGCGCCGGTATGGGTGGAAGAAAGCCCGGAATGGCCGTCGTCGGATTGAAGATGGTCTGACAATGTGGTGCGATGGGGGCGACACCAAGGAAAAAGGGCTCTCCGGCAGCTTGAGCTTGGTCAAGCATATTCAGAGCATTTTGGGCAACTTGATCTGTGTTGTATTGACCGGGCGTGCTCACGGGAGGGTCTTTATTGGTCTGGAATGTGGCGTTGTAGTAGTTGTAAGTTCCTGGGTCGATCAAGACTGTACGCCGTCAACAATGCCATTCAGAGTGAACCGATATGAAGCCTCACAAGCCGTGCCGTTCCACCCCGCAGGGAATGGGTTATTCCAGTTCGAAGTAGAATGGGCATTCATTAGTTTGCCCGTGTAGTAAGTGTTGTATCCCGCCTGCTGCAGCCATACCGGGAGGTAGTCGTTGTTGAGGCCTTGTTGGACGAACTTGGGATAGCCACCTGAAATAATCAGCGCCACACCTTGAGACTGTCGATAGTTCACAAACCATAGGGAGGGACAATATCCGTGACATTAGTGTTATGCGCCAGTTTGCCAGTCAACAATGAGACTCTCGAGGGGCAGCATTGGGAGACCGTGCAGAAGTGGTTTTGATACGTTGTCCCTTCTTTTGCAATCAGATCCATAACATTTGGCATATATTGCATGGAATTGAGGTGTAGATCTTGGTCATCGGTCATGATGAAGACAAAGTTAGGTTTCTGCGCAGGCTCTAGTCTTGTGCTGGCCTGGGTGCCATGGCTGGAGGCCACGAAGGCCAAGGCGAGCACGAAGAGGACGAGGCGGTAGCACATTGGTGCCATGAGACTGCAAGGCTGTGAGGATACTTGCAGTATTGATAGAAAAAACTCGAGCTAGACTCAATGTGCCATGTGGGCGCTGAGGCGGACAATATAGAAATGATGCTGCTACTACACAGCAAAGTCTGTCAGCAGCTGGAGAAGAAGAAGAGCAACTGTCATTACCTGGAGGCAGGTGCCAGATTGTCTTATAGCGGGAGGTAGTGACGCAGCAGCACCATGTTCAATGCACTGGCCATGAGTCCTTCCCTCCCTGCAGCAAGCCACCATTTTAGCATGCATGATCTGTCGGTTGGTCGAGGTGTGCCGACTCAACAGGCCACTAAATCAACTTGCTCACGGAGGAACAGGCTACATCCCTGCCACATGTCTGTTGATTGTGGCCGAATGTCATTCTCCTTGTCGGTGGGAGCATCGTGATGGATCTGAGAAGATCTTGGGATCCAGTTATTGTTGTGAGTTGACTGATACGAGTGGTGTAGAGGAGATCAAGAGGCATAGTCAACACGTTGGAGAATGACGTTGAACATGAGGAATAGTGCGCAGTCTGGCGTTGGGGGGTTGTGAGGGACTCACCCGACTCGTAGGCCTTGTGGCTAGCCGGAGCTCGGCAGGGGAACAAGCTCTTGGGCGATCTGCTAGCTTCCAGCTTTAACTAAACTGTGGGCACCAGTGGGGGAGCTTGGGGAGTTCTCGGTGAGGTCACCACTTTGTCGCCTAACTACAAGCACTGCTGGTCGCCTCTGACTAGGTAGCTACGGACCTACGGTAACTGGCTGACTACCGAGTACAGTAATTAAGCTTATTCTGATTGTCAGGTACGCGTGGCACGCCAGGGATCAGCACCATGCCACACATGCCACTGCATCTATCTTTGTTTCCCTCATCCCCAATATTGTGGTTCGGCCTGAAACACGCAATCAACACTTGCAATGGCAGCTGAGTTGCTCGCTCCCTGTATCACTCAGAAACATTCAGAAGCCAAAGACGTAGAGACTGCGCTCCGCAAAGAAATCTCTCTGCCGCTTGCCGCTGGATGCATACTGAGACAACGATGTATCTGTCACCCCTCAACGGCTACAACACCTCAATATCTGTGGTAAGGACATCACTCATCTTCGCTGAATTATGGCCAGGCAGTAACCAGCTCAGCGTAATACATAGCGAGAGCGCGTTTCACTCACCATCCATGTCACCAAATACAGTGCATATGCCTCGCGATAACACCTACGCATGTCACTTTTCTGTTCCAACACCACACTACCTGAACTTGATCAGTCTCGTCTTTATCCTGAGATCAACCCTGCAACCTAACTGAATCTCTCCTTCCCTTTCATTCGGCTAACTACATGGAGATGGCTCTATCCGAGGGCCATGGCCCTGCAGAAGTGGAACAGGTACACTATCTACAGTGGAATACTGTAGCGGGCCGGAAGCCTGTGTCCAAACCACCGAGAAAAAGTGAACTTTCAAGCTCAGACTCCTACGTGAAGACTCCTCACTAGACCCCAAAGCCTCGACGTATCGAGCTATCTGCTTTGAAATCCGCCCATTGCGACACCCAGACAATATCATCATCTACCACAGATTCCACTGCTCACCAGACACGGGACGACCGCAATACAAACTCTCAAGCAGGAACGAGTGTACAGCTTCGAGGTGGCTGGGATGCGCAAGACTGCTGTGCGTGCTCCATATGCTACTGTTTAACCTGCTGTGGGTACTGCGACTGAGTTTGTTGAGCGGTCAGGGTTACTTTTTGCCATCCTTACGAGTCTTTGTTACGGGGACTGGACAGATACTGAAGATCTGGATGCTTGTATACTGCTTCATACACCAGGATCCAGCTGCAATTGTCGCAAACAAATAGAGCAGATTATCCAAGTCAGCCTTGTTCACGGCAGAGTCTCAGGAGATGTCGGAGAACCCTATACCGGTATACTGACTGCAATGACTCCTTTGCTCCATTTTTCTCTCTGATGTTGACCACAGACCAGGCGAGAAACACCGACGAAGTGGAACACAGGGTCAACGTGTCTCCAGCAGTGGTCCTCAATGGGGTGCAATGTCAAACACCAGATGCCTACCGTCACTGTCATGTCCCTCACCCCTCTTACGCTTCACCATCACCCCCCACCCAAGTCTCGGGCATGAAGATCAAGGATGCCCAGTAGTTCTTTGATTGCCTCTTCAGGAATTACCTCAACAGGCAGGCAAGACCCGGCCACATGATTGGTTTCTACAATGTCAACTAAGGCGGAGATCCGCACGATAACTTCCCCATATCCCATATAAGGGTCAGGCTGTTTACCCCTCGCTGGCAATGCAATACACTCTTGCCCATCTCGACTCAAAACTCGTTCAGAAATACACGGGATAGTTAAGAACAGAATATTCATCATCAAAATGGCGTCCATGGCCAAAGTCTTTGGTGCCTACGAGGCCCGCAAGGCTCTCCTGGAAAAGTCGACCAACCCGCTCGCCCAGGGCGTAGCATGGGTCGAAGGCCAATTGTACCCGATCAACGAGGCACGCATTCCATTGATGGATCAGGGCTTCCTTCACAGCGACTTGACCTACGACGTGCCGTCCGTCTGGGATGGCCGCTTCTTCCGCCTGGACGACCACTTGTCGCGGCTGGAAAAGAGCTGCTCGAAGATGCGGTTGAAACTGCCCGTCCCACGCGACGAGGTCAAACGGATCCTGTGCGACATGGTCGCCAAGTCCGGCATTCGCGACGCTTTCGTCGAATTGATCGTCACACGTGGCCTGAAGGGCGTTCGGGGCACGCAGAACCCCGAGGACTTGACGAATAGCCTGTACCTCTTTATTACGCCGTACCTCTGGGTCATGGAGCCTGAGATGCAGCTGCAGGGCTCGGGCAGCGCGATTATCGCAAGGACAGTGCGCCGGACGCCCCCAGGCTGCATGGACCCGACGGTGAAGAATCTGCAGTGGGGAGATCTGACGAGGGCCATGTTGGAGGCCAATGACCGGGGCGCCAACTACCCGTTCCTGACCGACGGCGACGGCAACATCACCGAGGGCTCGGGCTTCAACATCGTGCTGATCAAGGACCGGGTCCTGTACACGCCTGCACGGGGAGTTCTCGAGGGCGTGACGCGCAAGAGCGTCTTCGACGTGGCCAACAAGCTCGGCCTCGAGGTCCGCCTGGACTTTGTCCCCGTCGAGCTGGCTTACCACTGCGACGAGATGTTCATGTGCACCACTGCCGGCGGCATCATGCCCATCACCTCCCTCGACGGCGTGCCAGTCCAGGACGGCAAGGTCGGGCCCCTCACCGCAAAGATCTGGGACCTGTACTGGGACATGCACTACGACGATACCTACAGCTTCGCCATTGACTATGATGGCGTCGAGGGCAAGAAGAATGGCGTCAACGGCGTCAACGGCACCAATGGCGTGGCTCATTGAGTCATGGCTCGAGAGTAGTAATGATAATCTCTTCTGCCTCCCTCTTCTTCTCCTTCTCCTTCTTCGTTGTCGTGCTCACGTGAAAAATGACATGTACTAATACCGCGGCCATTTCCCATCAAAGTGATAATGCTGGATAAAAAGAAGAAAAGTAGTTCTGTCTGCCCCAACACCCATTTTTTGGTTTCTCTGTTACCGGGCTTGCTTTCTGTAATGAACAGGACCTGGGAGGCTGTCTATATTCGGCTCCACGCAGCAGACTCCGGACGGAGTCTGATGAGATACCACGACAGACGTAGCTTCGTGCGCACACACACCCACACACACACACACACACACAGTGAGTGAGGTATCTAATCCACACAATAAGATTACTGATTTATGCGTAATAGAATGGAATGGAATAGCTTAGCTTAGCTCAGCGGTCGTGGGAAAACCAACAACTAAATCAGGAGTTTTGTTTACCAAGGGCCGCCGTGAACGGGTGATATCATTATACATGTATGGCCACAGCACACCACGCCATATCCAACCCTGAAAATCAAGCGTAGAGTCTTCCCGCCCTGGCTGGGTCGGTATACTCGACCGGCCCCAGCCCGAGGATATTAGGTGCGACCTCGCCGTAGCGCACTTTTCGCGAGCCCAGGATCTTGACCAGTTCGTCGGCGGACAGGTTCGAGCCGGACTGCGGTGCGCGATCGGGCCCACCGTCGTCGACGTCGAGGACGCTGTAGGGCACTCTGGTGCCGGTTCGCTCGTCGACCACGGTCGAGTAGTGCAGCGCCTTGGCCACCTCGAAGGGCGACAGGCTGATCTTCCTGCCGAGCAGCCAATAGCCGTCGTAGAGCGGCAGGATCGCCGTAATGGCCAACAGCATGAGGCCGACCGCGACGCCGAGGATGGTCCGGTTGGTCCGGTACACAGTGTGGTAGATTTGATATTGGCCCACAGTGGTGACGTTGTGGACGGGCACAGTCGACGTCTGCACGTCCAGCGCCGACGCGTTCGGGAACATATAGTCGCCCACCTTTTGCGTCGCGACGGCCACGGAGCTGCGGAACATGATGTCCCTCATGTTCGAAAGCAAGGCGCTCATCGGGGATGCGTAGGTGTTGTTCAGTGCCAGTTCAATGCTGCCTGTGCCGTGCTCGAAGATTGCATAGGGCGCGGCAAAGGACCCCGTCACTGCAACGTCGGATCCGGAGTTGGTGACGTCGCTCTTGATAACGATGCTCGAGCCGAAGAGGCTGGAAAATGCCAGCGCGATACCTCCCAGCGTGCTGTGCTGACCAGATGTAGGGTCGTCCTGACTTTCCCAGGTGTGTATCAGTGTCTTGTCATGGTCTGGGATAGGGAGCAAATCCAAAACTTTGTCGACGGCAATATTCTGCTCGTAGGGATCGGTGGGGGAAATTGTCCAGTTTATGGTAGATGTAGGTTGCTGTAGTGTTGCCACTCCCTGCGTGACATTGACCATGTACTCCACCATAGCAGGCAAAAGAGTGCATTGTCGATTTGTAACCGTTTCACCCACATACCCTTTCTTGTCCTGCCAGAGCGTGCTGAGTCCAATCTCCCAATGAATCCCAGTGGTGACATTGACCTGAAAAACCGTGTTGGGCGGTTGATGAACAGTACCATTGGAATCCGCCGCTAGAGGGTTCAGCAGCGAACTCCGGGTCGCATTGCAGGTATACTGGAAGCCCAGTCCGGGTAGACGCGCGACACATGATACGTTGGAAGTAGAGCCACAGCCTTTCAAGTCGAGTGCGACAGGTGCCTGGACCTTGTAATCTTGAAGGACTTGAATAAAGGGCGGCGTGAAATAAACCACGCCGAAGGTATCGTGGCCGATTGCCGCCACTACGCCAGAGAATCCAGCAGGAAGAGCACTAGGAAGCTCCGAGGTCATGTTTCGGCTGATCTCTGACAAAACTGTGGTCGAAGAACTGGCTTGTTGTAGCACCACTGTATTCCTCGTCAGCTAGCCATACCCGCCAGGGTTATTGGATGATAATAGAAGACCATGAGAGGAGATCATTACCTTCTAGCCCAGCAAAGATGGTGAATGCTAGACTCCCAACACATATCCAGCCCCATAGCCTCCAATGGAATGCCACCGTGTGTATAGAATTGCCGACGGCCCAGCGGAAATGAAGTCTCTTCAAGGTCTGGCCACGGATGGCGTCCACCCACCAGGAAACCGCGACGGCCTCGGCAAACATGACGGCGAGCGTCTTCGAGAGGAGGAAATTGGCCAGGGCAAGCCAGGCACTGACGCTGACCTGCCAGTAATGGTAACGATGGCCAATTTGCATAGTGGTAGCTCCCCACGACTCAACATCTTTGCCATCCGAAACGACCAGAATGATAATCATGGCAGCGAGAATTGCTAACATGATGATCAGGCAGCACATGCTGAGGAGCGGGATCCGAGCTTTGTTACCCGCTCTCCATGCGCTGACAATTCCATGTCGTTCTCTTCCGTTCTTGTGCAAGAGGCTATAGCTGCCAAAGGTAGGTTGCTTTTGATCTTCTTCGTTCTCGAGAGTTCGTTCGGCTAACAGAGAGCGTTACCAGCTGTCGACAGGAGGGCCACAACCCAAGATGTTGTACTTGACAGACCCACCTTCACTCCCCAAGAACGAGGTTTTCGCTTCATTATTGCCAGCGAAGTCAGACGAAAGGGTTTCGGTTTCTTCAAGTTCTAGCTGCGGTGGGTTTGACTGTGTCAACATCGGACTTCTGTTTTGGCTCTCCATATGACACGGTGGACCAGACGCAGAAAGCTTTCAGAAGTTGACAGCGCTTTGTGAGGACAGAATATAGAGTAAAGATATGAAGCGAATAGGCCCAACACCTAACTTTGATCCATGAGAGGTAAATAGAGGTTGCACATGGCCACTTGCGGGTACACCGGCCGACCAGGCTCTTCGTAACCATTCGCCATTTGGCGGAACGGTCGCGGGCTGGGGGAAGAAACCCATGCAATGCACTATGATAGACATGGCCAAAATCAGGCGAGATTCCCTGTTGCTGCGAAACATTCGCGCAAGTAGAGGAGTAGTAGCGGTTGATGTCCGCCTGAAAGATCACTTCTTCTGGCCTATAGTTGGTAGATGTGAAAATGACAACCACGCTTGAAACCACCCCTGGGTTGATTCTGTGCCGCAAATGAGGCTCAGGACTTTGGAGCGGGAAGGCTAGTCGGCTTAGTTTGCCTCGCGTTCTGCACGTCCTCCAGAACGTCGCGAATCAAACATGCAGCCAACCCGGTTGTTGTGCAGGGTCATCTGCAGAGCCGGGTGAGGCAGACGGCTTGTGAGAGGCGGAGCAATGCAGTCCTAGTAAGGTTCTTTGTCGAGCCACCGAGTAAAGCTTGATAAGTTTAAAGGGCATTCGAGATATATTATTGCGAGAGCGAAAAGTCCTGTTCGCGACACCCTTGTGCTTCGCCCCCACGGGGCCACCAGAGTCGAGCCGCGTGCAGGGTTCCGTACCAAGTAGGCAGAAGCCATTGCCATCGCCAGCTCTGTCCATGTGGCCCTGCACCTTGTAGGCAATAACGATGGCGTGCGGACGAGGGCCTCGCGTCGAGATTTGAGAGTTGAGATCCCCTGCAATTCGGTGTGCGTGGTTGTGATGCTTGCGACTTGCTCACAGATCCATCTTTAGGCAGTAAAGCAAGCCTCGTTTTTGACGCATTTGTGCAGCGCCGACATGAGATCTTACATTGAATATAGCTCGCCTAGAGGACTGGACTGGGGAAGCTGTCTCTAGTAAGTCTTTCGATAGATATCCTGTCTTCGTGCAGTAGAGGAGAGTGGCTGCGCCTCCTCTATTCGCCCATGGAGTTTCTGCCCCCAAACATTCGAGGCTCGCTGTGATATTCGTTGGGTTTCAGCGTGTTCTCAGCACGACTCCTAAACTGGGGACGAGCGTCCTTAATGTCACGCTCGTGGCAGCACCATCTGGGGTTGCCTGCCGGATGCTGTCGACGACGGGAAGTTCCTCGAGTAGTTTTTGAGATCATCTGCACCATCAAACATATACTCAACTCGCTGGCAACAAAAGATACTCGTATCGACCGTAGCTGGCACAAAGATCATGACTGGTGGGAACCAAGAGTGTCTGTATATTCCTCAAAGACGCCTTTTAGCGAGGGACAGATTGATCTTCTCTTCAGATCACTGTTCCACCCTCTCAGACTTCCTCGTCCCACCATAACTCCGTCCATACTCGCGCAGGAAGCTGGAGACTTTATTGGTCCTGTCCGGCTGGCCTGGGTACCGGCCGGACTCGTCCCTCGAGACACGCTCGCCGCCAGACCTGTTGCGGCCGTGCCTGAAGCTGTCGATCATGACATAGACCGGGACAATGATGATGCTGGTCACCAGGGTGAAGACGAGGTAGAACAGCGGAGCGAGGATGCGGTTGATCAGTCGATTGAGGAAATTGGTGGGCGGGAGTGGCTCGAATTTGGGGAGCGACGGTTTCTTAGTGTCGCGGTCTGACGAGGTCGACATCTTGGTGGCTCTTTTTGAGGCATGGACGAGGGATGGAGAATCAAGATATCCGGAGTTTCGTGTTGTTGTACTCTACACGTTGACGTGTCTTGGTGATGAAATCATCACCGTCCCCCCCATATTATCGAAATACGAAGGTTCTGAGCCGCCACACCGTCCAACCTTGAGTTTGACTTTCACCTTCGTGTCGCCTCATCACTCAATTGTCCCACCCCATCATCTTTACATTAAACGATTCTTACAGATATCAAGCTTGACTTTGTTAGATTCTGGGACCACTTGGCAGACATTGTCTTGAAGTCATTCGATCGTCATTGACCTTGTCAACACGTGCCTAGTGACAATGTCTCGGCTGCAATTTCATCAAAAGTGCTCCTCTGGAGCAAATGCAGTTGTTATTCGGGTTTCATCTTCTATTTCCTAAACTCTGTTTGCCACAACGGTTTCCGTCGCATCCTGCTGATCAGGCAACCCACCCGTTGTGACCTGTTGACCAGCTTCCAGACCTCGGTTGTGCGCAGTCAGCTTCGCAGCCTCCCAGCCTTCATCGCCTACGTAGCCCGCGCGCCCTACGCCCAACCAGAATGCTCGATCACGACTTCTCGCTCCCCAAGCCCATCCACTTCCTCCCTGAATTGGCAGATGATACCACCGAAACCCCAACCACGCGGTGAAAATACCGAGCAAGGAACCCGAAATGATGTCGAACCCTGCGTGACGATTGTCGAAATACCGCGACACCGAGATGAACATGGCAACGGCGATGGGAATGAATGCAATGATGAGCAGATATATGGGGGGCGCTGCTGCTTGGTTGCGAGGAGGAAGAGCCCGCTGGTGGGAAGAGGAGGTAGTTATAGAGTCTTTGCCTAGTTCCTCCTCTTCATCAAATGCCGACATCTGTCGCGCACTTTCGGAACTGGGTGACAAGAAAGGGATTTGAACAGCGAATTTGGCGCATATGAAAAATGTGAGATAGAGCATGCCCGCCCAGCTGAAGCTCGAATGCCCCGACGGCCAACTCGCAAAGGCATTCCGCAATTTGCTCTGGTCGGTGGTGCGACAGATATGCCAGTCGACCAGGATCGGCGTGGCCGAATCTATCGAGGTCCCCAGTCCACCCACACGGTGTCTGCGGATGGCCTCAGGACTCAAGTCTGGATCGCACACGGCAAGCAAAAACGGCCGGGGTTTCCCAGCCAAATCTTTCAGGCCTTCGGTGATGACGAATGCTCCTGCAAGGGCAACACCAAGGCCCATCCATGCTGCATTCCACTCCCAGAGCTTTCGGCGCCAGAGCAACGCCTTGGGGGTTGATCGATGGGCGGTCGGTCCGGGGATGAAAAGCAAGGAGATGGCGGCAGTGATGACGCCGGGTGCGATGATGGCGACGACGATGAGGACTGGAACTGTGACAGTATCCTCATGGTAAGGATAGGAGATATCTGGATCTTGAAGCGAGAAGGGGTGTTTGTTTCCGTGGATCTTGGAAAAGGCGCCGCCTACTGCAGCTGTTCCCCTAGAGCAATGGTTAACTTCTTGCAGCTGAACTATGCGTTTCGGCCCAGTTTCTTACAGTATAAGAATCCAGTCAAGTACATAAGAAGCAATAAGCCTCTTAGAAACACGTCCTATGCCTGAAGCGAGGCTGGAAAGGCCGTTGACTGTTTTCACCGTAGCGACCATTTCTGGTAATTGAGCACGCGACCCGACCCTAAGGTGCGCAAGGGTGAAGTTGGCGGAAGGATGGGCCGCCACAGACGAGGGAAAAAGAGAAAGAAAGAAATTCTTGTGATTAAGTTCCTGGCAGAAGTTGAGTAGAGGAGATTATTACAGCAAGGTCAAAGTCCTTTATCGCGGTATTAGAATAATCAGGATCCAGATCCATTGAAGATCCAACGAGCCCTTTGAAACAAAGCCCAGCTCAGCCAGTTCAGCCGACCAGCCAGCCCAGCGCGAGTGTGTGTGGTGGCAGCCTCAAATAAATGCTCAGCTGAGTCGCTCGGGTACGGGTTACGGGTTCTGGGTTACGTTCGCATGGCGCGGCTGATCGTGTGAACAAATGCCATAAAAGGGCAGCTTGGGAAATGAGAGGGAAAGGGATCGAAGAAGGATGCAGGGGATCTGGACCCCTCTGCCACCGCCGGGAATCTGGCAAACGTCATCAAACAAAACCACAAGTGGTGCCCAAGGTCTCTCGGCGGTGCTTGTGGCCCTCGTTGTGCACACGACCAAGAAGCTCCCCGGTGCCCTTTTCACCCCGTATTATTTCTTACAATAGGTCATGGGTAACTCGTATAAGGGGCGTCGCATCCCCTGTGGCTTGGAATAAGAGGTACCCAAGCACCAAGCAATAAAAGACTCGCCCCCTTCACCAAATTGGCCACCTTGAACCTACGCATAACTGCGAGGCTGTGCATCCTCACACCGCTATGCACTCAGGCACTTGTACATACTCGGAAGATTGTTTGGAATGACACACCCCACCAAGCTTCCGATTAGCTGTCTTCATTGCGAGCGGAACCTCCAAGAGGCAAACATGACACGCAGACAACGCAACCCAAGACTGCCCTTCTCGGTCCCTGACCCAACCAACATGACAGCCAAGCCATTGTTCCAATCTTGACATGTCCAAGTCCTGTAACAAAGGCTCGGCATGCTCCATGGCCCAAGTGTGTTTCGGCATGGGTTCTTATGTGCTCTTTCCATCGAGATCGGCGTAGAAATTCCAGCCAAACGACTCGGACGGATCATTGAACCTCAACTTCTTGTCCAGTCCATCGATCCTTTTCACGTCCTCAGCCTCGAGCTTGAAGTCGCCTTCGAAATTGGCCTTGATCCGCGACGGCGTCTTGGATTTGGGGATCACGGAATGGCCCTTCGCTATACCCCATGCTAGGGCCACTTGCGCCCCGTTCTTGCCGTATTTCCTCCCGATCTCTTTCAACACCGGGTCGTCGATCAGTTTGCCCATGTTCTTGCCTTTGTCGTAGATCTCGTTCTGGTTTCCAAACGGAGAGTATTGAGTAATGTGGATGCCCTTTGACTTGTGCCATGTCGAGAAATCCGCCTGTATCAGATACGGATGCAGTTCCATTTGATGTGCGGCCGGGACGATCGAGGTTTCTCTCAGCAGCCTCTCCATTTCTGCATGGGAGAAGTTGCTCACGCCGATGGCGCGACACTTGCCCTTGGCCACCAGTTTCTCCATAGCTCGGTAGGTTTCGACGTAGTCCGTATCACCAGGGACTATCTTGTTGTCCTTCATGGGCCTCATTTTGTCGCCCCTCGCCCAGGGCGAGGGCCAATGCATCAGGTAAAGGTCGAGATAGTCGGTTTGAAGGTCCTTGAGTGAGGCATCGCATGCCTTTTCCACGTCGTCGGGATGGTGTGAATTGTTCCACAGCTTGGTGGTGAGGAAAATGTCGCTTCGCGGGATGCCCGACCTTTTGATGCCTCTAGCGACACCAGGCTCTGTGCCATATCTGGAAGGACTCAGCGTCCAGGCTCTGGTCAACTGTAGTGATGAGACTCTTACATCCGTGCTGTATCGATATGTCGATACCCCACCTTCAATGCCTCGGCCACTGCGTCTTCCTGTGCTTCTTTGTCCTACGCAAGTCAGACACTGTGTAGTCATGTGCAGCTGTTCCAGCGACACCTTTGATTGGGCTAGGATAGTTTGCTCGAGCGAGAATTGAACTTACCTGCCACGTTCCGAACCCTATGGCGGGGATCTCGGCGCCTGTGTTCAGCGGAAATTGTGTTTTCGTATACCCTACTATCGTTCTGGTTTGGCCGCTGATTTGCCGAGATATATGGCCAGTTCTCAATAGAGAGCGTCTGCTACATTGAGAAAGCATAGCTCAGGAGTTGTGTTGTGTCGTAGGAGAGGACGAATGCGAAGGTTGGTGTTTGTTTTGGTGCTTTTTCTCTAAAAGACACAGAAAGCCTCCACTAAACCGTTTATATCAAACACGGAGCTTTGGAGAAGCTGGGTAAAGGCGCTCTGTATTCGGAACCGCGTATGGACAAAGCTGCAAGATCAATTGTGGTATAATCAACTCGATTGAGAGGCCATCAAGACTGATTTGATGCTGATGTCACTAGTTGTACCGAGGCGCGCACCAAAAGTATTGTCAACGCTAGTAATAGAATGACCAACTGATCAAAAGACAACAGATTTTATTCTCGTTGCCCCTTACAGCGGCCCCGGAGATATCGGAGATCAATTCTCAGTGCCTACAGCACCTAGCAAGACTGAGAATATAGGCTAAGCTGACGCCTATTAGCTCTAACTTATAGCTAAGATATAGGTAAGAGTGCCTACGAGCTCAGAAAATCTTCTGTCACAGTAAGTACTTTTGGTGAGCGCCCTCGTAATTCCAGGTGGTGCCAGTGCGAGTCGGAAACTGCGCCACGGATACGAACCCCGACCTGAGACAAACAATCATCCATCGACTCTCCTCATCTCATCTTCATGGCCAGAACAGAACGATGCATGGTGATAAGACATGCCAAATCTACAGAACCCTCATTGTTGGACCACCAACCGCACTGTATTCCCTCTCATCTGGCCTTCCCGTCTTGAACAATGGGCCAAAACATGCAGCGCCTTTTGTCTGTCTGGTCTCCAGCCCAGCGCCACAGGGTGATCAACTGAATGCAGCCGAGGGCACAAAGTCTTTGTCTGCTGGTCCGACCACGCATGGGACTATGGTCCAAACCCCAAGCACATTCTTTGTCGCTTGATCCAATCAGAGACGATAGAAGATGGACCATGCTGGGCGAGGCTCTTCGACCGCGCCGAATCAAGGCTTCATTCTTTGTATGTTGTCTGGCGAACGCTTGCAGCCACCATTACCCGAGTCACAAGTTCGGACTGGGTGATAAAGGTGACGAACTGGACGGTTCTTTCCAGTCCTTCAGCGCTTTGATTTCTTCTCGTAGTCTCCGATCCGCTTCGCGTCCTTGCAGTTACTACTCAAGCAGATGGTCAACCAGAGCATCGAAGAGGCACCAATCCAGCCAGTTTCACGGTTTTCGACTTCAACCTCCCTCATGATGTCCAGTGCGTCCCAATCCTCCCGGCCCGTCGTGCCAATGCCGCGCTGGTCCAACGCAATTGGATGTGCGAGGGCTGTTATTGCGATTCTTGTCCTCGCCTTTACTGCCGCAAGCACTGGTATCTGGGGTGGCTTTCCTGCCTTTGGAATTGCACTGTTCACCGTAAGTCGACCAATCACTTCATGCGTGAAGAGTCACAAGAACTAACCTTACAACAGTCATCAGCAACGTTGATCATCTTTGCGTACTATTTCGTCGCCCTTTCTCGCAAGCCAGCGCTCTACAATCGCTGGGCAATTCTCGCCCTCGAGGTGGGTGGCACCCTCTTCTGGCTGGTCAGCTTTGCACTATTGTCGAGGTGGACAAGCTTTTACAGTCGTTTCTGGTATGGCAGAGGACCAAGCTACGGTTTCTGGCATGCTCCGTTTAGGCCTTCGGACATGGGACTCAGTCCGAGGACTATCGTCGAGAGAGCTTCCAGCAGCAGAAGAGCAGGCGTCGCCCTTGCAGGAACTGCTGCTGGACTTGGAGGCATTGAATTGTGAGTCACACCTCCTTCAAATACCGAGATCTAGGAAACGGGCTAATGTTTTGTTGCAGCGTTCTCTTCGGTATTACCCTGACAGTCTTCGGGTTGGCTCTTCATCGCCAAAGAGTGGCCGAGTCTAATCGAACTGGAGCTGCCTCTGCGCCGGCTTCAGCGCCAATGTCTGCCGGTACACCTGCGATCGAGGAGGAGAAGGCAGAAGAGACGACACTGGAGAAGCCGCAGCCGGTTGTTGTTTGAGCACAGAGACATTCGTCGGGAATGAGGGGACTGCAAACTCTGCAGGGAAGGTATTTGGATGGGAGACTATCCTGGGAGGGGCTACAGTTGGGTTTCTTGGCTGCTTGAGTATAATTTTTAACCGGAAGATAGTGACGTGCATTGACAGCAGAATGTAATTCAATCCCACGTTGAGCATGACCGTGTCTATACAGATCCGTCTCGGATATACCGGAGATGGCGGAGATGGCGGAGATGATGGGAGACACGGAGATGGTCGGACGACGGGGCTTCTTGGCAAACGGTCGATTACATCCTCGGTGGATTTCGGTTGGCAACTTTTCTCGACTTTCTCTTACCACATGGGCTCCCGAGTGGGCATCCACGGCATCTTAAAACCGCATGCTTCAGTCGTGATTTGATGGCAATTGATACCATTCCCGCTACCGCTGCTTCTTCCTCCCGCCCAGATCTCAATGTCCGGGTCGTTTCATCTCGCATTTGGCCGGAGCAATGGTCATTTCTCAACCTTTGCTTACCTAGTCCTAGTTGCCCCGGTCGTATCTGCCCACCGCTGATTCATTTAGTTCTACTGATCTACGCGTATAGATGAAGCTGTTGGTTGAAATGGACTGGCAAGCACACTCTTTGTTTCCTTGATAACCTGTTAACTGTTCTCTCTACTTACCGTCGCGCGTCTCGCTCCTCGGTCTGAAGTATCATTGGTTCTCAGCATGGAAGTAATAGGCTCTGAGAATGTGGGCACAAAGACAAACGACAGCCCCTCTCCGGACGAGTCCCAGGAGCTGTCGCTCGCTGGACAGGACCATGCACAGCCTGAAGTCGAAGAGTCAATGGACGCAAGGATTGAGAGACTGGGACGCGAGCGGCCGCCCACGTTCAGGTCAATCTGGTCTGAACTCGCCTTCGTGTTCAGCATAGTGATGTCCCAGATTATAACGGAATATTTTGTTGCGGGGTTCAATGTCATACTACCCACGCTCATCGAAGAGCTCGGGATTCCTCAATCATCTATTGTCTGGCCAGCTACAGCTCCCTCTTTGGTTATTGCGAGCATGCTTCTGGTGTTTGGCAGGCTTGGTGACATGTTCGGGGGATTCCCTGTATATATCGCTGGCTTGGTTTGGCTGTTGATATGGAGCATTGTCTGTGGCTTCAGTACTTCTCCGCTCATGTTGGTCTTCTGTCGAGCGTTGCAAGGCCTTGGAGCAGCCGCCTATCTGCCGACAGGGGTTATGCTGATGGGGAGTGCTTATCGGCCTGGGCCGCGCAAGAACCTGGTTTTTGCATTGTATGGCACTTTCGCCGTTGTCGGATTTTTCGTGGGAATTTTCTGTGGCGGCCTGGTCAGCCAGTTTCTGCGTTGGGGCTGGTTCTTCTGGATCGGGGCCTTTCTTGTCACCACTACCGCCTTCACCTCGATTCTATCTATACCCAATGATCGGAAAGAACGGCGGAAGAACAAAATTCCCATGGATTGGCTCGGTGTCATGACGATCGTGCCCGGGTTGGTCCTTGTGGTTTTCGCAATCACTGAATCAGCACATGCTCAACGAGGCTGGCAAACACCTTATATCCCCACCTTGTTTTGCGTTGGATGCATATTGCTATTGGTCGCCGTCTATGTGGAGGGTTGGAAAGCCCAGTACCCATTACTACCTGGTGACATCTTCACGGTCCCATGCATGGTGCAACTCATCATTGCGATGCTATTCCTCTATGGAAACATTGGCGTCCTGTTGCTCTACGGCACCTTGTACTTCCAGAACATCATGGGTGCCACTTCTATCCAGGTTGTCGCATGGTGGACGCCAATGGTGGTTGGGGGAGTCATCATAAGTACTTTGGAAGGGTTCATCCTCCACCTGGTCTCGGGTCGCCTGCTCTTGATCATTTCATGTCTAGGGGGAATTGGGGCTCAGCTGCTTCTTGCTTTGATTCCAGAAGGTGGAAAATATTGGGCCTGGGTCTTCCCGGCATGCATTCTGGGTACGATTGGCATCGATCTCTCGTACAATCTCCTGGCTGTCTTTATTACCACACAGCTGCCCAGGGCACGACAGGGATTGGCAGGTGGACTGATCAATTCGGTTTTGCAGCTGGGCTTTGCTCTGCTCCTGGGGTTCTGCGACATTATTCAATCATACACTGTGGAGGGATCGGGGCTAAGACAAAGCTACAAGAACACCTTCTGGCTCGGCGTGGGTGCTGGTGGTGTGGCTTTGGTGCTGGTCACGATCTGGGGCAGGGTCCCGAAGGCGAAGAGCGATCTTACGACAGATGAGAAGCTGGAGCTACAACGGGAGGCCGCACGGCTTGCTGAGGCCTCATGTGGCCGGGCTGTTGAGATTCAGTAACCATTGTGTGTATGTTGTGACTCGCCATTTAGACCCCATCTAGCTCGAAAATCCCATATCATCCCACTTTATCTTGTAACGTGTGGAATCTGCCTTGTCCTGTCTCTGAGCTGTCTTGAGCACCGGGTATCCTTGCAGATGTACTGGTTGAGTACAAGGAGGTGCCTAGGTACGCTTGGACAGTATACCTGTATGTAGAGTAGGATATCTGCCCTTACCGTATTTGTACTAGCTCATTTTACGACCCTCCAACCAAAGTCTCAAGCTGCGCCTGTTTGGAGGCATGACATCGACTCTTCCCTGCTTCAGGCCCCTCGATGTAATCTCCAGCCTGCGACACTCCATATCTTCCTCCGATACTTCTCATCGCACCCCATCTCTGCCTATTGGTACATTAGCCAATTATTTGACGGAAAAGCATCGTCCCGGCGCATCAGCCACATCTCGAAGAGAATGCCAAAGTGCCGGTGATGAGATCGGGTGGCACTTCAGCCACAATCCGTGCCCTAGTCCGCGCGAAGTCTCGGAATCAGCACCGCCACTTCCTGGACACCAGCAAACGGGCAAGTGAGCGCTACGGCCAGCGGTGTCGTTCAGCAGGCCTCACTGCCGTTTATCATCCCTGCGACTTCAGGAAGTTCGGCTGCCGAAAAAGACAGGCGCACTGCGGCTGGACTGTGACCCCAGGAGAACTCGATCCTTCTCCCAAGGCGTTCTCTATAACCCTTCTCTGCCTGTCCGGTGTTGTCAACAAATAAACGCTCAGGTCCTGCCGTGCGACAATGTTAGGACATCGACTCTTTGTGACTTACCTTGACAACAAACAAAGTCACCAATGTGACAATGGTGGATGACAGCAACGAGGACATCAACCGGAAACACCACACTATTCTCGCTCGGGTCCTCACAGCATGCGCTCGCCTGCTCCGCTCATCAGCCCAAAGATCCACTTCGACATCGCCGTTCAAGACTGAGTCCTCTTTTCGGGACGCGCCTCTGGCAGACTACCGAGAAAATTCCAGCAACAATCCTGATCGAAAGAACGAAATGAACACCAAAGTCACGGGAGAACATGGGTCGTTGCAACAGACCATCGAAGACGGCTCCTTCTGGGAGATCCCCAATGTGGAGCTCCTCCAATTGATCAAAGCAGATTTCCCGCAGGAACTGGAACGACTCAAGAATGCCACGTTTCTCCGGAACACGAACACGTCTCGCCCGGCAGCACCTTCGATTTCAGAATCGTTGTTTGGCCATGATTATCCCGAGATCAATCGTACGCTCGTTGGTGTTTTGGCTCTCCGCTGGATCCACACAGGTGACTACGTGACTTTTGTGGGCACACAGGCACCGCCGGCCGTTGTGCTGAAACGCGATTCCTTTAACTGGCTCCGCGGTCTCTTCGAAAAGGGCCTTAGGTCCGCAGAGGACACCTACGCGCTCATAGTGTCAATGATCATCAACGACTTGGGCAAAGATCCCAGCCTTGCCACGGACTATGCGGCACGGGTCGGAGTTGATATCTCCAAGGTTAATCATGACATGATACTCTCTTACGCAGTCAAGGCCGGAATGGTTCCTGTGCTGGATCGCCTGACGGAGCAAGATAAGGATTATCTCCTCTTGGGCATCAAATTGGGGTCGGACTTTAATTTCGGGCAGCTGGCACAAGCCGAAAATGCACCAGCTTCACTCTCGGGACTTGTGGAAATGCGAGGTCACGACCGAGCCTTTGAGATGCGGTTTATGGAGCAAATCCTCGACCTTGCGGGAGCCGCGGGACACGAAGACTGGACTTGTGCCAAGAAGATGATTGAGCCGATCTTCCAGTCGTATAACAACGTATACGACGTTGCCCACGGCATCATCCAGGCACGGATGGGTGTCAGAGAAGGCTACGACATCATTCTGATCCGAAAGCTGGAACTGCTCCACAGAGCGGGCTATTCGCGAAAACTGAACGTCAAAAAGGAAGCCGATCGTGCTTTGATGCGACTGTTCTGTCTGGGCAACACGTCGAGTCCAGAGGAAGCTGAGGTGTTCCATGTTGCCTTGACGGAGCGTATCTCTGCAGCCGTGCGGGAGAAGTTGATCCAGGGCCTCAATGTGGATGGGTCAGTTGACGCACCAGCTGTGCAGCCCACCTATATTCCAGCAATGCTGACCAAGGCTTTGGGAAATACACCGAGTGGCACCCACAAAGACAAGATCAGGGCTATCACGGCAATGCTGCGATATCTCACACGCTGCATGACGGTGGAAGATTCACGCTTGAAGAAGCTACCACGAGGTGTGACAGTGATTGAAAGAGACGTGAGAAAGATCGGTCCCGTTCTGGATAGCGAAGAGTTTAGACACGATCCAGATATCCTTGACCGGGAAGAGATTCCGGAGGACCAAGTCGCAAATATGGCTCGAGGATATTGAACCAATTCTGCGGATTCCCGACTTGAATGGATCTTCGACATTGGGAAACCTATTTCCCACCAACCATTACCAAAGGGATGGGCACGGGTAAAGAACAATCAATACGTCAAGATTACATGTGGCTGAGCACAAGGCGCCACCAGGCAGCAAGCAGGCACAGAGCAGTATTTGGATCGACAGGAACCTCGGTTACCAAAGTCTTGGGATCGCATGACACACACGCACATCATAGGCACGTTTTTCTTCGGAGTTCCAAGGATGATCATGATTGATCAGCGATGCGAGATTTTGCCGACTCCGAAGGTCGGAGATGGATTTTACTACGGGGACTCTGGCTTTTAACTGGCATATCAAATTCTCACGCGACTTGCAGCCTCGCCCACTTTTTCTTATCGGCCTCTCAGCCTTCCCCCTTCCAGTCGCAACCTATCTCGATTCTCTCCCTTTTTCTTGTGCTCTCTCTGGCATGTGCTCCAGTCGAAGCGCCCATTGATCAGACCCACTGGCTCTCTAGGGCTTCGCCTTGTCAGATATAACCATGGAAAGCATAACAGATCTTGTGTGATACCGAGGCTGATTAACGGCGGTGCTTTTGCAGTGGCTCCCTTTTGCGAGTTTCCTTCATATTCCTGTTTCATTCCTCGCCACCCCGTGCGTTCTTTTTCTTGTTTCTTTCATCGTTGTATTTGTATTTCACTCCCTGGTTTCTGTATCCTGGTCCGCGTCAAGGCGAAGTATCTTTCTTACTCAAGAGTTACCTTCTATACCCTCTGATTTTCGTCATCGTCTCTTTTGTTTGTGTCGGAAAAGCTGACACTAAGCCACTTGATCGATTTTTTTCTGGTTTCCCTCTCTCTCTCTCTCGATTTGGACCCAAGATGTCGATATCACCTGCGCCGTCGTCCCAGATACCTGACACGAATCGGGAACCTCATCCGCCCTCTCCGACCGACGGCCAACTTGACCAGGTCAAGCAAGCCATCATCTCCCTCCTCGACCAGCCGGGCTATGACGACGGCAGCGCGGGCCCCGTCCTGGTGCGACTCGCGTGGCACAGCGCCGGGACGTACGACGCGCAGAGCAACACGGGCGGCTCCAACGGGGCGGGGATGCGGTACGAGAAGGAGGGCGGTGACCCGGCCAACGCGGGCTTGCAGCACGCGCGGGCCTTTCTCGAGCCCGTGAAGCGGCGGTTCCCCTGGATCACGTACGCGGACCTGTGGACGCTGGCGGCCGTGGTGGCGATCCGCGCCATGGGCGGGCCCGACATCGCCTGGATGGGCGGCCGCACCGACTTCGCCGACGACTCGCGCGTGCGGCCGCGCGGGCGCCTGCCCGACGGGGCCAAGGGCGCCGACCACCTCCGCCACATCTTCTACCGCATGGGCTTTTGTGACCGCGAGATCGTCTGCCTCAGCGGCGCGCACAACCTGGGTCGCTGCCACGCCGACCGCTCCGGCTTCGACGGCAAATGGGTCAACAACCCCACCCGCTTCAGCAACATGTACTTCAAGCTGCTGCGCATGCACGACTGGAAGGAAAAGACCCTGCCGAACGGGGTGATGCAGTACGTCTACATCGACGAGGACGAGGATGGGGATGGGGAGGCCGAGACGGGAGAAAAAGCCGACGAGCTGATGATGTTGCCCTCGGACATGGCGCTGCTGCACGACCCGAGCTTCCGCGTCTGGGTCGACCGCTACGCCGACGACAAGGACCTCTTCTTCGCAGACTTTGCTGTCGTCTTTGCCCGTCTGCTCGAGCTGGGCATCAAGCGCGACCCGGTCTCCGGCGCCGTCCTCAACGAGGATAATCTCCAGGGCGGATATCGCAGCGCGCCCAAGAAGAGTGATACCCCCCAGGCGACGACGACGACGACAGCAGTAGCAGCACCGGTGCCCAAGCAGGACAATGTGTCAAGATCGAGTAGCGGCAATAAAAACAACAGGACGTCCAAGTTGTGAGGCAGCACTTGCGCGTGCATTCGACTCGTCGACATGATACAAAGTCCCGAGTTGTTTTGTGCATGTATGCCATTGATCTTCTTTCTTTTCTTTCTATTCACAACAACCAAGGCATACAGGCAGGCAGGCAGGCAGACAGACAGGCAGCAGGTCAACGGCAACTTTGGATTTCTTCCTGATGGCGCGAGTAAATTGCATTGGGGGATTGGAGTTGGACTTGCGATCAGAGTTTGCTGGACGAGGCTCTCTGTAGATGATCGGAATCAATGAGATACGATGAAAACCAATACCCGGGTGAGGTAGACTTGCTCCGTCGTCCCGTCGTCTCTGATATTCATTACATGATCGGTACAAGACCAAGGATTGAGTGCTTTCTCATCAGGAGAGTATATCGGTCACCTTTTTTCATTTGACTATCCATGACTGGGTCATCTCTTTGCCCCCTTTCCCCTCTTTGGGCTTCAATTCCTGTATCACACGCAAACACCACACGCCAGATAATATGTATCCCTCCTACCAATGTCGAATGGTAACCAGCACCCTCTTATTCTCGCCCTTTTCATCCTCGACGCCGCCCTCAAAATCCAGTCCCACCTTCTCCAGCATGTCCCAGACAAACTTCCTCTTCAGTCCTTCTCTCACAGGAATTCTCTCCAGAGGTTCCGTCCCGCTGAAGTACTTGACCAACACGGACCAGTAGTGCCGCAGCTCTGCTTGTTCGGCCTCGGAATACGAAGAGGCAAGCGAGGGAGACAGTTCCGCCCGAGACGGACTGCGAGACGAGCCGATGGTGGATGCAATGTGGTCGAGCCACCGCGACTCTTCGGGCGATGCCCGCTGAGGGGAGATTATGAGACTGGCCGCTTTAGGGTTGTGCTTGAACTGTTGCCCTCCGCGCACGCTGTTCCGGTCGGTGGAAATCGACTGCCGCCCATCACTGGATGGGCGGCTGACCATGCTGGGGCGCTGCTTGAAAGACGAAATTGCTCCGCTGGCGGTCGTGTTCGGCGTGCCACTACCAAAACTCCTCGCCGCGTCTCTATCACGGTCGCTGGCGTCTCTGTCAAGAATGGGAGTTTTCGGCCCTTTGGATTCCTCGCGCTCCTTCTCGCGTACTGCTTTCTTCACCTCCGGGTCCACCCGGACAAATGCAAATGTACGCAGCTGTGTGACCCAGCCGTCGCGCATGAGCCAGGCCAGCACTCGGTAGTACTCTTCCTTGTGGTCTCTGCTGGGGATGAGAGCGCCATACGGGGTAGGAGTGCCGCTCAGTGCGTTCAACATCTTCGGTAAAGACGGCATCATAGGGAATGTTGCCTCGTATGTCTTAGATGCTGACATCAGTCTGCTCATATTGGCGTTTGGGGAGACAATGTATGTGTCGCGCTGATGTAGCGGCGGAATCGCCATGGCCCGCCGCCAATACACCAGATGACGAGCCAGATGTTGAATGTCGCCTAAAGCTATTTGGGAAGCAAGCGATATCTTGTAGAAGGATTTGGTTGGCTTCAAGTGTCCGATGAAGTTGGTCAATGGTATGGCTAGCGACCCTCCCGCAGCTTGGATGTCTTTGAGAATCTTCTGCGGGCTGGATTTAAGCAGGAGGGTGAAGTTCTTCGACAACTGCAAGGGACCTGTGGACGAGGTTGCGTCCAAATCGGAGCCGGTAGACGTAGGATCCGTGGCTGTTGTGAGCCACAATCCGGGCTGTAGTGGTGGTTCGGAAAGAGAGGGAAGATAAGAAGTCGACGTGATAGGAGGAATCTGGAGAGATACGGACAATTTGGGACTGAGGGTGATTGCAGCCACTTTCGAGGCGGAGATGTTGTCGAAGACTTTGGCAAGGGCAGCAGCCAAAGACGACCGTTGTTTCATTTCAGTATACAGCACCTTTGTGGGCGACTGTTGATGGAAATGCGTCGACCTGATAGATTGCAGCAGCTCAGACTGTTCCCAGACATAATCATGGTGTGACTGAGCCCATTTTAGCACCTTGGAGAACTTCTTCACCACATGGTCGTACATCTCCTTGACCCGAGTTGTATGCTCCAGTGGTGGAGGGTCCATGACGAACACGACGTGGAACATGGTCAGTTGGCTCTTCGCACGCTCTTTTGTATGGTAGTCCTTTTTGCTGTTGTGGTCAGTCGCTGCGGCTTCGTCGCCGGCGCCCTCATCATCCTGGGCGCTGTCACTGATCGTAGCCTCTGAGGATAGGACCTCATCTTCCGCCGTCCTTGACCTCCTCACCTTTGGTTTTCGCCAGAAGCCGTCCTCACGAGCATAGACTGGTCGACCCAGGAACGTCAGGTCGTTGATACTGAGCTCAAACCTCCGTTTATGCCAGGATCGCCCGGGAGCAAGCAAGCTGACCAGACCATCTTCTCCGAGCCCAAGGAGCGGCTCCCACGATGGCTTCCATTGTGAATTGTCCTGTGTCCCCCTCTTGCTCAGATAATTGCTGTCCTCATCATCCGAGTGCTGTGATTGGTTTTCTTGGTTCTGTGTTGCTGTGACCGCACTCCCGAACCGCCTTGTAAACAACTCAAAGTCCTCTTCCGAAGATGACTCTTCCGAATCACTGCTGGAACTTTCTCCGTCATCATCATCTGTGGACTCCGAAGCATAAGGAGGTCGTTCCGCCGACAGAGGGTCTGGAGGATAGTGGAAGACAATTTCAGCGCCTGAGCCAGCTCGGCCCTGGACGACGAGGAGAATCGCGAGCAGAGAAGGGTTGAGAGCGGTTGCAGATGTAGACATAGAGATTCTGTTTGTTTATGCAGATAGGACCTGGCGGCATTAGGCACGTCGGATTCACGCGTTTACGGACCGCTGACCCGTGCTTCACGGCTCTACGGAGACGGGAGTCACAAACATGACACGTCCAATGAGCCTCAACACCAAGAGCGGCATGCAAGCGGCATGCAGGTTCCTTTTCGGCGTGGTGTGTATTAGCGGAATTGGAGGTGCCTTGTGTGTTGTGAACGAGCGAACCCCTCTATCCTACCCACGACCAGCTCATGACTCTTCTGACCCTGACCATGCTCAAACAACAATCCGGATGCGGGAGGTCGTATTGGTGACCGTGTTAGCGGTGGTGGTGGTGGCAGCAGCGGGGAGGACCTCAAGCCAAGTCGAATTGGTCTTACAGTGCCAATTAGGGCCGAACGGGCAGAGAGTGAGGAGGAACCGCAGGCAAACGCAACAAGCCGTCAGTCTTGAAGCGCGACAACTATTGGCAGAGAGACGGGACTTGGTTGAACTAGAACTAGCAGGTGGTGGCAGTGAGAATAATCGGGGGACGAAATGCCAGCAAGCAACAGCACCAGCAAAAGAGCCCCTCACTTGTTGTCGGTTGTTTGCGGTGATTCCAATAATTAAATACCTAGGTCACCTAGTCACCTAGTCATCTAGTCACCTCTGTGCTGCTTTTTCACAGTGAAGATTGAGTCTCATGAGTCGGTCGGAAGCATCCTTCAAGCCCCGTCACTGGCCCGACTCGCAAAATGCCGCGCTAGGAAAATCGAAATTCAGTTCACTCACACCTTAGCTTGACTCTCCACGAAAAAGACTTCTCTTCCATACCCACACACACACATTTCTCCCTCCATCTCTTCTCCATCTCGTCGTCCTTTCAATCCTCAATCCTCGGTCCTTGGTTCTTGTTCAGCGTTCTCGCCTCCCCTCGCGCATCTGGCGCTGAAAATAAAGAGGGAACAAGGCCTCCGCTTTGACTCCCACTCAAAAGTTTTTGGGCCGCATCAGCTCACCACCCCCCAAAACGACCTGCCAACAGCCGCGCTGTCGACATTAGACGCTTCTCGCAGTTACGTCTACCGGATCGTCCTCGACTTCCTCCTGTCGACAAGAAGACTGCGTTCGAGACACACAGCGTGATTCTGCCGGCACACGGTCTAGAGTCTGCGTTTCCGGACTTGCCTCGGTTTCTCTACCAAGTCACCATAACTTGGCCGACCACGTAGCCGCGACATCATCCTGGAGGACTCGGTCAGTGCAGTTGTGATCTTGCAGAATTGACGGGTCAAAAGACGGCAGAGGATACACTGGTTGAATTCTGCAGCAGGTCAGCTGCGGAGTCCAAGAAAGGCACCGTCACGACGAGACAGGTGGGCTTTTAGCTCATACTGTAGGAAATCATCCTTCTCAGACAAGCAACATTCCTACACGTCCCTGTCGAGGCCTTGGTTGGGAAATATTCCTGCCCAATTTCCATCTTGAACTTCACTATCCGTCACTGGTCACTGTGGAACAAGGACCGGCAGACAGGAAGGATTGATTTGTGGAAGGAAATTTCACGACCACAACTGGCACCTAGCTAATACTGGGCGCTCTATCTCTTGGCCAGCTTGTTGCTGGTGAGGGGTTTTGTACTGTGGTAGTGGAACAGGAGGTGTAGTGTGGGTGTGATCAGCATCATCTTGTGAAAATGTCGTCCGCGTCGGGCGCCACAGCGCCCGTTTTCTCATATGCACAGGCCGCAAAGGGCCTCACATCAACTGCTTCTACACAGTCGGTTTCAAGAAACGAGAGCCCCGCGGCATCTGACAAGAGTATTAAAGAACGACCTGCGAGTGAGACGACTAATACTACTTCCACCAAGACACCGCGACCGAGGTCTGAACCCGAGGACAAATTGAGCGGGGAGGGCGCCACGTCTAAGTCTCCAGCACAGCTTGAGGGCTCTGCGGCAAAGGCACCTACTGAGAATGTGGACAAAGAAGGCGCCACGCAGATCCAGCATGTTGCGACACAGAATAACGCCGAGACCTCATCAGTGTCACATGTCGGAACTCCCAATCTCGCGTCGGCCCAAGATCAACAAAAAGATGAACCTGTTCCACAACTTCCAAATGGAAGATCACCGTCTTCAGAGGAGCTGCCTGGTTCTACCTCAAGTGACAAGTCCGCTCAGACCGTCACTGAGAAAAAGTCCAAAGACGGCGAAGATGACTGGGAGAAGGTCTCGGTCCCCTCAATGAGTGCAGAGACACAATACAAGGCTGCCCCTATCCCGGCTGTCAATGTTTGGCAAGTACGCAAAGAGGCTCAAGCTGCGAAGCTGAAAGGGCTAGATCAGCAGCGTGGACCAGTTTCCAGCGCACCTAATCAACCGCAGAAACCCAGGTCTGCAGTTGAAGATCCCAAGCGGAAATCTCTCAGTAAAGATGTTACCACTGCCGAGAAAGAAAGCAAGAGTGCCGACAGCACGAGACCTGTCAATCGTAAAGACATGCCGTCAGCTCGGTCCTCCCGACCTACATCTCAGCATGGTGAGAAAGGTGATGTGGATGCGCCACCACCGGTTGATGACGCACAGTCATGGCCGACACCTGAAAATTCCAATGTTGACGAACGTCGCAAATCAGCTTCACTCGAAAAGTCTGACAAGCTGGATGGGAAGCCCGTATCTCAGAAAACTCATGGTAATAAATGGGTTGCTGTCCCGTTCGTCCCTACAGCGAAGTTTGAAACACAGCTTCCTCCGGCTGCAGCGCGACGGGGCGGGAGAGTCGGCAGGGGAAGAGATACCGGCGGTCGCGGCGGCGGCCATGCAGGTGCTGCTCTAGAAAAGCAAGATGGTACGACGTCCATGGGACCGCCTCCTGTACCAAGACAGTCTGGCGAACAAGATCGGGGCCGAAGATCTGAAGGTGAACGTGGTGTACGCGGTGCGTCCGTGCCTACCACTAGCACTCGACCTACAAGTGGCGAGGACACAAATGCCGCCTTCTGGAAGCCTTCCGCAGCTTATGTCAAGGATCAACCCGCCTCCGAAAATGTTACCACGAACCAAACGGCATCTCAGCATAACATTGAAGACCAGATTCCTCGGACTGACCACAGCTCCAGGTCTTCATCGAGACACGCTGGGAACGTTGTTGGTCGGATGACCAACGGAGATGGGAATGCCTCTGTCGATCAAGCGAATGGCACTCACAGCCAGACTAATGAGCCCATCGCTCGGTATTCATTCACTTATGACCGATACAAAGGTTCCGGAGGAGGCGCATCCCGAGGTACGGGCGATTTTGGCAGAGATCGCGGCTCTGGCAGGAATCGAGAGTGGTCCAGGGATAAACCTGACTCGGCTCGCGAAAAGGTTGAGTCCTGGCGTGATCGGGAAGCCTCGGGCGATCAGAGCAATCGGCGAGAGCCTCGATCTGAGCGAGGACGTGGCTATCGCGGCAGGGGTAACAACAACTACAATCCACCGTATACGTCGTCCCATGCGTACACGTCGCCTCTTCCTCAAAATGGATTTGAACCACCATCCAGAGCAAATTCGCACACGGAGACTCGCTCAAGGCAAACTTCACAACCGTTTGTACCATCACAGACATCAAATTCGACTCGCACAAACCCACGTTCTCAGTCTATCCCTGTTGGCATGATGTTCCCGGGGTATTACAACGGCGTGCCGGCCATGCCTCAAGGGCTCCAGCCCGTTCAGACTGACATGTCAATCTACGGTTATCCGTCCCAAATGCAGATGCAACCTAGCATTATGAGTGCAATGCCGTACAATGATCCGCTGAACTCGTACGCCTTGCTGTCAATGGTCATGACTCAGATGTAAGTGTCCACAAACCATCGACTACCTAAATGTGGCTAAATACTAACACGGCCTCTAGTGAGTACTACTTCTCAATTGACAATCTCTGCAAGGATTTGTTCCTCCGGAAGCATATGGACGGTCAAGGTTACGTCCCACTGAGCGTCATCGCTAATTTCAAACGTATCAAGACTCTGACCGAGGATAATATGAATTTGGACAACCTTCGCTATGTCTGCCAACAGGTCAAGAGTGTGGAGTTTTTACCGGGACCCGATGGGGATGATCGACTCCGTCGTCGAGAAGGCTGGCGTGATTTTGTTCTTCCCGTGGAGGAGAGGTTCGAATCGGCCCGCAACGAAGGGCCCTTGCATCACCCGGAAACTTACTCTCAAGTCGCGCAACCAGACCAGGTTGGTCTTCATGATCCATCTTTTGCCTTCGGTCAATTGCGCAGTCCGCAGCTGACCGTTGGTGCCAGCAATGGAGCATTCCACGCAAACTCGCCGATGTCTTATGTTCCTGGTCTGCCAACGGAGAATCAGCTATCTGGGGAACCACTCGTCCGACCATTTGAAGATGGTTCTAGTGATGGCACAGAGAGACCTGCGACTGTGTCTTACCAGCAGGTTGCTCCTGCTGCTGTACGATCTCCGCCACCCCACGCCTCGGAACCCCTGAACAACATTGTGAATGGTCACCATCGGCAGAGTTCCCGTACCGATATTGAGGACAACATCTTTCCGGACGACCAGATCCCGAATGTCAACATTCGAATGCAACCAACCACTCTCAGTGGTGCGGCCCCTCCCTTTCCCGGTATCGCTCGAATCCCCTCGGCTGAGTCTTCTAGTGGACAAAATGAAGGCAACAATGTGCCTCAGGACCTAACTCAAGCTCGGGTCCCAAGTTTGCGCGGCGGAGCAAGCAGTCCACAGCAGTAAGTCATTTCGATCGCTGCACGGCCAAACACTAACGGCCGGATAAGGCTTGAGCAATTCCGCAGCTTGTCTTTCGGCACCCCGTTCACAATTCCTACAAGCGACGCAAGCATCATCTACTTCACAAAGGACGGCCAAGAAACGCAATTGCCACCTCCACAGCCAGGACAATTTGACCAGACATACCTATCACTCCATGATGTCGCTTTTCAGCAGCGCCAAATGGGAGTTGACGGAGCTCTAGAACCTCTTTACAATTTTTGGACTGATTTCCTTGTCGACAAGTTCAATGTCGGCATGTATCAGGAATTCAAAACGACCGCGATTAGTGATTTACTCGAAGGCAGTGACAGCGGCATGTCGCATCTTGTCCGCTATTTTGGCAAGCTCTTATCCGCCCCTGTTCCGATCAGTGAACGTCTTGCCTCCGACATGATCAACCTTTACCGAGAGGAAAAACCCGATAACCGTCCTGTTTTCCATGCCTTGCGGGCTGCGTGGCGTAACGGTGCGACAAACTTGAAGACAATCAAACGACTCGGCGACGTCCTTAGTGCAGAAGAAAAGGCCGAGCTCGATAAGAGCGGCTAAGTGTCTTCTCTTCTTGGCACCTTTTTCTGGTGTGCTGTGACGGAACCAAAAAAAAATGTATCTGCTCATCGTTGCCATTCTCCGAAACGTATGGAGAAAGCCTCTTCGACCATTGAACGAATATGCAAACTTTCTAATGGCATTTGTCTGATTAACACCACCCGAGATCATCGTTGCCGTGATCTTTTACCCTTCGAAACTGATTCACTTCATTTTGCTGGAGCTACCGATTCTCAACAAACTCACCGCGATTGACCTCGAGATCTTTGTACAATGCACATGTGATTTCGTCCATCGAACCACGTTACTTGACGTGCGACATGTGCGACACCAGAAACGAGCGAGTTCTTGTCACCGACGATCATTTTTCAATACAACATTTCCACAACCACACACCAGGAGTCATCCCAACTGAAAGGGGAAGGGAGAAAAAAGTAAAAAAACCCATGCAGCTTTTAGCAGGATTCAATGGCATATGCAAAGGATTACAAACGGCGCATTGAATTAGGCTTGAGAATTCCCCTCTGGGACAACTCACGACCAATTATGATTGAGATACCACACCGCGGTTGCTCAGCACATTTTCTTCGATTGTTTCCGAGTAATGGCTCACTTTTCTTTTCACTCAAAGACATAGTTATGTCTCTTGCATAGATCTCACAACGTTGCACAGGGAGGACAGGGATGGCAGAGTTACCGTGGGGACAGAGAGGCTGGGGACACACGGTCATGCAAAGCGCTGGGCGAGTTGCAAAGGTGAACGGGAGGAGCAGCGAGCTGGGAAGGACAACCCACACCCCCCTTTTTCTCGACCCTACAGGACCTTGGCGTCAAGGGGGGGTCTTTTTTTTGTCTGGTCGAATGAGCATAGCCAGGGAGTCCCAGACCAAGACTGCAGGGAGATGGAGGGTTTATTCGTTTCGACCCAAGGGACGGACACCTCGTCGAGACAGCATTGGATTTGAGAACCAGAAAGCCACAAAAAAAGAACCCACAGGAGGGGACGGGATTAATCTTTCCCACCAAACATTGCATGTCAAGGGGAAAAAAAAGCCAGAGCCTCATCCTGTGTGGGGAAAGGATGCGATACTGCTGCTGCTGTCTGACGGGGTCCCTCAATGCGAGCTTTCACAAGATTCCCTAGTCTCACACCATTCTTCTTTGTCAGTGAGCGAGGAGAGGAGGGCAAGACAAAAGTTTGTACACAGTATCACGAGACCAGGACATCTTAGGTGAATGAAATGGTTCATTGTGAAACCACCAATTCTTGTAAAAAAATGTAGAGTGCTATTCTGCGCCGAGTACTTGTATCTCAGTCGACTGGCTTTGCAGGCTGGATGTGCACTATACTGCTGTGAAGACCAAAACCATCCCGGTATTTCGCGGTCACGATCATAAACGTCCAGCAGGTTGTGTCTCTGTGTGTGTGGGACTCGGTCACCGGCATTCGAGTCGACGACTGTGTCAACATATAGAATCTTGCCTCCCTGGGTGCACCTTTGCGGTCTGATTATGCTTGCCTCTTCGACTGTGGCGGCGGATGAAGCACGTCTCCTAGGATAACACCTGGCGAGCTTTCGCATTGCAGGGCCTGCCATCATTTCCGGACGTGCCTTGAAGTGTACAGTCGAGTGTTTGTGTCATCAAGCGGTATTGACCCTGAAACTCCCTTTTCGTTCTGTTTGTCAAGAAGGTCCTGTGCTGGGAAGACAACACCTAACACATCCGTCTCAGACTTTTTTCCCGATACCATTTGCTCAACTCAGTTCCATCTTCCACAGCCCATCCCCGAGATAGTGTCCCGAACTCATCGCCACGCCCTTTTTCTTCGCCTTCATCTCCTCGGTCCCCACCTCCAAGATCCCGATCATACATACCTCTTCCTTCCCTTCTGCGGTGATGGCAACAACATCCCCCGCTTTGACCTCTTGGTCCTTGTCGGGTAACCAGCCACCGGCGGAGGTGAGACCAGGAACCATCAGCGTGGCGCCGGACAGGACGAAGCGGATAGCGCCGCGGTCAATGCGCAGGTGTTTGAAACATTGCGGGTATTGGTGGACCAGTTTCAGGTGGGGGATGATAGGGTCGTCCATGTGTTGGTAGAAGAGGGGGCGATCGTCGAGGACATATAGGGAGACGCGGTCGGGACTATGAAAACATGTCTTTGTGAGTGATTTGCCATGCGGAGGAGGGAAAGACAACATTCCAAGATTCTGCTCTTCTTCTGCCACGGGTCTCGGAAAGGAAGACATCGCTCAGGAGGGAAAATATGTCGCAGAAACATTCTTGCTCTAATTCCACACCCCTCCTCCCAATTGTGGTGAAAATCCGAGGACAGCGGCATTGTACGCCCAAAAAAACAGGGTTCCTCACAGTTTCAACAAGTCCAGTTGACTCTTCTTGGGCAAGATGTCGTCAATGCAAGGCTCGAGGTTCGGATACGTCTCGAGCACTTTGGCTCTGATGCCCCGCTGAACCGAGGACTTTACTTTGGACTTTGCGCCCGCCGACAAGCTGCATTTTTCACCGCTTTAGTGTCTGGTCCCTGGGGGAGGGGAGGAGGTGGGCATGCTTACTCCTTCTTGAACATGGTGCAGGACTGTGTCAATAACGGGGTTCAGGGGGGTTAGAAGTGGTAGAGGAGTAGGGAAGGGCGATAGGAGATCGCTGGCGCCCGTTTTGGTGGTTGTCAGTTCTCGGGGTGCGCTTGTGCAGCGCAGTTGGGGAGGGGGGAAGACGTCGGCCAAGAAGTTTTGTTTGTGACTATCAAGTATCTCGGCGCGGGGCTAAAATATACCGACCTTCTTCTCACCTTGCGAGCTTGGTAGAGGCTATCCCTTATTATCCCCTGTATTTTTGTATTATCACATTCTTCAATACCCGGTGAAGATGTCTGTCAAAGGGATGTCTAATCCATCTACCTACTTAATTCGATCTGCTCCGAATTCCGACAGGTGAACCTGACACGCACTGTACTTCGTATGTTAGAGCCTCGTTTGCAGAGACCCGATGGCCATTGACACTACTACCTTCGTCTCGCTTTGCTTTGCCATGTCCTTCGCCCTTCTTTGCCTTTTCCCATTTCCTTCTCCCTTGCTTCCTATTCAACATTAGTCTTTCTCTTCTCATGGTTGTACAAGCAGCCACAGTGGTCATATTCTTCCAATTGTGCTGACAGGTTGTGGGCTTGAACAATGGGTGGCATTGAAGACAATGACGGCGGACAGGATAGACAAGTCTAAGGAACTTTACAATTTGCGTGCCCCCGCCGAACACGCAAAAGAAGATCCAGGCTCCGAATACATTGTTCAGCTACTGGATGATTTTCTTCACGAAGGACCGAATAGACGCCATCAGTGTCTCGTCTTCGAATTGCTCGGGCCTCCTCTCAGCATCATCGTGGAAGGTTACCACTCAGGCGGTGAGCGGCTGGATACAGAAACCATTCTCAAAGCGTCGACACAGCTGCTGCAAGCTGTTGCCTTTATGCACAAGGCTGGTTATGCTCACGGAGGTATATTTGACGACCTCTTGCTTACCTCCGAAGTGAGGTGGCGTTTTGTGCCATGAGCTGGTCAAGCCAGTGGCTTGGGTTGGTTGGCCAGATGAAGATGATGAAGACGATGACGATATTCGACTTGTCGACCTAGGAGAAGAATTCAGCCTGGATGCGATTCCTGAACGTCTCGCTCAATCTCCAGGCATGCAGGCGCCCCAAACAATCGTCACTGACAGGTTCGATCACCGAGTCGACTTGTGGCGCACGGGTTTAATAGAGAGCTTTCCCCCATGGTCAAATCGAAAGCCACATATATACTGACACTTGCCAGATATCTACTATCTCATATTTTGAACATTGCCATGCAAATGGTGGACAATCGACACGTTCGTTGCATCGATGATCGACTTTGAGGGAGAGTTCCCCCTTGGATGGCAACCAAAGTGGGAACAGATGAAGCTCGACGCCAGTGGAGGTTCCCCACTCGAAGAAACCAGGCCTCTTCCGGGGTTGAGGCTCGAGCAGATGTTTGACAAACACGTCGAGGAACCAGAATTGAAGATTCTTCTTCCTGTCGTTGAGGGCTTGACGAGGTTCTTGCCATCGGATCGCACATCAGCACAGCAGGCACTTGAAATTCTCACTGCAGCGAACGACAATCTGGAAACTTGACGACTTGGATGCTCCATACAAAACCGGAGCATTCCTGTCCCCACCGCTCGGGCGACTGGTCCTACGGGCCTTCAACCGATCAATAGACAACCGCACCTTATACCTCGCTCCCGCGATGAAGAGCTTGGCCAGACGCTTTAGACGTGATCGAGGGCTCCTCTTACCAGACAGGTTACCTACATGCTCATCCTTCCAAGTCATCTCTACCCAGTTCCCACGATATCACCCTGCCTACACTCTCCCAGCTGAGAGACCGAGTCGGTCTTCCCACCGCTGCGTGCCGTGCAAGGATCCTACCAATGGGAGATAAGGACTTGTGTACGTGGCAAGCTGCACATCTTCCACCTCCATCATTCCTCCAGCCCCACGGCTGATGTCTGCGGACGCCGGAATTCGCTGCCGCCCATTCCTGTTCCGGGAAGCCGTGCTGCAACGGCATCTCTCGAATGAATCCACAGAAGACTATTCCCGACTCCATTTTCTGCTTGCATTTCGGGCAATCCATCCGCCGTCCGGCCTTGATACTTCTTCTGTCGTCTCGGCGGCTGCATATCTGTCTGGTCTAGATGAGATCGCCTCGTGCCGCCAAATCGTGACTGGTACATCGACTGCCGACGGGCCAGATGTGGTGTGATCTCTGATGTACTCGGTCCTCGTAATCTGCCACTGGCAGAACCGATACGGGTGCCGAGTGTTCGTTGACAACAGTTCAGCAGCTAGGCATAGTCAATGCTTCTCACGGACTTCTGTTCTTCCTCGGGACAGTGCCACCGACCGATCCTCCATCGCATCGCCCTAGTTGGCGACAAACGGGACGACCAGAAGTCGGATAGCCCACCTCCAATTAAGTGCCTAATTAGGTAATCGAGGGAGACTGCGAGTTGGATCAAGGCTCAAGGGGACAAAGTTTACGAGGGCGCGCACCAAAAGTACTTTTTACGCTAATTTAAATGACAAATAATACTTACTATAACAGAAGATTTTCTAAGCTTATAGGCACTCATACCTATCTCCTAGCTATAAGTCAGAGTTAATAGGCGGTAGCTTAGTTTATATTTTCAGTCTTGATGGGCGCTATAGATACCGAGGATTGAGCTCCGATATCTCCGGGGGCTGCTGTAAGGGGCAACGAAAATAAAGTCTGTTGTCTTTTGGTCAGCTTGTCATTCTATTACTAGCGTTGACAATACTTTTGGTGCGCGCCTCGGTAATGCCAATGCCAAGAATATGCCAAGTCTTCCAAGTCACGTGTAAGGATATCCCATGACGTTACCAGACCGCGTCTGCACGCGTTCTACTTTCTTCCATTGTCACAACCAGTTCAATCAGACCGTGACTCTCTTACCCTGTATCTTGTATCTACCGGTGCATCCCTCTTCTCAACAACGCCTACGTATCCTGTACAGTCTTGAGGTTGCGCTCCACAATAGGAAGATGCTCTATGTGTCTCACTCCCGATGGCCTCAAGCCCCAAGTTGACCCGCTAATGAATGCCTGGCTACTGAACATCTCGGCCACTTACAATGCAAGCAAATCAATGTATCTCTTACTCCTTTTTCTTGCCTCTGGCCCCATTCTCTCATGATCTTCCTGAGCGGCTTTCACCACTCCAAGGTTTGAGACAAGCTGGAAATCCGCGAACACTTCTCCAAGGAAGGCGAGTCGGCTACCCCATCAAGGGCATCGCACAAGGCTTCGGCTTCCGTGTCAATATCGGCTGTGCCTGTCACCCTGATCGCGGGCTGCAGCTTCCTCTTGGCCATCTTCTCGTTCCGTTGATGCTGAGCGAGAATGGCAAACAAGTCAATCGTGCGACCTATGCCGTCGATCAGGAATCGTGTAGCGTGTGCCTGGGAGATATCACTCACCTCCGCATTGATATGCAAAATATGGAGATTTCGCTGCGCTCTTGGTTTCGTCTGGATTGGATAAGTGGATGAGCTCTTGCTCCAGCATCCACTTCGACTTCTCTACCACCTTTGCCGGAGCTGTGTGTCCCTGTTTGAGGTAAAAGTCGCAGCGCACAACGACCTCCGAGCTTGACCGTGGCAGAAGCACCATGGTGCACCACAAATCGTCGTCGAGTTCCTTGATGATGCTCAAGGGACCAAGGAGTCTGACAACTTTGGATTTGGACTTGCGCATTGCAGAAAGCCATTCAAAGGGGCTCTGCGCCCACTGAGCCTGGTTGGAGAACTCATTTGCTGATCGTTGTCAGAGTTTGCAAATTGATGAATCCCAAATTGACTTACCGATGTCTTTCCAGTTCGTTGGACAGGTCACCTCCTTCCCATCTACCCACGAGCAGCTCCCCAGATCCACGTGGGATTTGACATTATTGAAAGGAAGATTCAGCGTGCTTGCGTCGAAATTGACAAACACCAAGCCTTCTCTCGTCGTGATCAACTTGATCTCGAACAGTCCATTGTCTTCAGGTACGAATCCGGGCGATTCATCGAATTTTGGTGCCTTTACCAAGGCGCCTGTGTCATCGTACTGCCAGCCGTGGTATTTGCACGAAAACCGCGTCGAGGAGCCACATGATTTGCGCACCACAGTATATGCTCGATGCCGGCAGACGTTGTGGAAGGCCCGGAGTTTCAAGTCTTTGCCCAGGACGACAAAGAACGAGATACCGGCAATGTCGTATGCATGATAGTCACCGGGCTTGTCGAATCTGCTGCGGTGACATACAAAGAGCCATGTCTTGAGATCAGTCAGTTTTCCCGTTCACACCCGCCACCTTTGTTCCCGAGACAAAGTGAAGTAGACTCCCGCCTACCTTGCTAAAGAAAGCTCTTTTCTCCAACTGAAAGATGTCGTCGTCAGACATATTCTCCTGCTTCAGACTGCCCTTCTCCGCCTGGTCGAGGCTTGAACCAGGGGCAAAGGATTTGCGGTCATCACGGACGAGATTGAACAGGAGACGTCCGACAAGGTAAACAATGCAAGCACCGGCAGAAAGATAAACAGGCAATGGAGAGAACAGTGAGCCAAACTGGCTCTCGACTGGGTTTACGGCCATGCTAGAAGGGTTCCTCTGGGGCCAATATTAATATATTTATGATATTGGGTTTTTTCTTTTCAACGAGAAAGGGTCAATCACGATTTATGAATACGATACGAACAAGGTCTTGGGCGGCCCCGGATTGCCCGTGTTGGCCAAGGGGAAGCATTTTCAACAGTTGATAATGGAGGATGCGGTGCCCGAGAAGCTACTGGAAAAGGGCGGCCAATGACCTTGATCGACTCTGGTCGATTGTACCCCATTACAACGCTCGGATCCGACACTAATTATATTCTCACTCGTCAGTTTTAGTCGCCCATGATATCAAAGCTGACGCACTCTATGGTCCATGGGTCACCAGGGAACAAAAAACCGCGCCATAACTCAACTGGGTAATACGATCCCGGCGCAACAATCACATCCCCTTGACAGGGTTTTGACTTCTGCGGAAGTATCTACTCGAACCACAACGACCAAACAAGGTCCAGACCCAACCCAACCCAGTGAGGAGTTGGCACATGTGCAAATCGTTCAGCCCAGGGATTGCGATGAATAATGCCGATCCACCCTTTGCGGGCACCCCTTTCCACGGCTTGCGCGAATAGGGGCCACCAGTGGATCAACAAGTCACAGACTCACGGCTCCATCGCTCGGTCGGTATTTGAATGCCTCTTTTGGAACTCGTTGTAAGGGTCGGCATCATGCGGGATCTTATGATAACGTCGTGCCTGGGTAAAAATACAAACGTCGCCGACGACTAATACTGAAATGTCCGCTGGTACTTCTTGACAACTTGGAAACAATCTCCATGAATTCAGCAATGGACGCGACAAAAACACTGCCCGCGTCGTGGTACATTTCACAGAATCTCTTGTCGCTCGAGCAACGGGCCATCTTTCACAAAGCCTGGTACTTTGTCGGAGCTGTCCCTCGATTCGCGGTGGAGCGGGAAGTCGAGTACGAGTTCGCGGGAGTGTCTATCGTCGTCCACCACGATGGAAACGAGAACTTTGAGGTGAAGAGGAAATCCGATGTATGCTCGTGGCCCATGTATCCCTCTTTGTTGTTTGAATTTTCGTAATTTTCTTTCTCTCTCATCTTCCAGGGCGTCCTTTTGAGACACCGCTTGACCCCCACGGGTCTCCTATTCACTACCATCGACCACGCCGCGCCGCCGTTTGAGCAATGGTTTCCGTCATCCCTGCTCGAGCTGCTGTCGAACTACAACTTCCGCCGCCTGCCGCACCGTCGCTCCATCAAATACCCCGGCCGCTTCAACTGGAAAACCATGGTCGACGGATACCAAGAATGCCTGCACTGCCAATACACGCACCGCAGCTTCAGCGTCAAGTACCCGCCCACCTTTTACGAGGTGCACAACCACGACACGTACAGCCGGCACATTGCCGACCCGCAGAAGCCCGACGACGGTCTGTTCCTGTTCTTCTTCCCTGTCTGCACCCTGAACCTGTACGGCGGCGGCATGAGCAGTTTCCGCGTCTGCCCCGGCGAAAAGGTGGGCGAGACGCGCATGGAGTTTGACTATTACTTTGACGACGGCAAGGGCGGCACCGAAGGGTTTGAGGATTACTTCAAGTTTGTGAGGAAGGTGGCCTTGGAGGACTTTGAGCTGTGCGAGGTCGCCCAGAGTAATCTGGAGCGAGGCGTTTACTCGCAAGGAGTGTTGAACCAGGCCAAGGAGAGTGGCGTTTTGCGTGAGTCTTTCCTACCCTCTGTTCCTCTTGCATGATCTCTCTTCACAACTCTTGGATGACCGCCAGCTATACGTTGCCACGGCTCGCAATACCTCTCTTGCTGGACCGAATATGGCATGGCATGTGTTGGCACACATCGACTGACAACCACCGTGACTTTGCAGATTACCAACAGCTGGCGCGGAAGATGGTGGTTGAAAAGTTCAAAGAGGAGGAGGCGGAGAAAAATGCTCTCACGCCAGCAAGTAGCCGGGCCAGTGGTGTCGGGTATGTTGGTGGCCAGGAGGACGTGTCCGTCTCGGCTTGATGTTGATGTTGATGTTGATGATGTTGTGCCCTGTTGGTCTGCCATAGAACAAACAATCCCTTTCGCTCGCTCTCTGACGGCCCCCTTGTTCTCCACGGCTGGCTGGTTCATCCGTGACCACTTGACGGCTCATCGTTGTTTTTTGTTTCACATCTCCATCGTCATCACTAGCACCAGCACTCTCGACGATATCAGTGACATCCGTGAAATCAGTGATATCAAGTGCCTCGCCCACCCTCTCTCGGTAGCTAGCTAGCTAGCTACCTTCATGGATTCCCAACTTCCTTTTTGCCGCCTCTCTTCTCCTCTTCCTCAAGCTTATCCAGCTGCCTCAGGATAAAAGCTATCGTAGCGTCCCGTGCCTTTTCCAGTTGCTTCAGCTTCGTCAGTGGCATCGCGATGTAATCAATTTTCTGGGGGGCGGCTGGCGAGGAGGGCGCGGATGGTGGTGGTTGTTGTGGCTGCGACTGTGACGACGGTGCTGCTGGTGTCCCTGCGTTCTCTGTCGCGGCTTTGGTCTTGTCGGCCAACAGGCCTCGCAGGACGACGATGCTGCGGTCCCGCTCGGCGAGCTGGTCAGCGAGTCGTGACTTGATGGCTGCTTCTGCCTCTGCTTCCTCGTCATCTCCGCCGTCACCACCGCCACCAACGCCGTCATCATCGGGAAGAAGTCTCTGCCTCTTGGATCCCGATCCAACACCACCGCCGCCACCACCGCCACCACCACCAAGGCTATCGCGCCATTTCCGCACAGCCTCGCGCGCCACGTCCTCAATGTGCGTGAACCTCACAGGGCCCAATAACACACCACCATACCACCTCGCGACGACGACCACGCCCTCGACGTCCAGGTCGGCCAGGAGCCGCTCGAGTCGCTTGCCCGCGTACTTTTCGCCGTCGTCCTCCGAGCCCGTCGTGTAGATGGGTCTTCCTCCCGCGGCGGTGGCGGCGCCGCCGGGTGTGTTGGACGCGGCTGTTGTGGTGGTGAAGAGTGTCTGCTGGCTCGACCGCCGCCGCCACGCGACGATGCGGTGGCTCGCGCTCGCAAACGCCGGGTGTGCTTGGAGCCGTTTGACCGTTGCTGTCAGGGACAGCGATAGCGGTTTCGTACCGCTTCCGGATCCAGTTCCGGACGGTTTCGCAAAAACCCCCGGCGCGGCGTGAAAGTGCGCCACGAACGTGGACTGGCGGTCGTGGATCGGCGAGGAAATGAAGACCCGATCATCACTCCCCTCGACGCTTCTGCTGGCGGGTTTGTCTCCTGACGCGGCCGCGGCCGCCGCGGCAATGAGATCTTCTACATCGTCGGCTGTGGGTGATGGCGAGGCCGGGCGTTTCTTCGTCGTTGTTGTCGGTGTGGATGACATTGACGACATGCAGGCCACGCTACATCATTTATGTAGATTCTTGATCTGCGTGCTGGCGAAGGTGATGGATAGATAGGGAGGGAGTATGATGCTGTACGAGTAATAGGTAAATGGGTGAGTTGAAGCGTTGGGCACTTGGCTAAGTCGACAACATCAACGAATTCTTGCGGTCCAAGGAATTAATCCACACAATCACACCATCTCCCACAATTATTGGCTACTTTTGTCTTCACGAACAAACCCTACAGCCACGTCAATACTGTGTGGCATCGAGGCGTTGATGAGAAACAAAACGCATGCATCAAGAAAGAGGCTACAATAGAACCATTCATTCAATGACTTGATTGTATTTCTTGTTGATTGCGAAGGCTATCAGAAAACCCATCAACATAGTCCTTCCATACTAACGACAATGCAGCACCCGAGAAAAGAATTATACTTGTTATAGTCCCAGCGAAACTGAACGCAATGCTTGTGAACCGAACGAATCCCGCTGTTGCAGAGCTCTTCCATGAGCCCTTCGTATGAGCCCTTCCCATAAACATAACCCAATAACTCCTAAACTCCGTAATGCAGTGACCTTGACCATCACGGTCTTGTTGAAAGAGAAAATGAAAAGTCGTTATAGACGGAGGCGTATAATTCGTGATGCCGTTGATCCATTCGTCGTAGCCCAAGAGATGTCGAGGGGATTTGATTCAAATGAGTAATTAGTGGCGGTTTTCCACCAGGTGAACTCGGCGCACAGTGTTGGATCTCTGCCTCTTGGTGCGTGGACGAGTCAATGCGGGTTTCATGTGTGACATGGCGCGAGATGATGATGTTCGGTCAAGCCGTTTGGTGAGGTTGCTCATGTTGGCTCCGCCAACTTCGAGCATGTCTTCCCATTCGAGTTCTTCGTCTTCGTCGGATGCAAGTGCACTTTCAGTATTTCCATTGGCGTCGAACTCGCAGGGTTTTTCGATCTTGCGGGGGAAGGTGGTGAATGGTTCTTGGATTTCGCTGATGGACGTCAAATGATTCATTGATGTCATGCTGGTATGGTAGGAAGAAGTCCGGCTTGGTCTTCGGCTGCCCTTTGCATCGATGTCCGACATAGGGCTGGCCATACTTGATTTGGAGAAGCTGGAATCGCGGCGGAAGGTAATTGAGCCTTCTCTGAAAGAGCTTGCTGCGCTCGAGATGGTAGAAGCGGAAAATCCGCGAGTGATTTTGGTGCCGGTGACGGGGTCAAGATATTCTGAGGCCACGGCAGACTCGAGGCCAGTGGTGGAGCTGCGTGAGCTTGCAAAGCTGGTGGTTCGTGCGTGGTGGGTTCTGTACTCGTCCCAGATGCCTGAATCCAGGCCGGCAGGAGGCAGTGAGCCCAAATGACCGACGATTATGTCGCTCATGTCGTAAAGGTGTTTGTGAAGGTGTTCCAATTGCCACTCTGGTGAGGCATTGACGGCTCGGCGATATTTTCCGAAGCCAGTCATTTCAGGCATAGGAGGAAGTGGGTGAATTTTGGTGTCCCAGAAGCTGTCAGCGCTGTAGTTTCGCTTCAATTCCTCTTGACTGAGGGATCGAGCAGTGATGTCTGGTGGGCCAGATGGTGATCTGCGAGGTGCGACATGATTCACAGCGGGAGTTGAGGAAGAACGCTCGTAGTTGGGTCTTTGTGAAGTGCGCAGGACACCTTCACGTGGCTTGCGTGCTTCTTCAGAGATGGCTGCACTCCAGAGTGATGAAGGTCCTGAAGTCACTGTCAGGCACTGGTGACGCGTTTGATGGCGAAACGACGAAATTGGACTTACTGCTGAGACATTGTGGTAGTGGCTCAGGGGCAACCTCAGTGATGAGTTTGAGAGCTGCTTCAGCCTCCTTGTACTTCTTTTCGAGCTTCTTGTGCTCACTTCTCTCTGCGACGGCTAATTAACACAAAGGTCAGCGCAAGTCAAGTAATGCTAAACACATGGTGAGAAGACGCCTACCACGGCCGACAATCAATCTGGTGATTTTCTCCCAGGCAATCATGCTGGCAACCCTGCTGGAGTGAGTTTGACAGGGGTGAGCTGCAGGTGAGAGTTTTGGTTGTGTCGAAAGGTCTGATTCTCAAAAAGAAGAGTATCTTGGAGGATTTGATGTTGGGAATCAGATGTGTGCTGAGAGAGGTTTGATGTGAAAAATCTCGACAGAGGGAGGCTGGGTCACTTATAGCAGGTGAAGGAGAGGTGGACGCGAGGAAAAAGTTTGGTGGTGAATTTGATATTGCAAGTGACTTGCCACCTGATTGTCGTCGACGGCTCGAATAGCAGTGTCAATGGTACAGTGCAGGGACATTACCCGGTACGTGAAATCCAAAGTGATGCAAAAGTCAAATGTGTCGCGTCTATTCATGCCAAACCTAGGGACTGCGGGTGTTGATGTGAAGAGTGAAGTGAGCGTAAAGGGGACTGGCAGACAGAATCCACCTACGCCCATTGAATTTGGCTGTACCAGTGCCAGTCGCAGCCGCAGTTGCAGTCCGTCGTGAAGATCCTGAAGTGCAGACTTTTTTCTTCCCCCTAGCCTCTGTTCTTCAATGCGTTCCAGCTGATGGAGTTCCTCACGCGACTCCGGTATCTGTATTTCCGCCTTGGTGTCCACTGCCACTGCTTGCCACTGATACCAACGCGGCCGACCCAATCCAGCCTCCAATGGACTCAGACAAGTCTTGCCTACCCACGCGCGACAACCATCATCATCACACTGTTGCAGAGCAGCACAATGTTCAGTGGCTGTCAGCAGACTGTCAACAGTCTTAAGCATTTATCAGAGACTTTGATATAAACAGGGGGGAAACAATTGATCTCAGAATCTCAACACCGCCAGTTTGATTGGCACCAAGACCATAAGAGATGGGAAACAACAAGAACAAAGAAACAAGTCTGGGGAAGGATACTTGCTCCCTAAGTACTGCATGGACCGTCCTAAGGCTAGGGCATGTTTGTCCTTCACAAACGGTGCAACGTGTCGCACAGGTTGCAGCCAGAGGCGATTGACGACTCGTAATTCCTGTCTCGTTGGTCATCCATCAGCTTTCTTTGTCTGAAAGAACGTGTAGAGGCTCGTGTACGTACCAGCCACATCCATCTCGCTAACATGGTCGAGATTCCAATGCTTCCCTGGCTCACAAGTGCCGGCAGGGAAATCCGGCCGGCTCTCAACGACGACCATCAAGAAACACACCGACTTCTCGAAGAGGGTACATCATGTTCTCCTGAAGAGGTGCCAGGTTGCATCGTATGCGATATCACTCCTGATCCCCCCAGAGCCGACATCGGGAGCAGGATCTTCACCCTAGAAGAGTCCAGATGGTGGCTGACTGACTGACCTCGCTTATCCTTTTGGGTTGTTTGTATCACCTAGGCAACTCAAACACAAGATCATCCCTGAATGGCCAGGCAGTACCAGGGCCACCTGATCCTCGCAGAATAGGACGGAAGCAAGCAGCTCCTCAGATCGATCTTGGAGTCGGCCGATCGTTGACATGCCCGAGAATTAAAACATACTTTCGTAAGATCCGATCTTTTCCAATATGCAGAGCGCCTGACATTCTGAGACAGTGGCCGTGCTGTTTGCTGCAAGAGGCATCGTTTTCAAGCCGACTACCTTGAGGTCACCTGCGATTGAGGTAACACATCACCAAATCCAAGTTCAAAACATGCACGAGCAAAGCAGACCTAAATCTGCGTCCACGAAGGATATCCCAGATCCAGAGGTGCCATAGCCGTGATGGATGCAGAGATTTATGGTTGAGCTGACTGCACATGTCCGTCGGGCGTTGCTCCCGCTGGTCCCTGCACGACATTGAGCCTGCATAGACTGCTAGTGGTTGTCGACGTGCTGAGGCTGGCAAACGAAACGTTGACAGGTATGACGGCTGTTGAAGAATGCCAGTCTGCCCGCAAATCGTGGAGCCCCCACCCACCACACACAAGGCACAGCTGCTCCGGAAGGCGGAAGCGCTGGAATGGAACGGAACGCTGCTGGCGACACGAAGCAAACACATTTATTATTATCAGCACGCACGCCTCCAGCCGAAATGGTATGGACTCACCTACACAGATCGACCGCATCAATCCTCTGGATGTCTGATCCAAAGCTCCCGCTGACACACGTTTCGTCTAGCTTCCTGGGGTGCCTGAAGAGGTTAAGAGAAGGGAATGTCTCCGCCCCCATGAATCCACCGTCCCCTTTTATTATCAGCGGCTTAGACTTTGGTGGCACAGGCCAACACACCTTGGCGCTCCGACTCCCGATATCAACAGAAAAAAATTGACCCAAAAAAGGAAAGGTAGAGGAGCGCCTCACGAGCAGACAGCGGTGAAGGAGTTTGATATAACCACCTCCTGTCTCCTGAATCAACGAACTCCAGTTCGAGGTTGTTGTATCAGACCGTCGTCCTGGTCAGGAAACAAGATCAGCAGTTTCTGTCAAGAACACATTACGAACCATGGCAACGTACGTTCCTCCTTCCTGGGTTCTGTTCAGTTCGCACAGCATGATAGCACGACATTTTTGTGTGGCCTTGTCTTGTTTAGCCATTCAGGTGTCTTGGGATACTTTTCCTTGAAATGTATATCATTGTCATCTTAACCACACTTTGCTTGTCGAATTGACCTCACTTTGTATTTCGTTGTTTGTTAGTGAACAAGAACTTTTGTTGACCCAACAATCTTTGCGCCACTTTTTGTTCTGAGAAAGCGACAAAGGGGAATGAAATGGTTGACAAAATACTTACACCCTTGAATAGCAACATTCACTACCATCCTACACCCTTGACGCCTTCCATCAGGGCTGGGCTCCTCAAGCAGTCCGGTCTGACCATCTGGCTCACCGGTCTGTCGGCCTCTGGCAAATCCACTATCGCCGTTGCGCTGGAACAAGCTCTGATCCGCAAGCCGTACAACAAAAACGCCTACCGTCTGGACGGCGACAACATCCGCTTCGGGCTCAACAAGGACTTGGGATTCTCCCCAAAGGACCGCGAGGAGAACATCCGCCGCATCGCCGAGGTGGCGAAGCTGTTTGCCGACTCGTGCACCATCGCCATCACCAGTTTCATCTCCCCCTACCGCGCGGACCGCGACCTCGCACGCAAGCTGCACGAGGCCGAGCGCCCCGGCGGCGAACCGGGCGTGCCCTTTGTCGAGGTGTGGATCGACGTCCCCGTCGAAGTGGCCGAGCAGCGCGACCCCAAGGGCCTGTACAAGAAGGCGCGCGAGGGCAAGATCCCTGAGTTCACGGGTGTCACGGCCCCGTACGAGGAGCCGCTGAATCCGGAGGTGCATATCCGAAGCGACAAGACCTCTGTCGAAGAGAGCGTCAAGATCATTGTCAAGTACCTCGAGGACAAGGGCTACTTGAGCACCCCGCCCGCCGTTGATGACGATGAGTGAGATTGCCGTTGCCGTCTCGCCGAGGAGGAGACTTGCGCCACAACGACACGGGGTTTCTTAGAGATCAGAGTTTTTGCAGATAGAGAACGAACTGGACGTGGCGGCGACAAATGAGCCGATAACCGACAAGGAAATGAGGCAGATGGCTAGGCTGGGATGAGTGGGTGAAAATGAATGAGTGTGCCAGCCCTGGGATCTTTTACTGTAGAGGAAGGATTTTGGAAATAAACCGCCTTTTTGAGGATTTGAAGATTTGCAGATTTTGTATTCGAGATCTCTAAAGGACGGACTGGGGAAGATGACAATGAAATCTTCTCCTCTTTTGTTCGTAGTTGGTAGTTAGTTGGCCACACTGTGTTCTCTATCTCTTTGTTCTTGTGAGGAAAGCGGGGAGAGAGAGAGAGAGATAAACAGTCTATCGTTCATTCATTCATTCATTCATTCATTAATTTATACCAGAATATCTAGTTTGCTCACCCTTTTTTTTTTCTTTCGTTTCAGGGTCTGTCTGCAAATGCACGCGTGTTTTGGCATGTCCTCGTTTGTGATTGTCTGTCTAACTGAGTATGGACCTGGGTGTGCATGTATGTGTTGTATGTATATATGTACGCATATAGATAGATACGTAGGTGGTACATAGGTAGGTAGATATGTCGGTAAATTGTCTACTCCTCCCTTGGCCTTTCTCTGGATCTGTACTCTGGACTCTGGACTCTATACTCTGTACCTCTTGATGGAGGTAGAGACAACCAACCCCCCCAAAACTCTTCTTTCTCCTTCTCCGGGTGTGTTTCCCTCTTTACTTCTCACCAGACCCGCCACCGGCACCAGGAGCACCAGCGCGGCCACCACTACCACTGTAACCTCGTGGTCTCCTCCCCTCGACGCCCTTGCCCCATTCCCCGGCCTTCTTCCCCCACGGCATCATGCCCCACGCGTGTTCCCAGCCAAACTTTGGCGGCGGGTCCGTGTGGCGACTACGATACGGTGAGGCGTCGTGTCGGAACATGGCGTCGCGCTTGGGGTTTGTATCCGTTGAAGCTGGGCCTGGATGGTCGCGACCAGGTGGTTGGAAAGGAGAATGTGAGTGGTCTCTGAGGGGACGGTTCGTGGGTGTCTTTGCTGCCGATGGTTGTGCTTTGGTGGTTGAGGCGGGTTCCCAGAATCGCCCAGAGCTGTGGATGGGCCGCCACCATGTAGGCGCTGATACGGCATCCGGGTCCTGTGCCTCTCTCAGAGAGGTCTCCTTCGGTGCATGGTTGTCGCCATGGTAATCATCGTGACCATTCACCCGCCGAGCCATGGGTAGTCGCTCATCCCACCATTTCCGACCACACATCTCCCACAGACGACTGCGCGCACGCTTGTACGCGAAGCGCTCGTCCTCGCCGGTCAAGGCGGACGTGCTGGTGAAATCTGGACCCGCGGTCGCCCTTCCGACGTCCCAGCGCGAGGTGCTGGAGTCCGAGATCCCGTGGCCCCTCCCGTTGCCGTACGTGGGACCAAAATCGGCGTCTTCGTCGGCCAGCACGGTTCGAGCGTTGGGGTTGTGCAGGGACGGGGTGAAGGACGGGAAAGGCATTGGAGAGTGCGTGTCGTTCGCCCCGGTGTAGGACGAGATGTTGGGTCGGAACGGGGCGGTCGAGTCTTGGTACATCTCGGAGAAGGACTCGGAGGTGATGGACGCAGTGCTGTCGCCATCATCTTCATCGCCCCCGGCATTGCTCGCAGCCCCCGTCCCTACTCTTCTGACCTTGGTCTCCGGAAAGAACAACTTGTCCGGCGGCGCGGCAGCTTGGATCAATAGCCGGCATCTCGCCTCGTACAGTGCGTCGAGCAGGGTGATGAACCTGCGTGCTTCGTTCTTCTGTGCCAGCGTAAGCACAGGCACATCTGTCAGGATTATCGTGTGAAATGTCGAGCAGAGCGAGACATAGTCTGCAGGACCCAGGTACGTGGCACAGAGGGCCGAGAAGGTGGATTTGAGGACTCCCTTTTGCGTGCAGGGCAGCTCGAGGCGACGACCGTAGATTGTCAGCGTGATGGGGTTCCACGTCGCCAACGGATTGAGCAGGCGGAGATCCTTTTCGAAAGCTGGGTCGGATTCCGTGGAGGAGAGGTCGATGTGGTAGTGCGCTGGTGTATCGGATGATAAGGTCGTGGATTCTGTCAGAGCGCTCACGCTCGAGACAGAGGTGCTCCTGGTCGAAGGACTTGCATCGTCTACCATGTCGTCAAGACGTTTCTCAGCTTCAACTTCAGCTGCTGCAGCCTCATAGACATCTGGGTCCAAGACACTTTCGTCCACGGCTAGATCATCCTCGTCCCCTTCCCGCCTATAGTCCTTCTCGCCCTCCATCTCCCACACCTCACACCTCGCGCGCAGCACTTCCAGAAACAAGCCAAAATCCGTCTTCGCGGCCCTCTCACCTTCACTCTCGCGAGACATACCCCAGCCCAACCCGAAGAAACCTCCGGCCACACCCCCGGGGGTGGCGGTTCGGCGCAGGTCTCCAAACTCGATGCCCGCGGCTTTGCTCAACTCCTCGGGCATGCGGTTGGAGGAGGCGACCAGAACACCCCCGAGGTGGAAGAAGGCGGTGAAGAAGCCGTTGATCAGCTTCGAGGCCGCGCGGTCGGGCATCTGGAACTCGTCGAGGAACAGGATGGGCGAGTCGCAGACGGTGTCCTTGGCCAGGCTGAGGATGACGTGTTCGTGGTCCGAGACGACGTCGTCGCGGCCAAAGAGGCTTCTTCTCGTCGTCGACGAGCGGCGCAGAAGCTCGAGTCGCTCGATCCGCGCGACTTCAATGCGCCGGAAGATGTCGAGCATGAACGTGTTGAAGTGCCAGCGGCGTTTCTTCCGCGACGGGAGGCTGTCGTACAAAAGGTCGAGGAGCATCGACTTGCCCCGGCCGACCTCGCCGTAGAGGAGCATACCCAGCGGAGAATCAATGGCGAGGGCAGAATGGTGGAGCGGAGTGGTCCGGGTCAAGGCCAGCGTGGTGGACGGGAGTGACTTGAGAGATACGAGCGACGACAAGATGCGCCCCGCCCTCGTCCAGCGGCGATCGCGGTCACTGCGGCCAACGTCGTCCTCGTCCTCATGACCGTTGCGGTCGCCATCGTGATCAGACGTGCCTCTCCCCTGCTGGGCACCATGTCGGTCACCTTGCGTTTCGGTGGTGGATAACGACGATTTCCTCGCTTTCCGCGGCACACTCCGCCCAATCTTCTCCAGCCGATACCGGTACTCGATTTCCGGCGCGTAGTCCTTGAGGCGAAAGTACAGCTTCTGGAGCTGCAGCGCAAGGCGATGCTGCGCCGGGTCGGGCTTGATCTTCCTGGTTGCCACGAGAGTGCGATAGAGGATCAGGGGGTTGGTGATGCTGAGACTCAGATGGGGAGGGGTTGTCGGCATAAGGATCAACTGTTCTCGCGAGCGGGGAAGAGGGCGAGTTTGAGCGGATCTGATAAGGAGAGAGAGAGAGAGAGAGAGAGGATCAGGACATGTAGGACGAAAACAAGGACTCAGCACCAAAGCCCACCCAGCTGACCCAGAAAGTGTGCAAAGTGTCTATTCTATGCCTTTTGTCCGTTGACGTCGTTGAACTTCGGATATACGAAACCCACAGACATTTTCCCCAATCAACGTCATTGGTCTTTTTGCATCACCCAAATCTCGGCTTGACATTGAGGGGGAATTCATAGTGAATCTGCCTTGTATTTCACTGATCATATCGTACATATCCTTTTGGCCAGGTCAGCTCATGACAATCTTGTAGAATGTCCCAGAAATACGAGCAGCTTGCTCTACCCGCCAAATTAGCGATGCTCCCACGAACTGTGGGCATTGGGCGCCCCTTCAATCCCCCAGCTCCAGGCTCTCGACGCCCTGTCCCACAGCCGCCATTACAGTCTCGCGTGCACTCGAGACATTGCTGCTCATCCTTTTCGATTTACTCTTGCCACCAGACCTCTTCTTCGACCGACCAGCGCCATTAGTTACATTGGGAGAGGGTGTATCGAGGAGGTATCGGACAATAGCGTTGGCCCGGTCACTACCCTTTGGGGAGTACTCGTCCTCCCAGTCCCAATCGTCTGGCGTCTTGGAGTGACGTTCGTTGTTACTATCGATGCTGGGATCTAGCTGGGATGCCCCCAGGTTTGTGTGGTGGTGCGGCTTCTGTGTTTTCTCGTCGCCAGTAATCCTCTCGTCCGCTAATGCTTGCATGTCGGCCGTGTGCTTTGTTCGTGGCGCTTTTCCTTCAGACGGTTCTTTCTTGTCCTTTACTGAGGCGTTTTTGAGACCCTCGGCAAGATACACTCGCCTACACAAACTCGACCAGGACCGCTCCAGCCCAATCCAGTTTTCCATACGGATGAGAATTTCCTTCCAATCTGCACGGGCCTGCGATCGAGGTGCTAGAAAGAGAGGATATTCGTCGGCGACGCGTGTGACACGTGCCACCATATAAGCATGTCGTTGAAGTTCCTTGGTCGATGTTTGTAGAAGACAGTGGCAAAGCAACACGGAGTGGAGAGCTTCTACCAAGAGTGGATGGTAGGTGACGACTTCAGCAAAGTCTGGGTTGGAGAAGATGGGACGATTCGGATCAATCACCTTGTCTGGTTCAGGAGCGCAAGCCGGTACATCTGCAGGAGGTACAGCCGCGAACAATTCGTTCAACGTGTAAACAGGCGGTGAGGGCGACGGGGCATGTACAATGTTTCCCAGACGATCCTTCATGTTCTCTGGGCTCTGCATTGCTTCTGACGAGCCCGCGGACGTTGAGTCAACGTCGAGTGTTCTCCTATCAGGGGTACGAGGTAGAGGCCCTGGGCCGTTTACTTTGTCAACGGATTGTACCGTGGACTCCGAGGGAAGTCCTGGCGTGTATTCGAAGTGTGACAAATACACGAGGAAATCCTGAAGCGCCCTTTTGGCGTAGGCTCGGACGAACTTTCGTGCCTCAGCACCTTGTCGTTGTTGGTCTTCCTCAGCGTCCCCCGCCCCGGGAGAACACACTGCGTCGTCTGTCCGTCGAGAGCAACTGTTGGGAAGGCCGTGCAAAGCTTCACTGACCCAGCCACACGCAAGACCTAGATATCCTGTACCCCGAAGGCATAACAGCTGGGACTCCGTGCTGCTGGGTTGATCCTTTTCAGCTAAACGACCCTTTGGTTGAAAGTCTCGAGGGGGGCCCGTTGCAGCGTCCTTGTGTAGCGCCCGGTCTTGTTGGTCTTTCTGGTGTTTGGGATGATATAGCTTGTGCACGGTAAGACCATGCGTGCAGTCTCGCACCACACTCTCTATATCGTTCTTGAACATTGAGGCAACTGCCCTCGTCCTCCACAGCGAGGGTTCTGTGGGCATCTGACTGATCACGTCGTTCAGACGGTGGAGGGATGTGTGTTCAGCCATGGCCATGGAGGGAATCTTTTCGTGGAAGAAGTGGACATATTGAGCATGCGGGTTGTGTTCCTCGCGGTCCAGCACGAGTTTTGCCACGTCTTCCAAGGCTGACGCCGACTGCATCGTGATAACGCTTGCAGCGATTTCATCCAAGCAGTAAGCTTGGAATAACTTTTGCGTCGCTTGGTCTCGCATTCGGTATTGCCGCTCACGACTTAGTTTCGGGTACACCATCCCTTTCTGTGTTGAAAGTCCCAGTATCTCTGCATCGCTGCCATAGAACATGCCCTTCTTGGATGACGATTGCGTGACCAAAGTACCGATGCCACTCGCAGCACGAACAACGAGATCGGTTGCCTCATCGACCAGTCTTCTGATCTTGACCAGGTCGAAGATCAAGGCTGGGGTGAAAGGTCGGGGACGGGAGGCGTAGTAGTTGCTATAAGCAACGCTCTCGAGGACCTCGATCGGCATGCTGAGCCATGATCCTTGATAGCAAGAGATATACTTCCAGTGTCTATATCGCAGTTAGCACTAGGCACATGAAGACAATTTGAGGAGCTGTGCAAGTCGCCTCATATTGCTGGAGAGATGCCAATTACTTGTTGCGACTAATGCTGAAGAAGGGCGCCGCCTTCAAATCTCTTGTGCCCTGTGCTCCATTGTCTGGGGACTCTGGAGATAATGTACCCGACGTCTTTTGTTTCGTAGTACTCTGTGGGTGGTCGCCATCGGTGGACTGCTGTGTAGACTGCGCAGATGAAGATGAGCCTTTCGGCTTCTTTCTTGTCACGGTCTGCTTGGTTTTCTCCTCCCGCGATGGAGTAGGCTGTTTAGAGTCACTGATAACATGTACCTGTCCATGAACCATGGCAGCAACAAGAGGACAATGATGGATCGAAGGATCGGGGGATTCGGGGGGAAAGTGGGCAAGCGAGTGCCGGTAGATTCGTTCCGAGATCCAACGGTGAGCGCGGGGACTCGGTAGACGTTGTAGCTAAGATAGTAGCCTAAGGGATCTTTTCTTATTTGAGTAAAGAGGAACAAAAGGCCAAAAGGACGGAGGATAGATGACCCAGTCGAGCCAGCATAAAGTTTTGACGACGATGGGCCAATAGACAAGGTCCAGAGCTCAAAGAAGCTCTCAGCTCGATGGGGTTCTCTGCACCCTGCACCTTTCACCGTGCAGCCCTTGGTACGAGGACTTGGTACTTGATTGTCTTGTCATACGTGTACCTCGTACATTTATTTCCCTCCTTCGAACTCTTCAGCGATTCAACTATCATTATTCCGCAATTACCTTGCCTCAGGACCGGACTGTTACCCCCGAGATCGGTCTCACCCAACCACCTCGCCCTTCCCATTTACCTTCCTTTACTTGCTACTTGGGGGAAAGATGACTTGATACCCCGTGTCGAGACCCCAAGCGATAGAATTGAACTCTAGATTCGCCGAAGCGAGCTGCAACGACGGTGTGATGGCGAACAGATTGAAGCCCTTGACCTCGTACTGGCCGCTCCCGACGCCCAAGAATTTCCAATACCACAGGACGTTAGTGCAGCCGGCAACAAGGACATCGAGGGTGACGATCCCACTCAACCCCGGTGAATTGAGTACGCCGTTGATATAGTTGTCCTTGCCGACAAAGGTTGCGGTCCCGAGCTGTTTTTGACAAAGATGGTTATTCGCCTGGTCCTCTTGAGCTGACATGTGGCTTTCGACTTACCGGCTGTCCCTCGAGCGACAGAATTGAGTCGCTCGTCTCGATGTAGTTTTCATCAAGGAGGCTCTGGGCGGTGGCGTTGGCAGCAGCCGCATCGGTATGTTCAAGAACGATGATGTATTGGTTGACGATCGACTCAGCCTCAGCCTGCGACACGCACGATTGCCAGCTAGCATCGCGCTTGGGGGTTGCGGCAGCCATAACACCTGCCATGAGCGACATGGGAGTCAAAAGAGAGAGGACCTTCATGGTTGCGAGTGTTGATGAACGAGTGAATATCGAAACGAACGATGTTTGCGGAAGGCTGGCTGGCGGACACGATTCTGCGGGACAGGGCGACGACGAGCGAAAGACAAACACCGTTCCCCCGAAGGGAATTTACTGAGACTTTATAGGCAGGCAACGGAAAGGAAAGACATCTCATCTAGAGGTTACAACTTGCCAGAAGGAAGTGGACGCGAGGCAACCTGCAGGCCTAGATGCTGACCCGTCCCGTTCGTGGACAGTCGACTATACACAGAGGCGACAACGAGATTGGCCAACCGAACAGGCCCTTGTCGATGTCTCTACCAGTGATTGGATCAAGCTGGCTCAGTGGTGATCTCACAATGTGGGAAGTATACTGAGGTTCCAAGTACTGCCGACGGAGTGGGTGTACTCCCCCTCTGCTGAGAGCCTGGGAGCTCTCGATACGGGATATGATGGATCTCCGACCAGCAAGACTGCATCGAGCCGACGGGCTCGTGGACGGTGTCAGTCTGAAGCCTGAGACTGTCCCTTGTCGATTGAGATACGAATTGCTATACACGAGGTGATGGCCAGGGGTGTGATTGTCTCCCCGGAATCAAGTGCAACCATCCCCAAGAGACTTTTGACGAGCTGTCTGTCTGATTCGTTGCGGAGGTGTTGGTGTCTGACTGTCACTTCTCAAAGTCTTGATGTCATTGACTTTGGACGTATTCCGTCGAACGATTACAAGGGGTTCGAGACGGAGATGGAGGTGGAGGTGGAGATGAGATGGAAATGTAAATGCAGGGACCTGCAGCATGCGGTAAGAGAGGAATGAATAATACGAGGTATACCGTCCTTTGCGTGCCTTGACACACTGTAAACTCAACCACTTGTAAGCTTTGACAAGAAGCTTTGAACAAGCCCGAGCAAGCATTATTTACCTGCCATTCTAGTGCCGGACTCTCTCTCACTCTCTCACACACCATCCCGCATGCTTGTCTCACTTCTCACAAAGTATATCAATCCATGGTAAGCAATTCGGTCCTCCTTGGATCATACCTCCGTACTGTATGCTGTATACCTTGGAACAACATCATTCCACCCAACACAACCCAACCCAACCCTGTAGCTTTGGCGGGACAGGTACGGAACAGGGCGGCAAGACTATCTAGGTTGGTACGTACCTGGAGGGGGATAAAATGCGGGAGTGGATGCATGGAATATGGCATGGTTCAGGATTCAGGCACGGAGTTTGTCCTTGTCTCTCAGACCAGCCTGCACAGAGAGATAGAGATAATGGCCAGCGAATCCATGACCTTGGATTCATTGTATGTACACACACAGAGAGGTAGAAGTCTCTTAGAGCGACAGGATCGACCGCAAGACTCGTTCGAGCTTTTCTTCGCACCATCTCGCCGCCTCTGTCTCTGTTACTCCCTCTGTCCCTCCGCCTGCAATCGTCTTCGCCCGCCACGCGACATACCGGTCAGGTCGCACCAGCACACAGCCGTCCTCGTCGACCTCTCTCCTCTTGGTCCAGTCGCGGTATTTGTCAGCGTAGTCGAGGCCAAAGCCAATGGCGAAGGCGTGGACGGTGATCCCGAGCCGATCTCCCACGCGCCTGGCCGCGGCTTTCCACCCGTCTCCGCCGTGGCCCGTGAAGAGCGAAAAGGCGCTTTTCCCGGCCAGGTCGAGCGTCGAGACCTCGGCGCTGGGAACGTCCCTGCTGAGCCAGGCGTGCGGGAGCCGGTTGCCCGGGTACGTGCTGACGCGAGCCTGGGTGAGGTAGTCGCCGGGGAAGGGCGGTTGAGGGCCCTCTTCGTCGGCGAGGTAGACGGCGTGGGACGTATACCACTGGTTCATCATCATGCCCACGCTGTCGCCTTCGCCGCGGTGGCGTTCGAGAGCCTCAAACAGCTCCCGGCGTCGTGTCCTCCCGGCCGCGGACGCCTCGGACAGTTCCTGGTTGGCCTTGATGCGCTCCTCCTTCGTCTCCCCAAACATGCCAATCGCGCCCCAGACCGTCGCGTGGTTCCGTAGCAGCTCGTTGGACCACTTGACCAGATCTTGGCCGACGGGCTGCCGCTCCACGTTGTACGTGTCCAGCAGAGCCTTCCCAGCCTTCCCCTGGAGGACCAGCGCGGCTTTCCAAGCCAAGTTGTAGGCGTCCTGTATGCAGGTGTTGCTCCCAAGGCCGAATATGGGAGGGTGTCGGTGGACCGCATCACCCAGGCAAAACCTGATCGCTTGTCAGCACGCCTCTCTGTCCGGCCCGAGGATGGGGCGGGTGATGACAGGTGAGATAGATGCTTACACGTTGCCTTTGGAATAGGATTTCGCGGCCGTTTCGTTGATCCTCCAGCTCGAGATGTCCACCACCTCAAAGGGAATTTTGTCGTCGCCAATTACCGCCCGGATCAGATCGTTGACCTGGTTCGTAGCTTCTTGAGAGGAGCCAAATGCTTTAATGTCGACTCCTGGCTTGGGAAATACCACCAGGATCCATTGATGCCACGGCTTGACCATGCGCAACACGGGCGCAATTCCGTGCTCCAGGTCCGTGTCCGGCTGCATGATCCAATGCAAGTGTCCGGTTTGATGTTTCATCACGTCGCCCAAGTCGGCATTGAACAGGATATTGTATGCAACACCTCCGGACGGCTGCACGTTGTACGAGAGTCCGATCTGAGCTGCCACCGGGCTCCTTGCTCCGTCGCAACCAAAGACGTAGCGGGATCGGATCTTGAATTTCTGGCCGAGGACCTTGTTCACAGCAGTCGTCACGCAGCCCTGGGCGTCTTCCTCGAGTTCCGCAAAACACGTGTTGAACAGACATTTGACGCCGTGAGTGGTCGCATAGCGGACCAGGATCGGCTCCAGGTAAGTCTGTGGGAGATCCAGAGACGCACAAGGACTGACATCTGCCACTTCGCCCTGGGTTGTACTGATCAGCAGCAACCCGAAGTTATCAGCTAGGGCATTTCGAGACGCACCATCTTTGCTGGACCAGCACCCCAGGCATGGATTCGTCCATACTCTACCCCGGCTATAGAGTAGCACCAACGGATCGAATTGAGCGCCTCCCCTCGGTTTCCCAGGCGCAGACACTCGTCTTCGAGGCCAAGATCTCGCATGCACTCTTTTTACGACCTTGTCAGCTTTCGGCTCGCACGTCCGGGACAGGGAGGTGGAAACGACATATCTCTACCAAGGCCTGCCATGTTGATCAGATGCGCCCTTGGAGTGGCCGTCGTTCCCGGCGCGTCCGAGATGACCATCACTCTGAGTCCTGGAGCCCCCGAGGGATGTCAGTCCATTGTTCGACCAAGCCAGATGCTCACCTCACCCATACCGTAAATGATCAGGAAACATGCCAAAGAGGCCCCAGCAGGGCCCGCTCCAATGATCAGGCAGTCTGTTTCGACATCTGCGTCGACGATCGGAATGTTCCGAGACATTCTTCACTTGAGTGGTGGTATCTGTTTGGTGAGCCCGTCAAGGGTATAATCCTTCTCAAGGAAGCAATCAGAGACGAAACGGAGAGAATGAGCACGAGAACAAACAGAGGGCATGTAACGGGTCTTATATTCTCTTGTGCTCCTATTCTCCAACACGAATAAGCTCATGCAACGACGGTAGCTCAGGGTATATATAACTTTGTAATATTGAACATTGTCCATTGGATTAGCGGAACAAGGGCCAGTGGGCACAGCTGACTACCCAGGTGAGGGATCTTCTTGTGTCGTTGCCGGCCTCGTCTTGGAAGCCGAATAGCACAAACATGAATGCTCAGAGTTGGGCTTGGCTGGCAGATGTTACTCGTAGATGAACCGTGAGGCCGGAAACACTGTTTCTGATAGGTCAATAGGGATATCCATCCGCTACACCACATATTGAAAGGACAGGAGGGTAATAAAACCTGACAATCAGCTCCGAAGACAATCTGGCTGTCATAGAAAAAAAAATATGGCAGGATTTCGGGGGCATGTCTGCCTCCATGATGCTACCACCGCACGACGTAGAAACAGGGTTAGGGAGCACCTATTCCCTGAGACGAAGGCTCCCTCTCTCCCACAGGAAGAGAGAAAGTCAAATAGAGCACAAGAGACAAATTCGAGGTAAGGGCAGGCGGCTATAACAGACTTCCACGAGGGAACACATGTACGGATCTCGGCTGGACGGCTGAAGGAAAGGTCCAGGTCCATCTTGACAGAAACGCTCAGAAATTCGTGTACTGGGATTCTTTGGGCCATGATCTCATGGCAGGTATGTAGGTCCTGTGGCTCGGTTCGAATGTCCAACATCTGCTATGCTCCTTGTTTGCGTCGGGACCAGATACGCAGAAAAAGGTCCTGAGCATGTGGTATCGCCGATGTCTCGATCTGGTCTGTAAGAATTGAAATCCAGATGCTGTCCTTCTCAAACAACGCTTTGTGATGCCAATGTACAAGTCGTTTCGTCGTCATATGTCCATTAACTAGCTTCAACACATTCAACCAACTCCTCAAAATGCAGCAGGTGGGATCGAAGAGACTGTCCAGACATCATATTATCCCGCGCATGGCCCCAATTGCTGCTCCGGCGCCTGCTGCATACAGCATTCCGGGACAGGCTGTCTGCCGAGGACCATTGTTCCCAACTTGAATGATGCCACTCGTCCCACCGGTTGTGGTTGGAACAACTCCGGGGCCGCTTCCGAATATGGTACACTGGCTCACTTGTTGTAAAGCAGAACATCCCACCGAGCTCAGAGAACTGCAAATGGAGCTTGCAGAGCTGAGAATTGTGCCCGAGACTCCTTGTACCGTTATGCCTCCACCAAGACCGGCTATTGTTACTCCATTGGCCCCTGCGAGTGAAGTGAAGCAGGCGGTTGAGGCGGATTGGCAGCTTGTGAATGCGCTGGAGCATTGATCGGCGTTAGGAAAGGAGGTCGGTGCATAGACAAAAGGATAGTAGGGGTTGGTCACTGTCGAGCCGCCTCCAATCACTCCAGTAATCGACACGACTCCAGAACTGGGTGTTGTACCTATCCCCGACGTAGTCTCGGTGACCGACCCAGTGATCGATCCCGCTATTGTACCCGTACAGACTGCGTTGGACGGACAGCAGGCAACATGTCCCGCTTGATCCAATGCACAGGTTGTATCAGAAGGACAACAGACATTGTTTGCTCCTAAACCCGAGCAGGAGTTGAGGCCTGATTCGCATCCTTGCCGTTTCACCAGCAGGGCATCGTTCGAGAGACCGAAGAGAGGATTCGAGAAGGGCGAGTATTCGTTGGCAGAGACAATCGCAAGGCGCAGGATGGAGATCGATACCCAGGGCACTCGGAGACGCATGTCCGGCGACCGTTATACTTGTGAGGAGTAGAAGGGGAACTCGTTCAACGGCGAGGCATTGAGGGTCGTGGCTTGAACTGCGGTCTCGAGGACGCAATGGGGCTTGGAGAGAGCAGCGTGTATGTAGGTGTGTACAGTGCAGAGGGCAGTATTTGAATTCAACGGAACAAATCAATATTGACAATCAAAGACAAAGATGGCCTGCTTCACAACGATCAAATACAAACGCTTTGGGAGATGAGAAGGTGAACAGTGCCTGCATTCAGCTGGCGAATGCGTCTACCAGAGCCACGGAGAGCCCAGCTTTGTGGACTTTTCTGGGTGGCCACGGCAACGGCGCCACTTGGCCGAATCTTCTCGGCACACGCATTTCATTTTCTTACTTTGTCTATTTGCACTTTGGAACTGCCCTGATGAGGAAGAGGAGGATTTTGGTGTTGGTGTTGTTTGTGACGATGGGTGACAAGGTTGATGAACATAGATGCATTCGGGCATGACAAGTTCTCTTCATCCTCTTCTGTCTCACCTATCTCGACAACATCCCACCAACCCCCAAAGTATGTTTCCCCCGGGATTCCCTCATCTCTGCATGTCCTCCATCTGATGATTTTCCATGTGAATTCTGCAATTCTGAAAGATGCTTCAAAGTCTTGATGCGGAACATCCATTTTACACTTGATCTGACCCAGTCACAAACCCCTGTCATGCTTCCCGCAGGAAATCTGGTACCTGTTCGCTGACTGTGGTATCCATAGGCACCGTTGGGCAGAATGGGCACTTGACATTGCGGACAATCAACAATGCGAGCCCAATCTCCCTTCAGCCCATCAACATGACTGGCAATGTCAAAGAAGATTGGGCACAATGCTGAGCCTTTAAATGATTCATCGGGATCCCTACCAAAGAACTCGGTACGGCGTAGATAGCGTCATCAGCCCCTGGACTGAATCTTCCTACAGCCTCAACTTCAGTCAACACTACTTGGTCTCCAGTGGGATAATCTCGAACGAGTACACCGGTGGCCACCTCTATTTTACGTACAGAGCATGTTGACTAGAAAAAGAGCTGTGGTTGGAAGTCACACCACGAGAAAATGTCGGTGAGTGAAATGCTTGGTGATTTTCTATGCTCAACACTATGAAGGAACTTCTGAAAGGGTGGCTCTTCGGATACACAGCCTCGCATGTCCTGAGATGCAATTCCATGATACCTTACCACCAAGCAATAACAGCCTGCACGGCTTATGGAACAAATGTATAGAATATCTGCGCAATCTGGGTAGACAAGGAACAAGCATGTACAGGGCACAATCTCGTGAACATCAGCATCCTTGTTTCTATTCGGAAACTGGCCGATGTCCTCTCCTGCAACTCAACGTACAACAACGAGTCCGAGGACAGCCTGAAGACAATGGGCCTCTCAATTGTCAAGAGTAGGATAAGCGGGCCGTGGCATACACATCGCGACGCTACTAGCACAAGCACGAGGTGCTTGGTATACGAAGACAGGAGGAAAAGGACAAACATGCCCCTGGCGGCTTCGACTACCTACATACGAGTACATACTCCTCATGCCAATCACCAGCGGCAAGTCCGCCTGTTTCTTCCTGTACAAAAACTGCGAGCTCCACTACGAACAAGATATGCATTGGGCAGAGCCTCCGGCGCGGCCTAAAAAGTACCGAGTACAGACTCGTCCTCGTGGTCGCCTACAGCGTTGCAGGTACCTTCTTTTACTCTTTACTTCATTTGGACATTTGAACATGGGTTGTCAGCTAAGCCATGTGCCCCTCAACAGCGGGACAACCCGTCGATGGGCTGGTGCAAAAGCACCAGGGGACGCAGCGGGTCTGCCAAAATTTTACGTGTATTTTGCGGCTTCTTCTTCGCGAAGGAATCACACACTTCGCTCTCCCCGATGTTGCTGAGTCCTCCAAGCACTTGTACAGGCTATCGTCACTCGTCCCTGTCTCAAATTATCCCTTCTGCAGACCAACCAAACAGCAGGAGGCTGGACTTTCCGAATACCAAGACTCCTAGCCGCAAGCAGCATTGTGATTCGGACTGCCAGCTTGTCCGCTGTTTTCTCGGCTGTGCTACATCACAAACATGATTGACAGAGCATGTTGTCGTCATTCCTTTGCGCGCTTGTGAGACGCAACCGCTCTACAGGACCCCGCGGGCCTTTTCACAGAGGAGCGCCTGAACTTTCTTCTCATTCTCAATACTTTGGGTTCTTCATGGAGTACGCGGAGGCGAGGAAAGAGGCGGTCCTCCTGACCTGGGGTAGCATCCAGACAAATTGCACTTGTGCGTCGGCGCTTTACCTAAGAAAGATTAACAAGGTACCAGGCGGCTTCCACGCGAGAAGAGACATCCTCTTGATGCAAATACAATTGGTACGAGTACCATTCCCCCCACTCACACTCTCAACCCCTTTCGCGTTGAATCCTACACTAAAATTGACGAAAGAGATGGCCACCAGTATTCGGCGAGTCGGTACCAGTCGTACTCGTACTCCAGGATAGCACACAGCTCCAACTACTCGGTAGGTACACGTGCTTGTGCTCGGTTCGCTGCAGAGTACTCGGTATCTTGTCCTACTCCACTGGCATGGTGTCACGCCGCCGTTCCTACGAGTACAATCCTTGCACAGCGTGAAACGTGCCCTTGCAGGACGGTGACTATTCACAGGCCCGAAGTCCAGGCCAGGCCATGATTCCTTTCCACTCTCGCGTCCACCCACCATCTAATCATTCTGGGGAGTTTGCACTTTCCCTTTCCATGGCGGAGGACCCGGTGCTGCTTGTGATTGTTGAAGTGCATCGGTCCAACTGGTGCCGGGGTACCATGCCAGTGCCCAGCTGGTATACATCTAATAGGTGTCTCCCTCGTATCCCTCTGTAAGTTGAACCAGCTGTCAATCTGTTGACCAAGGGCCACAATGGCCGCAACCTCGTCGGTCTCCCTGTCCACCACGTTGGAGCCTTTGCCTCCAGTCTTGCGGCACGGGCTGGTGGCGGTAGCATTCTTTGGGACTCTTTCTCTCATCTCCAGTGTCGCTCTCTTCACCTTCCTGACGTATCGACTCTGTGTATGGTATCACAGAGGCCAACTCAAAGATGGCGCCAACCAATTCCTCCTCCTCATCTACAATTTGGTGCTGGCAGACATTCAGCAAGCCATGGCATTCGCGCTAACGTCGGTATATCTCTCCCAGGATAAAATCCAAGTGGGAACCACGACTTGCTGGGCGAATGGGTGGTTCGTTTCGACCGGCGACCTTGCTTCTGGGGTCTTCATCCTCGCCATTGCCTTGCACACATACTACGCCGTGGTGAGGGGCGGGCGTGTGGGAAACAAGGTGTTCTGCGGGGGCATCATCTGTCTATGGATATTTGTCTATGTGATGGCTATCATTGGAGTTGGTATAAATTCCAAAATATACGTCCGAGCGGGAGCATGGGTACGTACCCAGGTCCTTGATGGCCTCAACCAAGCTGACGACTCGTAAGTGCTGGATTGACAAGAGATACGACAAAGAACGACTGTGGCTTCACTACTTTTGGATCTTCGTCTGCATGTTTGGGACTGTTGTCACGTATATTCTCATTTTCGCCTACATCCAAACCAAGTCACGGAGCAGGTCGAATCCGAATTTCCCCAACGACGATGGCACCGACCCTGCTGCTACGAAACGTGCTGCGAAGTACATGATTATCTATCCTGTGGTCTACGTTGTTTGCACGTTGCCACTCGCGGGAGGTCGAATGGCCGCGATGACGGGGGTGTCGGTTCCATATTGTAAGTCTTTTTCCTCGCAGCCGCAATGACCTCCATGATTGACGATAGTAGGGTGGTTCTGCTTGGCCGGAGCCGCTATCAGCTCCTGTGGATGGCTGGATGTTGTACTCTACGCAGTGACCAGGCACGTCTTGATATTTGGCCGAGCACCTCCGCCTCCTCAAGACTTGGGTCTCGATACCTTCGGCTGGAAGGACGTCGGTGACAATTTTTGGGGAACGAGGACGACCATCAGTGGCCCTCTAGGCGACCCTACTACTCGACGGCGTGATAAGCGCGATTTCCTGGGGCGAAGTACGCCACGCCCGCCTCGCTCGCGACAGTCGGATGAATACCACTTTGCAAGACACCCGGAAGGGGTCATCACGGCTAAAACCACAATCGAGGTTCGTTCGGGTGCCATTATCAACTACGCCGACTCAGATATAAGTGCCATTGAGATGGAAGACAAATCCGAGCGTACGCATTCGCATTCTCACAATGACTGATGGGACGAACATGTAAATGGATTGGGCAAATGTGACCATGATCAAGAAATGAAAAGGAGGAACTCTTTGCTAGACATCACAGCGGGTTGTTACAAGAGGAAAGAAAGGTCAAGTGGAATCGGAACTGTATAATATGTCTGTGAATATGTGTTTATTTGCCTGTACGAGGTACATAATGGATGAATGAGGTTCTGATCAGAGTTTGGAGAGACCCTCGTCTGTACAATCACTGTGGGAGGCCGTAAAGCTTGACGGATAATATTTGTTCCGGACGGCCGAGGCATGCCGAGATGCGTAGGCCAAGGGCGGGCATGGAAGTCTCTAGTCCCCAGCTGGAGCCCCCAATATCCTTACCCAGGCGAGCCAGTTATTACTTGGAGGTAGCTAATAGCGAAAAGACTGCTCGCTTGCCCGGACTCACGGAACTGCGTCAACGACAATTGAGCTGGATCGTGTTTTCGTTCCCATCGTCCAGCCTGGTTAATCACCTTGGTCGCCAGGTATAGTTCAAGAGTCATCCTTCTCTCCCAACCGCCGGTCCATCATCATGTTGTCGAGGCGACCTTCCCTATAGCAAAGCGAGTTCCGTCACACCCAAGACCCCCGCAGTCATGTATCGACCTCCACGAATAGTCCTCTCGGGGGTCATACGACATCTCCACGCTTTGCAGTCCTCAAGGACGTATGCCTCGAGTTCGGAACCTGTTCTTCGGACAGCCCTTTTCTTCCCTGGTCATGGCGTGCAGCGGAAAGGCATGACACGACCTTGGGTCGAAGCTTTTCCCCGAACGTGCAAACCATTCTTAGAAGAGATGGATGATATATTGCATTGCAAGTTGTCCACTCTGATCGACGAGGGCCCCATCCTGCAGCTGGACAAGACGGAAAATGCCCAGCCTGCAATAATGGCCGTGTCCATCATGATCTTGAAGGTGCTCGAGAAAGACTTTGGCTTCAAGACGGAGCAAGTGATCGACGTTACATTGGGACATAGCCTGGGTGAATATGCAGCACTGGTTGCCGCCGGCAATTTGGAGTATGCATATGCACTCGATCTCGTCCGGAGACGCGGGGACGTTATGGGAGAGTGCACGAGAAAAGCAAAAGAGGAGTCGGGCGAGGATTTCGGCATGATCGCCCTGGTGTGCGAGCCAGAGCAACTCGACTCGTTGATCGCAGCCGTCCGAGAATTCCTGAGCCAGGGCTCCGAGGGCGCAAAGGACGACTCCAGTGCTCTGCCGGCATTCCAACAGATTGCCATTGCCAATATCAACTCCAAGAACCAGATCGTGCTCAGCGGTAGCTTCCAGCGGATACGGAATCTGCTGATCCACATACGAGAATTTGGCGGCCATGATCCCCGAGCTGTTGAGTTGAAGTCGCGCTCAGCCTTTCACAGTCCAATCATGATGCCGGCATACGAGTTCATGAAAAAGGCTCTCGTCCCCGAGAAGGTGACCTTTCCCGGTCGTGTCCCCTGCATCAGCAACGTCACTGCCAAGCCGTTTGCGTCGAAAGATGACCTGATCAAGAACCTTGCAAGGCAGGCTGTTGACACTGTCCTCTGGTGGGATTCTATCAAATATTTAGATCGACAGGCTGCATGCCGCCGGTGGCTTGGACTAGGGCCTGGAAAGGTTGGACGCAATCTTGTCTCCAAAGAGGTTGGCCGTTCCTCTGCAAAAGGGGGAGGTGTCTGGTCCATCACGGAACCGCATGAAATTGAAGAAACCCTGCGTGATCTGGAAGCTACTGCAAAGGAGGAAGACGAATAAGACTATCGGCAAGCAATCCAGGGAGAGGTCAAGGACAAGGTTAGCGTCTGCGTGCTGGATGCCCGTGGCCATGATCTGGCAATACGAGCACCACGGAGAGCGATGTCTGAGGCCCGTCGGCAACCCACGAAGCCTCGAGGATATATGGAAGGGAACACCAACTGGCCTTGGCGAGGCAGAAGCATTAGCAGCTCAGAAGCAATGTACCATGTACAATGGCTGTCGACGTGTCCGGCAGAAAAAAAACTGGGTCCAATGGTCCAGAAAATTCAAGGATATATATTGAATCCCGAGAATTTGTTCACAACACCAAGACCCCTACCTAGAGAGTCCGAGCCAAATCACTTCGACCGAAATCGAATTCAACAAAGTGACGCGGCAGCTTTCTAGGAGGCGATTCCTCCTCCTCCTTCGATCGAACGAGCCAGTACGAATCCCAGGCATGCCATGATATCTTCGATTATCAACAACTAGCTCTGAGCTGGTAGGCGACATTGTCTGGAATCGAACCGACGACCGACGACTGAACGAACCGGCCGAGCGAATCGAGCGAGCGATCGAGCGAAACAACTCCGGACGATCGAATCGAGCGACCGAACTTAACGAGCGACCGAGCGACCGACCGAGCGAACTCAACAAACAAACGAGCGATCGAGCGAATCGAACCGACCGAACGAACGATCGAGCGACCGAGCGAATGGACGGAAAAACCTGCAACCCGTAAGGTTTCACTTCCCATAACCCCCTCCGACAGGGGTAGATGGAAAAAGTTTTTTGTCGGTGGTAATTTTTTATTCTTGAGTGTATTTATTTTGGATTGTGGGCATTAGGGCTTCATATATAGGAGGAGTATAGGGACGGCAGAATTATAATAGTTCTCAATAGTTAACTTTATAGCTGGAAAGGCCCCCTTATAATATTTAAACTATAGTACAAGTCAATATCAAGTAACTTAAGTTAAGGTTGTAGTATCATAAGTAAGGTAAATAGTTAGTTAAGCCCTCTAGTACTACCATACTCATACTCACAATCCATTAATTTCCAAAACCACCTCGTTTGATACTCAGCCTTGCGCCCCGAGGCTAGTAGTTGACGAGGCTGCAATATACTGACGCACGTGCCAGAACGACGGGACAGTCTCACATGTCATCCGACTGAACCGCAGTCATCGCAGTACCAGTCATCCTCCTCCCCCACGACGTCAGACTGCGCCATCTCCATGGCACCAATGGCCCCCTTTCCCCGTATTTCCTCTGCTCTTTGCCTTCTGCAGTAATTCTAGGCCTCGAAATCCTGGTCGTCTGCCCTTCCTATTTGTCTAGGTCAAGACACCGACAACCTCCAGGCTGCCAAATTCAAATCCATCCGTAGCATGCTTATCTCTCGGCTTCAATGAGTGAATATCTCCCCTCGTTCATTGTCGAACCTGTCCTGCGCCAAGCGAGGCGATTCTCCCGCCTCAGCGGCACCACTGAAGACTCACCCGGTCTCTTCCCTGCTGTGCCCGACCTACAACGCTGGAGCCCCTCTCGTCTCTGGAACACGTCCCCTCCGCCTGCACTGGAAGACCCCGCGGTCGAGCCAGAGTCAGAGCACAGAGAGACCACTGTGCAATCCATTGCCAGGACGATCCAACTATGGGCCAATCAGCTGAACAGCTTCGACTCCATTCCCTCCCCTCCGTTAGAGCCCGAGGACGAGTCAAGACGACCGTCATCCGAACCTTCTCTTCGGCCAGAGCCTTCGACCACTGAGTTTCCTCACCTCGAGCCCGACTCTTCTCAGCTGTCGCGCCCCGTCGCTCTCCAAGACCTTCGATCGGACAGCGAAACCTCTCTGAATCCTGCCAATGAGTTACCGTATCGGTCTCGTGCACACCAGGACAGCGCACGGCCCCATGCAGCATCGGACCCCCTGAGGAATTTGTCAAGAGCCGCAGACGTGGCGCCCACACAAGATGTACAAGAGAATGGCCCTAGTGCCGGCCGGAGGAGGGATGGATCGGGGACACTGCCAGAAGACGATGGCATGGGCGCTCTCAGACAGAAGATCAACGGTGTGTGGTCAGGCCCCGGTACGGCCGCGGAAAAGTCAAGACTTGTCCATGCCTTGATGATGGAAGGATATCAGAAGGGTCTCGCTGGCAAAGGCATGTTGTCCAAAGCGCTAGACACATCCCACACACCGGCTTCCCCAAGCTCGACCATCTCGGGAGTCGGCCAGGAGATCAACTATAACATCACGCCAGAAGCCCTCGCGCCGACCTATGCGCCTCTTGACCCCGATGATATGGAGTCGTCGGGTGAAATATCTCGGCCGATGCTTGGCTGTGTCCACTACAAGCGAAATGTCAAGATGCAATGCAACCTGTGCGAAAGATGGTATACCTGCCGACTTTGCCACGACGACGCCGAAAACCATACTCTGCCACGTCGAGAAACCAAACACATGCTGTGCATGCTTTGCAACACCCCACAACCCGTTGGGCAGTTCTGCAAGACGTGTCAGGTCCAAACGGCGTGCTATTACTGTCCCATTTGTATATTGTGGAACAATGATCCCGAAAAGTCCATCTATCATTGTGACGATTGTGGTATCTGTCGACTCGGCGAAGGCCTGGGCAAAGACTTTTTCCACTGCAAGACATGTGCAGCTTGCATGTCCATCCAGGCCGAAAGCACTCACAAGTGCATTGAAAAGAGTACCAAATCCGACTGCCCCATCTGCGGTGAGTATATGTTTACCTCGAATAAACCAGTTGCGTTCATGCGTTGCGGCCACAGCATTCACGAGTCTTGCTTTTCGGAATGGTGTAACACCAGCTACAAATGTCCCATTTGTTCCAAGAGTATTGCCAATATGGAGAGCCAGTTCCGGCGCCTGGACCGGCACATTGAAGAACAACCGATGCCGGAAGAGTATCGAGACAAACGAGCCTATATATTTTGCAACGATTGCAATAGCCGCAGTGTGACCAAGTATCACTGGCTAGGCCTGAAATGCACCATCTGCGAGTCGTACAATACTACTCAGCTGGAGCTTCTTGGGGCTGAAGAAACCCCACAACTGCAGGAACAACAGGAACGCGCACAGCAAGCGGGAACCTCTGAAGCTGCCCTGACAGCGAGTCAGAGTCAAACCCCGACCGACCAAGGGACTCAACCTGTGGATATAGTAAGAGCATCAAATGAAGCCGTCCCAGGTGCTGTCGATATAGGCACGGCGTCCAATACTCCCAGAAGTCGGTCGTCTTGGCTTCTGCCTCACTCCCCGACAGCTCGCTCAGCGCGATCTGTCTCCCCGGTCGTTGGGAGTTACTTTGGGACTGGACAACGAACAGCAAGCACCCCCGAAACACCTCAACGCAGAACCACCTCGGTGGATGATGACGAGGATGACGATGACCTCGATTTCTGGGGTCGGCCCAACTCACCTCGGCAACCCGTCGCTGCGAAGGCTGATTCCGAGTCCGGGTCCGACTCTGAGAGTGAGCGTGACGAGCCTATGGAGGACGAAGAGGGCGAGGAGGAAGAAGATGCAATGGATTTGATCGGGCACAGATGATAAACTGGCACAGGCATAAACGCTACTGGAGAATGAGATATGACCAAGGGAACGACACGTTGATCATGTTATGATATGGTCTAGGGATTTTGCATACCGACAAGATTGAAGAGGCACCGACTACGAGGTATAAAGGGTGGACTTGGTGTTTGTGGTTGGTTTAGTTTTTTGGGAAAATGGACGAAAGGGGAGTTTGCTCGTCTCTGCCTTTACCGATGCACCTGTAACACTAGCTACATAAGTATTGTGGTTCAGCATTGGGAGTACAAGTAGTTTATCAGATCATCTTGGGGGGGCGTCGTATTGGCTCAAGGAAGAAGAATGTCGCCTGCGCCTGTATATGTGTTTCTCTGTTTCCTGCGATGTCGACCACAATGCCCATCATCCATCATGATCATTGGGCGGTGGATTGTACCAACCACGTATTATTACCATCGTCTATCAAATCCATCCATCCACCCCTCCACCCCTCCTTCGTCCACCATCCACCATCCATCATCCATCCCCTGCCTCGATCCATGTCATGATTCACCAACACCGACTCTACTGGCTTTCGACGGCTAATGAGCCGGTGAGAAGATGGATTTTATCTCGACCTAAGTCCGCTAATACCGAATCCGTGCCACCCACATCTTCAACTCTTGCCGCAGCTCATCCTATCGATCGATTGCAGCTCTCTCACTGGACGGTCCTCACTCCCAGTACCTTTTCTCCAACGCCCCGAGGACTCCCCCGACCGAACCGGTAGACAAGAATGATATTAGCTTAGCCGAAAAATCGCTGCGGGGAACAAGTCCGCGACAAATGATGGCACAATCCAATGCCCTGACCGCGAGATTTCTCAATGGTCCTCAAAACACGCCAAACTGCGCGGCGTCGATGCCCGTGCTCTCTCGTTAGCCCATTTCCGGCCCTCGACATTTATCCTGAATTCATTCGACCGGCCGGCATCCCTCCGCCGACAGAGCGAGGTACGAGGGTATATATTCGTGGCTGCTGCTCCCAGATACCCCTGCGGTCAAAGAGAAAAGGAAAAAAAAGAGATCGACTTGTCTCCCTCCCCTCCACCTAGTGTGTCCTCTCCCCGCCCCGCCTACGACACGCACACGAGTCTCTCGGACAATCGTGTACTAATCATTCAAGGTGATTCGCTGGGATAACACCATTGTCATCACCAATCACATCCACCCTCCCTTCAGGTTAGCATATCTATCAACGCAGAAATGGGTGACGCCGGTCTGCCTCGATCGCTCCAAGAGAGCTTGGACAACACAAAGGTCACTTATGTCCAACTCGGTGCTTCTGGCTTGAAGGTTTCCATCCCCATCCTGGGAGCCATGTCCTTTGGTGAGTCCACTGTCTCGGCTTATCTTTGTTGTGTCATTACACTACAATGGATTGCAAACCACGGCTTTCGAGGCTCGCAGAAGGAGCCGAAGCGAGGAGGCATCCACAACCCTGAATAGTCTTGCGTGGCGGTTTTACACATTCTGAGCTGTCATTACTTGTCTCTCTCGCAACATTACAGGTGCTTACTGCCGATTCAAACCACGTAACTAACTTAATGCTCCCTTTGAAAATCACAGGTCACAAAGACTGGCAACCATGGGTTATCGACGACGAGGCAGAAGTCGACAAACTCCTCAAGGGCGCCTACGACCGCGGCCTCAACACCTGGGATACCGCCAACGTCTACTCGAATGGTGAATCCGAACGTATGATCGGCCGTATCATCAAGAAGCACAACATCCCGCGCCATAAGTTGATCCTCCTCAGCAAATGCTTCGGCACCGTCGGCGAAGAACCAAACGTCCTGCACATCAAGTACCCCGAACAGATCAGCAGGAGCAAAGACTACGTCAACCAGGGTGGTCTGAGCCGTGCCGCCATCTTTAATGCCGTCGAGGCCAGTTTGGAGAGGCTGGGCACGAGTTATCTTGATGTGCTGCAGATTCACCGCTTCGATCGGAACGTGCCGGTCGAGGAGACCATGAAGGCCTTGCACGACCTCGTGCAGGCTGGCAAGGTTCGATACATTGGTACGCCATCTACACCTCTCCGGCCCCTCTCTCTTTCTTCCCGGAAACAATTCCCTTTCCTTTTCTGCATTCTGCAACTAATATTTTCTTCCTCTGTATGCAGGTGCCAGCAGCATGTGGGCATACCAATTCGCCAAGATGCAAAATTGCGCTGAAGCCCGCGGCTGGACCAAGTTCGTGTCGATGCAGAACCACTACTCGCTGTGCTACCGCGAGGAAGAGCGCGAGATGAACCCATACTGCCTCGAGACCGGCGTGGGCCTGATCCCCTGGGCGCCGCTGTACCGCGGACTTCTGGCGCGACCGTTGGGCTCGGAAGCCACGGTGCGCGAGGAGAGCATGAAGGGCAACCCGATGTTCAGCGGCCTGGATCCGGCGGACCGCGAAATCATCAAGCGCGTCATGGAGCTCGCGGACAAGAAGGGCTGGAAGATGTCGCACGTGGCCCTGGCTTGGATCATCCAGAAGAAGACCATCCCCATCGTCGGCTTCAGCAACCTGGCCCGCCTGGAAGAGGCCATTGCCGTCAAGGGCAAGGTTTTGACCGAAGACGAGATGAAGTATCTCGAGGAACCCTACAAGCCTAAGGCCATTGTTGGTCATTCCTAAACGATCCCCCCCATTGTCGCTCATCCTCTTTCCGTCTCCCTACTAGCAAGCACCACTCCAGTCGGTCGTTCTCACGTGCTATGTATCTCGGGACGCGAGTGATTCGAAAGGCAGCGGTACGAGTCAGTCATATAAAAATAAATCCGTGGAGATCATGTGCGCGTCCTACACCATTGACAATGCCTTGGGGCGGAAGGAGAGGAAAACCAACTCGATTAGATGAGATGGGATATTAGGAATCGGGCCGGGGAAAAAACACCCCCAGAGACCCAGAGAACCCCCTATAGCGAGGGTGGTGGTATTGACAGAAATGAGACGAGGACTTCCATGAAATAAAAATAAAAAATACAATATCGAGAACCATACTATTCCATGCCCATAAGAAGGCTGAGTCCGTGCGCGGTATATTGCTCTGCTCTGTACGTGTCCATGTTATCTTTTTGTGCTAGGTAGGTGTGTAGGTGGCATCGTACGCTACACTATACTATACTATACATGCTCTGTTATGACAGTGTACGCCGTCGCTAATCCTAGGTGTATATACCCTTCTACGCTCCCCAAAGGGTACAGTGGGTGGGTGAGCGGATGAATACAACGTCTGACGCTGAAAAACGGTGCACCACCTTGTAAGGATAATGACGCTACAAATACTTTTCTGCTTCGAAGGAAATTCGTTCAGTCAATCAATCAACCAGTCATGGACGTCCGTTCCACATTCCTGCCAACACAACAACCATTATGCCTTCTTGTGGGCGGTGTCAACCCTCGTCCTCTCTGCCATTACAGCTCTTTTTCTCGATTGCCAGCTGCGTCTCCCTTCTGATCCCCTTTGTCATGCCATTGTCCTTCTTCGCGCTAAGAAGACGAGAATGTAGCGGCATCGTTCGTCCGGGTAACGCGTCCGCTTCCACATGCGCCAATACGAAGCGTCCGCACAGGGTGCTCTTCAAACATCCATTGCGAGCCGTCCTGTAGGACGTACTGGTACGCCACGGTCTGGTCGGCCTTCAACCACAGGTCGACGTACCACTGCGGGTTTGTGGGGGTGTAGTTGCCTGGATTCAGGGGCAGGATGATATTGTCGGCATTGTTCAACGCGCCGCCTAGCTTCGTGACGTTGCCCAGGACGAAGATGTTGTTGCCAAATGAAGTTGTGGCGTTGACGCTGAAGATCACCTCGGATTCGCAGTCCTTGGTGATGTTCGGAGCTCCAGCTGCAAGGGCAGGGGTATAGTTCCCCGTGGCGTTAAAGCTCGTTCCGCGACACTGCCTGCTTGTGAGGTCTGTGTTTGCCAACGGAAGCGAGGCGCCCCAGCTCAAGGGAAATTGGCCCGCCCGGCGACGGGACATAGTGATGAATGATGCGAATGACCAGGTTAACTTGGATGCTGAGGTGGATTCGCCAGTGGTGCGATCGAATTGTTCCGAAATGCTACCGTTGGATGGGAGGAATTGTCGGACAGCAGCGACAAAGCCGTCGGCATAGGTCGTCATATTAGTCAGGATCTCGTTCACCACGTCTCCCGTGTATTTCCCGAGGCTGATTGTGGGAGAGATATCTGTGAAGAACGGAAGACTGAAGTTGTCGACTGTGAGTTGTCCTGCGTTTCTGATCTGATGCGCAGCATCGTAGAGCAATTCTGCGGCGCCAAGTGTGCAGAGCGGCCAAGGGTTTCCGCCAAAGTACGTGTCCTCGGGGTATCTGCCGATGAGGACAGCGTTGGGAGGTTGCGCGTTGTTATTGATCGGGTAGAGATCGCGGAAGCTGTCAACCAGGGCCTTGTGGGTAGCAAGCATTTTCGAGTTGCAAGGTTGAAAGTCTAGAGCGAGGTTTATTAGAAGAAGTCAAAAGAAATCAAAGCTCTGAGGGCAGGAATTGCTCACCGCTGGCATTGCAGGTAGCATTTGCATCAAAAACCGAAATGCTTGCCAGGATCGGATCCGCGTTGATACCACTGCGGGCCGCGTTATTGACGTTCACATTGGCCGTAAGGTATCCTCCTGTGGCGTTCCAGAAGTTGTTCTGCAGAAAGCAGAGGATTTGAGGAGCCTGCGCACAGGGTTGACAGGTTGTGTTTAGCTGACTGGCAAGGAGAGCTCCCTGAACAAGAGCGCGGTGCTGGTTCGCAAGGGTGAAGAAAGAGGAGCCGTGGACTTCTTCCCAGAGATCAAAGCCGGTCTGAGGGAGTGAGAGGTTAGATGGAGAGAACAATTAGCTCACAAAATACAGAAACGACTTACCTGGTTCCAGTACTGCCCCACATATCTGAGGTCGTTGAGGACCAGTGGCCAATAGATCTGCTTGTATAAAGCTGTCTCGTTCAAATTGAAGAGAACAGGGGCCAGTTCCATAAATGTAATAGCCCTCAGTGCGGGACCGTCACGTTGTGGCCTCCCCCAAGTACCGTCAAATCTAGTCAAGTTGGTATAGAACTTGGGCTCTCCAAGGCCGTCGCCTGCTGGCCATAATGAGCCAGAGGGGTTGGTGACGGTTTGTACAATGGCTTGAGCGGCGGTATAATCTTCGATGGTCTTTCTTAGGGTCAAGTTTCCAAAGATTAGTTCCTCAATGAGCATTCTGTAGGTCAAGGCCGAGTCACGAGTCCAGGTGTAGAAGTAATCTGCCACCATGTGTCAGTCTCCTCGTCAATGTATAGAGAAGTAGCAAGACCCACTTGGATTGACTGTTGAGGGAGACGCCACGACAACACCAGGGCTGGCACCTGGAACCAGAGTGGAATTGAGGCCACCAATGTTGGCGAGAACACCTTGGACGGCAATGGCTTGCTCTTGTGCAATGAACGTCGACAGGGAAGCTTGCCGTGTATCCAGGGTGAGGGACGGAGTAGCGAGAGTCAAGAGACTCGCCAATAAGAGTGAAGACAGCATTGCGACGCAGACGAGGGGCAAACAATCAAGGATGACCAGCTTTCCAGTACACAGTGCCCAGCACGTTGTAAAGTGAGGAGAACGAGAAGATGAAATGGCAGTGGAGTGGGACGGGTTTATGTTGGTGATGGTGATGACGACGACAATGACAGGTTCATTGGAACTCCCAAGGCTTTTTCCTACCTGCGTTGGACAATGCTTATGCAGCTGTGTATTTGAGGCATAGAGTCGCTGTTAAGCTGTCAGGCTGTCGCTAAATCTGGGGGAGCAACGGCACCAATGGGCACCAGACGGAGGTCCGTTGCTAGAGAGTGTGAGAGAGTGAGAGCGTATTGGGTCCACTTAGGCGATGTGGATGGGATAATTGTACAAGTTGGTATAAGCCGCAGCAAAGGTGGAGGTTGAATGGGCGGCGGTGGTGGCACCAGTGGTTGATGATTTTTTGCTGATGGTGGAGGAAATTTCATAGTGGGACTGGGAAGCTCCAAGCAGGTACAAAGGACATGTACCGAATACTAGGTCAGCGCCTTCCTTGTACCTACTTGGGTTGCCGGGATGAGAAGGTATTAGCTATTACGTACCTAACTGACAGGCATCTGGTAGGTACCTGGTAGATACGTGGCTGGTGGTGGTACTCGATACGCGTATGTAATCAGGCTGTCAGGCTAGTAATTTATGCCCCGCCTTTTTGTAACAAGTGTTGACGTCACCAGTGGCCCAGGCACCAGCACCAACCAGAACAAATCGACTCTGTCGCCAAGCATCTCCAACTCTTGTCATTTCACTTCTACTTCTACTTCGATACAGCAGCAAATGTTTGTCTGGGTTGCAGTTCTATTGCCCTTGTCGATATACCAGTTCTATCGTATTGGAGATTCATACCTACTGTCCACCTCTCCTCCCACCCCAATACATCGCTCAAAGCATGCAGCGTAGCAGCAATCACTTGCATCTGCACACTTACAGGCCACCATCCCAGCATCTCGGGTTGCTCGGTGTGCCTCTTGTCCGTCCACTCCGTCTTATGCCCGCCCCAGGCCACCAGCCAGTCCTGGACAACGTGAACATCTCATGCACATGCCGCATCAACCGTTCCCTCTCAATCCTATAGCATGTCTTCTCGCCCCTCAAGATGCCTTCATACTCAACCACTACTTCTCCTGGCCGTCGTCTCTTCCCCGTCGCCATAGACGACATTGCTGAAAATGACCCTGCCAGAACCTGGGCTTCAATCCCCTTATCGTCCAATTTATCCCATGGGTTCCGTGATGTTTCCTTTCGCACTTTTGCCAATGCCATCAACCGCGCTGCATGGTTCATTGAGACTACCTTTGGCCGTTCAGCCAATTGCCCAACCCTGGCCTACATCGGTAAATCAGACATGAGATATCACATTTTAGCCATGGCCGCTGCAAAAACTGGCTACCAGGTAAGGAGGGGTGACAGTGACTTGGGCCAGATCCAGCGTCAGAACATAGCTCACTGATGCCTCTGTGCTCAGATTCTGTTCTCGTCTCATATCAATAGCCTTACTGCCCACTTGAATCTACTCCGACTATGCGACTGCCATTTGTTCTTGTCTGCAGAAGGGGTGGATGTCTCGGACATATTGGGTGCTCGCTCATTGAACCACGCGTTGTGCCCGGAGCTGGATGACTTACTAGACCCCTCTCCCGCAGACAAGTATCCCATGCCCAAAACATTCGACCAAGCTGCCCGAGATACATTCTTGATCTTGCACAGTTCAGGTACCACGGGCCTCCCAAAGCCAATACGCATCACACATGCTCAGATGGCTGCCAATGACCAGATAACCCAGCTGCCCGAAGAGTGTCAGTGTGGTGGTCCAGGGTTCCGCAGGGTCAACCCTGTCAACGTCACAGCTGGGCGACTGATTGTGCCATTTGCGCCCTTTCATGTTATCAGCGCCGTCATCCTGATGTGTTTTACTGTCTTTGGCAAGACCACCTACGTCTTTGGGCCTGCGGACCGGGGCATGAACGCAACGGATTTGCTGGACGCCGTCGAGTATGGGAAGGGAGACTGTATCTTTTGTGCTCCAGCGTTGCTGGAGAAGTACGCCTCCTCGGAATCGGATTTGGTGAGGTTAAGCTCATTATCCAGTATCACGTATGGTGGCGGTAAGACCGAGCAGTTTCGAGATTCAACCTGGCTTCGCAGCTAATCATTGCCTCAGGTGTACTGTCGCCTCGAGCGGCGAACATCCTCACGAACCGCCTCACGAATACCACCCTCACTCAATTCTTTGGCGCCACAGAGAGCGGATGGTGGGCTCTGTACCAAGTTGGCACGGAGGACATGGAATATCTCTCGATCGACGCATGCCACATGGGCATAGAATGGCGGCCCGTGACTGCCGACAGCGAGACACAGCCTCCGACGGACGATGACCAGAAGTCCCTAACCGCGACCACGGCGACCCTGTACGAACCAGTCATAGTCCGCTCCGACGATCCTACAGCCGCATCGCGCCAGACCGTCTTTCAGACCTTCCCCGACCTGCACGAGTACGCGACGGGGGACCTCTTCGCGCCGCACGCCCGTCGACCTAACACGTGGAAATTCGCCGGCCGCGTCGACGACCTGATCCTCTTCGCGCACGGGATCAAATTCCCTCCGGCGGGGATCGAGGCCAAGATTCGACACGGCCACGACCGGATCCGGGATGTTCTCCTCTGGGGCGACGGACACCATCAAGCCATCGGGCTGATCGAGCTCACCGACGCCGGTTTGCGGGATATGGAGCGTGGAGGAGAATCGCAGCTACGCAACGAGGTCGACCTCCTGATTGACAAAGTCAACGTCGAGGCGCCGGTGATTGCCAAGCTCGCCAAAACTCACGTCATCTTCGTGATGAGGGAGAAGCCCCTCCCGCGGACCGACAAGGGCAGTGTGCGTCGCAAGGAGGCCGCGCGGGTCTACCTCGCCGAGATTGAAAGGGTGTATCGAGAGCATGGGGACCGGATGGTGGGGAGTATCATGTCGAGGGTGCAGACTGGCTAATTACAAGTACAAGTTCAAGTAGACGTGGACGCGGATGCAATGTATTTCTTATTCGTATATTGACCAGGAAAACACGGTTTCTTGATCCTAAGAAAATGCGTTAGAGAGAATTTTGTTGGTCTATTTGATCTATTTGATGACCCGCCGGCTTATGATCAACCACGAGCTCTGAGCCTTGAGCCCTTTCTTCTTTCTTCTTCCAACACATCGCTCCCTCATGATCCGACAAGGAATCGTGATAGCTCGATCCTTCTTTTTAGGTATAGAGCAGCACCCGCCCACCCACACACACAGACGCACACAAGAGTCCCCTCACCTCCGTACTGTGAGGAAGGAATCAATACTGCATCCTCGCCCTCATGGCAGCATACTCGCGCTGCGTGATCGGTTCGTACTTTGGGGGATTATCCTCGTCGACGCGGAGACACTCGATGACGGTGTCCGGGTCCGTGGTGAGGAAGTAGGGGATCGAGTAGCGCGCGCGCGTGACGCGGGTATTGTCAGCCCCATCTACAAACCTGTCCTGGAGGGGCGGGAGCTGCACGCGGTGCGCCGTCGAGGTGAGCAGGTCATTGCTCCAGCGCATGAGCAGGTCGCCGACGTTGACGACGCAGGTGTCCCTGAGTGGCGGGACGTCGACGAACCGCCCCGAACGGGGAGGGTGCTCGACCTGTAGCCCCCCGCAGTCGTCCTGGAACAGCATCGTCATGCTGCTCCAGTCCGTGTGGGCGGGCATGCGGGCCAGCTTGCCGCTCTCGACGGCCGCGGCGGCCACGGGCGGGTAGTGCAGCAGGCGCAGCTGGTTGTGGTGGCCGTCGTGGAAGCGCAGCAGGTGGTCCTCGTCGGCGAGCCCGATGCCCAGCGCCAGCGCCCGCAGCATCTGCTTGGCCGCCCCGAAGCACGTCCAGTAGAAGGCGCTCATGAACGGTCGCCATTCCGGGAGAACCTCTGGGGGCGGCCACACGTTGGGTTGGTCCGGGTTGGTCTCGGAGCCGACTTCGTAGCTTTCCTATTGTCTTTATGAGACAGAAGAATAACAAAAAGATCTGTTCAGAAGGAAGGATAATCAACCTCATGTTGAGGGAATTAGGGTTACTCAATAGTAGGTAGTGATCAAGCCTCACCCCTCGATGATCTCTTGTACCTTGGTGTCTTATACCTTGTGTATTATTGTCCCTTACCTGGCCCCCCTTATATTATAGCAAGAACCAACAAACCCAAAACTGTGACATGCCATAACACACGAGTAATTTCACGTACCTTGAAATCCTGCACCTCCCTCAACCTCCTCACCGCATCCTCGTCGTCCTCCTTGGCCAAGGCGCTCGACACCTTCTCCAGCCCTGGCCACGAGTACCCCCTGTGCACGCTCCAGCCCGGTGGATGCGGCGCCTTCATCTTGTCCTCCGGGGCCAGGTCGAAGAAGCGCTTGGAGAGGGCGAAGGCCGCGTCCAGCTCGGCCTGCGGCACGCCGTGGTTCTTGACGTACACGAAGCCGACCTCGCGGAACGCGCGCACCAGGTCTTGTCCGGCCTTGAGCCGGGCGATTGGCGATCTGTCTGTCGAGGGTGACGAAGATGTGAATGGCGAGAGGTCGACGATGGGGATGTTGGCAACATCCAGTTCGCTGGTGATTGACCCCATCTTTGCTGGAAATTGGTGAGTTCGAGGTCCAATGCAGCACACTGCGAATCTGAGATTTCAAGAGTGATGGCAATTGATAATAGAAAGAATCCTGAAAGAATGACGATGATTACCGGGTCAATTCCCCCAAGGATCTCACGGTCTGTTCCATGACCGATACAGGCTCAATACAGGCTCAGGAGCGAATGGGAACACAACTCTGTGCGGCGGCGCAAGGCGTTCCACGACTGGCAAACAATATCAGGTTGAACGGCCAACTCCGGCAGAAAACCCCTTCTTGCTACTGCTCCAGTAGCCTACGCAGCTTCATCAGAGGGTCAAGGCTGACCAATAAAAGCACAAACATCAGTTCAAGGTAATGTCATTGCCGGTCTAAGCTAGGAGATTGAGCCATCTGGGTATCCACCACCATAGGGTTGAGCAAACGTTGCCAGAATGAGTGAGAAACAGAGCCCGCAAAGCACCTTGCCATGCACACCAAGCTGATTTTCTTTTGGGATAGCATATATGATCATAGTGGATCAGTGTCTGTGTAGTGATTCAGAGAGTCGGTCTTGCCGCTCAGCCAGGAGCAGTCTGGTCATGTGTATTGACTGATGGTCAACCAGTTTACTCATCGCCACCCTTCTTCTTGGATTTCTTGCCGACTGGCAGGCCTTCTTTCTGAGTGTGGACCTTGAGTCTCGTCCATGACTCCTCCGGGTCCCATTCGAAGCCTTTGAGGTATGGTTCTTCCATCTCATCATCAGCCTGCAAGTCAAGAGCGTCAGTATACCGCTTCAATCAATGCTCGAATTCCATCGTTAATGGAGGGGATGTCTACCTTCTTCTTGAACTGCTTGTGAATGGCATCGAGTGCATCCTTTATCGTGACACCTTTCAGGTTCCTTGCAGTGACCTCGAGACCCAAGGGAAAGTGGAGGTCGATCTTTTTGACGGGAGGCGTAGTGAGCTGCTTCTTCAGGATCGAGGGATCTTCGACCGTAGAAGGTGAGGTGTTGAGTTTCCTGACCGAGTCAGCTCCAAGTGGTCGTGGGAAGCGAGGAACGCCACTCTTACCATCCGGTCTTCTGCGTCTCCGCAGCGACGGCGATCTTGACTCCCTCCTTCTCTAGTCTATGGTGAGCAAAAGGTGATCGAAGCTTTCAACCGGTGAGCTTACCAAGATCGTTGATGTTCATCACACCAGGAGCACTGGATGTTGTTCTTCGCTTAGTCTCCTTGACGGCATCCTTGTGCGTGGCATCATCGACAGCGATGGCAGAGTCGACCTTTGTGAGATCTGATGTATCGGCAGACATGATGGCTGGGGTTGGTAAGAAGGTGGGTGATGGGTGAGTCTGAGCAGGAGTAGGCGTTAGAGCTGATAGCAGTTGTAAGGCGGGAGAGGAGGCTGCCGATGTAAGGTTCAAGTGATACTTACCAAGAACCAATGGGTGAAGTGCGAGGACAGATACCCGATGGAGGGGATGGTTTGAATGAGATGGACGAAAGAGTTGGCTACAGGTGGGATAGCAGGATGGGATGGGATGGGATGAAGAAGGGGGAAGTGAGGGAGACAAGAGGAGAGAGGAGGACAGGCAAGCAAGAGCAATTGAGGGGTAGGACGCAGGTTGGCAGGATGGCAGGATGCAAGACACCAGACTCAAGAGGTACCAGGCATGCAATGTTCCACTGCGAGTCAAGTGACCCGAGTGCCCGAGCAAGCTTCCAAGCTCTGACGCCGCAGAGTTGATGGGTGGTGAGAGCATCCCGCAGCTTCCTAAGCCCTCACGCGACAAGCACCTCACCCTCGTCCAGTTAGCGCCCGAGGTTGCCCCCCTTTGGCCCCCTGACGCTTATCCAGGCTGCGCCATCCCCCGCACTTCCAGGTAAAGGATGCCTAACAGACCTGGTGCGACCCACCCTGCGATTCCACACTCACCGCGTCACAGGCTCACAAAGGCTGCTCGGAGAATCCAAAAATCCGGGGTAAAATCCCTCAGCCCTTTTTCGGCAGGTCTTGGCATCAGCTTGCATCGTTTCCAAAGAAGCCAAGTGGCAACCAACCAGTTTGCCAGTGCTAGAACTCTCAACACAAACATCAGCTCTGGCCATATCTAAAAGCCTGCCCGTCTCTTTGCCCCTTTCTTTCCCTTTTTCTCTGTTTGTCTGGTCCCATAAGCACCTCTCTCTGGCTGCGTCATGCTCAGCCCTGGGCCAATTGTTTGACTCGAACTGGGTGCGACTGGCTGACTGCTTTGGACTTCTCGTTGAGGGAAATCGGAGGCCTTTGGTCCGCTGCTGATGCCGGGCAACAGGTTTCGTCGCGTCGCGACTTCTTGACTGATCAGCTGAGTTTTTTCTAGTCTCCGCTGGAGACGAGCCGCCGATCGGAGCGCCTTCTTTCTCTCCCTTGGATTCAGTGACTCTGCCGCAATCTCCTCCTGTGCAAGCTTCATCTTCTGATTCGTTTGTTGGTAGGAATAATCCGCGGGATTTTCCTCAATCGACTCGGGAAGGTGGGCTAGGATATTGGCGATATTCGCGTTATAGTCGAGCAAGGGAGGCGGCATCTCGTGACGAAATAATGCATATTTGCGTAGGCGACTGACAGCCGGTGCCTCTGTCTCCGAAAGAGCCTCTGGTGTCGCTGCATGGGAGCTCTCCGGATCATCCGAGTCCACACCTTGTGAAGGAGATAGAGCTTGACTGTCCTGCGTCTGTAACCAGGATCGTCGTGGAGAAACAGACAGAGGAGTTGTCGCGGGGGCCAGCACGAATGATCCAAGGAAGCATTCCCCTACTATTTGGCGGATCAGCCTTTCGCGATTGACCCGACCTCGATCCGTGACCTGGTCGGACAGTGATCCGAGATGTGTTCTGACCAGACCCTCGTAAAGGTCAAGAAGTAGATGACTGCGCGATGAAATAGGCACTCCTCCCACAACATGGGCAGCCAGTTGGACATTGATCTTGCCCTGAAGCTCGAGAGTATCAAGACATTGATCTGCTAGCTGAGAGTCATGTTCCAATTCCGTGATCCGACACCTATCGGCAAGGTCTGAGATCACCTGGATAAACGTTACCTTGTTCTCTTTGTTCCGGCTTTCGAATTGCTCGATGGCTTGTTGCAGGGCGGATCCGAAAGACACATTCTCGTTGTCATTGTTCTTTAGCGCTTCATATTGTAAAAGACGCTGCCAGTGTCGAGGACCGGGAGAAATATGTTGCACATCTTCTGGAATATTTTGTTCAGAGTCGGGCTTTCCACCGAAGTCATCTGGTTCTTTCCCATCTGGCAGAACAAAATCGTCTATATCATCATCCACCATGACATATTTAGAACTGATTGGGTGGTTCAGCGTTCGCGGTATGGACAAATGTAAGAACGTCTTCGTTGGATGACTTGAAAGGCAAAATTGATCAAGTTCATGCTTGTACAACGCTTCAATGACCTCTCCTGTAGCTAAGCACGCGACGAGCTTGATAAGGCCACTTCCAACAACACCGACAGGCTGACTTTGGCTTGAAAAGGCTACTGGACACATCGTAATATCGTCGACGTCTTTCATGCGCCCTTTGAGCTGATGTGGCATTTGAAAAGTTGAAGGATCCTGCTTGGACATTATTGTTGACTGCCCGTCTGCTTGTCCGAAGCGGTATATGATAGCCAAATGGCTTGTGTTTGAATAAAGCAGTACCCATGATTCTGCGACTACATGTTAGGCATCGCGTCGATAGGGCAGTAGAGAAACGTACCTTCCGAGGACTCAAGTATGGCCATACGAAGACTCCAATCTGCTCTATCTCGGTAATGATTCCAGGAGCACGCCAGTTTGAGCACTTCGCCGGAGCTTCTGTCGTCCTCATTGCTCTGCGAGGAGTCGAATATCAATAAGCGCGACGTGGTCAGGACAAATACATGGCTGCTTCGACGACTGCTGTTTTTGGCATCAAGGATCAAGTTTTGGTCCGCCTGGGAACCCAGACGCATGTCGACACCACCCAAGCATGATCCCGTTCGGTCAAAGGCTGCCGCAAAACGTCGATTGTAAACCAAGAGTCTGTCCATGATGCCTTCGCGGTTCGGGAACCAGCAAACTCCATACCAGGTATCCCTTGATGTCGAAGCGCCAGAGAACCGAAATTGATGCTCAATACTGCCGAGCGCGTTTGAAGCTTTCAGTGTTGCCTGATGTGAATTGCGGGCGGACCCTAATTGTCTCCCTGTGAGCTTCCAAATGCTCCATTGCCCGCTGGTGTCTACGAGCGCCACCAGACTCTGATCATGCGGATTGAAAGCGGCGAATGCATGAGGATGGGATCCCGTCCTTGATTGTGGGATAGTGATGATTGGACATGGTTCCAGAAGCTCTTCTGATGCTCTCGATTTTGACAGTACTGGCCGTAGGACGGTTGTACCGCTTGGCTTGACAACAAGAAACTGCGTCCCCTGGGAATAACTGGGGGAGGTCACCTGGAGTATTCTGTCGGTGGAGCCGGTCCAGCATCCCGATGCTTTATGCGCGATGAAAGGCACTGCGCCCAGGTCCGACAGATCAGCTATACTTGGGATTCCAATTTGATCCGCCTCGATGACGAAGAACTGAAGAGTTTCGTTGCTTGAGCAGGATCGAATTGCGACAATCGGTATATATGGGGCTTTGTTGTGCACGCTATGGTCTGAAGCACGTCGGGCATGTCCAAAAGCGAAGATGCTTGCTGATGGCCGATAGCTGAGCTCTGTGGCGATGCTCTTTGACAGTGTGGGTAATTCGACAGCGACCAAGGCTACATCAGGGACGTGCTTCAGGAAGAAATTCTGTAGTCCATGACCAAGTCTAGCGTCCCGTGCTGGCCCAGATGCTTGTACATAGTCTGGCTCAGCATTCCAGGTTCTTTCGTCTGCCAACAAGAAAGAAGGAGAGTTCGTTTGGCTCTCCCGCGCCTCCAGACCGTCACCATGTTGGGTCTGATACTGGCGCAGGAACGTCCATATGTGGTTCTGGTCATCATAAGCGGCGGTACCAAGGTGTCCATAGCTCAGCACCTTCGTTTCGTGGACGTGATGAGCGTTTCGCCGGACCTCAGTCATTGAAAAGCACGTTTACAGGTTGGGGACAAATCTGTAGGTGTAAGAAAGACATCGTCGGATTCGACGCGTCGCTTCAGTTCACATCCGAGGTGAGTTGTAGTTCAGATCCAGGGCGCGAGGCTAGTTTGAAGTTGTGTTTGGAGGACAGATAGAGCAGAGATATGTCGAATGTTCTCGTTAAGTGGCTCGGCGGCCTATTTGATAAGAGGCTGGCGTAAGTTGCAGATCCAAGATGCCTTGAAATTCCTGGTGTACAGGTTTTTGATATGTGCTGACCATTTAATATGCAGATAAATGTTCGTTATTGGCTAGACTCTAGGTCTTGGCAGCCTCGCGCTTCCCCGCACGCACTCACACAGCGGAAATGGTCCAAAAATCAAACCCAACCGAACGACATACTCGAAAGATTAAAAATGTGGTCATTCCTGGTTCAACCATCTGAGAAAGGGACCGCACAGGCCCAAAAAAACAGAAACAATAGCAACGCTTGGTCTATCTTCAATTAGTATTTGGTGTAATGCATTTTCAAGGTGAGAGGAACGTACTTCGATCCAAGGTCCTCCGGGTTATGAGCCCGGCGCGCTTCCGCTGCGCCACGTTGCTTTGTGTGATGATTCGTGACAAGAAATTGAGCATACAACATTATATACTATGGAATTTGCAAAGTGGGTCTAGTATATGCCAAGGCCTTACGTAAGATACCCGTCGGGCTTCTAGTTCTTCCGACGCCATCTGCTTCACGCTACACTCACTTGACTCACTACTCCAACTTCACGTACTCAGTACTTTTTGTACAACCTCCAAATCCCATAGTAGGCTTTGTCAGTATGTACATGTTCTCACCGAGGCCCTGAGAAAGATTGGGATTACAAAATGCATTTTGTTGCCCCTGGTGCCGGCAAACCTCCGTATCTGCAAAAGGACCATCAATATACCTCGTACACTCCGTCCGCTTCGGCCGATTTAACGCAAGTACGATGGGCTGTGAAGCTCTGCAAAGCCCTGATCGAACCACGTCCACCTACTCTGATCCAGACATATGCTCTGTACACCTAAGCAATCAACCAGAAGTCTCCACCTGCCTTTCTGAGGACGTTCTTGAAAGGGGCTTGGTGACAGGATGAACCAATGGGCAGTTCCTACTCTGGCAGCATCTTACCACAGTCGTCTCGATGTACGAGACCATTAAGTCTATACGAGGTGGTTGGTTTCATGAGGTTGCGTGACGAAGGTGAGGTAACGCTTTGTTGAATATGCTCATAGCATGGCATATAAATATGGAGCGAAACATGGAGCACAGTTTGTTCGCTTTCATCAACTGTCCATCTACTCGAGAAACCGAGATCATTGCGCGAAAACAATGTCGACCAACTTTCATGCCCTCGTCTTTGGTGCTTCTGGGATATCAGGTTGGGCTCTTGTGAAAGAGGCTCTGAGCTTTCCCACTCCCACCACTTTCCGTCAAGTCACCGCTCTCTCCAATCGTCCCCTGTCCATTTCAGATGCTCACTGGCCCGATGATCCACGACTACACCTAGCCAGCGGCATTGATCTCACTGCACCCGTCGACACTGTTGTTGAGATGCTGAAGCAAAAGGTCTCCAACATCGCCACTGTTAGCCACGTTTTCTTGTTTGTCTACCTTGACCCGGGAAAGGACCACAAGACACTCAAAGAGGTCAATACCAATCTGATCCGAACCGCTGTTGAGGCTGTACAAAAGGTGTCGCCTAATATCAAGAGCTTCATCCTACAAACTGGTGGAAAGTCATATGGACTAGGTATTTCGATTTCTCACTCTCCTTGAATCCGACTAACTGAGCCCATAGAACGGCCCGATGTCGTGAAAATTGTGGCGCCACTCAAGGAGACCTATCCCCGTGTCCCGATGCCCTTGGCCGACGATATCTTCTACTACTCACAGTATGATGTTCTCGCCGTTCTGTCCAAGGGAGCATCATGGACATTCACAGAAATCAGGCCGGACGCCATGATTGGGTTCGTGCCAGGGACAAACGTGATGAATATCGCACAAGGCCTGGCATTCTACCTCAGTCTGTATCGCGAAGTCCACGGAGTGGGAGCCAAGATTCCGTATCCTGGGGCTGAACATGGCTATCGTCACAAACACACAGACACCTTTCAAGACATTGCAGCCAAGATGGAAATCTACGCAGCAGTGAACCCAGACAAGTGCGGCTCTGGCAAGACTTTCAACGTGGCAAACGGGGATGTGATGACTTGGGCTGACAAATGGCCTCGAATTTGCGCTTACTTCGGCCTTGAAGGGATCGGTCCTCAGGGCACTTTCGAGCCACCCGCAGATTTTGTGAAGAAGCACATTGATGTCTGGAACACTATAGTCAAGAGGGAAGGCCTCAAAGCCAGCCGCCCGGACTTGTATTACTGGCCCTTTTTGGATGTTCTGATGGACAAGGCATTTTTTGATCGGCACTACGACCTAAACGCGGCTCGAGAAGTCGGCTTCGAGGAAACCATCGATACTGTCAAAGCCTATGAGATTGCTTTTGACAGAATGAGAGCGGCAAAGATCATTCCATAGGTTGGCAGGACGATGTGAGGGAACGAAGGACGAAGGTGCTGGTGGAGCGTGACCTTGACCAGCATCTGTGGTTCAGCTTGCTTTTCACTCTTTCTAAGGGTCACTGCTACCAGCATAATATCCACCAACATTATCACACTGGTAACACTTACTATGGAGGCAAGAGGGTAGCTCTATCCGTCAACAGGTTCGGGGCTCCACGGTGACCACCCCACAAGGCTCTCGATTTCAAAAGACAATGATATTTGTCATTACAAGGTGCTCGACATGTTATGATGTCACAGCCACTTTGACCTGCTCTTCTTCATCTTGACCACCTGAACTCGATGCTCTTTCATACATGTTTGTGCTGGAAGCTTTATAGGTCATTTCGTGTTTTGGGTGGTATAGATGGACACAGCGTCAAATAATCGAACTGACGCACCTATTGTATAGGTGGATGGTATCGACGATGAAGATTCTCCCCACCACTACCACTATCCCTACACCTCAGGCCCTCTTTACAAGCCCAGCAAAATGAACCCTGCGCGGGCGGTTCGGCAGGATGAAGAGAAGCTACAGTCGGTGCCAATACAGGAGCAACGGTCGCCAATCACAAACAGATTGAATCATTTCACATGGGCGTGGTTCGCGGCAACCATGGCCACAGGATCGTTGGCGAATGTCATCTACCAGACACCATACAAATTCCAGGGGTTGGTCACAGTCGGCAAGGTCATCTTCATCATTGACCTGATCATGTTCGTCTCCTTTACGGCGTTGATGGCGAGGAGATTTATCGTGGCACAGGGTTCGCTTCGGCATTCCTTCGTCCATCCTGGGGAAGCATTCTTCGTTGGCACATTCTGGGTTTCGGTCTGCCTTATCATTCAGGGTGCAAACTCATACGGTCATTATGCCGGTTGCGGAGAGTGGCTGGACACGGCGATCAAGATTTGCTTCTGGGTTTACTGCGGTTTGACCCTGGTCTTTGCGATTTTGCAGTATGACCTTCTGTTCGTCACGCAAAGGATCGGTATCCAAGAGATGTCACCGGCATGGATCTTACCCATGTATCCTCTCATAGTTGCAGGACCACTGGCGGGGGTGATTCTACAGAACCAACCGCCCAGGGCCGGGATTCCCATGTTTGTCGCTGGGGTTACGTTTCAAGGCCTCGGGTGGATGGTCAGCGTCTTTCTCTATACAATTTGGGTCATTCGTCTGTTCTCTGCCGATCTTCCAGTGCCATCTCAACGGCCTGGCATGTATGTCGCAGTTGGGCCGACAGCATATACTGCAACAGGCCTGGTCATGCTGTCAGAACGTGCGACATCCGTCCTCCCTGTTGACTTTCTGGGTGTCAAGACCATCTCTGCACCCGAGGTTCTTCGCGTTACTGGCAGCATTGCGGGAGTCTTTCTCTGGTTGCTTGCTTTCTGGTACTGCGCCATCACCACTGTCTCTGTCATCAACGGGATCAAGACCATGTCTTTCACGCTTACTTGGTGGGGGTTTGTTTTCCCCAACGCAGGCCTTGCGCTTGCCACGACTGCAGTTGGGACAGCGTTAGATAGTCCTGGTATCAAATGGGTCAGCAGTGCTATGACGGCGCTATTGTTCGCGCTGTGGCTTATGGTGGTATGGGCGCTTGTTCGAGCGATCTGGAAGGGCCAGATTCTGTGTGACGGCAAGGATGAAGATGCCTGAACAGTTCTACATACTATATATTGTGTGGTATATATTGCGACCACCATGTCTATGCGACAACTTCTTTTCAACCAGAACATCACCAGCGAACTCAGCCACCCACCAGCGAATCGCAATGACGAATTCCCTTACTTGGAGCCACTAGGAGCTGAAACCCTGGGAAGGGCCATCACCGCTCGGTAAGGAATGCGATTGGCGGCAGATCACGACGACCAAAATGCCCCGCGACGACAATTCGTCGATCCCATTCGCTTCTCGGATTCCAGTGGGTGCCAGGCAAGGATTGGAGCTCCAGAAAGCCTAGAAGGCCGCGAATGCATTCATCTCAGCTGAAAGGTGCAGCTCTAGGCCGATCCTTGTCATTCGCTGCCATCACACCGAGTTCCTTTTATCATTTCTTTTTCATCTTTCCAGAGCCGCCCCCATACCTATCTTCTCAATTTTCCAACGACCTCCGAGACAAGAGAAGCTGCCCAATATGGCCCCTCCAGTTACGATTCGCAATGTCAGCAACAATCCGCTCACCCTGGTGCTGGTCGAGCATTTCGATCCCGCCCCCGATGAAGGATTCCAGATGCAAAATATCACAACGTCCTTAGCGTCCATCACCAATGGACTGGGTCTCACGAACAACACCACGCGCAAAGAGGTGCCCCAGATACCTGCCGACGCAAAGCCCTTTGCGACGAGAGAGGTGTCGATCAAGCTGCCGCCGTTCACGGTCGTGCCCACGGACATCAAAGCAGTCATCAACAAGCCGGATGAACGTCTGCGACTGACGTTCCAGACAGAGCTGGGTGGGAAGCACCAGATGTACTGCCCTGTACCGACGGCAGAGACGGCCTCGCTCGTCGCTCTGGCCCCAAATCCCAAGATGCGCTTTACAGGGATTTTCCTGCCAAAGACATCTTTCGTGGCCCTGTTCAACACCTCCCATCTGGAGACCTGGATGAAAGATCTCCCGGACAACACCCCACTGGGCGTCTTGTCCATTCCCGGCACGCATAACTCGCCTACACACTACCAAGCCGCCCCATCGGTGCGCTGTCAGGCGGTGTCGCCCAAGGAGCAGCTCAAGAACGGCGTGCGCTTCTTCGACATCCGCGTGCAGGTGCCCGAGCCGTACGACCCCAAGTCGGACAAGTTGATGCTCGTGCACTCGTCGTTCCCGGTCTCGCTCACGGGCCACAAGTACTTCCGCGACCTGTACAACACGATCCTCGAGTTCCTCAAGGCGAACCCGAGCGAGACGCTGATCCTGTCGCTCAAGCGCGAGGGCACGGGCAAGGGCACGGATGAGCAGCTGGGGCGCATCCTCAAGAACAACTACACCAACCCGCGCGAGTGGTTCACGGAGCCGCGGGTGCCGACGCTGGGCGAGGTGCGCGGCCGCATCGTGCTGGTGCGCCGCTTCGTGCTCGAGGAGCCGCTGCGCCACGAGTGGAACGGCCGCGGCTGGGGCATCGACGGGCACGTGTGGGCCGACAACACGCCCAACTCCATGTGCCCGTCGGGGGACATTTGCGTGCAGGATTTCTACCAGGTGATGGAGAAGCCGTCGATCGAGAAGAAGATCACGTATGCGTGCGACCACCTCGAGCGGAGCGGGTGCTGCGCGTTCCGCGGCCCCAACATCGCCAAAGACAAGAAATTCCCCCTGTACGTCAACTTCCTCAGCGCCAGCAACTTCTGGAACGTCAACTGCTGGCCCGAAAAGGTCGCCGCCGAGGTCAACCCGGCCGTCGTGGCCCACCTGTGCCAGAAGCACATGGTCGGCGACAACGGCCGCGTCAAGGACGGCGACTGGAGCACCGGCATCGTCGTCACAGACTGGGTCGGTCTCGCCGGGGACTGGGACCTCGTGCGCTGCATCGTCGGCATGAATGCAAAGTTGCTTGCCTAGATAACCTACCTAGATACCAAGATACCGAGATACCTACCTACCTACCTACCTACCCAACTAGCTGCTAGACTTTGACTTGAGTTTTTTCGCTCTTGATATCTTCTCACAATAATATGATGATGTTGATGATGATAATGACGACGATGAATGACGAGTGATAGATTCTGAGAAACGAGAAGCGAGCACGAGGTATTTGGAATTGTATACGCTTGTATCTACCTCGTACATATATACCTGTGCAGCCACCCAAAGGCTCTATACTGTGGTCCGTAGGAGATTCTTTGAGTGTGTATTATGTCTTTCGATTCTCTTTCATTCACGTACATACATACATATCTATGTAAATATGTATCTGACTTACTACCTACGTACCTTAAGGTAGGTACCTCCTGAGTACGAGGTACTCGGTACATACGAGGTACACATATGACCCAAGACTAGGTAGGGGAAAACCCCCAGGTAACTTCTGCTTCTCAAAGGACATTTAAAAAAACCCCCCCCAGAAAAAACCAACAACGATATAGAGAGAGACGGTCTAGTCTTCAGCTCATGTCGACAACCATGGCCGCCGGCTCCTCGAGGTATTTCTGCACCACCTGGGCCATGCGCGCCATCGTGGCTCCATCCACGACCCTGTGATCGGCGCTCCAGCTCAGATTGACCGTCTGGGCGGGCCGGACGGAGACGCCGTCGGGGGCGAAGACGGGGACGGTCTTGATCCTGCCGACGCCGACGATGGCGAGCTGGCCCTCGACGATGACAGGCCCGACAACCTCGCCGCCAATGTTGCCTATGTTGCTGACCGTGATGGTGCCGCCCGTGAGGTCGTCGTTGCCGAGCTTCCCGGCCTGGCCAAGCTGCGACAGGCGCTGGATCTCCTGCGCGATGGACGTGATGGACCGCGCGTTCACGGCCTTGACCACGGGCACGATCAGGCCATTGGGCGTGTCCATGGCGATGCCGACGTTGTGCACCGCGCGCATCATCAGCTGCGGCTTCTTGGGGTCCGTGGCCAGGTCCAGCCGCGCGTTGAGCAGCGGGTACTGGTTCATGGCCAGCGACACGGCCTTGACGATGAAGGGCAGGTACGAGAATTTCGGCGTCGTCTCTGGGCTGCGCCGCGTGGCGTTCAGTCGCGTGCGCATCGCCGCCAGGTTCGTGATGTCGACCGTGTCCGAGTACAGGAAGTGCGGGATCGACAGGGACCCCGTCATGCTCTTGAACATGGCCGATTGGATGGGCGTCAGTCGCTGCGCCGTCTCTGTCTGCTTCGCGTCGATCGCGGGCTTGGACAGCGCCGCGGGGGCTGGTGCTGAGCCGACAGCCGGACTCTGGACGGCAGAAGAGCCCTGCTCGAGATAACGTAGAACGTCCTCTTTCAGGACACGGCCGTCCTTGCCCGTGCCCGAGATGTCTTCGATGGCGATGCCGTGCTCCTTCAACAGTCCCCTGACGGCAGGAGTGGCCAGAGAGGCATGTTTGCCTGGCGCTTTGGGCGGTGCAGCAGCAGCAGCAGCAGTAGAACTCGATGTGCCTTGTTCCTTGAGGGGGATGGCGATGTCACCACCCTCTGCAGCCACCGCAGCTGCTGTTTGTTCCCTGCTTACGACCTTGCTAGGATCGTCGTCCTGAGCAGCACCAGCAGCCGCAGACGACTCCTCCTCAGCCTCTTGTCCCTCTTCGTCTCCTTCCACCTCGATATCCAACATGGGATCGCCGACCTGCACGACAGCGTCCTGGGGGAAATGGATCCTCTTGATGACGCCGCTGTACTTTGACGTGATTTCGACCGAGGCCTTGTCGCTCTGCACCTCACAGAGCGGGCTCCATTCCTCGATGGGCGCGCCCTCCTCGACGAACCACTGGATGATCTGGACCTCCTTGACACCCTCGCCAATGTCCGACAGCCTGTGCGTCTCTATCCGGTCTAATCGGCTCGTGGCGTGGAAGTGTCTGCTCGCGGAAAGGAAAGGGGGGTATCTGTATGTTCGGGGACGCGTGATCGTGGTGAGGCCGGGGCTGCTCCTCCGAGCCAGTGCCAGCGACTGTAGCCATCGCAGGGCTTGTGGTGAAGGGACGTATTTCATGGTGCGAGCTCGGAAACGATCGTACAAGACATCGAGCAAGTCTCTCCTCTCCTCTTTTTTTTTCTCCTGCTGGGGAGGTTCTTGGACAACCGCAGGTATTTGAGCTCGGTGAGATGGTCGAGGCCAACCGTGGATAACCGACACGCCGAGTTGGTGGATGGCGGGTGGATGCGACATCGGAGACCCCGCCTGCCATCAGTGCCATGTCCTGCCCGTGTGGAGCAAGAATTGATAACACGAAGGATTGGACTGGTCGACACTGTTGTGTCTGTCTTGTTCTAGCTCGATGCTGTCATTCTACACACATAGCTTCGAGATAGTGGTAGATGGTGACTTATGCACAAGATGAGCCATGAACGCTGTCACAACCACGACAGTCGAGAACGCGCAATGATCAGACCTTTGCGGTTACGAGAATGCCATGCTTTCTCGATAAGCAGGAGTCATCACCTGAAGGCCTCACCACAATAGAGATCTCTTCTCCGTGAGAAATCTATCCCACAATCGACCTTGTATACTGCTTCAACTACGCACTAGCCACCACCCTCAGTGAGCACCCTGGTCCAGTCGAACTTCCTCCATGCCTTTCTGAACCCCTCGACCCTCTTATCCGTCCCGCGATGCCATCGTCCTTGCCGCTTGATCACGTCAGGTTCCAACCCTAGCATGCCCCCGATGATCTCTCGCGCAAATAAATCGCCTCGGGGCCACCGGTCTTGGTCCTCCACGATATGTCCGATCCCGCCGTCCAGTTCGAACCAGACGTGGAAATAGGGCATCTCCTTCACCAGGCTCCGTCGAAACGCCAATCTGCCCAATCCTCCGGTCTTGGCCTTTGCCAGGGTGTCGATGATCTTCTTGTGCTGGGACCACTCGTCTTCGGTGCTCAGAAAGGCCTCCTTGAAGAACGCGGGTGCCGTCTCCCCTAAGCTGTAAGGGAGCGGTATGACACAAAGCGCGGCGTGCGGCTTCCGGTGTGGAAAGGCGGCGTTTTCGTAAAAGATGACGTCCCGGCCCTGGTCGTGGTACATGCGCGTGAGGGACTTCATGAAGTTACGTATCTCTTCCCACTCGTCATCGTCGCACTCGAGGAGGTTGGTCCGGTGTTCCGTCGGCACAATCATGGTAGCCTGGGGTGACAGTTCGGGTTCAGTGGGTAAGGTGAGATAGGTCCTTGTTGCGAGGGAGACGACGGGAGCAATAGGCGGAGTCTCCGTGTCTTCGTGATGGCAGAGCGGACAATTCTCCAAGATCTTATTGAGCTTCTGATACTCGTTGATGGCCACATTGCGGAGGTTGGTTTCGGACTTGTACATCCGCTTGGCCAGCTTCTCGGCGTTCTCCTCAAGGTAGTCAAGGTCGTTGTCAAATTTGGCATCCTTTGCTATCCTCTCGGCAAGTCGTGATCCTTCTCCTCCTTGCTGCCCGCGGCTGCGGCGTTCTTCGCGCACCATATCTTCGATGCTCATGTCTTCGTTCTCCTCGACCTGACCCCGTTCTGCCCCGCGGCGGTTTTGCACAGCCTTGACTTCATTCCGAGGCGCAGACGAGAGCATGCGATTGTCCATGGCAGAGAGGGTGATTATCGTAGGATCTTGTGATTCGGACGCAGCAAGCGCGTCGTTGTACTCCCTCTCCAGATCTGCAGCTTTGGGGTCTTTCCTGATCTTGGCTCTCATGAGTTGAGCCTTGAGCTTGTTGAGTGCCGTCTGATCAACTTTCTGGGTAGTAGATGTGGGTGTCGGGACAGGTATCTGCTCGAGCAATACATCCGGACTGGTCTCGGTCTCCTGTGGTTGAGATCGTCCAGTCACAGCGTCCGTCTTGCGCTCCTGGAACAACTCTCCGCTGGGCTTGTCCTTGCTCACATAGCCCTTGCCGTAAATCTTCCGGCGATCCAACTCGATCTTTTCTTCCCGAGCATCATCAAATTCTCGAAGACTATCGTATTGTTCCAGGGCGACGTCGTCCACCTTGCGACCTGTTTCTTCAGCTTGCCGATAGACGCCATTTAATCTAGTCATGCGCCACTGGGAGCCAGCATCTCCAAAGGTGTAGTCGACTTCGTGGGTGGGAGATTCCTCTTCGGCTTCATTAACGGGGGTACCGTTCTTTAGGTCGCGTAGGTGGTGGTTGAGCTCTCTCGTGTGTATTTTCAGCCCAAAGTCCGCTTCGAGAGACCCGCCCGTTGGCTTCGGCGACGGTTCACGTCTCTTCTTCTGAATATAATCGATCTCGAGCGCCGAAGGTGCCTCCATCCACGCATCACGCTTCAATTCGCCGGAACCCGAGCTTGCTGTGGGAGGTTGCTTCTCCCCCTCCTCCTCCGCCGCCTCTTCTGTGTCATTCTCCTCTTTACTTTCTCGGCGCCGGCGGTGATGGTGATGTCTGTGTCTGTGTCTGCTTTCTGACTCGTCGTCATCTTCCCTGGAATGCCTTGTTCTCTTTGACCGGTGTCCGTCTTCTTCATCATAATGTGAATCGCCATGTCGAGAACTTCGGTGGTGGTGGTGTCGATGCCGGTGTCCCGACTTCTCGTGTTCCTTGCGCCTCTCGCGCCTCTTCTCCGTCTCCTTCTGCTCTGCGAGCTCCCTCTCAAATTCTTCCAGCGTCATTTGGCCAAAACGTCTTTGGGATGTGTCAGTTTGGTGGCAGGAAGTTTCCAACATACAAACTGCGGAGAAACTGACAATTATAGCGGCACCTCGAACCAGGCGAAGACTAACTACATGCCGTAATATACACCTGCCGCTATATGGGTTGAACATGACCAAACCCAGGCTCCCGCGGACCTCATGTCTATGTATTCTCACATCTGTTTTGCGTAGTTTTCTTTATTTTCCACTGTTGCCAAAGAATCGACAGCATCATGCTCTGGACGATTGATTGTCAGTATGATATTTCTTATAATGGTCGACCTATTATCCAACTTCCCTAATGGTTGATGGAGATTTGATCCGCAAGTCTGTTGTCGCTACCCATATTCTGTCTTCGAGAGTTGTGCCACCTTAAGAACTCGATCATCACATCCATACCAACAGATTATGATAACCGTGGTACTCGGGAAATGCCCAAGCACGTTCAGGGATCAATCGCTAGATAATCATCACCGGCAATCGAGCTGCAAAAATATACAGCGCCAATGACGAGAATTTCATCCGAGAATGCAACGTCTTGCGACGACTAGGCAGGCTTGAGCACTCCACCATGCTCAGTCACGCGCAGGAGCGTCTCACGTTGAAGCGGCGACGGCCAGGGCTACTCTCAGGTCTGAAGATGGGTATGGAAAGTATTCGTGTCGAGGTTCCGACGTCGAAATTCCCTGTTCCAAGCTTACGAACTTTTCACATCGAGAGTACCATGGTAAGATTTGAACAGTAAGCGGCTTGATCATCTCAACATTGTCAGTGTCTTGAACACTATTACTTTCAGCCCCGGAGAAACAGTTTGCTACCTGGGACCCAGTATTTCAAAGCAAATGGAAGTCCGCGATACGGCAGATACCTTCTTAGAAACGCTGAGAGTATAGGCTGGATCAGATTGCGCTAAAATCCTCCTTGTCGCCCATCGATGCCGTCCACTTCCTGTCCGAGTATGACTGGATTGCATCGAGCTTAACCGACAGCAGTGCAGCTCCAAGACGTTTGGATGGTGCCACCGGGGCCGAAGATCTCCTTGAGGGATTGAATGGCGGACCAAGAGCCCATCCCGGAAGAGGCCAAACCGCCGAGGGCAAACAGGATCGAGGGAACGGAATACCACCAACTCTTGCGAAGTCCACGCATGTACCGAGGCCAACCTTCGTCATGACGAGTGGTAACTCCGGTGTAGGGGTCGAAACCCTCGCCAGGCAGTGCTGCAGCCTTCTGGATGGCCCAGGCCACGTACATGATGGCAGGGATACTGTAGGTGAAGTTGAGACTGAGCAAGCCCCCAATAAGATTGGTGATTGACGTGAAATTGGGAACGGAAACGGCAAGCACCAAGGCGATGATCCAGTATACTGGTCCAAGGACCAGCCAGAAATAGTATCCCTTCTTCGTGCTGATTGGCGGCAGTCCGCAGAGCTCCTGGCCGACTTCCAGGTAGACCGTCTTCATGCCAATGTTGAAATACAAGAAGATGGCGAGGAATCCAGTCACCAGAGCTAGGATGTTGCTGACCAGCTGCAGACCATAGGGGCTGACAACCTGCGTGATGCTGGTGATGGAGTACTGACCAATATAGGTGTAAACGAAGGCGCCAAAGAAAACGTACACGACCAGGATGAAGGTTTGAGCCAGGAGACATCCCTTCCAGAAGTCCATTGGATGGCGCATCTCGGACAAGAAGGCGACAAAGAGAAGAGCCCCAGAGTAGGCATAGACGATGGTATCGATGCCGTTGAACTGTGCCGCAAACAGATTTGTCGACTGCTGCTGGTATTCGGCAGGTGGCGTACCGATAAAGGTTTTGACCGGGTCGAATTTCTTCAAGAGGGTTGTCTGGAGAGCGACGGTAGGATCGGGCCCATTGAGAGCAGCAGCTGCACAGATGATAATGAAGCTGACAATGTTGAACCAGACTGCAAAGTTACAGAGCCAGCCAAGGTGCTTCAAAGATCGCAGCCAGCCCGAAGCCATACCAATGACCATGTTGATGATAACGATGGCGATATAGCAGACCTTTGCCTTGGCTAGTTGTGACAAGATTTGTGAGTTGCCCATGAGCACCACGCAGACGGAACACCACATCTGAAAGGCCTGAGCGACGTTAATGAAGTGACGGGTCTTGGGACCGAAGAGACGGAAGAAAGGATCGCCAAAGCTCAACATGGGGTAGCGCGAGGAGTCGAGAGCCAGAAAGACCTTCCAGATCATCAGCCCCGAGGCGGCGGCGGCGATTCCGAAAAGCACGAAAATGCCGACACCGAGACCATAGCCAACACTGGCGAAGACGTAAGGAGTTTGACTCCAGCCAAGGATGTCGGTGGTGATGAGGTAGAAGATGGTGATCCAGCCAGTGGTGCGGAGGGCGCGAGCTGCTCGTCGCCACTCAGCATCCATGTCGTGGAGTTTTGACGGCGCGATTGGGGTGAGCCCTGAGTCGTTGGCAACCATGGCATTCTTCTCCTTCTCGGGATGGTCCTGCTTCGCGCTGTCGCTGTGTGTCACTTCCTCTTGAGAGCCTTCGATACTGGAAGCATCAAATTCGGTGCTGTTGCTGAAATAGGCTTTGAGGTAGCCCACCATGCCTCCGCCCTTGAGCTTGGCCATATATCGCCGGTATTCCTCGGCCTCCATCTCACGTTCGATCTTGGCCCAGAAGCTATATTCTTCAAAGGTGACAGTAGGGTCCAGCCGGGCCTGCAGACCCCAGAGACGCTGCCGGATGCCTGGGTGAGCGCCGCTCTGCGACAGCTGACGAAGTCTATCAGGCTCCTGGAGCTCACTCAATTCCTTGTTACCGGTACTGATGGCCATAGGGCCGGTTGGTATGATCGACATCTTCGGTGGTGGCCAGACGACAACCAGGCCGTAAAAGAGGATGGAAGAGTTGGGACAGGAATGAAAGGAGAAAGGAGGTCAGACACTCGCCATGGTCCGCAGCGTGGTTATGTATGACAGCCCGCATGCTGAAGGAGCGTTGGTGGCAGCTGCCATGCCGATACAACCAGGATGCCTTCGTGGCCTCGCCCACGACAGACATGCCCGATCCTGTGAAGAACCTTCCATTTGGAATGTCTGCAATATCCACCACATGCAGGACCTGCCATGTTTTGGAGGGCTGGGGTAGGATTGCCACTGGGGCTGCCCTTTTCCTCCCTGTCCAAAGGCCCATGAAGACTTCAACCGGACGAACAAAATCATAGGTTGTTATCAAAGGCGAGAAACTATTCGCCGGCGATTGAGATTCTTGGGTAGGAGAACGGCCGATCAGTGGCAACAGCTCCCAGGAATGATTGAGCTAGCCCTCGCAAACCGAGAGCTGTGGCGCCACCAGCATGCTTGTTCGAAGATAACGGTGCGCTACCATGAGCTTGAATTGGAAGCGAGGTCGAGTGGCCCATGGGCACGACCGGGGTGTGTCCAAGGAGAGTGTCAAGTATTTCTTACCGGATGAGGCAGGTGTGGTTCAAACTGCGTCTTCGTGGGCTCGTAACAGGCTCATGGGTGCTTTTGGTTGACGTGGTGGCTATGGGCGCTATTTAGGACACTAAGACATTTAGCCTCGTGATCCGTCTAATTTCAAAGAGATTTAAGCATATACAAGCAATCACTAGTCTCCACCAAAAGGCCTACTAAGCCTCAAACAAGCATATCATCAAGGTCCCACTAGCGGGCCTCCCGACACCCGTCCAATATCCGCCCCCGGCCCGCCTGATGATAAGAGCACGTAACTGGACTCGGTCAGGAAGGTGCCATTGGCAGAAAACCCGGCGGTGCGGTTGTCAATGCGGACATATTTGGAGCCCAGGGTTGATTCCACGATGCCACCCTCAAGTACTACAATGGCCCCCTGATCGGCGTCGAGACTTGATGGAATTGCTTGAGCCGAGGTCAGATCTGATAGCGAATTTTTCAAGTCAAAGAGGCGCACCTGCGACGCCTTCCTCATTGAGCGAAGTTGGCGTGATTCCAATCTTGAGCGAATAGCGAGGTACCCTATCGCAGGCCATATTGACGGATTCGCGGATGAGAGAGTTGCATTCGGAATCTCCTAGCTGCATGTTCACCTCGCCGGAGCCCTTCTTAGCAGGGGCTCTCGAAGAGCCATCGAGCAGACCGAACAGACCGAACAGATGGGTCAGGAGACCGCTGGGACTCAAAATTTCAAATCTCTCCATCGTGTCGAGTCAAGTGAGCGTTGATGATAGAACAAGAGTGACGAACGTACTCGCGCAAGCAGGGTTCACCGGCCAACCTTCAAAGGTCGAGGAACGATCCGCGCTTGCTGCCCTGGAGTCGACCTCTGACAGACAGAATCACTGTCGCGGTCTTGCTGTTGAGATCATGTGGTGTCTGCCGTCCATGAATAGATCCCCGGGCATTGTTGGGATCGAGACCGCTGTACAAAAACATCACGGAAACTTGCCGAGGGTCGAGGATCTCAGTTTACCAGACAATCCCGTCCAGTAGCTCTTCTCTCGGAAAGACGGAACATATTGTATACTCGTTATTCCCGACCTAAGACCAGTGTTGGGCCTGAGTGCGGCCGATGCCAAGGTTGGCAATTATAGCATTTGCACCAAATTGGTCTGTTTCGGTCCTCTTAGATTTACTTCACCCTCGCGTTTGAAATTGTGCATGATGTCTTTCGCGCACGTCGCTATCACCTCCTTGAGCAGTCCGTCCAGGCTGGGAAATACCGGCGTGGGTAAATCAACCGGTTCAGGCGGGTGTGGTCATTGTAAAGCCTCAATCTGAGGATGTAAGCAGCGGGGTATTTTTTGTCTTGCAGCAGACCCATGGCATTCATATTCTTGGCCAGGTGAGATTTCGAGCAACCCTGGTTTGTTCCTGTCATCGGCCTTTGTGAGATGCGATTGATTAGCATCATCGAGATGACTGGCGCTTGTCTGGGGTAGAACTAATCTTCTCTCACCTGTGGTAGCTAAGTCGACACATGAGCTGATGTCGATACGCAGAGAAGCCTCGATACGCACAGGACGAGATGCTAGAGCGTAAGGTGACACCCTACCGGGATTTATGCATGAACGCCTTCTTTTGAGCATGGAAAGGCATGCGATCTTCACAACCGAAGCGCCGTAGCCATGACCATTCCGGCCTCCGAAGTGGTTCAGGCCTTTACCTACCTCACATCGAACCGTTTGGAGTAGTCCGAGAAGGTGGGGTCAGAGAAGAGAGGATACAACCCCTGTACACGAGAAAGAGATCCATTGTGGTCACGCAGAAGCTTCGCATAGCAGGTGCTATCCTTTGCAGCCCATACTAAGATATCTGAGAGCAGTATGAGGATGTACTGCGTGGTAGATGGAGAGTTTTGTCAAGGTTAAGAGGAATAGTAGTGCCAAGGTTTGTAATGACACTTCATCACTTCTGCCACAGGTGTCAGCATGTATGAAATGACATCACAATATTAAGCACAAGGCGGCATCAGCTTCTTTCTAAACAGGGACAAATGCGCCCTAGGAATTTTCAAAAGTTCCCCAGATTCTATCAGCGGTCCGGACTCCTTGATCCCACACATAGACCTCTTCTCTACCACGACATTGGAATAGACAATATGGCGACCTCCCCTGTCGCTGTTGTCTGCATTGGCATGGCCGGTATGGGTACAAGAGAATCTTTGAGAGATAATCTCTAACACATCGTCGACAGGATCGGGCAAAACTACCTTCATGCAGCGCATCAACAATTACCTACATGTCAACAAGAAGAAACCCTATGTGCTCAATTTGGATCCGGCTGTGGTCAACGTCCCATTTCAGCCCAACATCGACATCCGCGATAGTATCAACTACAAAGAAGTTATGAAGCAGTACAACCTTGGCCCTAATGGAGGCATCTTGACGTCTCTCAATCTATTTGCGACCAAGATTGATCAAATCATCTCTCTGCTTGAAATGCGAGCAAATCCGCTTCCAGATAGCAAAGTGCCCCCGCCACACCATTTCTTGGTCGATACACCAGGCCAGATTGAAGTCTTCGTCTGGTCTGCTTCAGGCAGCATTCTCCTTGAATCGCTTGCATCCTCCTTTCCTACCGTCATCGCCTACATCATCGACACACCACGCACATCCTCCACATCGACATTCATGTCCAACATGCTCTACGCGTGCTCGATACTATACAAAACGAAGCTTCCAATGATTCTTGTTTTCAACAAGACGGACGTTCAGGACGCTGATTTTGCAAGAGACTGGATGACAGATTTTGACAAATTCCAAGAAGCACTCAATGAGGAGCAGAAAAAAGGTGTTTTTGGCGGTGAGGGTTTCGGTGGAGGGAGCGGTTACATGGCGAGCCTTCTCAATAGCATGAGTCTCATGTTGGAGGAGTTCTATTCTCATCTGAACATGGTGGCAGTCTCAAGCATGACCGGAGAGGGTGTTGACGAATTTTTTGAGGCCGTGGAGGAAAAGAGGAAGGAGTTCGAAAGGGATTACCGCCCGGAGCTAGAGAAGAGACGGAAAGAACGTGAGAAGGAGAGCGCTGCGAAACGAGAACACGACTTGACGAAAGTAATGAAAGACATGAAAATGGATTCCAGTGCAAAGTCCGATGACAATGCCACAAAAGAAGAATCCGATGGCACTGACGACGAGGAACTTGTCGATGCAGACGATTTTCCTGATGCGGACCGACAAGACGATGAGGAAGGCTTGAAGCAGCGATACAGGAACGCTCTACGTGAACAAGGCATCCAAGTCGACGATGATGATCCAACAATCGCAAGAATGCTAGCAGCAACGCGGCGAGCAGGATGAATTCTGGAAGAGGGTGGAGGGACCGTTATCGGAATTTTCGCATTAGCATAAGATACCCAGGCCAGGAGTTAGATAATAGGAAAATGCTTTTTCTTTTTCCAGAGTTACTTGGTGTGAATATACGTCTCATTTTTAGACACCCAAGAATTTTCCATACAGCTTCATTTTGTGTCACAGATATGTTGGTCGGGTACTGCATCATTGGCCGAGCCTCGTGGCGGACCGCAAGGCTGAGGGATCCCCTCCAAAAATGCCAAGCCGCGCACAAAAATCATCAGGGCTTGGCACCTGACCTGCGATTTTGGGAATTGGGGAATTTCTGAAAGTGCGGTTTTCCTATCGTGAGACGACTTTTGCGCAAATCCCTCCTACAATCAGTTGCCCACACCGCTGCCCAAGATGAAGTACATCTTCTCGCAAGAGCAGCTGGTCATCCCAGAGGGTGTCAGCATCCACATTCGCTCGAGAATCGTCACGGTCGAGGGTCCCCGAGGTACGAAAGACGACGCCCATGCCAACCCTAACCTTTGCAATTGCTGGAGAGAGAACATTGGGAAAAAGCATCTGCATCTAGAAGACAGAAGTAAAAGCGGAAAGAGACTAACACAAATTCTTGTTGAACAGGCAAACTCACCAAAGATCTCTCCCACATCGCCGTCACCTTCACACTCGGAAAGAACAAGCAAGGGCAACAGCTCGTTCAAATCGAAATCCATCATGGCCAGAGAAAGAACGTCGCCGCCCTGCGGACGGTCAAGTCGATTATCCAGAACTTGGTGACCGGTGTGACCAAGGGCTACAAATACAAGATGCGATACGTCTATGCTCATTTTCCCATCAACGTCAACATTGAGAAGAATCCCGAAGGCTTGTATCACTTGGAAATCAGGTAAGAGCAGCCGATCTCCCACCAACCCTTGTTCGCGCACGCACGCCTACCTTGAAAGGTATTTGGAAGTAAGAGGACGGAACGCCAAAGGGGAAAAAAAACTTACAGACGATCTGGACAAAAGAAAACAAGCATACTAAGGCAGATACTAATTGTTATTTTCTCTGTGACAGAAACTTCTTGGGAGAGAAGATCGTCCGACACGTTACCATGCACGACGGTGTCGCGGTGGAAGCATCGAAGGGTGTCAAGGATCAGATCGAAATCACCGGCAACAACCTCGAGAACGTGTCACAATCCGCCGCCGACATCCAACAGGCCTGCAGAGTGAGGAACAAGGATATCCGGAAGTTCTTGGATGGGCTGTACGTGAGCGAACGGGGCAACATTATCGAAGAGTAGACGCCGAATTTTGTCACACACTGCATTCCATTGATAGCATGCTCGTGACTGTGGATTGGTATTGAGGGGATGACGGGAATGCCAGGGGAACAGCACCGTTGAAGCGTGGAAAGAGGGTTCTGTCAAACAACCGCAACATGCATGATGGACGAAAATAAGTGGCGTCATGATCTTGCAAAATGGGTTCCGTTCGCATGTTCTCGGCAGATACGAGTCGTCCTTTGCACAATGGGAGTGCCGAAGAGCCTATTGTCGCCTCTCCCTATCTCGAGACGCTAGGACCCGGCGAAATGGTCTAGATGAAGAAATCAAAACAAAACTCCAGAGCTTCTGTGATTTGATCTGCCATGTGTCCTGTTCGATTCTTCCGTTCCTGTACCCGAGCGAATGGTGGTCGTCTTTCGGATATCTCGATTCGCGTGGCTTGACTCATGGTAAAGGCGTTGCTTGGGCTACGGTGTTGCGGTGAACGTTACAGACTTGAATTACTACCGTGAGGATTTGGATGTGGATATACAGGGCCACTAAGATAGTGCTGGACAGCCCAACTCACTCACTGATACAGTCTGAGCATCTATTTGAGCATCTCCTCGTCTCGTCCGAGCAGCAGCGGCGCCTTCTTCCTCACCGATCAGGTAAGCTTGGTTCCCCCATGATTACTACCTTGAAGCCCCTTTTAAAACGAAGGGTTTTCCTGCATTCCTCGGGCTGCAGAACTCTCTTCTCTGGCACCCGTGTCAGTACGATGGTAACCTGGAGGACATCGAATCGCGTGTCATGTGACGAGGCTATGCCTCAAGCGAATACATTAGTGGACACAAACACTACGAGAGGTGTTGGAGCATTCTGGAGGATAAACTGTGTGCATCAGTAGAGGCTCGGTGTTTCCGACCTACTATCAAGGTGTATTGCACGTAATATCACTTGGAAAACCTTGCCAACGCAGTCCCCATCAGAGGCGAGGCAGCCACTATGCCGCATGAGGCTCAAGGCTGCTGCATCTCAGCCTCTGAGCGTCGAGCCTTTACCGCCGCTGCGTCACCTTTCCTTCCTTTCTTCAACCCAGGCACAATCCCTCAGAACAAGATCTCAGGGCAAAGATGGTCAGGTCACCTCATACTGCCTCTTTGTAGGTAGAGATATGAGTTCGTGTGGACCATGCAGGCTCGCCTCTGCGCCACCCGCCCACGACTATGTCCCGCTTCTCACTCTTCAAACCCAAGCATTGGCGACAGAAGACTGCACAAGCGACACATTCTAACATCGATATCGAGAGCTTTCCATCTGGAATCAAGATCCTGTTCGATCCGCCAAATGCAGGGCTCGACATTGTTTTCGTCCACGGCCTGACGGGCGATCGAGAGCGTACATGGACGAGCCCAGCCACTGGGTTGTGCTGGCCATCTGACCTCCTCCCAACCTTCTTGCCTGATGCCAGAGTTTTGACGTTTGGTTATGATGCCTATGTGGTCCGGAATCATGGACCAGTCGCACAAATCGATATTTCACACCACGCAAGCGACCTTCTGAATGCTCTCGCCAACGAGAGACACAGCGATGGCTTGGCTACCAGACCGCTCATCTTCGTGGCCCACAGCCTCGGTGGTGTCCTGTGTAAAGATGCCCTTCGCATCTCTGAGGCTAGCGGAGACGCCAATCTAGCTGCCATAGTCGACCACACCTGTGGTATCATCTTCCTCGGAACACCACACGGAGGTAGTTGGCTCGCTTCATGGGCCAAGATGCCCGCTGCAATGCTCGGCCTGGCGAAGAGGACAGATCTGAGCCTCCTTTCACTATTGAAACCCAACTCCGAGGTGCTGTCACGTATTCACGACGACTTCCTCTCCATGGTCAGACGCAGAGGGTCACAACATCATCCAATACAGATAGCGTGTTTTTACGAGACTCTACCCCTGGTCGGGAGAATTCAGATCGTCGACCAGCCGTCCGCCACGATACCGGGTTTCAACAATATATCAATTCACGCAGACCACCGGGATGTTGCGCGCTATGCCTCGACTGAGCACCCAGGTCTCAAAAGTATTATCGGCATACTGGAGCGTTGGGTCCAGCCTGACGTTACGACCGGCGTCCTGAGTGCTGATGCCAAAGCATTTCTTGAGACTCTCTCCTTTTCGGAGATGGGTGTCCGACAAGCTACAATTGAGCACGCCCAGACCGGCACCTGTCGCTGGATACTGGAAGACCGTCACTACAAAGCCTGGGTAAACTGTCAGGACCTCGATCAATCACACGGCCTTTTATGGATCAAGGGCAAACCGGGCAGTGGGAAGTCGACTCTCATGAAATACATTGCAGCTGAGGCACCTAGACCTGGAGGAGTAGTAAGACTTACTTTCTTCTTCAATGCTCGAGGCGGTGAGGAGGAACGTAATGCGCAGGGGCTATTCAAGACTTTCCTCCATCAACTGGTGCAAGAGTCTCCTTCCATGACAAGTCGGCTTCTGACGCATTTTAGAAGGAAGAAGGCCAAAGTTGGCAACAGGCCTGTGGTCTGGAGCCCCGCAGAGCTGCGAGATCTATTCTTTGAGACGATTCAGTTCAACTCTAGAACTGCCGTCGAGATCTTTGTTGATGCTCTCGACGAGTGCAAGGAAGAGGAGGTTCGCACCATCATCGCTGCCTTTGAAAGATGTGCGGCCGAAAGTATGGCCAAGGGGTCTCGAAATCTCAAGATCTGTTGGTCTAGCCGACACTATCCTCACATTAGTATCATCAACGGATTCGAGATCAGAGTCGAGAAGGAGAATCTTGGAGATATATCTCTCTATGTCCACCATCACATGGCCAGATCAGAACGCCAACATTCATTCCAGACGTTGGAAAAAAGCATTGTTGAAAAGTCCAACGGCGTGTTCCTTTGGGCAGTCCTCGTCGTCCACAGAATATGTAAACTTGCCGACAAAGGTCTTCCCGTTGCCCGGATCGAGAAAGTCATCCACGAACTGCCATCAGAGCTGAGCAAGCTCTATTCCGAGATCTTCTCGACACTCGACCCAGAGTTAGCAGAAGATAGTGCCAACCTGATGTACCTTGTATTGTACGCAGTCCGTCCCCTGGATACCAATGAGCTTCGGATCGGAATCGAGTTTATGAGAAGTACCTATCCTTCTTCACTGGAAGGCTTTGCAAATTTGTCAGAGCAGGTGTCTTACTTTAGGAACTTTGTTACTGGACTTTCTGGAGGACTTCTTGAGGTAATCGACTCTGGCGTTCCTGTAGGGCCCCAAGCTCTTGATCTGGAGGAGTCACTAGGAGTCAAGGACTTCGTGTTTGAATGGCAGTCAGGGTCTCGATCCGATTCTCGAGAACGATGGAATAGCGCCATGGCGCGAGCGAATTCCAAGCGCCCAGTAGCTAACAGACAGAATATGTCCCCCGATGTGGAAACGAGATGTATCGTCCAGGTAATTCACGAAACAGTCCGGGACTACTTGATGAAGGACGGCTTGTGTCATCTCCCCGGAAGATCCTCGCCTGTGCCAATGGACTTTCGTGCAGGCCACCTTCATCTCTATCAAATGTGTAGTCGCCTCATGGCGACCGATGAGTTGAGCTGTGTTCTTTCGGGAGGGCATTGTGCTTCGTTATTTGGCTCGACTCCAGCTCTTGTCACGTTAGGTTGGCGATGGTTGGGCACAACGATCGTCCACTACGTGATGGCATATGCTTTCTTGCACTTGAGGAACTCCCAATTCTTCGACGCGGATGATCAGTGTGGACCTCAATGGGCCGTTCTCGGCCCAATTCTTCAACGGGACGTGCATCCAGCCGCGATCAGGGAGACCATCTTCCGATGGGAATGCATTCGAGCTTACACCATGACGGACTCCTGGAGGATTCCTCCATTGCAATTCTCAGATTACGACCAGATCGTTGATCGAGACTTGTCCCCTATTCTAGAGGCAACGAGTCTCAGGTTGGCAGATTTCGAGCGCTGCGTCGCCCTGGGGCATGTGGCTCTCCTGGCCCTTCACCGGCACCGATATTCTTTTCCGCGCGAAGCCCTGGCCGAGGTTATCAACGCAGCAGCACATCATGGGACTGTGGAGGAATTGGGTGTCCTGTTGCGAGCCTTCAACATGCTGCGAACCTCCAACAGCAAGCATATGGACTGGAACGGAGGGATACAGGCACTCTTGATGGCAATCCAATCACGCCGAGTGACGGCTGTGGACATGTTACTGACCAATGGCGCCGCCGTCAACACCTCCAGCAAAGCGGAAGGGACCCCTCTGTTTCTGGCTATCGAGTCTGGTGATATCTCGATAGTTCTCACGCTGCTCAAACACGGTGCCACCGTAACTCGGTCGACTGACGGCAAATCACCACTAAGCCTCGCCGCCTCCCTCGGGTACAAGGATATGGTAAACCTTCTACTAGAGTATGGTGGGAAGGAGCTGACGGAGCCTTACATCTTGGAAAGGGCATCTCGCGCAGCGATGAACCAAGGCCACCAAGAGATTACTATGATGCTCGCAGAAAAAGCACGTTCTTTCGCCTTATTGAAAGAGAGCCCGCCACAAGGAGATCCGGCACCACCGGGAGATCACCAAAGCATGCAACAATTGGCCCAGTCTAGCGACACAGATTCAATCACAGAAGACGATTTCTTTATTCCCGTGCCTCCAGTTTCCAGGCGAGACGACGATTAAGGGTGATGGGTAGGATCTGGGTCCCGATTCGCAATGCGGTACCCCACCTTTGATTGGCCATGCCACTATAACGTTAATATTTTCCCGTCCCGTATATTCCTATTTTGGAAAGATCCATATTCATTATATTACTATACCGACTTGCCTATTACCTCGACTCGACACCAAGCTACATGTCAAATCGTGAACAAACACAATCAATCACCTTTTTCTCTTGGATCGCGGCCCCAGATTCAGCGGCATGACAAGTCCCGAGGTCTCCTGAAAGAAAACTACCAACCAATATCCAACTATGTATTTATGCAGTGACGGCCTAGGGCGGGCCGATTTCATATAATTAGCTGGAACTATATATGCGCGTGGCTCGAATTATTGTCTTGTCGAGCAATTACTTTGACATGGTGACAGAGTGACTGCCACATTTGCGAAGGTGCTCCAAGACTCCTTCCAGTCAGGATTGCTTTCACAGGACTGAGAAAGAGGAACTCAGTGGACAACAGGTAGGGTGGTGGACCAGGTGGGATAGTTGTACGCATGATCTTGGGCCTGGAAATGCCTTGTCGCTGCCTGTCTGGCCACGCACCAGGCAGGGACCGCGTCCGAAGACCCAGTAGATGTGTGTACACTGATCCCAATTTTCGCAGCAGCACGTGTGAAACAGCAATCAATCGTGGAAGCAGCCAACAGCTCACGTCTCCCTCTCTCCACGTCTCAACTGACAACCGCGCTTCCATGAGGAGAAAATGAGAGAGGCGGTACAAGAAATGGCAACGGGCTCAAATATGATCTTTCACGGGAGAAGAGAACGTGTGCGTCAAACGTAAGCTTCGCCGGAAATCATGCTCCGTCTTGATTCGCTCCATGGCTGTTTCTTTTCAGTGTGTTTTGAGCTCTATTCCTCTGTCGTCTCGCCAAATTGAACAGGATGAAGAATAGAGAGCCGAACGAGAATTGGCTGATTTCGTCCTCGATCGAAATCGTGCAAGTTGCCCCACAGCACAAATAAACACCCAAGGCAACGTCAAATGCCGAGCGAGATATTTCGCTCCATCATCTCAAGCCCAGGCGAAATTGCTATCGTGTTTGCCTCCATTTCTGTTCTCTCCCAAAGCGAAGTTGTAGCAAAGTCTGATGACTGGCGAGGCTAGCTGTAGCCCTTTTTGACATTTTGACCACGACGACCACTCTATTCCCAGCCTGGACCCGGGCTGACCAGATGAAATCCACAGTCGGGTGATCGGACCCGAGGCTCGGGGTAGGGCTTACTGACAGCCTCAGCCTTGTCCCGCTTGTCACAGGATTCATCGGGGTGTCAAGTTCCAAGCACCGTACGGAGTTCCCCAGGCCATCACGCTACTCGTTCACTAGAGCTATCTGGTCAGCAAGGATCGCTACAGTTGGTGACAGCAGTCAGCGCTGCACATCGGCCGATCGATTTTATTTTTGGCGGTGCGGGGCAAAGGTCTCGGTTGGCATCTGAAGGAGAATGGCCGTCTGCGCTCGCACGGTAGACCAGACTGCGGTTCACAGCGTTCGATCGAGGGGGGATCGTCGAGGCACGACGTGAGAGTGTAGCGGGAGAAAAGTAAGTACATGTGGGATGATTCGGTGGCCATGAACAAACAATAGGTAAATTGTCTGTGCAAAGGGGAAACAAGTATCGCGGGGAAGCGACTGGAGTACGAGGTACATGTTCAGATTCCCAGGTGGCTGAATTGAGCTTTGGCAGATTTCCAAGTTTGTCCTCTCAAGCGGGAAAAGGTCAAACCACCTTGCGCGCAGGGGACCCCACCACCAACGAGGAGTGGCCATTGATAGGCCTCACCAGCCTCACTAGCCCCCCGGAAGAACCTAGCATTGGGCAAAAAGAATTAGTCCCCCCGGTCCGACTTTCAGGCTGGAGATGCATCGCCCGCCACGGGCATGTGCTTTGCCCTGCAGCCCTGATGTTGCTCGCCCCCCCAGTGCCCGCCCAGTGCCCACCCACCAAGTGTTCAGCTGTTCGGTAGTGGTTGGCATGCCCATTATCTCCATCCACATCACCCGCAGCTGCCGACCGCAGTCGCATCAACGGTTCCGTTGGACCCTTTCTTCCCTTTCTTTGTTGGATCTGATTGACATCTCGACAATCTCTACTGTTAACCTCTGCTTCGCAGATCTCCTCAACGTCTTCCTTCGTCCTCCTCCATACCTAACCTATTCCTCCTATCCATAGTATCCTTATCCGTCCTCCGCCGCCGTCCCCGCCTCTATCAGACCTCCCTGCCTCTGCGGAGTTCTGCCCTACGTCCCCAGTCTGTCATATATGCAATCTCCGCAACGCTCATTTCGTGTATTGGAGACATAGCGACCCTCCGATCGTGCGCCCTCCTCTCGATCAGCCGCGCCTGTCGCCCTACGATCGTTCAACGCCAAACAAGATCAGAATGCCCTTCTGCGGTGGGAAGAAGGTGGTGCAGCGCAAACTCGTCCTGCTGGGCGACGGTGCCTGCGGAAAGACCAGTCTTCTGAACGTGTTTACTCGCGGCTTCTTCCCGGTTCGTCCTCTGTGTCTGTTTTTGTTTCCAATCACACCTGAACCAAGCCTGGCCTGCTCCGAGGTACATACTGACGTTGCTGCCTCCGCAGACTGTCTACGAACCCACGGTCTTCGAGAACTATGTCCACGATATCTTCGTCGACGGTATTCATATGGAATTATCGCTATGGGACACCGCTGGGCAGGAGGAATTCGACCGGTTGCGATCCCTTTCGTACGATGATACTCAGGCCATCATGTTGTGCTTTAGTGTATGGCGTGCCTACCCAACAACTTGTCGCCTCCTTCTGAGCGTTGAGCAATGCTGATGACGGCAATTTTGGTTCGCAGGTCGACAACCATGGTTCTCTCGAAAACGTGTCCACGAAATGGATTGCCGAAATAAATGAACATTGTCCCGGGGTCAAGATTGTCCTATGCGCTTTAAAATGCGACTTACGGGAAGAGCACGAAAAGGACGATGACGAGGAGCATGGGGCTCCCCCGAGACCTATGATTCAATATAACGAGGGATTAGAAGTTGCGCGACGCATTGGGGCGCTGCGATATCTCGGTAACGCCAGAAATCACGCTTTATGACCATGTGGAAATCTAATCGGCTTTTTTTGACAGAATGCTCAGCTATGCGAAACCGCGGCGTAAACGAGGCCTTTACGGAAGCCGCACGAGTGGCATTACAAGTCAAACCAGCTCGGTCGAAAGACGACTCAAAATGTTCGGTGATGTGAACGAAGTTCAGGTTCAATAGCACTGTCAACTTTTCCACCTTGGAGTTTCGCCCAGGTTTTCCTCCTGCTACTTCGAGTTTGCCCATCACAGCGGGCACTTCCCCATCCTCCCTCCTCGAGGAGTTACTATCTTGTGTACATACCCGTCGCTCTGCCTCCTCGCGCCTTTCGCCGCCTGTTTCGAAGCAAGAGAAAGATTTGTCGGTTCTTAGCGTTGCAGTATTTTTGGTTGAACCTTTTTGGAAAGCCCGGAGGCATTACGATCTGGCGTTTTAATGTTGGTCGAGTCCTAGAGTTTTGGACATTGCGATGAGACGACGGCGAGATGATTTGATCTGTAGTGGGACCCATTGGGACGGAGAATCAATCTGTCTCGGCTCAATCGTGCGCTTTGTACAGCGTTTCGGTCAAACGATGAGGCATCCTGGTGCAGCTCGAAATCTGATCCTCAGCACATGAAAAATTTTGATAGATCTGTCAATCTCTGATGCCGTTGACCAATGGCTGACCATTACTCCTGCCTCTCTCTCCTGTGGCAGAGTCTCCGGTATTACTTGGTGGAGCATCTTCATCGACCAAAACCCAGTCTTTGACACCTCCCTTCCAGTCCGCTAACCTCCCTTCCCGCACGGGAACAAGAACCACCCTCACATCGTCTCCTTCAATATAGCAGCTACTGTTCTCCGCATCGGCATTTTCTGATTGTCCGCCGAAAAACCCTGCCTCTTGCGTGACTTGACCTCCGAACGTGTTATTCGCCAGGTGTGCCTCCTTGCACCACTTTTCCTCTTCACTGCCTTGTTCCAGGAACCTTGCTTCTCCTGCTATCGTGGTTGATATTGAGCTGAGGGCAGACGTGTTCAGGTTCAGAAGGAGAGCGGCAAGAGACGAGCGAGCCGCGGCAGCGGGCGGAGAGCCGGCTCGTTGCTCACCACCCACAGAGGTTGCTGTCGGCGGCCTGTGGGATACCCAGTCGTGCACCAGGATGGATACTTTTGGGTTGTGCATCAGGTTCTGTGTCTTCATGGACTTTGCATTTGTGGTCATGATAATGACGGGGCCGTGGTGGTCGTATGAAGGCAGGAAAGTGTAGTTCATCAGGGACACATGGGGTGTTGGCGTGCCGGACTGGCTCAAGCCAATTGTCGCCAGATGCAGGAAACGGGCATTCTTGAGGCATTGCGACACTTCCGGAGGTAAGGTCGTGGCAACGAGTGGGTTGGTGGTGGTGTTGGAGGCTTCATAGTTGAGGGGCGGGTTGTGGGCGTCAGCCATGTCTTCTGCAGCTGCTGTGCTGAATAGTTTCTATCCACAAGTAGTTGAGACTTGAGGGATACCCGTGAGGATATGGTCGAGATCTGTAAAGACGTATCTGACTTTACAGGTAGGAAGGGATGTTCGCGTAGATCTCTTGAATCGACTTACGATAAAAAACGAGGTGGGATGATGGAGGCCGCCAAAACTCAAATTGTCACACATGCCTTTTGCTGGACCATTGGGCAGGTGGCACAGGCATTCCTCCCCGCAGTGCCCGAGTTGCCCACTGTTAGTGGAAGCTTTCCCACCATTAAGGAGTAGGGTAGCCTAAAATGCCAACTGGGGCCCGGGCTGTGACACCAGTGAGAAGCTCCAAGGAGTGACGTCGATGGATGTTTCTCCCTCCCTGTTTGTCCTGGCTCATTTGCTTGCTTCTGCAGGGTAACCAGCTTCTCACTTCCAATCAATACGCATAAGCTGCCACACGCCTGCCACACTCTATCACCATCATCACACCTCCTCCTCCCTCTGCAGACCATCTTCCCCGCGTTCTGCTCAGAGCCACTCGCACCCCAGTCTTTGACGCCTAAACAATCAGCAACCTCTCCCACGCTGCCCTCGACCACTGGGGCTTTTCTCCGGCACAATAACCTCGTAGCTCTTCTGCTCGCGTGTTGCTTCGAGTCGTTGTTCTCTGCTGGACCTCGTCAAAACTCAGCAAGCCTGTGATATCGACCAAAACAATACTCCTTTGACAGGCATTGCTCATCCTCAGCCTCAGCTGCGACCTTGTTCCCTTGTTTTTTCGAGCTCAGGGACTCTGAATTTTGGCAACAATGCTCGCCCGCCGGCTACTACCCCTCTCTACTTCGGCCCAAACTCCCTCGCTCTTTCGCGCCTTTACGACGACGTCCCTGTTACGAGACCCTCCTCGCAGCCCTGCCTTGAGCGACCTGACCTCGGATGGCGCGGACGCCTTCAACGTCAAGCAGAAGGAATTCCGAGATGGGCTCGAGGCTGCCCGGAAGAGAAAAGAACAAGCTGACAGTCAGTTCCTTGATGCTTCTTCGTCTTCTTCTGATAGATCCCCCAGCCTTACTACTGCTGCATCCCGTGTATCTGAAACCCTGGGTTTGGGCTCACTCTCTACCGCACCCCCTACAGAAGAAGCAAGACAAGCCGAGACCGATACCACCACCAAGCGAAGCGGCACTCTCTCTAGCCTCATCTATGGCACCCCCGAAGGCCAAAACCTAGACAAAGAGATGGAAAGATCGTTCTCCCAGGTGTTGGCTAGGGGCAAATACGTCCATTCGATCGTCTTTCACGATGTCAAACCCGACAAGGTCGACGACTACGTCGAGCTGGTGGGCAGTTGGTATCCGAGGATGGCCAATGACCCAGAGAACAAGGTCCATTTGGTGGGAAGTTGGAGAACAGAAGTGGGGGATTGCGAAACTTTTGGTATACTGCATTCACATTCAAAGTGTTTTTTCTAACATGGTGCTTGTAGTTCACATCTGGGAATATCAGCGCTACACGGGATATCATGCCTCCCTGCACAGCATCGCGCACCACCCCGAGTTCCCCGCTTTCGAGAAGAAATTACAGACTCTGATCACATCCAAGAAAATCTCACTAATGCAGGAATTTTCATTCTGGCCAACTACTCCCCCTCGAAAACTCGGCGGCGTGTTTGAACTACGATCCTACACCCTGCACCCTGGAAACCTTTTGGAGTGGGAAACACATTGGCGGAAAGGACTTAAAGCACGCCGAGAAGTCATGGAAGGTGTGGGCGCTTGGTTCGTGCAGATTGGGGATTTGAATACCGTTCATCATCTATGGCAATTTGCCGATCTGGAGGAACGGAAACTGCGACGCGAAATGTCGTGGGGCATCGAAGGATGGGGTGATACTGTGCACAAGACAGTTCCACTCATCCAGACCATGAAGAGCAAAATCCTGATTCCCATGCCGTGGAGTCCCGTGGGCTGAATGGTTCTGCAGACGGAGTGAGTGTGAGGGATTGAGTCTTGGATTGGATGGGACATGATGAGGGAGACCCAAAACATCAAGGAGGACCATTATCTTAGAGGAGGATATGTTTTTCAGTAACAGTCAAGCAAAAGCGCCGAACTGCTACACTCTGCAGCCACCAGCAGAAGTCTAGGTCGGCAATATAGATATTGGGCCGACTTGAGGCTGACTGAATTAATCCAAAGCCTCCGATATGATAGCCCGCCGCCATGGGAAGCAGGTCCAGGCAGGCGGTGTATACAACAAGGTCGGTGGTCCTCAATAGTAGCTCCACAGTGCTCTTGGTAACTCAACAAGTGGATGCGGAGTAGGCTTCGTGTACCTATTAAACTACGCCAGTTGAAAAGTCCGCTTTGAGAGACGCATGATTGGAAGGAAGTTTGAGTATCGGGTCTGGCGCCAAGGAATTTGGGAGACTGGAATCTTTTTTCCCGCTGCAATGCCATCTCAACTTCTAGATGCGTTCTTTGTGTAGTCACCAAGAGCCCGACTGTACCCCCAGGAATGATGCTGAGTCGGGCAAGGGCTTCAGGGCTGTGCCATGGCTGCCGGCAGGATTTCCAGGTCTTCTTCGAGAATGGATTCTGTGGACCGGCTGTCACGCTGAGGAATCGATCAACGCCGTTATCTCTGCGTTGGCGAAGGACATTGGCACCGCGACAACATCTCAGACCTTTGTCAAGCAAAACCACGCTCCTCCAACACCATTCCCCTCCTGACTCTGACCTCCGGCAGACCAAATTGGAAAATGAACACACATCCGCAGTCGACCTCGACCCGGAACAACTGGAAGTGTTGCAAGAGTTGGAAAAGGCCCTGGGGCGGCCCATAAACGAAGCAATCGACGAAGATCGCGCAGGCGGTACTTCCATAAAAGATATCTTCCCAGACAAGCAAATAGACGTGGACGATGCTTCGGATGTGGTCGACGGCACGAGTGATGTGCTTGCTGCACTGCGAGCCTCTGGTGCGTCCGCTGAAGAGATTGCACGAGAAGCGAGGCAGCTCTACGGGGACAGGCTCCCTTCTGTTGCTCTAGGGCCCGAGGAGTTGAGGATGTACAAACGGCTTTACGGAAGTCCTATCTCAGTGTCTTACGAAGAGTTCCTCGATGAGGAGGAAGCAAGCACCGTCACCGAAGTTCGAAACCAGCTCCTGGACCAGGACGGCGAGCCAATCGATTACCATTCAGAGCCAGCTTCTTTGGCACGAGTGGAAGTGATTCAAGAAGAGGAGTCCACAGGCAATATCCTAAAGCCTGCGCAAGGTGGCATTGATCTCGGTCTGGGCAGTGAGCACAATCCAGCCCTTTCGGCGTCAGCTGAAGAAAGAGCAGCACAGATAGCTCGGTTGCTGAACGGCGAGATTGTCCAAGATTTTCAACAGGAGGAGAATCAGGAGGAAATCGAGGCGGATGAGGATGAGCAAGATCAGAGTATGCGACAACATCCGTTTACGCGGCTTGGAAAGTTCGCAACTACACCTAGCAGCGTCCTCCTTTCGCAAGAAGACTTTGTGCAACCCGTGCAGAAAATCATGAGCGGATACTCCAACAAGCATTTGAAAGAGATGTGCGAAAAGACCTTTGGGGGACCCGGCCTTCCTGATTCTCCATTGACACCCAGATCAGGACGATCGAGACAGCAGTTACCCATCCCTCTTGATGCTTCTCAACATCTAATGGGCGAGATGGAAGCGAACGCATTCATCACCACCATTATGCCACCCACGTACGCCGCCATCATGGCTGTTCTGGTTGAAACACGCAAGCGACTAGGCAGTACTTGGTTGAACAATCTGTTTGTGAAAGAAGGTGGACCACGAGTACTCGATGCGGGTGCTGGAGGGGCTGGTATTCTAGCCTGGCGCGAAATCGTCAAGGCCCATTGGGATTCGTTGCACTCGTCTGATCGCGACCCCGTTCCTTCACCCCCTCCGACGAAAGCTGTCGTCCTCACTGGTTCAGATACACTGAGACATCGGGCGGCCGCCCTTCTGGAGAATACAACCTTCATCCCACGTTTGCCCGATTATGTACACACCCGTGATGCGCCGACTCTGGAAGACGATCGACCTGCACAACAGCGAAAGCAATTCGACGTGATCATTGCACCCCATACACTCTTTGGATTGCAAGAAGATTACATGAAAAAGCAACACGTGCAAAACCTTTGGTCTATGCTCAGCCCCGAAGGCGGCGTTCTGATTTTAATCGAAAAGGGTATACCCCGAGGGTTTGAAGCGATAGCCGGGGCAAGAGAACTGCTTCTCGAGAGGTACATTGCTGTCCCAGAAGGGCGAGTGACAGCATACAGCAAGTTGCACAATGCTGCAGAAGACATCCACACACGAGAAACTGGCATGATCGTCGCGCCGTGTACGAATCATGAAAAATGCCCAATGTACAATATCCCCGGCCTTTCAAAGGGGCGGAAGGACTTTTGCAGTTTTCAACAACGGTACATACGACCGAGCTATCTGCAGCGAGTTCTTGGCGCAAAAGATCGCAACCATGACGACGTGGATTTCTCGTACATTTCAGTGATGAAAGGGGAAGACCTGCGTGAGCGTCAAGTTCAATCCTGGCAGGGACTGGAAGATTCTCTTGCTGCCCCTCGCCATCCAGATCTGCAGCTTGCAGCACAGGATTCTCAGAACTGGACTCAACTCTCTCAGAATGGCTTTGAGGAGTTGCATCCAACCAGTAATCTCACTGATGCTCCCTCGATATTCGCAGACGCGGACAAAGTTCCTTCGACTTTGCCCTCCACACACAACCTTCCACGCCTGGTTTTTCAACCGATGAAACGTCGGGGCCATGTGCTTCTCGACGTTTGCACACCCTCTGGGAAGATTGAGCGCTGGACTGTTCCCAAATCTTTCTCAAAGCAAGCCTATCGTGATGCGCGGAAGAGCCAATGGGGCGACCTGTGGGCTTTGGGTGCCAAAACACGCATACCGAGGTCCTTGAGGCTTGGTGGCGAAGACACGAAAGAGGCAAAGAAGGCGAGAGGACGCAAGGAGCGGTTGAGACAGCAGGCGGAAGAGTTGATGGAAAAGATGCATGAGGAGCAGTTGGAGGAAATGGAAGACCAAAAGCAAATGGAACGGGCTTTCCGAGAGGGGAGAATTCCCAGTGAAGTCGACGATGAATTCCACAGTGGGGATGCAGCAGGAAAGGCGTCCCGGCCGGGCAGGATCAGACGTGAAAAAGCCTCCAACGGTGTTGAGAGCTTCACTTTTGACGATATCGACCACGACGCCCTCAATCCGCCTCTCTTCCCCTCAATGACGAAAACCCGGACAGCGACCTCGATCTCACATCCTTTGTCCACGCAATCACAGTCCTCCGCACCAGCAGACCAAGACGAACAGGGAGACCTTACCGTCGAAGAACTCCAGACCCTACGGGAATGGGACGAGCAACTCACAGCAGGGGAGGCTGCCGTGCCGACAAAGGGAGGGAGATCAGTCCGGCGATATTCCAAGTTTGCGCCCAGGGGTATGAAGACGGCGCCGAGGAAGAGCGGGAAATTCAGATGAGAAAACCCCCCTTCAAAAGGTCCCGGACAGGCGAGGTGTCGGGTTGTACTAAGAATGTAATAACATGTAGAGCTATATGTACGTGTAACGTGCCAGTGCTGGTGGCGGTGAATATAGACATCCTGTCTCCCCTTTGTATATTGTACACAAGTTGTGTATCTACTCACTGAGCTACCCACCCCCCTACCCACCTGTCTATATACCAACGGTGGAATCATACAGAACTAGAGTGCAAAGTCCTATCATCCGGAACACCGAATTAATACAAGACACATCAAGCCAGAGCAAGTGTCCGCAATATCCGACTCTGCTTCACGGCCCACCACGCGTGAAATCCCCCGTCTGCCGAGACGGGCGTGTCCACGACGAAGCAGTCGCTCCAACTTGCCCCTCCGTCGGCGGTGGCGGTCCCATCGCCCAGTGTGTTGGCCAGCGGGCCAGAGGAATCCATGTAGAACATCCTGATGGGCCGGGTCTCGTCGAGGACATGGACCACGATAGTCACGGCCGCGAATATGAGCAGCGCGATGAATGCCAGGACCGTCATGCCGATTGCCCGACCAGGCATTTTGTGGCTTCTGGCCACGTCGACGCCGGTAATGCTCTCGTACCTCAGGTCGGGTTTGCGGCTCGCTGGACGGTTCATCGCTAAGGCCTGTAGGAGCTGGGATGGGTGTCTGAGAACTTCTGGGATCCAGCGCGACGAGAAAAGGAGCACAATGAGACCGTAAAGTAGGCCGACGCCGCCAACAACAATCTCTGCGAGGACCATATAGGTCATCATGTTCGGGTCGACGTCCTCACCGTCTGCCGAGTCGCTGAAGAGCAAACATGACTTCGGATACGGCATTGGCTCCGTCCCGTCTGACCCAGGAATGGTGTTGTTCAACCACAGGTATTTCGAGTTGCAGCCGACGACAGTAGGTAGAGACTGTGCAAACGCGGAACACGACTTCATATTGTGACCTGTTTTGTAACCCAGCATACATGGGCACTTTCCGCCGGAGATGGCAAATTCTTGGTAGGCCGTGTCTCTGTCGTGGAGGAACAAAAGCAGTCCAAGGATGAGGCTGGCAAAGATAGCGCAGAGATCCACGAGAATCAGTAGGTACAGGATCCGGGGCATGGCGCGGGTGCCCAAGTATGTTTGCACGGATGTGAACATGATCACAATGCTGATGATGCCCGGGTAGGTATGGCCCTTCTCCCCCATTGTGATCTGAACCAGAACCGCGAGCAAGGCTCCCGCACGTATAGTCGACCACCCTAACCCGATGATGCTAGTGATCAAGGCGCAGCGACCGAGACCGCCATACTTGTTGCGCTCATCCAACAACGAGATAGTGGTGCTACTGCTGGAGCTTAGACCTCGCTGGTGTAGTGGCTGATAACCTTTCGGATCTGCGGGCGGGTAAAGAGGAATCGCGATGTGACTATCGCTGAATCGTCGCACCTTTGGCTCCCACGACTTGTATGACGCTTGAACTCCCAGAAATCCTAGTACGATAGAGAGTGTAACGCTTGCTAGCACCCAAGGCCACGGGGTTGGTTGATTGATCCAGTCGGCATGGAGGTCTGACGTGTGCGTTTGGTTGAGAAACCCGTGTAAGATAGCCTGGGAGGTATTTAATGTGCTTGACATCTCAGTCGATCCTGGAAGCGCGCTGAATTGCGATCGTGCTGCCTCAAGTCTCTGTGTTGGGACACGTCCCTATCCTGTCACATGAAAGCGTAAGTAGGTTTTGTAACGCATATAGCAGGGCAGAGCTCTCTCTAGATATATCCCCAGGGCATACGCTTCCATCAGGCTCGAGGCGCCAATTGTTGACTGCACGTCGTCAGAAAGCGACGGGCCAAAATAAACCCAAATGCTAGGCTGCGCCTTGCTGAGGGGCCTTGAAATTCGGCCGCCTTGACTAACCCTTCCCTTTGAAGAAATGAATCAACGAGAGCTGTTAAACGCCCAGAAGCTCATCCGCAATGGCTGCTGCGACGAGGCCATTCCGCAACCATACGGACGTTGGGCAAACCACGACTTGTCTAGCATAGACAGTTGCCGTTGAGTCACTCTTCTGCAGGCCACATGCCTTTTCACAGCCCAACACGAGTCCTTGAACAGCCATTGCCAGTCTCTGCAAGTGAGTTCGCTACGGCCAATGAGAAACGGTGCCACTGTCCAGCCTCACCCGTATATGCAGCCACTTCCGCCTGGGAGCTGAAATATTGAGAGTTTTGGCAGATTTCGGCGACTTGTCTGGAGCACTTCATTGGCATCTGCCTCGTATTTCGACAGAGTGAGGTCCAACAACATCCCGGCTGGCATGCATTCGGCCATCCGTTTCAGGGGTAGGAAGAAGACTGTGTGTGACAGATGGCGGGAAGAGCTCATTCCTGCACAGCACTCGTACACTTGAATCTACCGAGACATGAGTGACATGGATGTAGTCGAACCCACCTTGCTTGTTACTGATGAGGAAAAGGAGTATTGAACGGGGAAAAGAGCAAGCGAGCAGCGACTGGTTGGTGAGGGCGATTGTGGTGGTGCTCGAAGCAGACAGCGCAGTCTGACTAATCCACCGTAGTTGGTACAGAGAAGTATTGATATTTGGAGTGCAGCGACAGCTTCTCTTCATCTGTGCCTTGGCTGGCTTTCTCTACAGCTGGTCACTCTTCTCACTTCAACTCCCAAGCTCGTTAGATCTCTAACAATCTTCTCTTTCACTCTCCCCTGAATGAAGCGAAGTCGATCCGATGCTCCACGATGCCGTCGGAGACCTCCCAAAGTTGCAGCTGACGGACGGCATGCCTAGCAACAATGCTGCGCCCAAGCGGCGGAGCTCCGTCACTTTCCCACCTGCCGAACTCTCTATGTACCGAGTATTGTAGGTGGGGTTTGAGATGTGGATCAATGCAGGACGACAGTAAAAGTACACCCCTGGGCCCCGACAAAGATGTGTCTTTTTTGTCTACACAAGGAGTCACGGCATTGTATTGATTCTGAGCTTTGGCCTGGCAGAAATCCCTGGTCGAGCAGTACTTGATCGTCACAATTGTCGCCAGGCTCTTTTGCAAAATGTCCAGTCAATCCCAGCAAGGCCAGGATGTCTCAGTCCAGATAGGCAACTTGCAGGTCCAGGGGCTGATCAACAAAACCCAAAAGGTTGCAAATTACCTTGGTATCCAGTATGCGACCATTCCGGCAAGGTTTCGCCAGTCCAAGCTCGTGGATCTCTCAGAACGGAGTGGAGTCCTTGATGCTACTCAGTATGGTCCCAGATGTCCCCAGATCACAGCAAACCGACCGGAGACGGCCCACCTATATGAGGGTGTGCGACGCAGTTCTGAGTATCCGGTGGACGAATTTGGATGCTTGAGGCTCAACATCTATGTTCCCAAGGGTAGCCATGGTCCGTTACCGGTGTTGGTTTGGATCCATGGAGGAGGATTTGTGTTTGGAGACGGCAACTCCGAATTCGATGGAAACTACCTCGTCGAGCATGCTTTGGAAAGCGGGAAGCCCATCATCTTCGTGGCAATGAATTACCGACTGGGATTTTTTGGATTCCTCGCTTCCAAGGAGTTGAGGGCAGAAGCTGTTGCGAGCGGCGAGATTCCCTATGCAAACATGGCAATGCATGATCAACGGGTCGCCCTTCTGTGGATACAAAAGCACATTCACTACTTCGGCGGGGATCCCTCCAATATATGCATTGCAGGTGAATCAGCAGGTGGGTGGTCGGTCCTCGCTCACCTGCGATCAGACGTGCCGGTGTGTCAGAGAGGCATTATCTTGTCGAGCCCGAACCTAGATTTTCCACAGCCAGAAGAGGCTCAAGCCTCTTTTGATGAACTTGTCGCCAGCACGGGGATTTCTCCCAACGCGTCTGCGGAGGAGAAGCTCACTGCCCTACGTGCCTTGGACTCGATGGAAATAGTTCGTCAGATGCTTCCGCGTTTCGCCACACCCCTCTGGGACGAGAAATGGTTTGTGTATCAAGATGGCAACAGGCCTATTGCAGGCCCTGCACCCTTCGCGCCGTGGGTTAAGGGCGTTGTTGCGGGATCCACCAAGCACGAAGCAGCACTGTTTGGGGCCATTCAATGGCGAACTTGGTCGTCCCAGCAATTTGTGGACCGTGTGAAGTCTGCTTTCTCAACTGCCGAATTGGCCCAAGAACTCATGGATGCTTATGGCATTTCTTCCACCGCGCCAGCTGATACATGCCTCGAGGGGTTCATTGCTATGATCACCGACAGCATCTTCTCTGGATTGCCCTTTATCATTGCTGAAAACCCCTCGGAATCCTCACCAATCAGTCTCTATAGATTCGAACAGACCGACACCTTCAGCCAAAGCCCGCTCAAAGGATATGCATATCATGTGCTAGACAACTCGTTCTTCTGCCGACTACCAGCCGTTGCTGGACCCAATGCCAATCCGGAGGCCAGAGAAACAGCGAATAGACTTTCTGCGGCGATCATCGATTTTACACACGGATCACAACCTTGGGAGACGTACAGCACCAAGAAAAGGATTATGGTGTTCAACGGCACGAAGAGCGGCCTTGTGGAGGTCAAGGAAGAGGACCGTTGGAGGCGGGTTACCATGTCGGGCGACCTGGCCAGGGCGAAAGGAACGTGGAGGTCTGGAAACAAACTGGTGGGCATCCGGCATAGTTCGATGGATTGAGCGTGAGTGGGTGGATATGCGCCCGACGACACCGTGATGATTTCTCCATGGCAAGACAGTGGCATGACTATGTGACGTTGTTACGGGCTTATAGAAGAATATTGACTCTCGTTCCTACTTTTCCTTGCCCAATAAAATGCCATGCGATGCGTGCACAGACCTACGCCTTGCGCTTGATTGCTCCGACCTATTCATTCTTTTTCAACGGATTCTTCTTGCCCCAAGGCCACGCCCTCTCCTCGGGCAGCTCGCGGGCGATCCACCTCAGAATCGCTGCGCTTGTCTCCTGCGGCGCCTCCAAAGCCACCCAATGACCGGCATCGATGCTCACCGTGGTCAACCTCCGACAGTAGCTCTTCATGGGGTCGCAGATAGTTGAGTTGTGCGTGCCGACGACGGGGTCATTCAGGGCCTCGACGAACAGCACGGGCACGGACACGACACCCTCGTTGACGGACCAGTCCTCGCACCACTGCAGGTTGGCGTCGTCGTTGAGGTTGTAGGCGGTGGGGGCCCAGAATCCGCCGGCGGTAAATGCTTCGACGAGGGCCTTGTGCGTCTCCTCGTCCACGAGACTCTCACCTAGATCCTCGGTCTTGGGAAGGAATTCGGCACCATCCGCGAACCAGCCGCCGTTCTTGGCCACGTTGGCCGTCCAGGCCGGCTTGTCCCTGTCCTGCTCGACGTCCGCGTCCGGGCGGCGCGCGTAGACGAATCTCAGGAATGCCCCGACGTGCGTGTCGAAGAAGTCGATCGCCTCGGCGTAGTTGTCCGGGTCCTGGTAGAAGGTGTGGTGCGACCACTGGGCGTGCGGGTACTCGGCCTCCGGGTAGAGGTCGCGGTTGGCGTACTTGAGGAGCTCGGGCACGCCCATCTCGAGCGTGCGGTAGGGGACTGCCATGGCGACAACCCCGAGGCAGACTTCCGGGTTGTGCGCCAGCAGCGCCCACACGACGCCGGCGCCCCAGCCGTGGCCGATCCAGACGGCCTCGCTTCGTCCCACGTGCCTCAGCAGCTGCAGCATCTGCGCCACCACCTTCTCCAGCGCGTACTCGCCCTTTTCCTGCCTCTTCGGCCCTGACGCCCCGTACCCGGGCATGTCGGGCGCGACCACGCGGAAGCCCAACGCCGAGAACCCCCGCAGCTGCGCGGTCCATGTCGCTGCTATGGCGGGCCAGCCGTGCACGAAGACCAGGAGCGGGCCATCCGCGGGGCCGGCGTCGAGGTACGAAATGGTCTTGTCGTACTTGGTGAATTCATGCCGCGAGATCCCTTCCTCTGCCGTCGGGGAGGTGGACGTCGACGTCGTTGTTGTCGTCGATGTTGGTGGTGGTGGTTGCGGCGGTGTCGTCGTCATCACTATTGTAAATACACTTGGGTTACCACCACGGCTCTTGGGGGTGATTGTGAATCTTAATCGAGCGCACGTCTGCTCTTGACTGCGGAAAAGGATCGAGTGTGGTCTGGGGGAGGAGGCCTTATATATACCGGTTGAAGTTGACCCTGTCCTCAATGTATAGTAGCAGGACGTCTAGAGAAACCCTTCTCTCCGCCATCCGCCTCGTTAGCGATATATAGTACACGATAGTCTGACAGCGGAGCCGTGCTAGTCTCCAGACTCATCTGCATGGGTATGTCCCCCTACTAGGTACAAACAGAGGGAGGTACGCATGTACATACCTCCCCGCTCGACCGACCCCATGCCCCAGCTCGCTTTTTCAACGTTGAATGGGGCCGAGTATACACGAAGTACATCTGACAAGGTCGCATTGCATGTACGGAGGATGCAGGCATGCAAGTCGCGTTCTTACTGCGGGGACCCGCTTGGAAGGGGGGGGGGGATGTTTTTGTGAGATATCAACAGAAAAAAAATCCAAATGCCGAAAAAGGGTGGGAGGGTGGAGAAGTTAAGATATTGTGAATAAGGGCAAGTACCTACCTACCTACCTACCTACACACTTACCCAGAAGGTAGATATCGTTAGGCATGAATATCTGTTTTCGTGCCCCTGGAATCCAGTCCGCTCTGCCTCGTAAAGGACAATCAATCCACACGGGCAAACGACTGGAATGTTTTGCTGTCCTCCCTACATCTTACCAGATGGTTCCATTTCTACTCGTCACGACACAAATCTGGTTTACAGACGTCACAGGAAGATCTATCTCGAGTTCAGAACAGAAACAAACGTAGCCGAGACGGCGGTTCTCTATTCTGTGTCCGTGTGATTGCCTTTTCATGAATCCGAAATCATTTGCTCTCGCGAGTAAACCTGCTCGCGTGCGTCCTCGTCTATCGCAGGGGTTTGATCGGTGTCTGTCTGGTGAACCTGACTTTTGCCAGTGACTGTCAATGTTGAGGTTCATTTCTCCCAGGCTTCAGTCCGTCCATCACGCCCCCCAAAAGTCATTGCCATCAGAATGCCATTGCTGGTCTTTCGCACACTCTACGCGAGTGAAAAGTTCTTCTCCTTCTTCCAGCCCTCAACCATCAATACCAACGTCTTTGTCGCTGGCTTTTCCTGCATTTCTCTCGGCAGTGTCCGCGGAAAGTCGACTGCTGCCTGTCTTAACGCGGCAATGCCCGCGGCCCCGAAAAACAACACGAACCGTTCGATCGCATTGTTCTCGAGCATGCTCTTCAACAGCACTAGATGGCTGGTCTGCACCTCTTGTGGAGGCGTATTGGCAATGTGCGCGAGACTGGCCCAATAGTGCACCGGTGGCCAGGGGTTGGAGACTTTGGCTTTGGAAAAGTTGCGGAGAGCTATCGACGCGTAGCCCACCCCCAGTCCCGTGAGGCGGTCGTAGTGCTTGTTTTCATTCACAAACGCTTTCTTCGAGTCGGGGTCATCGGTGATTCTATCAAGACGCCACCCGAGTCGGTGTTTGCCCGCCGCAGTGGACTCGCGCCCGGAGATGCCGAACAGAATCGGGGCCGTCGCGTGGAATTTGCTCATGAGTATGGAGATGAGGGAGACACTGGTTGGCTTCGAAGGCTGTGACGGATCGGCAGTGGATGGGACATTTCGGGGGAATTGTAGCTCAGGCATTGAGAAGATCTGGGCAACCAGTGTGCCAATGGGTTCGGCAGCCTTGGGGTTGACGGCACACTCACCCACGAAACCACTGATAACCGCCTTGCTGAAGATGGAGAGCAGGTACAGCGCCAGGGACGGGATCGTTGTCGTACCATTGTCCCCTAGATTGAGATGTGCTGGTAGGTACTCGCTGACGGACACGGGAGGCGACGGTCGATCCCTGAAAGCCTGTTGCAACGTAAATCTAACGCGGTCATGCTGCCATTGTTAGTCGGAGAACCTGGTGGACCGAGGCAATACACTCGTTACTTACTGCCTTTTTGTTTCCAACCTTGTCATCTGTCAACTGCCCGACGCTGGTTCGAATTGCCCTTCGCATGTCGCCTACATGAGGCTTCAAGGCTGGATCCTTCTTAGCCGCGACCCAGAAGTCGGAACGGAACTTTTTCAGTTTTTTGTGGAGAACCAGGTAGTTGGCATGTTGTACCTCCACCTCCGAAGCTGGATTGATACCGGTGTCCTGAGTACGGGTAGCGGGTTGCGGTGGTGCAGCTTTGGCCACTGCAGCTTTCTCGGCTTCTTGTCTCCGCAAAGCAGCTTCTTGCTCGGCTTTAGCTTGCTCCTCTCGTTGCCTCTGCTCGGCAGCTTCCTTTTCCCTTCGTTCTTTTTCAGCTTCTTCAGCTTTTTGTTTTGCTTGCCGCTCTGCTTCAAGGCGGACACGCTCTTCGTGTTCCAGGCGCTCTTTCTCTTCACGAGCTCTTCGCTCCAATTCTGCCCGTTGGCGTTGGCGTTCCTTCTCCTGGGCTTGCGCTCGTGCCTCTGCCTCTGCCCGTCGCTGCCTTTCCTCCTCCTCTGCCCTCCTTCGCTCTTCTTCCTCACGTCTCTGACGATCCTCTTCCTCTTGCTTGATGTAGGCCTGAAGAACAGCCTCGGCTTGTTTCCGGACAGTTTCATGCTGAGCTTTGGCAGCATTGAGTTCTAGTCGATGAGCCTCCGCTTGTGCTGATTCCCGAGCATCAAGCTCTTCCTGCTCTTGGCGTTTTTGGTAGGCATGAAGTTTGGAGCGCTCAATCTCGTGCAAATGAATCTGACTGAGAGCACGTTCCAATTCCCATTGTAGTTGCCTTGATGGGCTGTCGTCGGTCCTTCGACCTCTAGGACTGTCTCTGACTGAGAAGGGCGATGATGAGTGAAGCCTCGCCTGACCCATTTTAACGACACGTGACTTTGAATTTTCCGCTGCCACCCCAAGTTGACACGGTCAAAGAATGTTGAGGAGACAAGACACGTGAATGGTGTGTTCAGAGTATCTCCCAGTCTTAGACGAGGACAATGGCGGAGACGAGCAGACAGCCCTGAGACCCGGTTCACAAATACGGAGGGTGGGACGTTGGGGCCGATCTGGACACTCAAAAGCGCGACGCGAGGGTTGTAAGGAGGTAACAGTAGATAAAAGTTCTATGCCGAGGTCAAGGCTGACACTCTGTCCAAGACGCGTTAATGCTTAGTCCATCCCGATAGGATAAAGATAAAGTACTGTTCCGGTCGAGGTTGAAAGAGCTCCAGGCCTGCGCAGCGTCAAAGGAGAGTCGCAACAATGACGGGAGGCGTGGTAACGACGGCACCAAGGGTCGGACAAGGGAGTGACAAGGCTAATTGACGATTGATAGAATGGATGAGACGTGAGCACTGCTGATGCCAGAGTTTGGTGAAGTTTCATCAGAGGAACTCTCAGTGAGAGGAGCACAGGTGCACCAGTAGTGCAAGTCGGGGACTCGGTGACAAGCTCCAGTCCAGAAACTCAGACAAGGGTTTCAGTTTACCCGTAAGGCATGCTTGGTGGAGTGGTCTAGGTGCCACCCAGCTGGCCCTCACCCGGGGGATGTGCGCCAAACCCGCCAGGCCCCGAGGCTTGCCTAGTTGATGGGCTACTAGCCGGTACTAGGCCCGCCCGTGGAGCCAAGGGGGAGCCTGAGTCCGTGGCCCATTACCGCCCGCAACATCTCTTGGCGCTTCAACTGTACCTCCGGAGGCGGGCGACTGTAACATGAATCACATCCAAACTGCGCTTTGGGAGAGGATTCATACTCGTAAGACCATCAGGAAAACTAATTGCAAACCCCGTAGTCTGTGGTCCCTCTCCGCTCCTCGACCATTCATCAGTCCGAACACGAGGCTTACTCTCTGCCACTCCCGAGAAGGGAAAGGACATCAAAAAGTCATTGTCCTCTATGATAGACATGTACTGAAAGACAGGGGGCCAAAGAGTGATGACAAGCCCAATAGACATCGCCTATAGGACAGTTCTACCATTTCAAGATAGCCCCCTCCGCTTCACCACCGCATAAGCGAGTGAGCAGTAAGAACGTTAACTAGACACCTGTGTTTGGTGGTGGTGGTGGTACTGGTAGTACCGAGTACTGGTAGTGTTGCGCCTGCAGGACCCTTCGAGGCCTTCACCAGCCTGCGCCCACTAAAAAGGAACCACCCACCAATTACCCATACAAAGCCTTTACCAAAACCCATCCTTTCACCTTCTACTCTTCCCTCTTCCCCTCTCCTGCCGAGTTGCTTCTCTTCCTCTCTCTCTCTCTCTCTCTCTTCTCTTCCATCATCCTGTTCCTCAGTTCTGTCTTGTCCTGTCCTTTTCCACATCGCTTCAGCGTTCGCCAGACAGTCCTTCAATCCATCGGAGTCACTCTCTTGTGTGCTCTTATCCCTCTCCGCTGTGGGCCCCCGGTCCCCGTCCAGTTCCGTTTTCCTGTCCTTCCCTCGCCCAAGAAATAAATCTTACGTCGAATCGAGCCTGCCTTCCGCTACATCGACTTATCTGCCTGCGCCGTATTGCGCAGTTCTCGGTTGCCATCACTCTCAATCCCCTCGAGTGCTTATTGCCATTGCGACAGTCATCAGCTCAACGCTGCATCTTCACCTTCGTCGAGCGATTCGCACCTTGTCACTGACACCGCCTTGTCACTCCACTCCATCCTGGCCCACAGGCTTTCGACTCGAGTGTCGACCGCAATACGCAATATTGATTAGGATTCGTGACCATCCTTCCTCCAACGTTTGAGAATCGCTGCATCTCCAAACCTCTCAGGGACGTCAAAATCGACTTCGGTATCCTCCTTGGCACCGTTCTAGGTGAGTTTCCATCCCCGTTTTACGAGCCTTTATCCAAGTTGCTCTGCATCTTCCCCCCTCCAGAAGTTTAATGCTTTAGCTTCTGTATTCGGCGTCTAGATTGCATCCTTCTGTATCAATTCCGGAGCGTACTGACATTTCAATCCATACTAGTTGCATCTTCTTTCCCTCCTTGT